CCCACCCCTGTCATCTTTTGATTTTAATTTTTTGGGGGGGGGCAGTGAAAATATGAACTTGAACTATCAGAAGCTTGGGAAAAACTGATGAAGAGTGTTTTGGTGATGTGAGGAACTGAGGCATGAGGATCAAATGTCACATCAAATGTCAGCCCTAAAACTCAGCAATAGCCAGTGGTGTACTTTGGGCTTTAAAATTTCGGCAGTGATGTCAAAATTCGGCACCCCACCCCCCCGCTGCATGCTTTCTGCTGTTTGTCATTGTTGCAGAACTCTCTGCGGCTACTTCTTGGCTTGGCCAAGTCAGCTCTGCCAATAGTACCAGCCTCTACAGCAGGGATCTTCCAGTTTTGTAGCAGGGAAGAGGAATCTGTGGCTCTCCAGATGTTGAACTACATCTCCCCTACGACATTCTTGACCATTGGCCACGTTGGTGGGAGCTAAAGAACACCTGGAAGCCTGTAGGTTCCCCTAACAAGCGACTTTTTGGTTGATCGAAAAGGTGTTCCAAATTAACGGGGAAGTAAATAATTTTTGTACATTGATTTTCATCGAAGTACACCTGAAAATGGGACTCTCAATTTTGAGAAGGCATTTCCTTTTCTTGGTCACAGCAGACGGAAATCCTCGTTAAGCCAGTGTCTACTGTGACACATGCACACATCAACCCCCCTCCCATCAAGTAACACTTTTTATTCAGAACTAGTCACATGCAAATATATTTTAATTGAACCAGTCAATTCAAATGTAAACAGTTAATTGACTCTGAACTAGGGTCCAAGCCCAGGGCTTCCCCCCTCCCCCAGATGGAACTTGCTGGAACTCATTTGGGGGCGACTGCCATTATAAGACAACATGGTGAGTTCCAGCACCACTTTTTCTAGAAAAATAGCACTGGCTGAGCAACTAGAATTAGTTGCTGACATCCTTCCCGTTGGGTGGTTGGTTTCTTCCATCTGCTTGACAGGTTGTTAACTCAGCCTGTTCCTCCAGAGGGAGGGAGGGAGGGGAAAAGAGAAATGTGGTACTTGCACAAGTTCTCCCTCATGAACTTCCCTGTCAACTGAATCTTTTAAAAGGCTGTTTGACAGGTGCATTCACTTTTCAGAAGCTAGGCAGGTGACAACCAAACAGGGCCTTTTCACTGGCAAGGCCTGAATTATGGATCACACTTCTTAGACATGTTCTCTTGTATCTTTTAGGTGCCTTGCAAAGTCCGCCTGTTCTCTTGGGCTACTTGATGGTTTGTTTGTTTTTTTAAGTGATATCTAGTCCTCCCTTTTAATTACACTGGCTCACATTTTTAATTTCTTCAGTTTCAGTTGCTTAACTGCTGTTTTGTTGAAGTAGTATGATTTTACCAGCCACTTTGAGACGTACACGAAAGACAACAATTCCCCTTCCTCCCAGATTGATAGGGGAAAAAAGATTACAACCCCCAGCAAGTCTGTTCCCTGCAATGCCAATGCAGGAATTTGTCCTGAATTGTAAATACAAATGTACTGGGCTGCTCGTTATGATGCATAAGTCTCAGGAACAGCTGACCATATATCGGCTCTCATTTTCCTTCTTTGTACTGGTGCTGGAGCTTTGAGATAATGGGAGTCCCGTGAGCCAAAAAGGCTTCTGGCCTGCTCCAATTGACAACAGCTGTCCAAATGTAAGAGACATTCCCATCCCCACCATCTAATATCTTCTGCATGTAAGTCAAAAGCTCTACCTTTACATTAAGTCAGTAGAGTGGTAAACATCACCAGCCCTGACACTGAGGCACCCACTAACTGGTGGAGTTAATTTATGGAATTTTCTGCCCCACAAGGGGGTGATGTCCATGCATTTAGATGTATTTCCAAGGCCATTAGACAAATAGAGGTTGAATCTATCATTTGGCAACAGCTGTGCAAGTACAGTGGTACCTCGGGTTACATACGCTTCAGGTACACACTCCGCTAACCCAGGAATAGTGCTTCAGGTTAAGAACTTTGCTTCAGGATAAGAACAGAAATTGAGCTCCGGCGACGCAGCAGCAGCTGCAGGAGGCCCCATTAGCTAAAGGGGTGCTTCAGGTTAAGAACAGTTTCAGGTTAAGAACAGACCTCCAGAACGAATTAAGTACTTAACCTGAGGTACCACTGTAGTTGAATGGAGTTTCCACATTCAGAGGCAGTATACCTACCCCACCCCAGGTATCTGATTGGCCAGTGTCGGAAACAAGGTGATGGATTGGAAGGGCCATTGGTCTCTCTTGGCAGGTCTCAAAGTGTTAAGGGTAGTTCCCCTACATTGGTCCTCTTTGCTTCAGTGATGGCGTTTGCTCAAGGGAGCTTTGTGGTGGATTCTGCCCCCAGGTTCATTCTTCAGAGCTAGAGGCGCGCCATTTGCATTTTGAACCACAAGCACGAGAATTGCTTGGGCCTGTCCCCAAAGAATCACTGGGTGGTATCCAAGGTTAGTCATACTCTTAATAAACCCATTGAAATTAATAGACATGACTAACTATGGCCCATTAATTTCATTGTGGGCCTACACTCGGTATAATTAAGGCTGTGTGCACATTACTGTTTACTTTGGCTCCAGTGTGCTCCCACTGCTGGCTTTTGAATCTGTGTACGCATAACATTACCCATGATGCAGAGCTATCCTGTAGCTTCTTGAGAAAGGCTGCTGTTTGCTGTGTTTTCCCTCAAATGAGCTTCAATAGCTTATGACCTATAAAGCCATATCTGGTTTGGGCCCAGGCTACCTGACGTATTGCCCAGGTGCCAAGATCCTCTTGGCCCCATCGACACCAGAAGCACAATTGGTGGTGACAGGAGAGAATCTTTTCTGTGGCTGCTCCCATGTTGTGGAATTGCCTCCCAAGAGAGGTTAGGTAGGCTCTCTCTTTGTTAACCCTCTACTGGAAATCTAAGACCTTCCTTTTCAGACAGGCTTTTGAAAATTAAAGCGCAGACAATACTGATCGCTGGGCTGTGGTCAAAGCAAACTGCATTTGAACTGTTGGTTTCGAATGTGTTCTGCTGCATTTTAATTATTGTTTTTGTTTTTATTACTTTGTACTTTACAAGGTTTTAAGTGTTGTATCCCTTGAATCCCAACTTGGGGGGAAAGGCGGGATTAGAAATAGACTAAAAAATTACTAATAATCTAAAAGAAATACTTAAGCCACATTCATTTCGCAGTTAAGCTAAGCGTGTACATTTCAGACAGTGGGGGGCAGCTCATGTGCAGGTTAATGAATAGGTGCTGGGAGAGTTTTAGGCATGGAGAAACAAAACAGGTGATGCGCTTCAAGTGAAGACATTCTTTGCCCCTCTCTGGCGCATACAGCAATGTGCAAATGTGACTTGAAATGCAGTAGGGTGGGGGAACGACCCTGCTGTATTTTAAGCTGCTAATCTGTTCATAGCCTAGGTAAGTGGTTCCAGTGTGTCAACCTGTACTTACCATTCAGACACTATTTGCCATTTATTTTATTTACTGCATTTTTACTTTGCTTTTTTTGGACAAGTATTGTCTCCAGCATGGATCAAGAATAGGGAGGGGGAAAGAGAGAGACAGAGGGAAAGGCCCTGCCATCAGTCTTATGAACTTAAAAGACAAGAAACACAAAGGCAATTGAGTGGAGGGAAAAGATAGAGGGAGATCAGTTCTTCAAGGCCAGAACAAAGCTATGAGGGCATTCATATCCAGCTCAGGCCACGCTGATCTCTGCTTGCTGGCATTTTTGCTTGAATAGCAAGTTTCTCCCGTTGTTCTTCTGAAATCTACCCTCCTGTCCCTTAAGCCTTGGAGATCTAGCTCTTGCTCTCTGAGAACAAGGCCTTGCCCACTTCTGTCAGCATTTCTGGTATCTGAGGAGCGCGATCAGGTCCCTTTCAAACATAAACCAAAAGTTACAGTGCTGTAAGAAAATTATTAGGTTTTCCATTGTGACCGTTTGGTTGGTTGGACCTAAAGGTGTTACCAAACTTGCTTTGGCGTTTTTCCCCTTTCCTAATGAGTCAGCAAGGCTACCTCCAACTCTGCTTTGAAGAGCATAAAATAGATTCACGGAATTTCCAGATGTCCTTTTTATTGTGCTTTCAGGATGAGTTGTGCTCGTGATCCTGTATTCAGTGCTGCTTCAGTGCCTGCAGAAGTTTCAGGTGGAAAATACAGTTGTGTTTCAAATCAGTGCACGACCCACAACCTTCTCCTGAAATCCTGTAACTTTTTATACCTCTTAGGGTCTCTCTTGATTGTGTTTTTTCGTGGGGGTTTTTGGGGGTGGGTGTATTCTGCGACATGTCACTGACATGGTAATAGTGCATTAGTTTATACTGGGCCGCCCACTCAACGTTCTATTTCATTAGCTGTACTGCAACGTGTCTCCAAAATTATTGCATTATTGCCGCCTGGCATTTGCATTATAGCATAACAAAACCTATAAACCGGAAAAACATTTACAGTATTAAAAAGTTGCAGAATTTCAGTAAGGATAAGCGCAGCTTGGAAAGGAAGCATTTGTATGTCCGCCTCTCAACTTTTGCGGGCACAAACAATCCTGAAAGCTGGCTTATGTATAACCGCCCCAATATCAGAATGAGCTTGAATCATCAGTGAACGCACACTAATAAAAGGATGTCTAGAGGACAAGTTTCAGTATATATAGCGATAGGTTTCAAAATCCACACGCTCCTCTTGTTGTTGGGGGGTCCACTTCTCCTCACTGGCCGAAGGGTGGCGCTGGCAGAACCCTTATCTGTCAAAAGAAGGCAACGTTACAGATAATAGGATTTAAGGGGGTGGTGGGAGATATTCCTCCTTTTTTCCCTTTTGGTCCTTTGCTTGCTTGATCGCTCCATATTGAACAACGACCAAAAGAAAAAAAAGAAAAGGGGGGGAAGAAGGGAGGGTGGAAATGTTGCTCGTGCAGTTCAGATGCCAGATCCGTTCCCCTGGATGAAGAGAAAGGAAAGGAAGAAAAGGCGGCGGTGGCGGGGGTGGGTGGGGGACCCCGAACACTTCAATAATTGCAAAAGGGAGCTGCTGGCGGGGGTGGGGAGGAAGGAAGCAGAAAAATACCTCCCTCCCAAGTGAGGCAGCTGTTCCTGAACCTAAGACTTTGCAAGCGCGTGGAGCCATGATTGCTGGGTTGTGGGCTGTGTGCAGCCAAGGCGACGTTTTGTGCGTGTGTGCGTGAGTCTAGCGTGTGTGCATGCGTGTGTGTGAGTGTGTGTGTGTGTGTGTTTGTGTGTATGACTAGCAACCGCGTCTGCTTCAGCTCAAGCAATGCCGCCGATCTCCCGTTTGCAAATAACAATGTGGCATTTTTGTCCTGCGGGGAGGCTCCGGAGTCCCCTTCTTTTTTTCCCTCCGCCGTCCTAGCAAGATTGTTGTCTCTGAAAGGCGGATCGGAGAGAGAGAGCTGGGGAGGGAAGGTGGGGTGGGGGCGAGAGGAGAGAGAGAAACAAGCCCGGAGATTATAAAAGAAGGAAGAAAAGGACGAGGAGTGACTGCGTGTTTGGAAACAACAACATCACCATCACCCCCAACGACAACAAACAGGAGGGTAGTAGGAGGAAACCATCTCAGAAGAAACTTATGGAAGAATGAAGGAGATGGTGGGTGGCTGCTGCGTTTGTTCCGATGAGCGGGGCTGGGCTGAAAACCCCCTGGTGTACTGTGATGGGCATGGCTGTAACGTGGCGGTGCATCAAGGTAAGACCCCCCCCCAACCAATCCCTCCGTATTGACACCTTTTCCATCCCTCCTTCCCTCCCTACCCCTCTCTTTCCTTCCCTCCCTCCCTCCCCAGCCAAGCCCCACTTTGCATCTTAACTCTTCGGGGCTTTGCCAGGCTAGATGCATATATCTATATAAATCTATGTGCGCGTATATATCTATAGCTCTGGCGATGGAGTCAACAGAGAGAGAGAGATGTGGTGTAATTTCCCCTCCATTCACCTCAAGCCTTTGCAAAGCTTTGAGCAAATAATAATAACGATAATAATAATAATAATAATAATAATAAAAAGATGTTTAGGCATGGAGTTGCAAAAAAGAAAAGAAAAACGGGTGGGAGGATTTTAAGTGTGCGTCGTTGTTATTCATAGTAAGTAGTGTGATTTCTATTGTTCTGTATAACGGTATTCTTGACAGGGCCTTCTTGGGGAGGGGGATGCAGAAGCGCAACCTTAGGAAGAAAGGGGGGTGTCGGAGCTGTGTCTATATCGCTGGGAGGGCAGGTTTCTTTTAATTCTGCTAGTGCCGGGAGGGGGGCAGATCTTAGGCTTTCCCTCCTCTCACTGATGTGTGTGTGTGTGTTTATCGCTTTGTTTTGTTTTTTTTATTTATGCGTTTTTAATTGCACCGGCCTATAAAGGGATGTGTGAGAGAGAGAGAGAGAAAGAGGGAGATCTAAAACAGCAGCAGAGACAGAAAGGTTAGACGGGGGTGGGCGGCTTGTTGTGTTCATGTTTGTATTTGTATTATTATATTATTTGACGTAGCTTCAGAAGAATCGTATGGCCGTGACCTCTGACGGTCTCCCTCAGCTTCCTTCCGGATTAGCAGGGGTGCTATTATTAGCCACCCTGCTGTCACTTTTTTTTTTTTGGTTGTGTGTGTGTGTGTGTGTGTGTGTGTGTAGAAGGAGTGCTCTAGCTTGCAGTTTCAAGGTAAGCTAGGGAAGGGGGGATAATGTATAACAGAGAGAGATGGAGCAGAATTTTGGGGACACCCCTTCTCTGCAAAAGAACACATTTGAGCAAGGAAAACAGTGCGTGTGGTTTGTGTGCCTCCGGGCTACTATTCTGTCTCTTAGTAGATCATTAACACTGGAAACAGAAGGGCAAGGAGGAATCACCTCAGCTGCACCCAGCCCCACAGATCTAGGGCTGGTGCTGAGCCTGGCGTTATCTTTTCCAACAGGGCTTTGCTTTCTAAAAGAAATGAAAGTAGAAGAACGACCAACCGTTGTGGGAACATCACAAGCTCCCTTATACCGAGTCAGGCCATTGGTCCATCTAGAAAGTGTTGTCAGCATTGTACTGTCAACACTGTATGGGCAGCTAGTCTTTGCCACCTGTACTGGGAAGATGCCAGGAATTGAACCTGGAACCTTTGGGTGCTCTACCGCTAAGATACAGCACTTAGGCTTACCCCACAGGTCCCCTGTCTCTGATCCCTAATCCGAGATGCATGAAAGCTGCCCGTGGTTGTTCCATAGTGCTGAGGAAAGGCACTCTGTCCATGGTCACAAGCACTGTCTTCGCACATCAAAAGCCATGTGTTTATAGACAGGATTTTGAGCTTTGATGGAAGTTGAGCTTCTTTACCACGATATACTGAGCTTGGTGTGTTTCATGTTTTATCCTGTTCCAATGAGTGGTAGCTAATTCGGAGCAGACCCATTGAAATCAACGAACTTAAGTAACTTAGGCACCATATTAATAACACCAGATGTTACCCAGTGTGTTTTGCTTTTATATAAATTTTACATAGCTGGTTTTATTTCTAGTGGCTTTGAATGACAGAAAAGTACGAAATAATTATGTTTTGTTTATCTATCTATCTATCTATCTATCTAGGTAATTAATTAATATATAATTTATTATTTATTATTTATTTTTTAATCCTGCCTAAGCATTTAAATTCTATGCGACAATTTAACATGTTTCCAGGCTGAGTCTTGGTATTGAAGATAGTTTCTGGGACTCCGTTTGACATTTAGCCTTAAAATGAAATCCCATTTGTTCGCTAGCTTTGATGCTGCCTCTCGAATCACCTGCCCATTAAAAACAATTCATGCACATAAGCAAGTGAGGAAAGGCGCTTGCAAAAGGGAAACTAGTGAAGGGTTGCAAAAAAAGTTAGCCAAATCAGCAAAGGATTGTAGCTCAGGGATAGAGCCTGCCTTGTAAATAAGCCCACAAAGTTATTAGCCTGCAACAAAATTCAGTTGGCCGCTAGTAACCTGCATTTCCATGCTGGTTACAGAGGAAGGAAGCCCCCTCCATCAAAGTCTACAAAGGGAGGGGGCTACTAAAGCAAACAGTCCAACCCCTGCCTTCTGCCATGGTGGCTGACAGAGGAGGGATGGATCGACCCTTTCCTTCTCTGCCAGCCTATGCACTTGCCTTCATGGAATTTCATTCATTCGCCTGGTTCGATTTCCTGATCACCCATGGCTACCAAGCAAATGGTTAAATACAAAGCTGAGTGGACCAAATGCTTTGAGTGGACCAGTTCAGTCCCAGGCATCTCTAAGACTGGGATGGATTCCTACCTGAGATGCTGGAGAACAGCTACCAATCAAGCTAGATAGCATTGAGCTTGATGGACCAATGGTCTGATTTGCTATTAGGCAGCTTCCTGTTTTCCTACCTCGAAAGTTGGTGGGAAGGGCACAGCACCTGAGCCCAGTTTCCCCAAAGGCTAGCTACCTTGCCCTTTGTCTTTCTTTTCCTGAGAAATCTGTGACAGCAGCTCTGTCAACAAGGACCCTTTCAGGAAGACTTAACGGTTGATACAACTGTTTGCTAAATCCTAGACCAAAAAAGTAACTAGGCTGCAATCTGTAAATACGCTCTGTGTATATTCTGGTCTGGTCAAGGGACGGACGCCGATGTAAGCATTATGCTGTTGTGCACAGGGAGTCAGAGATGCATTGTCTTGAATGCATGAAAAGGAAATAAACAACAATCTGACTTTTAGAAGACATCGGAAGGGATGTTTTTATAGGGACGTTTTTAAATGTTTGATGTTTTGTTGTGGTTTATAATTTGTCGGAAGCTGCCCAGAATGGCTGGGGCAACCCAATAAGATGGGCAGCATATTAAATGATAATAATAATAATAATAATAATAATAATAATCCCTGTCCACGCCTTCTCCATAGGAAGGGAGTAAGATGGAGCAGAATCCTACTCACTGACAGGAATGCTTTGCTAGGCAATAGGAAATACATTGCCTGGTTTAGAAATAGCCAGTTAATAGTCTGTGGCCTGCTTTTGGTCTCCAGAACTATTTTATCTAGCCAAATTGTATGGTTAAAAAATGCCCTTAGTTACTCTCATAAGGTAAATAAAAATAGAAATAGATTTGAGGAGGAGGAGGAAGAAAAAGACAATGTGTAGTACAATGATTAAACTTTGGGGACTAGAACTCAGAGCTTCACCTGACCATAAAGTTCACAGTTTGGTCATTGACTATGAAGCAAGTTTTACAAAATATTAATAGTTGTTACATTTTTGTTTAATACAAGGCAGGCTTGCTTACTTTGTATGCCCAGAACAAGAAGCTGTTTATTGATGTACAGGCTAATACAGGCTTCCTCAAACTCTGCCCTCCAGATGTTTTTGGCCTACAACTCCCATCATCCCTAGCTAGTAGGACCAGTGGTCAGGGATGATGGGGATTGTAGTCGCAGCACATCTGGAGGGCCAAGTTTGAGGAAGCCTGGGCTAATACACAACTACTGTACAACGGAAAATTAATGTAAACACAAGAACAAGCTAAAGGGTGGAGTCTTTGCTTCTCCAACCCATAATAACTGGAGACAATAGTTAACTCTATAATTACCAATTGCTACTACTACTACTACGATATCACAACTTTCAAAAAATCGTCAAGAAATTACACCAACCGTCTTCCACTAGACATGGACGAGGATATAGCTCACGCGAAAAGCAAGGTGCACCTTTCAGATATCACAATAACTTCTGAACAGCTGTGGAATGGTTTGTTTGCTTTTGCTATGATAAACTCCCCATGATGCTGTTACAGTGAACAATTAAGCACACAATATTCCTTTCTTGGAGCGTTTAGGGGATTTCCTAGTATGGCTGGAAGATAGATGCTCTGCCTTACACAAACAGTTTTGGGGGATTTTGCATGTAGGGGAAGGAACAGGGTTAAGGCACTTCAAAAATTTGCTTCCTCACATCAAAAGGTTCAACAAGCATTTCCTTTTTCTTTCTTTTTTTTGGCTTGTCAAGCCTCCGCTCTAATTGTTCAATAGGTCATCTCAGTTCGCAGAGTTGGTGAACATCAGGGAAAGGAAAAGCCTGTTTGCATCGGTGAGAGCGACTTCAGATGTCAAGTGTGTGTTTACCTCTGTGTCCTTGGGCAGCTGCTGGGGCTCCAGCAGGACTCTGGCAGGACCCACTGACAATGCCTGTCCCGGGACACAACTATGTTTTTCTAGCCTAGCACTCCAAGTCTAGCCACCATATACATTTTCCCTGTTCTGGGGTATCATTGGAGACTGAAATGAAGGCTTGACCCAGCTATCCAGAGCACCAGGTTAAACCCACCAGGGCCCACTGACAGAAGAGGGGAGCCCACTAGAGACCACTTTCCCTGGGCTTCTCTTAAACCTGGAGCCAGCCCTCGTATGTGTGACCCTTTGTGTTTCCTTCCGTGTACCAGACTGCCCATGATTATTCCTCAGAACCAAAGTAGATCTGATGGGGATCACCACGCTTGTTTATTCATAGGTCTGTCCCATTAAAATTTGAAATGGGGATGACTTTTTTATATAAGTAAAGAGAGGCTTAGATGTGAGACATGTAAACAGCAAATGTAGTTTGTTTGTTTATGTTATAAATGCTATTAATTGCATTTATATCCCTGAGCTCCCCAAGGAGCTCAGGGTTCCCCCACTTCATCTCCACAACAACCTTGTGAGGTTGGTTAGGCTGTGAGACGGTGGTGATTGGCCGAAGATCACCCAGTGAGCTTTGTGGCTGTGTGTGGACTGGAACCCAGATCTCTCAAGTCTAACACTCTAACCACTACACCACACTAGTTGCTTGTATTATGTCTAGGTTGGGTGTCAGGAGCACCCATAGCTCAGGCCATCTTTTTGGTTTGCTACACTGAGCTACTGTTGGTGAAACAATTTAATCCATATATGTAGCACAAATCCCCTCATTTTTTAAATAAGGGTAGCATTATAGATCTTATGAGTTATATAAGACAGCAACCACCACAAATGCTCATACGCAACACTGTTTTTAGTGCAATATAAGTTTGAATCTAGGGGATAATGGGCCTTTGACCTTCGCTTAGCCTTCCATAATCTCTCTGGACTGCCCCACCTCCCAAAATTTTCATTTTCTATGTATTTGGTAGCATATGAAATGTTTTCCTAGTACAGTGGTACCTCGAGTTAAGTACTTAATTCGTTCCGGAGGTCCTTTCTTAACCTGAAACTGTACTTAACCTGAAGCACCACTTTAGCTAATGGGGCCTCCCGCTGCCGCCGCGCCGCCGGAGCACAATTTCTGTTCTCATCCTGAAGCAAAGTTCTTAACCCGAGGTACTATTTCTGGGTTAGGGGAGTCTGTAACCTGAAGTGTCTGTAACCTGAAGCGTATGTAACCCAAGGTACCACTGTATTGTGTAAAGTGGTCCGTAGTGTCATGGAAAGCATAGAGGACACAGCAGTCAAGAAGCTAAACAACAACTTCGTTGTGTTTGTGGAAGAAAAACAGAGCAGCTGTCTGAAACACTTGACTCCACCTAGTGACTAAACTGTATAATGATACTATCCACACAGAGACAGGACAAAGATGGGAAAGAAGTCAGGGGTTTGTTAAACCAGAACTGGGGCAGAACTTGAAGGCTATAAGAGACAGTTGCAGCAGCCCAGTGAGGAAGGCCTGGCCTGTGAGGGACTTAATGTCTGGCTAATTTAGCAGCATCTTCCAGGCCAGGAGGTTGAGCATGGCAGCCAGAGCACCTGAGAACTAAAGGAGAACTGAAATATGTATGCCTTTGCTCTATAACTCTTGTCTATTTTATGGTGTTTCTAATGTAGTGTTAGGTGCCTCAAAGGCTTCAGTTAACAGGCAGGTTATAAATACTCTCAACTACATAAATAATAATGTGCCTCTTTTCCAGCAGCAACAGTATAAGGCTCCATGGCCTACTTTGCCAACTCTGTTTGTGCCATCTTCCATGGGCTGGAGGCTGGGATAGGGTAAATTTGCCAGCCACAAGTGGATTTGGGAATGGGATGCACTGACTGAGGCTGTCCACAAAGTATGTGACCAGACCCTCCAAGTGTCCCTATTTTCCAGGGACAGTCCTGGATTTACAGAAGCCGTCCCAGTTTCTGATTTGATGCCAGAATGTCCTGCTTTTCCTTAGGATGTCCTTATTTATGTCAGAAATGTTGGAGGGTATGGTGACCCCCCCCCCCGAGCCAAAGAGATTAGTAACTATACAAGCTTTAGAAGACATCTGAAGGCAGCCCTGTATAGGGAAGCTTTTAATGTTTAATTACTTATTATGTTTTTATATATGCTGGAAGCCGCCCAGAATGGCTGGGGCAACCCAGTTAGATGTGTGGGATATATTATTATTATTATTATTATTATTGACATCACTATTTTCATAGTGTTTGAGGGTATGTGTGACAACTAAATGTTAAAGAAAAGAGAACACCACTCTTGTACTTTCCTCTCCCCATAGCATGTCACACATGATATTGTGCATGCCTCTGGCATAATTTTTTATATATTTAGTTTTATCCGGAGCTAAGACTTATTCAGAGCAGACCCATTGAAATTAAAAGGCCCAAGTTAGTCATATTCATTATTTTCCATGGGTCTACTCAGAGCAGGACTAACATTCTTCACAACCTAATAATTTCAGAGTCTTTCAATGTAATCCTATGCACATCTACTTGGAAGAAAATCTTACTGAGTTTACTGTAACTTGCTCCCAGGTAAATGTGTATAAAATTCCAGGCTGAAAAACATGATTCTTGGAGAGGGCAGCATGTGAATATTCATTTGTCACATCACCCAAATGTGCATTCCAATAATGAATATGTTTAGCCCGTTTTGATTGACACATTTCATTTCTGATGTAAAAAGTCACAAGAAAGGACTGAAAGTGCATAATAAGAAACACAGCTGCACTTCACAAGCAAGTCAGGCTCTCTCTCTCCCCCCTCCCCTTTTTATTGTTACATTACCCTCATTCCCTGATAAACTGGTGTTCCGTTTCATGCATAAATTTAAAATTTATTAATCAGGCAGCCCAATACAGGTTGTTGCCAAACAGAAACGTACGAGCATATATACATAAGAATTATACATAAGAAACAAACACTTGACCTTTACAAAAATTAAACGTAGATCGAAAAGCAGAACCTTAAATACACAAGGGAATCTTCCTGCATAAAAGATAGCAAACAGGTACAGACAGTAAACAGGACATGGGAACAGGAGGCCAAGGGATGTGGAGCTGAGAACAGGCAAAGATTAAGCCAAGTGGAAAGTCATGCGAACACAGGGGGTCATGGGAAAAGCAAGCACATCTGCCTGCTGGCACTAAGAAACTATGTGCCGTGATTATGCTCGATAAGCAAATGCATGGGCTGATGTCAGGTTTCAAACCGTATTCCTTTCCTCATTTGTCACAAGCAAGCAGGAAGGGTGGTAGCTCAGCAGCCGTAGAGCACCAGCTCAGCATGCCTTGGCTCCCAAGTTAAACCCTTGGCCTCTCCAGATCAGGCTGGGAAAAATTCCCATCTTAACTCCAGAGAGTTGCAGCCTGCCAGTGTGGACAATATTGAGCCGGAATGGAGAGAGTATAAGGCCTCACTGAGAGTATGTTCCTCACTGTTGCCATTTTGCTGCCCCTGCCTTCCTCTTTTATTTGTGGCATCTTTTATGAAAGCCCCTGATTAAATTGTCAAATTAGACATGTACACATGTCCCTATTTTCTGGGCAAGATTCGTGGTTTCCTGTTATGAGACCGGAAATTCCATGTATCTGGAAATCTTCCTTCCTTCTTTACCCGTATAAACAGCATTTAAGCCATTATGGGCAAATTAGACAATTGGCTTTTTGACAGAAGCCGGCACCAAACCTATTAGTGCTCCCTACAATCTCATATTAGTCCTTTAAAATGGGCAGTCGGCCACATTTGTTGTGTATGACTCAGTTGGAACGGTGCTTGTGTCGTAAGTGCAGGATTTGGGTGCTGTGTGAAGAATCCGGTACTTTTTTCACCTGAGAAGCCTCTAGTCCTTAGCACTGAGAAAACAGCCTTGATAATCTGGGCATTGCCTGCTAAGATTGCAAAAGTTGGAGTGTGAGGCTGAGCGGGACTTCCAGCAGGGAAAACCTTGATGAGATATTTCCTTTGGATTGTAAAGGAAGGTTGTTTAAGGTCAGAAACCAGCTCCTCCCTCCCCCACCCCTCAAAATATTTGCCGAAGAAATAAGTGCTTTGTCTACAATGAATGGGTGGGCATGACTTGTTAGCTGATAAAATAATTTTTGGCTTATTAATCATCTGCCTTTTAGCCAGTGAATGGAGGAAAGAAATTGCAATACATTTGTATTTTGCCAAGCACTCAGTATAGGTGTCTTGTTAAGTTTCTGACATACTGATTGAAGTGTAAGGTAACTTACAATTAAGTCTACAAAAGCTAATATTCATTGTTAGAAAAGCTTTCTTTAGTACGTCTTTTTTCCTCTTCCTATTATAGAAAACATGCCATAACCAATAAGAGTCTGTAGGTGAAAAAAATTGGCTCCTATAGATTAATCAGGTAAAGCTTTAGTTGATAAATCTGCTAATGAAACTGATGGGTCAGGCTTTCAGGGCTAACATATTTCTCATATGCTCCAAATATGTGATGTCATGGTTAGAGTGTTGGACAAGGACCAGGGAGACCCAGGTACCAATTATTTGGATAATAATTAGATGAGCACTGCTGGCTTCAGCCAAAGCCCATCTAGTCCAACATTCTGTTCTCACAGTGGACAACCAGATGTTTATCCTTGTAGGGAAGCTATAAGCCATTGATGGCCTTCTCCTCTGTGAATTTGTCTAATCTTCTTTTGAAGCCTTCCATGTTAGTGGCCATCATGACTTCTGGTGGGAGCGAACTCCATAGTTTAACTGTGTGTTGTGTGATGAAGTTCTTTATTTTGTCTGTCCTAAATTTTCATTGGATGTCCCCCGAAGAGGGAGAAATTTCTCCCTATCCACTTTCCCAAACCACACATGTTGAAGTTCAGTCTAGGTGACCCCAGGCACATCGCTTAGGAGGAGAAACTGGGAAGGCTCTTTGAAGGATGGATGGGATATGTTTGCACCTAGGCAAATCTCGTTGTTTTCAATGAACTTACTCCAGGTATTTGTGTCCAAGGTTGTAGCCTAAATATCCCCATTTATCAGGGCCACACACAGCTTTCTGGTTTTTCTTCCAGGTAAATTACAGCCCCGTGCTTTGCCTTTTGGGATGCCTTGTTGCAATGTTGTTCACATGAGATGCCAAACTCTGAGACATCGTCCATCAATGCTCAGCTCTCGCCCTGGGGTTTTGACAGCTTAAATATCTGGGAGTAGTATATCAACAGTTCTGTATACATCTTGCCCTTAGTACACAGTCATGTTAATGAATATGCATGAACATTTAGAGGTGGGAGCTGCCAGGCTTCAAACTTGAAGGGTATATTTTATTTCTCAGTCCTGAGGCTTACCAACCAGAATCAGTCGGAAAATAGAGATTTGGGGTAGATAGAATGACATACCATTAGAAGTAAGAGGCAGCGTATCCAAAGCACCTGTTCAGTCCAGGAGGGGTTTTTTAAAGTACCAGGACTGAGCTTTTACACATAAATCCGCTCCTAGCTTTCTGCTAACCTTTCTTCATTTCAGTAGCCTAATTTAGATTTTTTAAAAAAGCATTATTGTTGCTGCTACTGTATTGTTAAATAATTAGACCCAGAAATCCTTGCTGATCCTATTGCAAATCATGTAGGGATCTCCCAGCAGACCTGAATTTGCCCTCTGCCCATTCCTGCATCCACCCATCCATCCATCCATCCAGGTAGACAGATTTCATCCTCACCTTTCCTCCAAGGAGCTCAAGGCGATGCACACGGTCCTTTCCACCCTGTTTTATCCTTGCAACACCTCTGTGAGGCAGGTCAGGCTGAGAGATGATGACTGGCCCAAGGTCACCCAGTGAGCTTCATTACTAAGGGATTTGAGCACAAGTCTCTGAAGTCCTGGTCCAACATTCTAACCCAGGGCAGGCAACCTATGGCCCTGTAAATGTTGTTGGACTACATTTCCCATCATCCCTGACCATTTGCCATGCTGCCTGCAGCTGACGAGATCAACGAGCAAAGGGAGCACATGTTCCCTTTTTCCTGTTCTAGTATTTCTTTAAAAGAACATATATCCCTCCTCTTAAAACCAGCACAGGACAGGCTGTGGCAGAATAAACGGAAACAGCGCGCAGAGCAGACTGGCCTTCAGTGATTTGTAATGATGGTGGTGGCAGAACCTTGAGCAGTGATCCTTGTTATGAGCAAGGGGAATTACAAGTATGTCCCTGTTTCCATTTGTGAAACATGGGAGGGTATGATGATTTGCAGACAGGATTGTTGTCACTTAACCGAAGTCAGAGATGGAGTGTCCAGGAATACTGAACTACCCACGGGCACTGTTTTGAGTTTGTGAAAAGCGAAGCTTATTGTCAGGTCTGTCACAGAGCAGGGGCAAGCGGTTGGTCCTCAGTTGCATTATTCAGGGCAAGGCAGTCCTCTGCATTGCTACTCCATCACACTACCTCCTCTCCAATACATTTACAGTGGTACCTTGGGACTCAAACTTAATCTGTTCCAGAAGTCGTTCCAAAACCAAAGCGTTCCAAAACCAAGGCACACTTTCCCATAGAAAGTAATGCAAAATGGATTAATCCGTTCCAGACTTTTAAAAACAACCCCTAAAACAGCAATTTAACATGAATTTCACTATCTAATGAGACCATAGATCCATAAAATGAAAGCAATAAACAATGCACTGCAGTCACACAATCAATCAATCAATCAATCAGTAGCTGTACTGGGTTCTTCCACACAGTCACAAAAACAAAACAAAAAAGAGTTGCAAAAACAAAACCGCAAAGTAAATAGCAAAACAGACAGACCTCAGTGTGGCACTCAAAACGGAAGTGCAACAATCAAAATGGAGCACGCTCGGCTTCCAAAAAATGTTCGCAAACCGGAACACCTACTTCCGGTTTGCAGTGTTTGGGTTCCAAGTTGTTTGAGTACCAAGGTGTTTGAGAACCAAGGTACCACTGTATTGTTTTCATTTATTGTGCTCTTCAAACTCGTATGCTTGGGCTACAATCCTAGGCATACGTACCAGGGAGTAAGTCCCACTGAACACAGTGGATCTTACTTTATTTTTTATTTTATTTAAGATATTTACTGTATTGGCCCGAATATAAGACACACCTGAATATAAGCCACACCTTTAAAATGTAGGGGGGAAAGGGAAAAAAGCTCCCAGGCTGCTTTCTCGGGGGGGGGGGGGAGGGAGCTACGCCACTTTGCCAGCGGCCTTCCCCCCTTCCCCTTCTCTCAGCCGGCAGAGGGGAGGCTTGGGAGCTGCAGTTGGGATGGGCGCTGTTGTACCACACCCCCAACAGCCCTCGTGGTGGCATCCTAGGCTGGAGGGGCGCGCTCTCCATTCTGGCCTTGAAAGACAAGGCAGGGCTACGGACCTAGGATAGCTGTTTCAGCAGTGATATTGTAGGGTTGTGAATATAAGCCGCACTTTAACGTTTCACGGTCGGAATTTGGGGGGAAAGTGTGGCTTATATTCGGGCCAATATGGTACATACTACTTTATTCTTTGCATTTCAGCGGTGTACATAAAAAACAATCCACAGAACATGGGACAATAACAGAATTAAAATGTATCATAAAACCCAAGCACTACCTTAAAACGCTTGATGAAAGTCTTAGCGATGCACCTAAAGTTCAGCAAGGAGGGCGTCTGTCTAAGCTCAAGGTGGGAAGGAGTTCCACAAGCTTGGGCCCACTACACTCAATGCATACAGACATAGGACTGTGCTGTAAAGTTCATCCGTAAAGGTAAAGGGGCCCCTGACCATTAGGTCCAGTCGTGGCCGACTCTGGGGTTGCGGCGCTCATCTCGCTTTATTGGCCAAGAGAGCTGGTGTACATGTGGCGTCATGTGGCCAGCATGACTAAGCCGCTTCTGGCGAACCAGAGCAGCGAACGGAAACACCGTTTACCTTCCCGCTGGAGCGGTACCTATTTATCTTCTTGCACTTTGACGTGCTTTCGAACTGCTAGGTTGGCAGGAGCTGGGACCGAACAACGGGAGCTCATCCCGTCGCGGGGATTCGAACCACCGACCTTCTGATCGGCAAGTCCTAGGCTCTGTGGTTTAACCCACAGTGCCACTCGCGTCTCACTAAAAAAAAAAGTTTATACTAAAAAAGTTCATCCATAGATAGTCTTTAATTTCTGCAGTGGTATAGCACCATGATTTGCAACACTGCACTGATGCATTTGATCCTATGAGCTTTCCAAAAGAAATAAAACAACTCTGCAGAGCACGTTGTGAGAACATTTATAAGTGGGTCCTTCTGTATTCATTTTAATGTACTGCCAATTTGAAGCTGTCTCTTGCTGCTGAGTGCTTACACTGCCTATCTCTTAAATGGGACAGAAATGGATCCACTTCGCTGCTCCCAGATTAACAGGCGAGCAGGATATCACACAGATGTCCACCAGGTTGAAAAAGAGTTCTCTGTGGCCCAGAAGACCACCTAACAAAACTATTACTTTGTTTGGAAAACTGGAGGGAAAAGCTAAGGTGTTAAATTAATTTGCTCTTGATTTGAACTTTAGGAACATGGTTAAGTATGCTTCATAGGACTGAAGCATTTGTGGCAGAGGAAGGAGAAAGAGAGGCCCTGGGCTTTAGGAACATCAGTGCCATGGATCTTAAAGGAAATTCTGCCTGAGTTTGAGAAGCCAGCTTCTTAAGTTGTCTGGCACAAGTTCTGTGTATGTAGATGAATAATGAGATGCTCAGTTCTCTGCCCTAGTAACCAAAAAGGTACAGTCGCTGGAGGATTGCTTCCATGTAGCATTCTTAGTTTCAGCAAACAGAGAGGGAGGTGGCAAAAGATAGGAAATCTGTCAGTTCCAGAATCTAATTATGCCAGTCTTTAGTTCTTCACATTGCCACATCAATTTATGAATATTTTTTAAAAGTCCTCATGAACATTCATCAGCATTTTGGTGCAAATTTCTCCCCATATACACATTTTTGTATGCCATTTTGCTGAAGCTACACATTTTTGCAAAGCAATTTCCCCAGATATAATGCATTCTTGTATGCTTGCTTTCACTATTATATGCATTTTTATGCACATTTTACCCCAGTTTACATGGCTGGAGACCTGTACTGCAAAAATGGGAGAAGTGTGACTTTCGAAGGTTTGCTGCATTTCAGTTTGTGTACTGTTTTAGAAAGAGCAAATTAGGTAGGTTTGCCTTTAAATGTGAATCAAATCAAGTTTCCTCAAACCCCCCCCCCCCCCCATTCATAGTGGTGGCACTTGCAAAACATTATTTGACTTATTTGGCTTTATTTCAACATGATGAAATGAATGTGCTAAGGCGCATTTTGTGCAATCATTCTGCATTGTCAGAAATTGCATTCTAATCTCTTCAACCATGGTGTGAGTCAAGCAAATGTGCTTATATTGAGTGAATTTGGGTGCAGTATTTTGCTTTGCTTCAGGGAAGGGCCAAAGTACTCAGCAGGACATTGAGCCCTTCATCATGACTGCTGGGAATACTCGCTTAATTTAAGCCAGAGCGCAATTTAGGGAGGGCAGCCAGGGACAGACCCACAAACACACTCTCTCACATGTTTCAGATCACGTGGACCAATATCTCTTGGCCAGCTTTGCTGGTTCTGCACTCTGAATGACTATTCATATAAACAGCGAAGTGTACTTGTGCTCTAAGTATGCATGCCAATTACCAAAGTCACAAACCCTTCTTCTGAAAAAGAAATGGAAGGGTAAATCTCTGGCAGCAGTGCTATAATTATTACGGGGAATAAAAAGAGTCACCACATCACATGTTCTTAAAATAAGCAGCCTTTTTTGTGGTAACTTACAGTGCAATTCTGTAAGCGTCTGTTCATAAGTAAGCCCATCTGAATCCATTTGGACTTACTCCCATGCAAAGTATATATAGGATTGCACCCTTAGTCTTAAATATATCCAAAAGAGGAGCTTTCAAGCTTGTGGACAAACTCTCTTTCTCTGCCTCCCTCCCTCTCCTACTAATATGTACATGAAATAGTTCTCCTGAATGTCAGTGCTAATCTCTGGGTGACCTGAAGCTGTACTCAAAGAGAAAAGACCGACTGGGCATGCACAGAGTGTTTTCTTCTCCCTGTTGCGTAACTGCAGCTGTATTTATCCAGTCACTGTATTTATCCAGTCATTTATTTATTCAGTATTTATCCAGTCACCTGAAGATTATCTTTCAGAACAGAAACCAAGATGCCCAGTCTGCCCTGAACATCTCTCATGTTACATAAAGCTGTAAATTCCACAAAGACCTTTTGTTTTTGATAAGCAAAGTTTTAAAATAGCAATGCAAATATATATATATTCATTTGCAATGTTGATGTACCTTTATCAATTGCATTTTCCCTCATTTATAAGTTCGTATGCTTTCTCTCCTGCCCCTATCCTTTGTTCTCTTCCTTGCCTTCGTAACACATTCCTTTCATCTCTTCCTTGAAACAGGAAGGAATATAAACAGGAAGGGATTTTCATACAATTTCTCAGTGGCGCTGGATTATTCTTGCCTCTCCTGCTAAAGTGGGACCCAAGACCTTTTCGTCTACCAGAGCTCTTATATATAGCTCTCTGTTTTCCATACTTGTCTGGACTCCTGGGCTCTTTTTGGGGAGTTGGCCTTTCCCTCCTGATTTCAATGCGTCATCTTTTTTTGAAAAAACCCCACAACAACCTTCTTTTGGCTCAAGTTAAGTTTTGAGCCATAGATAGAGGCATGGAAGAAACATGTACATTTACATCTGGCCTGGGTTGTTGTAGGCTGCTGTCCAACAACACCAGGTCTGCCAAAGTGTTGCAAATCACAAGGAGAGAGTGATTTATGCTCTAGCCCCCAGCCCCCTTTCCTCACTGCTTTTTTTTGCTGAATTACACCAAAAAATCCTTCTAGATAGACCTGCATTCTGTGACCAACTTTTGGAAAGCTCACAGGTACGGAGCATAGCTCCAAGTTTCTCCCCTTCGTGTTTTGTTTCCAGCGTCTAGTATTCAGAGTTTATATATTTCATTTTAAACCCTTTCTGCGGCTCAAACTCAAGATAATTGTTCCCACCATAGGATTCCGTGTAGCGGTTCCAAAGAACACAATAAAACAGCCCTCATAACCTCTAGCTCTAGGGTGGGGAGACTTTCTCAGCCTGGGGGGCCACATTCCACCATAGGCAGCCTTACGAGGGCCAATGGTGGGTGGAGCAAGGGCTATAACACATACCTTTGCACAGCAGGCTGCATTCCAGCTTCTCACAAGTCAGAGATTTTTACACACATACACACAAAATCTCCCCTCCCTCCATCCTGGAGAGCAAGAAGCAGTGAGAAGAGGTGGTGGGTGGTGGTGGTGAGAGCCTTCTTCGTGTTGGTGCCCTGCCTGTGGAATTCCCTCCCCAGGAAGGCTTGCCTGGCGCCAACAGCCTTGTACTTTCAGAATGAGACCAGAGTGTTCCTTTATTCTTCTGGCATTTTGACTTTTTGGGGGGCGGGTGGATGAGAGGGATGAGCTGCTGCTGCAGCAGCTTTGTGTGTTTTCATTTGGATTGTATTTTCTGTATTATGCTTTTAGTTTTGTAAGATCTCATGGCAAACTGCCTTGAAAGCGTGCCTGAATGCTCATGTTTATAGAGAGTTTGCAACCCATGTTTATTGGTAGGAATGATGTCCTTTGGCTTGTCTGCTTCGGGAACCACAACGCCTTACAGTTCAATCCTAGACATGTCTGTGCAGTGGGAATTACACACAAACTTCCAGGTACATGTGTGTAGCAGCCTTCTCCAACCTGGTGCCCTCCATATGTTTGGGCTACAGGTGCTTCCCAACTACCTCTCTATTGAGCACACACCCTAATTTTTCTGCAGGGAGATTAGATGACATTATTTATTGAGCATTCATTTCAATGTATTTGCGGGAAGGTTGGAGCAAGCGTTACCCCACACTTTCCAACGCATTTCCCTTGTCAGTTGAAAACACTGCTCTCTTGGGGAAGCAGGTTTGTTATGTGAGATTTCGCAAGCAACCCTGATTTACAGAATTGTAGGGTTGAAAGGGACTGCAAAGGATCCTCTGGTCCAGCCCCCTGCAATGCAGGAATCTGCGCAATCTGAATTTGCTGGCCTGTTATTGAATCCTGCATGAAAGCAATAATAATCTGGAAGCACCCTACAAATGTGGCCCATGGTCAGGGATGATAGGTGTTGTAGGACCCAGCCCTGCTTGGTCCCAAGTCTCGAGGCAGTGTAACACATTCATTGTGCCACCCTATGCCTGCCTCCTCAGAAGTAAGCCTCGCCAAAATCAGGAAAGGGTGAATAGAATTGGAGACTGAAGTATTCTTCCACATTTCTAAGCAAATCCTTGGCAACCAAAAAATACTTCTAAAGCAGGGTTTCCCAAACTTGGGTCGCCAGCTGTTTTGGGACTACAGTTCCCATCATCCCTGACCACTGACCTTGCTAGTTAGGGATGATGGGAGTTGTAGTCCAGAAAACTTGGAGAGACCCAAGTTTGGGAAACTGTGTTTTAAAACCTGTTGTCAAAATTGTTTCTCAATGGTTAAGTTCTTTAAATTAAAGCTGAGTGGGAGCAGCTGCTTTTAAGTTCGGATCCATGAGCACCTTCTTCAAATGAATACTTTTTCTTAAGTTACCTCTTACCTTTTTAAGCACTGTGCCAGGTTCAAAGAGTTTCCCCCCCTCAGGATCACTTAACTGACAGAAACGTACCTAAAAGAAGCAGATTTTATTCTTCAGATGGAAGGTCTTAAAACTTAGGTAGGCAAATCAGTGCTCCCAATGGGGCAGTGTACTGCTAACCCTACCTTGCTACAGCTATAGAGCTCAAATCTAAAGTCTGTTGTAGGACCTTAGAGCTGAGCTGCCTTTTTAAGATGAAGGTTGTCAACAAACCGTGGACTCGCTGAGGGGTAGAATTTATATGGTTCTTTTTTGAGGGGAAGGGGACACTGCTTTGATCTAGCAAGCTCAGGTCTGCTCTCAATTTGTCTTAATTGACAATAACTTTTTGGAAACACTACTCATAACAAAGGAAAAGGCAGGCAACTACGTACTTTGTGGAGCTTAGCATTGCAAAGTGCTCCTTCCAAAACGGAGAGTTGGCAGATTTGCAGCCTGGTAGGCCTGCACAACTTATGAACCCACCAAGCTGAATGGAGCTACTAGCTCAAGTTGTGGCCTGCCAACTGCTTGAAAACCTCCTGTTTTGTGGTGTGGGCAGGCCACAAAAAACCAGAAGGTTTATTGAGCTGTCTCCTATGACTGACTGGATGTGTTTGGCTCAGTGCATCACAAGTTGTGCAGGCATACAGCATGAGATTTGAGAAGTCTAGCTGAGCCTCTAAGAGACTGAATAAGGGGGGGGGTGAGGGTTGTGTTGGAGGGGACCAGCCCAGATTTGCAGCTGGAATAGGAACTTCTAAACATACACACAGTACATACCCGCACATTTCACTCTTTGTATTTTCCTCTTCCCTCACAGCGTGCTATGGAATTGTTCAGGTTCCCACTGGACCGTGGTTTTGTCGAAAATGTGAATCCCAAGAAAGAGCCGCCAGGGTGGTGAGTATGTCAGAAGAATTGCCCTGGGCTGGGTCAGGCCCAAGTTCCATTTAACCCAGCATCCTGTTACCGACAGTGATCAGCCAGGTGCGTCTGTGAAGCGCACAGAAACAGAACATGCAGGCAACAGCCTGCTTAGGTTGTCATCTGGAATGTTGAGGTAGATTGCCTCTGAAGGTGGAGGCTGAGGCCAGTGAGCACTAGGCAACTAAATGGTTGGCACTGGTGCCTACATAATTTGCCAGTTTCTCCACACCTATGCAGACCTGGTTCTAGGGTCACTATCTGAGGTGGGCACAGAAGTAGCACTCCCTGTCTGTCTGTATTTATTTTTTACCTCATGTGACCCCCTGTATTGCAGGAGCACCTATATTTCACTCTCTAGCTCTATACATTGAGTGGCTATTATTCTAAAAAACAACAACAATGACTTTATATGTGCTAGGGGGTGTTTAAAATTTCAGCGGTGCCCTGTGTGAGGCCAAAATTCAGGGCCCCTCCCACCTCTCGCCTTCCATTCTGCTTATTTCACTACATCATAGCTGTGTTTTTAAAAGGGGACAAATAGTCTTTCCTTTTTCCCCCTTGGTCATTTAATTTTGCACATCCCCAATAATGCCCCTCCCGCCCTTAGAGTTGCCAACTTTTTCCATTGGCTTTTGCTCTTGTGGTTTTGATCTGCATACATGAGTAGGTAGCAAGTAAATGCATCTCTCCATGCTGTGAAAAGCTTCAATTTCCCCAAATGAAATAGATATTAAAGGCACAGGAGTAGCACAGGACTTTTTAAAAAATCAGGTGGTAGCTGTATCCACTGTCATAGGAGGCTGAGCAGACCTAGTGGAGGCTGGTTCATTAGGGCAAATGGGGGAGGGGCTGCCCCACCAGCTTCATTCTCTCCTCAGTCCGCCCCCCTGCTTGCCTGCCTTACAACCAGCCCCAGGGGTGGCACTACCTGTCATCTTAATTCTCCTTAATCTTAGTGTTGTCCTCTTAGGAAGGAGAGCAGGGAAGATGGTGGCTTTACCTGACCAGAGCGCTGGATCCATCTGCTGTTTAGGGTCCCTACACACTACCCCAGGCATAGGCAAACTCCGGCCGTCCAGATGTTCGGGACTACAACTCCCATCATCCCTGACCACTGGTACTGTTAGCTAGGGATGATGGGGGTTGTAGTCCCAAACATCTGGAGGGCTGGGGGTTGCCTATGCCTGCTCTACCCCATCAGTTTTGGTGGGCAGCCACTGCTGCCTAGACCATTGACCACGCTGGCAGGGGATGATGGGAGTTTTAGTCTATTCCAGGCATCCCCAAACTCGGCCCTCCAGATGTTTTTGGCCTACAACTCCCATCATCCCTAGCTAAGAGGACTAGTGGTCAGGGATGATGGGAGTTGTAGTCCCAAAACATATGGAGGGCTGAGTTTGGGGATGCCTGGTCTATTCACCTGGCGACCTAAGGTTGAAGAACACTGGGGTTAGAAGACACCAAAGTCAGGAAGCTAGATAAGAACTTTATTGTCTCCCTTAAAGAAAAACAGAACAGCCCACAAGGGCAACCAACCCAGTTACAAATCAAGGTTATTTGGGTTCCAGTTCTCCAAATCCTTATAACACCAAGAAGGGATAGTTTAGTCGGTAGAGCAGGAGACTCCTAATCTCAGGGTTGTGGGTTCGTGCCCCACACTGGGCAAAAGATCCCTGTGTTGCAAGGGGGTTGGAGTAGATGACCCTCATGGTCCCTTCCAACTCTATGATTCTTTGATAAGAAACACCTGACTCCACCTGGCTACAACTAAGTCCAGTGCCACCTAGTGACTAAACTATATAACGACGCTGTCTATGCACCTGAAATGGCAACCTCAGCAGCCACCTTGAAGTTTGATGCCCTCTGCCAGGAATTTGAGACGCTGTTTCCCCCCAAGCCTGTCAGAAAGGCTCCCAATGGGAAAACCCTCTGAATGGGAGCAAATGTCAGTTGGGTTTTCTCCAGATTGACGTTTGCTCTCATTTAGCGCCAGAGAGTGGGTTTTCCAGGGGAAAGCAGTGGGGCAAAACTGCTCAGACTCCTTTCTCAAAAACACAGCATAAGCGAAATAATTCCCTGCAGACTCGTGCTTTCTAGACACGAGACAAGCGGCAGTGTGGATGAGATGAGCCCTGAGCTATTGTGGCAGAGCGGGCATAACTGCTGCTTCTGTTTGGAAGGGTGAAAATAAGACTGCTCTGTTTGTTATAATCGCTGGGGCGACTTCCCATTTCCCCCAGTTCAGCGGAGCCTTGCGAGGTGCAGCAACTGAGCTTGGAAGAAACAGATGCACACAGACAAGGCATTCTGTGGCTCAGATTTCTTCTGAGTAAATAAAAATTGGTTCCATCTGCTGCTTGTCACATGACTAAGTAACGTGATCCACACACCATTGTTGATGAGATTTTGTTTTTTGGGATGAAGCATTAGTTAAATGATAAGGTGCCCTGGAGGGATTTTGATTAAACATACATTGGGTGGAGGAACAGAGTGTGTGGCTCAGGTAATCCTAATGCAAGAGCAATCTGATGTCCACCTGAGAGCCTGTTCCTGCAGTTGTGGGAGGTCTCTTTTCTTTTTGCTTCATTAACCTATGTAGCTGTTATTTGGTGCCTCAGACTTACTGCATTCCATTCATGGGTAGGCAAACTAAGGCCCAGGGGCAGGATTCGGCCCAATCGCCTTCTAAATCCGGCCCGCGGACAGTCCAGGAATCAACATGTTTTTACATGAGTAGAATGTGCGCTTTTATTTAAAATGCATTTCTGGGTTATTTGTGGGGCCTGCCTGGTGTTTTTACATGAGTAGAATGTGTGCTTTTATTTAAAATGCATCTCTGGGTTATTTGTGGGGCATAGGAATTTCTACATTCCCCCCTCCCATATAGTCCGGCCCCCCCACAAGGTTTGAGGGACAGTGGACCGGCCCCCTGCTGAAAAAGTTTGCTGACCCCTGGCCTAGCTTATGGAGAGAGTTTTTAACAGTGTTTGCACATGCTAGATCTGATGTATATAGATTTGTGTAAAAAAGCTGACATTATGTGTAATCACTTCCGATATTCTTGCAAACCTTGATTCATTATCAAAGTGCTCTCTCACTCTCTCTGTGTGTGTATACTTAAAAACAAAAAAACCCTGAGAAGCTTTCATGTCTTTGAGTGAGTACAGAAGTACATAATTTAAGCACTAAGCCTTTTGTAAAGTTCACTAACCACATGTTCTTTTTAGATGTATCATATTCTTTCCTAGACTGAAGTTGCGGGAATTCAGTTCTGTGTATTTGCAGTGCTGTGTTGATTGGCTGGAAATGGGTGATGTCAATATTCCTTGCCCCTCAAAGCAATTTTTCAACATTTAAAAAACGGATTCTGCTTGCCCACTGCTTTTAAAGAGGGGGATTGAATATAATGTCATTTAGGGATGTGGGTGGCGCTGTGGTCTAAACCACAGAGCCTAGGACTTGCCGATCAGAAGGTCGGCAGTTCAAATCCCTGCAACAAGGTGAGCTCCCGTTGCTCCTGCTCCTGCCAACCTAGCAGTTCGAAAGCACATCAAAGTGCTGGTGGGAAGGTAAATGGCGTTTCCATGCGCTGCTCTGGTTCGCCAGAATTGGCTTAGTCATGCTGGCCACATGACCTGGAAGCTGTATGCCGGCTCCCTCGGCCAATAAAGCGAGATGAGCGCCGCAACCCCAGAGTCGGTCACGACTGGACCTAATGGTCAGGGGTCCCTTTACCTTTACCTCAGTACGTATGATGGGATATGCAGTTAGGCCCATTAATTTTAGCTTCTGAGTAGACATACAGAAGATAGAAAGTTTTTGCATTTAGATCAGGAACCTGTAGTTTTTGGACTACAACTCCCATCTGCCCTATCAATCATCCATGCTGGCTGTGACTTATGGATGCTGGAACCCAACAACATATAGATGGCCACAGGTTCTGCATTGCTGATGAAGAAGATTCTGGATTCAGTCCTGAGAATATTGAGATTGGGCCAGAGAAAATTCCTGAATAGTCTATATAGACTATAATGGTCTGACTCAGTAAAGGGGAATTTCTTGTCTGGCACTTAAATTTTTTTAATAGGGCAGCCAGCCTTCCTGAAGCATGGCAGAAATGGCAAAATGATACTGAATCGCCATTCAGTTTGCTGGCCAATTTGTCAAATGTTTTGTGAAAGCAGGAGAAAGCCAGGCTTGAGCTTTAGGAGAGAAAAATAGTGAACCATGATTTGCATGTGTTCCTGTACACACCCTTGTGTGCCCTTTTATAACCTGACACTTAGCATACTTCCATACAGCAATACTAGGGTTGCCATTTCAGAAAGTGATTATTATTATTATTTGCCAAAGTTGTAAAAATGTACGTTTTTGAGCTTTTTAAAAGTAAAATCACCAGAAATGGCACTGCCGATATAGGTTGTCATACATCTGGATTTCCCCAGACATTTTGCTGATTTCCAGCTAGACACAGCTTCTGTCGGCAGTATTCCGGGTATGTCTGGGAAATACCAGACGTATGGCAACCCTACATACATACATCTCTTTATGTTGATTTTCAAATTTCAATTTTTCAGTTTTTAAGGTGCTGGATTACTTTGATTTGGGTCAATTCTGTGTGGATTCTTTGTGTGGAAAGTAATGTTTTTAAAAACAAGCACACCATTCTCAAGTGATACAAGGTCTTGGGATTCTGGGATTCTGTACTTCGGTACCCATTCCCAACTTTTAAAAGTAGGAAGTTACGCCTGGCCTCCTTTGAAGGTGAGAGCATTGGAGATGTAAGCTGAACTTGTGAAGATCTGTTTCCACAAAGATTTCTGCAGGTTTTGCCAGGGAGGGGGTGGGTTGCAGACAGTACAGGCAGTTCTTGCCCCACAGCTGCTTGGGTATAACCCCCCCTCCGGAAATCCTAGAGGCACAGCAATTGCATGTTCCACAAGTCCCCAGCCATAAGCTGGTTATGGCCACACAAATGAACACGTATTCATTTCTTCCAGAGCTATGTGTTGGCAATAGTTTCTGGGGCCAAGCACTAATTCAAACTGAACCCGAAGCTCAATTTGTGCTAGGGCTCAGTCATACCAGCACCTGTATTCCTGGCCAATGTAATATATAGAGCTGTTAATACATGCACAAATGCCTCTGGGCATGTGCAGAGTGCTTGCCCCTGTATAACCGCAGCTGGATCCCAAATGTCTGAGACTAAACAGCTTCCAAATGTCCAGATGGGCCGAGTTCCAGCTGCTCCTCATTTTAGGAATGACACACTCATTCTCATTCTTCCTTGCATTCCCAAAGCCCCCTCTGGGATGCTGTGCTCCATTAGATGAAGGAAGTGCTAAAGCTCTGTTTGCTTTGTAAAGGAATTGTCTGGCTGGCCCTTTGAGACGGACTGGCTGGAGGGCAACTCGTGGGAAAGGGAGGGAGGGAAGTGGGGGGGGGAAATCATGTGAAGGCTTTAACAGTCATGTTACAGCAAGGATATTAAAGCCTTCCAAGGGGTGGGTGGGCCGGCTGGCTGGCAGAGCTGTTTAACCCTTCCTGCTAATGATCAGAGCTTTGCTAATAGTGTGGCGGAAGAGGCGCTTTGATCCAAAAGGGATGGAGGGACCTTTTCAAGTGCAAATTTCCCAATGTTAAGGCCCCCTGCCTGCTCTTCTTCTGTCTCTCTGAGTTCCAAGTGCATCCTTTGCAGTAGCAGGCCTGAATCCCTAGACCTCCATCCCTCAAAAGGCAGCCCACCAAAGATCTTTCCGAGAGACACTTGCCTCTTCCTCCCCACCCCCATCACTGTTACTTTCCTCTGCTGCTTTCAGTGGCTGGTGGCGACCCCCCTCCCCCGTCCAAACCAGCTTGTGTGGGGTAGTTTTTTGGGGTGTGACACTATGCATATGTGATACTATGCATATGTTCACATGTGCAATTTCAGAAGGACACCTTGCAACCAGGATCAGGTCCAAAGGATAGGGGAGAGCCCCCCAGGAGTAATAACTCAGTGAGCCCTGCCCCACATTTTAACTTGAGCAAAGCCGGTCGCCTTTCATTAAAGCTCAGCCACTTGAATAAACCAGAGGTCGATATACCACCTTGACACTATGGAGCACCAAGGAGTTATCTGAATTTAGGGGTGTAGTGCAACTTCTGGACAGGAAAGTCTGTGATGCAGGAAATGGAGTCTAGTGAAAAGCTGCTACAAAGACATCTCCAGAGAAGCCACCTTTGGAACTGAACCAGTCACCACTTTTAATGCAGGCTATTTCCCATCCATGTTGCTTCTGCACATGTTCCATCGTAAACCTGCTTTGCTACAGGTTGTTTTTTTAAAAAAAATATGTGTGAAGATTCTCATATAAATGCATATTTAAAGACATATTTTAAATGTGTTTTCTCATGTTTTGATACTTTTTTTTGGACCAAGAGTTGTACCAGAACATTCAGGAAGTGAGAAAGCTACAGGATCCGCACAATAGTCTAGGAGATGTGGATCATGTTAAGCTCGCATTGGAAAAGATAAAATTCCTTCCCTAGTTGTGTTAGAAAGCGTTCCGTGTTGTTATATTATTGAATGGAGGGTCAGCAACTGGTGACCTTATGTTCCAAATCTGCCCTGCTAAGGTTCGATTTTTTTCTAACTCCCCAGTTGCCAGGCAAGAGAGGTTTGTGTTGAGAACAGCAGCTGTGGCAGCAGGATTTGCCAGTAGTCCAGTTCAGTGGGATAGTGTGGAGCAGGAGCTATCTCTCTGGCAAAACTGGATGTTCTAGAACCATAGAAACGAAAGGGAACCAAAGTCCAACCTCACCCACCTTGTCCCAAAGTTCACATACCATATGCAGAGATTTAGCCTTTGCAGTATAGGCCACAGCATACACCGCATCAGCATATCACACGTGGGCCCACTGCCATCATCTCAAATGATTTCTGACTTTTTTAAGATTAAAAATCATGCCAAGGGTAAGAGCAGCCTGACCCAATCCATCGCCCACTCTTCCTTTTTTCCTTTTGCATCATGTCTGTTACGTTATGTGCCTGTGGGCAGGGGCATTTTTTGGGGGGGAAATATGTGTACAGTGCTTACAAAACTGGAGATGGTTTATACGACTTCATTACTGTTGTTGTCAGTTAATGATAAATTATTCCATTAGAGATAACCCATTTGCTCAGTAATATGGCAATGGGAACTTTCAGGAAAAGTTGAGCTGGAGGTGTGGAAAAAAAAGAAAAAAGGCATGGATAATAGTTATTTCATCCAAATTGTTAAAATTAATTCCACTTGTTCTATAGCTGTCTTATTTTGTGTGTGTGTGTGTGTGTTCTCAGCACTGCCTGTATTGTTCATCACATTGCCATGGTTGATGCAAGTGAAAATACCTATGTAATGGCCAAAATCAATCAATCAATCAATCAATCAATCAATCAATCAATCTACGAACAAGAATGCCTTCAGTTCAAATCTAGGCTCTTCCATGATCTCACCAGGTAGCCTTAGACAATCCATTCTTCCCCCACCCCCAACAACAACTGCAATATGGGAGACAGTCATACAGTGGTACCTCGGGTTACATACGCTTCAGGTTACAGACACTTCAGGTTACAGACTCCCCTAACCCAGAAATATTACCTCGGGTTAAGAACTTTGCTTCAGAATGAGAACAGAAATCATGCAGCAGCGGCGCAGCAGCAGCAGGAGGCCCCATTAGCTAAAGTGGTGCTTCAGGTTAAGAACAGACCTCCAGAACGAATTAAGTTCTTAACCCGAGGTACCACTGTATTGGTAACCCGACTGGGTTATTGTAAGGGTAACAACAATGCAAACACCATACATTTAAAGCACACACCTCTGCAGAGAATCCTGGGAACTGTCGTTTGTTAGGGGTGCTTGAAATCATAGCTCTGTGACAGGTAAACTTCAGTTCCCAGAATTCTTTTTCTGGGTGTGTGTGCTTTAAATGCATGGTGTGTATGTAGCCTAGTATGTAGCCTAATATCTGGGGTGTTCTATACACATGTTCAAGTATTATCATTATTATATAGAAGTCCTAACCTTTCTCTTTAATTTTCAGAGGTGTGAGCTGTGTCCCCACAAGGATGGAGCGTTGAAGCGGACTGATAATGGAGGTGAGGATCCCATTGTAAGGTGGCAGAGGCAGCCCAGAATTTATACAGGAACTCAGTTGAGGAGGGCATGCTCATCTACTTTTGGGTAACTTTGGGTTAATGGCTAGTGCATATGTAAGTTCCCTGGTGAAGCTCCAAAACATGGACCTCTAGCAGATTTCTCCTAGAACAGCCTTTCTCAACCTTGGGTCCCCAGATGTTGTTGAACTACAACTCGCATCATCCCTAGCTAGCAGGACCAGATGATGGGAGTTGTAGTCCAACAACATCTGGAGATCCAAGGTTGAGAAACACTGTCCTAGACTGAGTGCGGGGGTAGAGAGACTGAGGGATAAGGAACCTGGAACTCACATCATTCCTGACAATTGACCATGCTAGTAGTTGGAGGACCAGCACTGGTGTGGTGTGGTGTTTCAGTGAATGGGACTGCACAGTTAATTTACTGTGACTGAATATGTGATAGGCCTTGTGCCATATATGCATTACCCTGCTTGCATGTGTGTTTAAAAACCCTTCAGATCACAGGAACAAATGCATCCAAGTTTTCAGTGTTGCCTTCTGGTTTAACATGAAGCCGCTGTTCATATAATCCAGGCTTTTAAAAACAGACTCCTCTTCCCCTGTCCCTCATGGAATATCTGCTTTCTCACATAGCAGGACCAGGCAGCCAGTTCATGGTAGCCCTGCAGGCCGCAGCCTTTAAGGTTTTCGACCCAAATGCTGACACAAACCAGTCAGGGCTGACTCCAGGTTACCACGGACCCTTGTATGGTGTGGGGAGGGAGGCCCTTTTCAAGGAACTATGGCTGCACGTATCCTGCCTTGGTGTGGTGCCCAGTGAAGTGAGAGCCAAGATGGGGATGATAGGCCTCTTCTCAGGCCCAGGCCTCAGTAGGCCCCCAACCCCTTCCAGCCACAAGATGGGGTAGTGATGGCTACCAACTTGGATCACTTTAAAACAAGATTAGACAAATTTATGCGGGGGAAAACCTAGCAATGGTTTCTAACCATAATGTTTTTCTTCTGTCTCCAATTGTCGGAGAGTGCTGTTGCGCTCAGCTCCTGCTTGTGAGCTTCCCATAGGCATTTGGCTTGCCACAGTGAGAACATGATGCTGGAATAGCATGGCTACTTGCCTGATTCAGCAGGGCTATTCTTACGTTCTTAAACATAAGAACATATTTTCTCGCCACAAAATTGCAGCCTTACACACACACACACAAAACCATAATGGTTATATTAGAGCTACTATTGAGGAAAAGATGATTAGGGGTGTGTGGGAAAGGAAATGTGGTCATTTAGTGGTCTTGGGAATGCTATGGATGCTGGCCTAATTTTCACTGAGGTGATAAGCCTGTGTCTGGGCTATGCAACTTGTGACCACATGTGGGGACTTGCAGGACTGAATGCTCCTTTGTATACCACCAACCACCCTTTTTTATTTTCTGCACATAGAAAACTTCATGTCAGGGAGAGGTTAAGGCCAGAAGCCTTCTCTCAGCTTTCAACATGGAAGGATTTGTTTGTACTGTATTTGTATTGAAGGGCATTGCAAGGTTAGCCTTCACCAGGGATCTGAGGTATACAAGTTTATTTCCACAGTGAAAACTGAGTCTCCTAAAGGTCTCTCCCAGTCCCACCCCACTGCTGCCTCCCACTGGAGACAGAAGCCAATTACTCTATGTTTGCCTGATTCAAGCCTCTCTGTGCCTTTCCACCTATACTATTGTTGTCTTGTCCTTCACTTAGGCTGGGCCCATGTCGTCTGCGCTCTGTACATCCCCGAGGTGCAATTTGCTAATGTTCTCACCATGGAGCCAATCGTCCTCCAGTATGTACCCCATGACCGGTTCAGCAAGGTAAAAGAGACATGCACGTACAATGCTTTCCCTCAGCATCCAATCTCTGCCTCTTCCAGAGAGGACTGTCCTATTTTTATTTCCCCATCTCCTGTGCTCTTCTATGCTTTTTAAATTTATCTGCTGACAAGTTGTTGTCACCCCAAAAACAATCAGGTACATTTTTTATTATTTTGGCTCTCACAGTATGCTCATCACAGTATGTAATGCACACTGTCTATGTTGTGCCTCCTATTGTTGCAGACTTGCTACATCTGTGAAGAGCAGGGCAGGGAGAGCAAAGCAGCCTCTGGAGCTTGCATGACTTGCAACCGTCACGGCTGTCGGCAAGCCTTCCATGTCACCTGGTGAGTCCATGATTGTGTCTGTTTAATGGTCACTTCCTTCCTCCCTGGTCCCTGTTTCTAAACCCACCACTTTTTGGATTCGGTTTTGGATTCATAGTCATGAGATAAGCCTGCGTGAGTGAGTTACGATGAGGGACTTCACAGATTCTTTGGTTGCTTCCTGCTGAAACTTTGAACCTTCTCAGTTGCCTTCCTTCCTGCCTTATCTTCCCTCTTCAATCCATTTTAAACATTTTTCACATACTATTTTATGAGAGCCACATGGACATATTGTTGGTGTCTTTATGGTGTATTTTTTCTAAAGACATAGATAATGCACAAAAATAAATACCGGTATCTGTTCCCTCACCCCAGCAATCATAAAACTTCAAAGAACTGAGCTTTGGATGTGCCATTTATCCAAAGGTTTGTCAAGATCACCATCCACACATGAACTCAAACCATACAGACCAGGAGTAGGGAACCTCAGGCCTGGGGGCCAAATGCGGCCCCCAGCCCTCTCTGTCTGGCCCTTGGGACTCACTTGTCCCCAGGCCACACTTCTCACCACCCCTACTTCATACCCTCCTTGAAGTAGGGGATGTGGCTTCAGAGGCCTGAGGAGAGTCCCAAGGATAGAGGGGTTTGGCCCTTGAGCCTGAGGTTCCTCACCCCCAGAGTAGATCATTTATCCTAATGGTTTTATTTGCCCATTCTGAGAAGCTAACAATAGAGCAGGAGAGCAATAAGCTTCTGTGCTTGGTACAGAAAGAGGGGGGAACCTGGCTGCTCTGGTCCCTCTGCCCTGGGCTCGGCTCACACAACCACCTTGTTTCTTCGTTTCAGTGCTCAGATGGCTGGGCTCCTGTGTGAAGAAGAAGTCTTGGAAGTCGACAATGTGAAATACTGTGGCTACTGCAAGTACCACTTCAATAAAATGGTGAGTCCCTCGTCATCATCAAAACCCAAAAGCACAGAGCAGGTGCTAGGATTGAGCAACAACAAAAAATAGATAGTTTTATTCCAAATCCAAAAGCATGGTAAAGAACACACTTTGTTTATAAAATACCCCTGGTACAATCCCTGGCACCTAGAGGATGGAAGATTTGTCAGTCAGTGGTGCTGGGGAAGAATGCTGTATACCGTTCTAAACATACACTGACTTAATCCCCAACCCAACACCAGTCCAGACGACCTCAACCACATTCCCCATCACCCACACCTTCAACACCCCCATACTCCATACTAGGGAAAAACAACTCCCACAACCTTAATAACACAACCCACAATCAGGCTAAAATCTGATACCCAACCAGCACTATGGTGGCACCAGAGCGTACCAGCACCCACATCCCCACCCCAACACACCAATAATGTTGCTCATAACATTGGCAACATTGCTTATGAACCTTATACCTGACAGCGACGTTACAAAGTCACTTCACACTGTCTCACTGATCACCCCCTATCGCAAACAACAGGGGGGATGGCCTGTCCTTGAACACGGCCTTCCACACCAGCTGAGACCTAGGACCAACTGGCTAAATGCCAGATGGCCTAAAATACCCCAAACAAACACCTATATGACTACATATAGGAAACTCTCTACAACTTACCCCCTACTCTTTAACCCAAATCTTACTCTAATCCCATTAGCCCCCCACCCACCACACCCAAGGTCAGCGCAACCCCACATTTTTAAAAAACACGAAGAGAGAGACACAAGACAACCCCAAAGGGTTGGCAAGGAAATTCCCCACAAAAAAGATAAGCAAGATGGCTAACCTAAAAGCAATTACATTAAACGTGAGGGGGCTGGGAAACCCCATCAAAAGAAAACGCATCACCTCATACATAAACACCATGAAACCACACATCACCTTCCTACAAGAAATACACAACCCACCCAAAGGCAGCAAACTCCTGAGCGACCCCCGCTTCAGTCAACAGTGGGTCGCACGAGGCTCAGGGAAAGCTCGTGGTGTAGCCATAATACTCAGTAGAGACCTGAACTTCACTGCCACAACAGTCCTCAAGGACAAAAAGGCAGATTCATTTTCGCTAAAGGGACACTAGATGGCAAAATCAAACTGACAATCGGCTCCATATATGCCCCAAACACGAAACAATTAGAATTCTTCCAGAAGACACTAAACAAATTCCTCTCCTTCTCTGAAGGGAAGCAATCCTAGGAGGGGACCTCAATCTAAATATGAAAGGTATATCCCTGAAAGATATCAACCCCACAACCCCATGGGCAACCTTCCTCCGAAGGAAACCCCCAACAACCAGGAACTCTTACAAGTTACTAAAAATGCTAAAAAAACGGGTCTCTACGACATTTGGGGTGAGCAAAACCCGGGAGACATCAGCCATACATTCCAATCGGGACGCCATGATACAGTGTCCAGACTGGACAGCATTCTACTCACACAGGGTCTGATCCCTCAGTAGAATCAACAAACATAGGTAACATTAAAATCACAGACCACGCCCCAGTAGAAGTCATTGTTAAAATAGGAGAAGGAACACAAACCACCCCATCATGGTCCTTCAGTCCCATCCTAACTACAAACAAACAAATTAGAGAGAGTCTCACAAAAACCCTCCAAAACTACTTCAAAGAAAACGATGTAAACAATATAACAACCACCCTCCTATGGGACGCAATGAAAGCGGTCACCAGAGGAGCTTGCATAAAAGAGAAAACATTCCTTAAAAACAAACCTCCTCAAAAATTAGCAAAATAGAACAAGACATCACAGCCCTCTCATCACGCTACAAACAAACAGGATCTAAAAACTCCTCAACTTATAGAACAAAAAAGGAGAGAACTAGACTCCCTAGAAATTAACAAAACAATGATCAACATTCTATACTCTAAACAACGTTTCTACGAATATGGAGGGAAAATCTCCAGATTACTAGCAAATAGATGTAGGAAAAAGCACTCAAAACAAGAATACACTGCATCACCAAAAAGACGGCAACATAACATTCTCCCCAAAGAAATAACCTCAGAATTTGCAGAATTCTACTCCAACCTATACACCTCCCATAACCCACCAGAGAAGGAAATCAGAACATTTCTAGCAGGACTGACCATGCCTACCCTAACTAATGAGGAACAGGAATTCATGGACAGCCCTATCACCCCAGAGGAAATAGATGCGGTCCTCAAAAACCTGAAACCACACAAAGCCCCAGGCCCAGACGGCTTCACAGCAGAATTCTATAAGAAATTCAAAGAACCCTTGATGCCCTACATGACCCGCCTATTCAACGACATCATAAAAGGGGGCCCCATCCCCAAAACCTGGACCCACTCCAAAATAGTCTCCATCCCAAAACCACTAAAAGACAGCCTCAAAGTAGAATCATACCGCCCAATCTCATTAATAAACCAAGACTACAAGATATTCACATCAATCTTGGCCAACCGCCTAAAAATCTTCCTACACAAGTTAATAGCCCCAGACCAGACTGGCTTTGTCCCTGGCCGCAATATAACAGACCCCATCAGGAAACTACTGAACCTGATCGAACACAGCAAGGCAACCAAACTCCCATTGACAATTATGTCCCTAGACATCCTCAAAGCCTTTGATTGCTTGGAGTGGAAATACATATTAGCAGTACTAACTAACATGAAATTTGGCCCCAACTTCCTACAAATCCTCAAACAAATATACTCCCAAGCCTCAGCAAAATGCAGAACTAACAATATGGATTCTAACACTATAGCTATCCAAAGAGGCACGAAACAAGGATGCCCACTGTCTCCCTTCTTATTTATCCTGGCTCTGGAACCCCTAGCAATCCGCATCCGAGCAGCCACAGACATCAAGGGAGTGGAAATAAAAGGCAGAACCTATAAATTAGGGCTCTTTGCAGATGACCTAATGGTCACAACACCAGACCCCATAAGCACAGCAACCTCCCTAATCAGAGAACTCAACACATTTGCAATGGTGTCGGGCCTACAGGTAAATTTTACAAAGTCAGAAGCTATGTGCTTCAACACCCCTCCTCACACCCAAAAAGAACTCACGAAGGTCACCAAAATAAAACTTTGCCACACCAAGTTCAGATACCTAGGGGTACAAATAACCAGAAACCTCAATAAATTGTACCTCCACAACTACAAGCCCCTGTGGCGACAAATTAACAAAGACCTAAAGAGATGGAATAACATGAACTTCACTCTCTCAGACAAAATAGCCATGATCAAAATGATCACACTCCCAAAACTAACCTACCTATTCCAAACCCTCCCAATCTGGATCCTCAACCCAACTTCGCAGTTGGCAGAGAAAACTACACTCTTTCATCTTCTCACATAAAAACCAAGAATAAGCCCCAAATACCTGCACCTCCCCACCTCAGAAGGAGGATGGGGAATCCCCAACATAGAAGCATATTACAATGCCAACCAAATACGCCACATAATCCCATATATACTAGAAGATGAGACAAAACAATGGGTACACCTAGAGAGGGACACAATTGAAAACACCTGCACCACAACATACCCACTCCTCCCAAACAAACTAAAGAAAATTCCCACAACACTTAACAGGTACACACAGACCATGCTCAAAGCATGGAAAACACAAATAGGCAAACGATCCCCAACCCCATCCCCACTAATCCTCTGGCGTACCACCCATTATTCCACCGTGCAGCACAAAACCTCAAGATAAAAACCTGGCGAACCAAAGGCTTATATCGCCTAATAGACTTTTATAAAAATAACAAACCCTTGTCAACACAAGAAATACAAGACAAACTAGAAGACACCCAAATGCCCTGGTTAACACAACACCAACTTCATGCCCTCTTAAACAACCCAACAGTAAAATCAGCAGCAACTAGGCCCCTGACAACCTTCGAAAACCTCCTCCTAACAACAAAGGGAAACGGTAAAGGGACGGTATCCGCAATATACAAAATACTACTCCAAAATCCTGTAAATCCCCTAGACGCAATCAAAAAACAATGGGAGAATGACATAGGTTATGAGATTAACCCCACTCAATGGACCAGAATGTGGTCTAAACCCCCCCTTTAAATCCATATCAACGAAAAGAAAAGAACTCACACTGAAACTCACCTACAGGTGGTACCTAACACCAAGGAAACTAGCGCTAATACACCCAGGAACCTCACCAAAATGCTGGAGAGGGTGCACCTCCACAGGCACATACCTCCACATGTGGTGGGAGTGTCCCAAAATCCAACTATTCTGGACAACAGCCATACAAGAAATATGTAAAATAACTAAGCAAGTAATAGACATCACCCCAGAATTGGCCCTACTAAACATCTTCCAAGACAACAATGCCCATTTACACCACAAAGAACTCATAACCCACCTGCTCTCAGCAGCCAGAAACACCATAACCAGACACTGGAGAGACCTGTCAGGAGTAAGCATGGACCAATGGTACCAAATAGTATGGGAAACAGCCCTACTAGAAAAATTAACTAATAAACTGAAACTGACACGGGACAAACAGAAGAAGACGCCTTCACCCCGGTATGGCTCCCATTTATCACATACACAGCCCAACAGGACAATGACAATAATCCACCAACAGCATACAAATCAATATGGCTAACCTGATCCAAAACACCCACCCACCTCACTCACACACGAAAACAAAGATCACCACAGCCAATCACAAGCAAACAATCACACCCTAGGCCAACCCCAACCTCTCTCACCACCAAAGGAACACAAGTGAACAACACAAGCAACGCTGACACCAAACTCTACATACATTAAACATAATAGAAACACCGCCACCCGACCCCACCCCCATCCATCTTCCCTCTCTCCACCCCCTTTTTCTTTTTTTCATTTTTTTTACTTATCCCCCATAATCCCTCAACAAATCAAACTGATTTGTAAAAATGTTACATGGTAAAAAAAAATACGAGGCACTACACTTCTGTAAAACAAGAAAATCCTTAATAAAATATTTAAAAAAAAAAAAAAAAAAAATAAACATACACTGACTTCAGCGTGGAAAGTCACCACCCAAGTAAGCAGCACTGGACTAGCTGGGCCCAGTGGTCTGACTCTGTCTTCGGTTTTCAGGTGCACCCAGGTGTTCACTCACAAAATAGCAAATGAAACAATGAAGAAGAGAGACACCCACTATTCCAACAAAGGAGAGTGATGGGGTTGCGGCTACAGCAGAAGCCATGGCCAATGGCACCTGGTTTTAAAGGAAAGGTTGCAGGTGTTGGACTATTAGTTGACAGTAAATGGTTTTGACTGACCTATAAAGCCCTAAATCGCTTCAACACTATGTAGCAAGGGTAAACAATAGGGTTTTTTAAATACTATAAAGGCTTTGCTTCCAGTGATAGTACACACACATGTATTTTGTCCAACAGGTTTTGGGCAGCATAAGTTGCACGGAGACTGCAAAACCTGATTCACCTCTGGTAGATCGGGATGCATTTACATTCCCGTTCCAGCCATATTCATCTACCTGAATCACCACCACTCTGCATCCTTCGTGTTTGCCTCTTGCCTTAAGTGTGCATCAACCATACATTTAAAGCACATGGTTCCTCCCATTGTGGGGTGGTCCAGCTCTGGCTTTCTAATGGAATGGGGCAGATCTGTAAGTAAAAAATCATGGCTGCCCTAATCATGTGCAGTTTGGCCCTAGTTAATCCCTAAGGCAAAGCCTAGCACAGATCAAGACAGCCTGTGTTTCTAGAGGGAGCTGGAAGAACTGACTGAATGAACTACTAGGTTCTCCCCATACCAGGTTAATTAAGATCCCTTCATCTTGATACCTTTTTAGCATTTTAGAGGTGGTCATGGTGAGTTCATTGCCTGTGGTACTACCCCAGCTTAGCAGTGTCCCCCCCCCCCACTAATAATCTTTATTTTATGTTTATTCATTAAAACATTTCTATTCTACCCTACATTAGAAATCCCAGGGCGGTTTGCAACAATCATGGTAAAATCAGCACAATGAAACCAGAAAATATACTATGTCCACATAAGATAATACTTATTTGTGGGTGCTAGACAAGTCTAAATTCCTGGACTCAGTAAGTGTCAGAATTTAATCAAGGCAAATTTTACAGTATAAGCCAGGCCAGTTTCCAGACCAGGAAATTGCCTGGGATGATGAGCCATTAGGAAAACAAAACAAAAAAAAGGTGATGACCCATTAAGAAAGCCATGAAGAAGGCAAAGGCTCTGTGCCAGAAACACAGACCCTGGGTAAGCCACCTGGAGCCCCTGGAATCTTGCATCGCTTGGAGATTGAGATGGCGTGCAACTCAAATGCCTAAGAAAATAATGAGTCTTTCAGAAGCTCCTAAAACCAGTCAGGGTCAGTGCTTGTCTGATGTCTAGGAGGAGTTGATTCTAAAGGCTGGGTCCCACCACAGAAAAGACCCTCCGCCTGATAGTGTCCAAATGGATTTCCATGGGCTGAAGCAACCAGAATAATTTCAGTGAATGGGCAGATCTATGTGTTGAATGCTTGAATCAGTGAGTTGCTTCTCGTCCCAAAGAGATGTGACAAATGTTGACATTTTACAGGAGGTGCTGTCTGTGTGCGTGTTTTAAAGAAAGAGGCTACAGCCTACACTGACTTCAGGTCCAGTGTTGGACCATTTCGATCGGATACTCCCTGCTGATGTGGATAGATTCCTCCAAGTTGGTAGGCCCACCACCTGCCTCCGTGATCTGTGCCCATCTTGGCTGATTATGGAGTGTCCAGATGTTGCGCGGACCCCCCTGGTTGAAATTATCAATTTGTCCCTTGACACTGGGACATTCCCAGGGGAACTGAAGGAAGCAGTAGTGTATCCACTCTTAAAGAAAACTTCATTAGATCCCTTAGACCTATCCAATTACCGCCCAGTTTCAAATCTTCCATATCTGGGTAAGTTAATTGAGAGAGCGGTTGCTGAACAGCTTGGTAGGTTTCTGGAGGAAACATCGGCTTTAGATCCATTTCAGTCCGGTTTCCGTCCTGGTTTTGGGACTGAGACGGCTCTGGTTGCCCTAACAGATGATCTCCGTAGACAACTGGATCGAGGCGGGTCAGGACTGCTGATCCTTTTAGATTTGTCAGCGGCCTTTGACATGGTCGATCATGATCTTCTGGACCACCGCCTCGCAGACGTGGGGATACAGGGCATAGCCCGTAACTGGCTGTGCTCTTTTATCTCTGGTGGGGACAGAGGGTGGCACTAGGGAGGGAAATGTCGCGCCATTCGTCGCGCCATTCCTTGGTGTGTGGAGTGCCGCAGGGCGCAATTCTCTCCCTGACGCTTTTTAACATCTTTATGCGCCCCCTTGCCCAGATTATCCAGAGCTTTGGGCTGGGCTGTCACCAGTATGCTGATGACACTCAGCTCTATCTGCTGATGGATGGCCACACCGACTCGGCCCCAAACACACTGACCAGATGCTTGGAAGCTGTGGCTAGATGGTTTCGTGGGAGCCGATTGAAACTAAATCCTTCAAAGACAGAGGTCCTATGGCTGGGTCGGGATGGCATGGGGATGAAGGACCAACTCCCTTCTCTTGCGGGGGCCCAATTAGTGCCATTGTCTTCCGTTAAGAGTTTGGGTGTAATCCTTGACGCTTCCCTTTCCATGGAGGCGCAAGTTACAGCAACAGCCAAGGCGACATTTTTCCACCTTCGCCGCATCAAGCAGTTGGTCCCTTACCTTTCCCGCCCCAACCTGGCCACAGTGATCCATGCGATGGTCATCTCCAGGCTTGACTACTGTAATTCGCTCTACGCGGGGCTGCCCTTGAAGCTGTCCCAGAAACTCCAGCAGGTGCAGAATGCTGCAGCGAGGCTCCTCACGGGGTCTCTGCCATGGGAGCATATTCACCCAGTGCTTTTCAAGCTGCACTGGCTCCCGGTGGAGTACAGGGTCAGATTTAAGGTGCTGCTTTTGACCTTTAAAGCCCTTCACGGCCTAGGACCCTTGTACCTACGAGACCGCCTCTCCCGGTATGCCCCACGGAGAGCCTCAAGGTCCATAAATAGCAACACCCTAGTGGTCCCGGGCCCTAAGGAAGTTAGATTGGCTTCAACCAGAGCCCAGGGCCTTTTCAACTCTGGCTCCGGCCTGGTGGAACGCTCTGCCTCATGAGACCAGGGCCCTGCAGGATCTGATTTCTTTCCGCAGGGCCTGTAAGACAGAGTTGTTCTGCCTGGCCTTTGGCTTGGAGCCAATTTGATTCCCTCCCTCTCTTTCTTTTTTCTTTCCTTCTCCTCCTGCGTTGAGGCTACATTTTATTTTAATGTTGTAATATTTTAATGTTGTATTTTAATTTTGTTTTTAAGTTGTAATCATTCAACTTGTTTTTATTATTGCTTGTAAGCCGCTCTGAGCCCGGCCTTGGCTGGGGAGGGCGGGGTATAAATAAAAAATTATTATTATTATTATTATTATTATTATTATTATTATTATTAATGCAAATATGTATTTGATAGTGAGGCGGCACCCACAGCAGCACCCAGGAATGTCAAATGCTGAGATGACCCTGGTTCATTGGATGCCCCAAATGGAAGGTGGGAAGGGAAGGGCCCAAGGCAAGCTGACAGGAACTAGAGCTATCAGAAAGTCATGAGCATTTATCAGCACTGCCACCTTCAGTGATTAATAACACCAGCCCCTTCTCCAAAGCCAAACTAGAGAACTCCACACCCTGCTTTTTGTTAATCATGGTGATGTGCACTGCTTGGCTGATTACCTGAAGCAAAGGTTTGGCTGTTTGCCAACCTTGAGAGCTTTTCTTGTGGCTGGCAGGAGACAACAACACAATTTCATTTTCATTTTTTCACCTTTAGCATTAATAACTGTTTATATAGCAGTGAACAAATTTGCTTTTGCAATCGCTTATCTTCTTTGTCTTTTTGACAGCCCAGTGAGGTAGGTACGCAGAAGCCACTCCCAGGGCACACCTGGAGCCTGGGCTCAGCCCCAGCAATAGATTAAGTTTCCAAGCCAGGGAGATGGAATCTGAGAAGTGATAGCAAAAGGAAGTGCAGTCCCAAGTTTGTGCAGAGAGACGCCATTTCACTGGGGCTAAGGAAAAGGCTTCCCTTGTCAGCAGGTGAACTTGCACAAATTGTTGAGTCCTGGCAGAAGGCACCTTGGACTACTTTCTATGGATGCTGGCTTTAACACTGTTTGGAAGCTTAGGCAGAAAATCCAAATGGCACCCACACCTCCCACTAAATCTGCCGGGAAGTTCTCTAGCACTCATCTGGTTGAAATATGCAGTATACAGAAGCTGGGGGGGGGGTGTAGCTCCCATCAGTTTCAATTAAGCTTATTCAGGAGAATTGCCAGTGGACCACATATCAGGGGTCATATCTGTCTCACTCTGCTACTCAAAATCTGCCACCTTATTTTCCCTCTTAGTAGATCTGCCTCTGATCCATAAGTTTAGACCAGGGAACTGAGGGCCAAACTAGACGTGATGTAATTAGAACGTCTCATTTTAATTTGGTAGTAATTAGCAGCCCCAGGCAATTGCTTTGAAGATCAGGATAGGGGAACAGCACTCTTGGAGAGCGTGTTCTTAACTCTTCCATCCCATTCCTCCCCACCCCCAATATAAATTGTGCTCCCATTCACCTCATCAGATGGAAAAAAAGAAGAACAGCATTAGGAGCTAACAGCCGTTTCAGGGCCCCTCCAGGCGTCCTTTTTATTACACATTCCTGATGATTTGTGCTCGTGATGCTGTCATGGCGGTTATATGAGAATCCCGCTTTCAATACTGCTTGTGCCTGCAGAAGTTTTGGGGCAGACATACTGCTTCATTTCCAAACGACACATTTCCTGTAACTTCCTGCTGGAATCCTATAACCATGACCACAAACGTTTTGGGGTTTTTTGTCCGTCTTTGGTTGTGGAACAACTCCTCCAGATTGCGGTAAATGTGGTAGCTTTGGGGAAGCACAGCAAAACAACTAATAAAGTGTAATTAATCCACCACTAATGCAGTACAGTGGTGTCTCGCAAGACGAAATTAATCCGTTCCGCGAGTCTCTTCGTCTTGCGTTTTTTTCGTCTTGTGAAGCACGGCTATTAGTGGCTTAGCGGCTATTAGCGGCTTAGCGGCTATTAGCGGCTTAGCGGCTATTAACGGCTTAGCGGCTATTAACGGCTTAGCGGCTTTAAGAAAAAGGAAACAAACTCGCAAGAACTCGCAAGACGTTTCGTCTTGCGAAGCAAGCCCATAGGGAAATTCATCTTGTGGAACGACTCAAAAAACGGAAAACTCTTTCGTCTAGCGAGTTTTCTGTCTTGCGAGGCATTCGTCTTGCGGGGCACCACTGTATCATTATGTCACAAACGTGTTGCAGATTACACCCACAAGAAAACACACTCTGGAGGGGCCCTCGGTGTGTGCTGTTTCCCTTGGTGAAAGAAAGAACATGGAAGGGGAAGGGTTAAGCACCCTCACTTGGAGGACCACTTCCCTGATCTTCAGAGTAGCTGACTGGTACCTCTAATTAGCTGATTTGGAGCTCTTTTGCAATAAACCTGCTTCCTCACAGGATCAGACTTTTTGCAGTAAGGAAAGTGACACGGAAAATGCAGTGGAAAGTGTGGGGTAACACTTGCTTTGAGGCAGCATCGTCCAGCCACCCTACAAACAAATCAGAAGGAAGGTTCATAAAATAGCCAATGCTGTCTGATCTCCCTACAAACATATCAGGACCAATGTTCACTAAACAGTCTGTCTGGAAGTGCCCTGAAATGAGTTCAAAGCCCCACTGGCTGAAAATGAGCTCTGATGCCTTTGAGGAACCTGGGTCTTGCAACCTGCTGTGCAAAAATAATGTCAGTGGAGACATCTGAGATGAAAGAGGTTATTCTAAACCATCAAGCCAAGATCCAGCAAGGGGGACCGTTCTTCCTATTTGCTCTTATTTTCTTTTCTTTTCTACTCCTTTCCCATCCCTCCATCCTCATCCATCGCCTGCCCCAACTTCCCATTTGCCTTCAGAAGACATCGCGCCATACCGGAGGTGGCTCTTTCATTGCGGGAAGAAGGAGCCGGTCGGCGTCACCTACTCAAGAGAAGCATGTTTCCCACCACGAGAAACCAAAGAAGGTAAGAAAAGAAGAAAATAAAATGTTAATTGCTGTGCAACCTGGGGTGGGAGTGAACAGCAAAAAGATATTAATATGTCTATAATATGTCTTTTAACCTTCAGCCTTTCTAATTACAAGCAGATCAGATCAAACACAAAGGCATATCCAGTGTCTGCGTATTCTACAATTCTTTGTTCTTGCGTTCCAAAATTATTACTGGTCCCAGAATTCAGCATCTGGACAATTTAAAGTTCTTGCTGAAGTTACTTCCAGATGACAACAACAACACACTTACCAAAAAACCACTGAAACCCCCCCACTAATGCTGTCCTAACACAAGCAATGTTCAATGGCAATTGCACACTATCCAGTTCCTTTGCAAAGAGGAAAGCAGTCCTTTGGAAGGACAGTTAGCTCTCTCCATCTCCACCGGCACTAGGCCTCTCTCTCTTTTGCTCCCCCCCCCTTTCAAAAAACACAGCTGTATTTGCCTATATTAACACTTGCACTCAAACAGTGAAGCAGCCTCCCTGGAACTCCAGGATCTGATTGCATAATGGTGACAGTTAAGAAGTAAGGGCCACGCAGCTATCCAGCCCCCATGTGTGGATCTGCAACACCTCGAGGCCTGAGCTGGGAATGGAGCAAAAAGAGGGGGGTTGGGATTCTGCAGTGCTGTAAGAAGGTCCGAGATGAGGAAAGAAGGAACCCTATAGATCAAATAAAAGACAAACATGCAAAAGCAGATGCCTTCCCTGGTGCCCACAGGGTCCTCTCTCTCACGCCACTCTTCATTCTGAAATTAGGCTGGTAAGAAGCCTCTCACAAATGTGCCCATGGGCCCCAAAAGGTCAGAGACCCCTTTATTAAAGACGAGGCTGAGGGGCTGGCTGAATTCTGCAGGCAAAAACAGCCCAACACCTACAAGGAATAAAGTAGCACTATATTCTCCACAGTCTAAGGCTTTTCAGACAGAGGACCCACCACTAGCCCACAGATGCGATTGGGGCCCCATTTCTTAATTATTGTTTTTAGCATATATTTGTGTGGTGGTTGTGCTTCTGTTGTGACCCACCTTAGGTTAAGCCGCAACCCAGTGAGTGGGCCCCAACCCAACCAGTTGAAGATTGTAGGTCTAAGGTTGTAGGGCAGGCATAGGTGAACTCTGGCCCTCTAGATATTTGGGACTACAATTCCAATCATCCCTGACCACTGGTTCTGTTAGCTAGGGATGATGGGAATTGCAGTCCCAAACATCTGGAGGGCCCGAGTTTGCCTATGCCTGTTGTAGGGGTTTGGTGTAACACTACTAAAAGCACCCCGGAGAGTGTGAGAGAGAAATATCTTGAGGGCAGGACAACATAAAAAGATGACGCAGCAAACTGTTTTCAACATGGAGCTTCTCCCTTGGTGCTCCAGCATCACAAACTCGTATCCAGACATAGATTTACAGCAGGATAATAACTGTGTTGCTCTTTTGCAGCCAAAACAGCCCAGAATCTTTTCAGCCCAGAATCTTTTCAGGTGCCACAAGTCTCTTCCTTGTTTTTCTGGACATAGATGAAATTAACAAGATACCCTCCCTTCTCTAGCCTTCAGAACCCCCAGGGAAACTGTCAAGTTTTCTTGGTTTTATCCAGGCTTCTCTAATCACTGTACAGAGATAGGGAGAAGCACTGTCGATTTCACCAGCGCTTGTTAATCACTGCATGCCAGTGCTGATGTACACATGGTGAAAATGATAAGGCTTTCCCCCCCACTCCCGCCACTGCTGCCTTAGTGCAAGACTGGAGAATCCTGATGAAATGGATGCCAGTGTCATGGGTCAGTTTGCCTACTGTGGTGAATAGTGGGGAGTGTTGTCAGTTTCACTCTTTCAGAACAAAATAGTGGTGGAGGGGAGAGGAGGGATTACACACAGTCATCAACAGCACCAGCAAACATTCCTTTATTATCCCAGGTGAGGCAGTGGTGCAACTGTAAGATCGCCCCTAAAATTATTTTGCAGCAATTGTAGTGGAAGTCTTTCCAGCTCATGGGGCACCATGGGAATGCCACAGTTTGGGATGAACAAATGAGCTTCCAATACCAGAGAAAATTGCTAGTATGAAAAACCCTATGTCACAATTCTCTTCTTCTTCCTATTTGAAAACTGTAAGGGATTTAACTATTAGAATACGGACAGTGAAATCCTGAACACACTTAACTGGGTGGGGAGTAAACTCCATAGAAGTCCAGAGGGACCTATTTCTCAGTGAACATTATTTGGACTTATTTCTGAATAAATATTCTTTGGCTTGCACTGTAAATGGCTGGTGAAAAGAAAAAAAGAGGGCATCCTGCAAAAATTGCACTAACCTTATCTGAGGTCTGTAACCAGGGTTTAATTTTCATCTCTAGATAAAGTTTTTCAGGCTTGTAAAGGGAATACTTAAGGCTTCTGCTCTTGTATCCACTGCTGCAGAGAAACCATTTTCCATCTGTTCTCCATACTTCAATCAGTTGTTGCCACTCCTGCTGTACAGCAACACTGTGTAGAAAGAAACATACTGTACAATTCACCTATACCAATGTGCCCTACACATATCTTATCCTCTCTAGCAAATACGATATGGTCAGATCATACAGCTAGAACAAACTTGAAACCTGTTTTCAGTGCCAGAAGAAAAACACAATAACTTGTAATTTAGAGAAGAGCGTATACAGAGTGCCTTAATAAAAGCATCTCTTCTCCCCACCCCCATCGCACCCCAACTCTCTAATCTGGGATTGAGGCGAAGGATTTCCAAGTAAGAGGATATGGTTTATTAGCCCAACTTGAATCCTAGCATCCCACTTTGGAGAAATTAACACTTGACTGGAACGGTAGCAGAATCTGTTTCAGTGCCATTTGCAACTGGATTTTTTTTGGGGGGGAGAGATAGCTCACCCTTGTCAAGTCATGTTTTATGTGACCAAAAGCTCAGAGTTCCACAAAGTTATTAGTTATGCAAAACTGAGAGGCCCTGGTTTGTTTTTAGCCCTGCTGCCTTGATCAGTTGCAACTGTACTGGCTGTCAGTCAGTCAGACAGTCATTCCGTCCAATTCCTAGTATAGTGGTACCTCAGGTTACAAACACCTCGGGTTACAAACACTTCGGGTTACAGACTCCGCTAACCCAGAAGTAGTACCTCAGGTTAAGAACTTTACCTCAGGATGAGAACAGAAATCGTGCAGTGGCGGTGCGGCGGCAGCAGCAGGAGGCCCCATTAGCTAAAGTGGTACCTCAGTTTAAGAATGGTTTCAGGTTAAGAACGGACCTCCGGAACGAATGAAGTTCAGAACCAGAGGTATCACTGTATATGTACTAGGCCTTTAATGCAGCTTAAAGGTAGGTTGGCTTCGATGCACTCCCAAAGGCAGCTGCTGCCAAGGAAAATGGTGGAAACAGGAAAAGAGAAAGAGAGGCAGGAGAGAGATCAGTACAAGGTAAATGGTGGTAATGGAACAGAGTATGAGCCAAAAAGGCAGGGGGGAGAGGAAACCAGGATGATTGGCAGGTGATTTGGAGAGCAGCTGACACCAGGCAGGCTATGGAAGAGAAAGGTGCACAGACTCGGAAAAGAAGAAGGGGGAGGGAGAAGCAAGATCATTTCTTTCTGTTAATCTATATAGTACTGGCAATCATGGTCCAATAAACAGATGATCAAGGAAACTGTTGGCAAGGTGCAGTAAAGGTGCCTGTCCTAGAATCTATAATGAAGCTAGGCAAACTGCAGGCCTACAGAATAAAATAAAAGAAATTGGGGAAGTAGCCAACCACATATCCTTCCCTACGTCCCCCACAAAGGCCTGGAAAATCCTTTTTCCTAGAGGATAAATTATAGCCGCAAATTATGTGTACTCTCCCAGGAGCCAAAGCTAGTGTGCATGAAACCTAGAAACAGACTTGGTTAGAGAGGGACAGCTTCCCCAGTCCAGCTGAAGCAGCTGCAGACTGTTGGAGGAGGGAAGAGGATAGATCTAGAGTCTGATGCTTAACCCTGAACAGGTAATCAGCACCTTGCCTTTAAGCAGGTCTAATCGCTGCTGCTAATTGAACAAATATTGATAATAACTTTGCCTGCCTTCCATTATCTTAGGCTTCATCCACACAGGAGTTTGATATAGATTCCAAGCTGGATTTTTTTCCAAGGCATTGTTCACATGGCATTCTCCGTATTTAGTGGGCAGCCTGCAGTTTTTCAACAGTAAACTCTGTTTTTCCCCCAATCCAGGGAAAATCTGTAAAAGGGAAGTAAATCCAACTGTGGACACACTGGAGCACATTGTGCGGGCAGGCTCTGGTGCCATCTACCACGATACCTATCTAAAAGCAACAGGATTGGAGAGGATTTTCAGTGGGAGAATAGGAAGAGAAAGAGTTTGTGCTGTTTTTTTCTGCCTCAAACTCAGTTCTGCCGGTTGCTTTGCATAACAAAAGGTGCCCCCCACCCCAATAATCACCAATCTGCATGTAGGGCATAGCTTCTGCTTGTCACTTCAGCTGTCACACAACTTGAAAATTCCACCATCTCCACCCCTGCTTTTGTTTAGAATCATAGAATTGCAGAGTTTGAGAACCTTACGCAAATTAGCCTGCTGGTTGCTTATGCAGACTCATGCTTAAAGACAAGCCTTTGCCATCCCAGGGCGCTCCAAATGTTTTGGACTATAATTTCCATCAACTCCAGCCAGTGGGCTACAACTTCTAAGTGTTGGGAGTTGAAGTCCGAAACATCTGGAGGGTGCCAGGTTGGGGAAAGGTTGTTGTGGGGAAAGTTTTGGCCCTCCAGGTGTTGTTGGACTCTACACCCATCAGCCCTAGCCAGCATGGTCAATGCCAGGGGATGATGGGAGTTGCAGTCCAGGAACATCAGGGCATGGGCTCAAAGGTTTCCCTTCCTTGCTGTAGAGATGGGTGTTTATATAGTTGGAATGGGTTAACTGGTGGCCCTGTAAATGATTCTGGTCTACATCCCTTATCATCCCTGACTCATCAGCCATGCTGAGAGGGGCTGATGGAAGTTGGGAGTCAGGTAACACTCTGGAGGGCTGTAGGTTCCTCATGCTCACAAGAACATAGAAATCACCTTCCTGGGATCAGATTATGGTCCGTCTAGTCCTGTACTCCCTTTCCAACAGCCAAAGGTTTCTAGGAAGCATGGAAGTGAAGCCTGTTGCTTTGTGACCAATATAATTAACTGACATACATGGCTGGGAAAAGGGAAGGATAGTGTGTAGATTTATTTCTGTCTGCCAGAGAAGGGGAGATTAGGACTGGTCATTGGGGGGAGAATTCCCCCCAACGTCCATCTTGGATGATGCAAGGTTGCAGGACTTCAGATATGGCGATGGGCTGTCTGTTCCTCCCAAGTTAGGATAAAGGTAAAGGGACCCCTGACCGTTAGGTCCAGTCGCGGATGACTCTGGGGTTGCAGCGCTCATCTCGCTTTATTGGCCGAGGGAGCCGGTGTACAGCTTCCGGGTCATGTGGCCAGCATGACTAAGCCGCTTCTGGCGAACCAGAGCAGCGCACGGAAACGCCATTTACCTTCCCACCGGAGCGGTACCTATTTATTTACTTGCACTTTGATATGCTTTCGAACTGCTAGGTTGGCAGGAGCAGGGACCGAGCAACGGGAGCTCACCCCGTCACGGGGATTTGAACCGCCGACCTTCTGATCGGTAAGCCCTAGGCTCTGTGGTTTAGGATAGTTCAGCTAATTAGCAGGCCTCCACAGCCTTGTTTCAAAGTCGTGTAGTTTCAAATTTGTTGGTATCTTCATCACATAGGCTTCTCCTGCAAGTATTTGTTTTTGCTTTTTCCAGTGAATGTGTTTTACATGTGGAAAGAACAAGCCCATTTTGAAACATAGAATTCTGCCCTGAATTTATATGCCCAATTTTATTCTGTATTTCAACATTCATGGGAGCTGTTACAGTACAAACACGCAAATGAACGGAAAATGCTAAAATTGGGGGAAACTAAATCAATATCTCACTTGGCTGAGCAAATCATGTACGTATTTAAAATTTGCCTCTCCAATGCCTTTGTGCCATTTGGCAGTACCTGGCAATATTATAATTAGCTGGACCAGCTTCTATCAGTGTGAAAATATGGGAGCTTTCAAGTGAGTGCTTTAATCTGGAAAAGCTGTAAGAACAAAGAGTTTTGTCTGTAACCTGAAAGAACCAACAGAAATAGGCCCATTTTTTGAAAAAGGTTGGTAAAAGAAGTTCTGTTTCTCTCTTCGCTTCAGTTTTTCTCCTATATCAGTCCTGCAGCATCAGACTAAACTAAAATAGTTAAAAGTTAAAAGTTTCAGTAATGTGGTTTTCCTCCTTGTATGCTGAGCACACACCCCAGGAAGATATTTTTATACCCCACCCTAGTTTGACAGAGCTGGTAAACCTCAGTTAAACCAGAGTGTGAGCAGTACAACAGTAGCTGAGGACTCAAGCAATTGCACACACACATATATACACTTCACACACACACACACACACACACACACACACACTCTTCACATAGAACATTATGTCAGGGAAAAGAGATCGAGCCTGACCTTTTCCCTACTTTGGTCTTTCCAAATGAGAGTATGTGCAGGAAGCTTTTGTGGGTTTCTTTGCATGGAGGAGCATTTAATGACCATATGAGCAATCTGAAATATTACTGCCAAACACACATTCCCTACCTAAGCAAAAACTAAGCAAAGATCACACCCTTGCATTCTTTAACTCCCCCCCCCAACCTTTTCACCTGAAGCATTATAATGCCAGAAGTGTTATTAAGATGTGTTTGCGGATAAACCCTGTGAAAGAGATTAGCCTGAGGCAAAATGCATCCATTCCAAATACAGTATTTCTAAAGTGCCCTTCATCGAAAAATGATCCCAAGGCTGAGTGCAACCAGAATAAAATACTGAACTTTATAGCCTTAAATACAGCAAAACCCAAGCTACCAAAATATCAGTAAGGATAAAAACACAGTGAATATCAGCAACATTCGGTACTTTGAACTGAAGTGCATCCTTGCTGCCAGTTGCTTAATTTGCAAAGGAAGTGCCCTCCAAATTGGAAGCCAAGTTGTGTTCCTTCAATGCTACCTTGTTCTTTACATGGTTAGAGACACACTTCTTCAGAATTACTCCACATTTCAGGGCTCAGCTCGCCTCTTTGTCTGGCCCGGAAACCTTCCACTCTGTTTCCAGAAGCATGGGAGGTGGGTGCACGTTTTAATTGTGTTAAGGTAAAGACACTTTCCACCTTTCCACCTGCTCAGGAGCAGTATCTGGTCTAGCCTATTTTGTATGTCTAAAGGGGGGAAAGTTTCCTTAAACGAGCGGCGCAAGTTTTCTGTCCTTGGTCTGCAAACCGATTCTAAACACAGGCAGCATGTGTGAGTGAAGGAGGGGAGGGATATATATTGCACATGCCCAGAGACACTATCATTCATCTCATTCCTGCGGGCATTCCAGGGCAACGTTCTAACGCCGAATCCCGGCTGAAACCATGCACATGCTCAGAGGTGCTCTCGTCTCTTATGATTCGCTCACATTCCGAGGCTGAGGCTCGGTAAGAAGAGAAGGCAGAGCTTTACCCTTGACCCGTGTGCTTCATTGCTCAGAATAACGAACGTCTCCTGCCAGGCGGGGCAGACAAGACTTTATCGCCCCCCCCCCCGTTTTGCTCTCACTGCAGTGCCCAGGCCGGGGGTGGGCGGTGAGGGGTGAAATCTAGGGAGGATCTTGTGGGCAAGGCCCTTTCTGGCATCTGAAGGGATCCTATTTCACTCGCCCTGACGTTGGAGATCTACAAGTTAGTATGTGCAACGTGGGCACCGCCTTCCCTTGCTTGCAAGGCGAGAGTTTCCCCACTCCCCATTCCTTTCCTCCTCCTCCTCCTCCCTTTCTTTTCTTTTTTTCACCCCCCCCCCTTTCCACTCTTCCCCGCTCCTCCTCATTAACTATCGGGCTTTTCCTGTGCCTGCCGAAATGCCACCCCCGCCCCCCACCTCCAGCTGCTCGAAACTCCCAACGCAGGCTTGGAAGGAGAGACTTTCTTCCTGTTGGTGAACTTTGGGCAATGAAATGAACTTGGCAACCCCAAGGCGATTGACAAACCCAGGCATTCCCAGAGGAAAGGAGTCTGGAGAGTCGGGAAGGTAGGGGTGGCCTTTTATTTCCAGGGGATCTATCATAAGGTCAGCGCCCCCCCCCTCCAGTCCGACTTTAATCCCCTCGCCAGTGACAGTGGGGTTTCTAACACTCTGGACGGCAAAGCAGACATTAGCAAAAGTGGGCAGGCATTTAAAAGTTGTGTGTCAGTGTGCGTGTGGCGGGGCTGGGGGCTGGGGAAGAGGGAGATCTGAGGAAAAGGGGGGTGGGTATTAAGAGTCAGAGGGGAGAAGGTGTGGGGGAATCAGTTGGCATAAGAGAATGACTGAGTGCATTTTGAGTTAGTAAGAGTCAAGACACGGCCATTGACATCCCAGGGTCAGTGTGCAGGACTGTTTTTGTGTGCCAACAAGGAAGATAATGAACCTCAGGGTTTCTCAACTGGCTTCTATTATTATTTACTATTATTATTAAATGCTCGTTTTGCATGCTCTTTGGGTATTTTGTACAGAATTGCAAAATTGCCCCAGAGGTAGTATGTGGGACGGGAAGAGAAGTGTGGGGCAAGCGACGAGAAATGCAGATTTATGCACAGTTTTGCAAAAGAAGCTTTTAAAAAAACAACAACCCATATCCCCACTATGATGTCACATCAGCCTGAAAGATCTATATTTACACACAACAGTTATTGTGTTCTTCAGAAATATCCACCACCATTTTTTTTAGTCTGTGAAAGGTCAGCCCTCCAGGTGTTACATTTCTTCTTATGGCAACCAATACGCAGTAAAGTGAATCTTCTGAACTGGATCTGTTCAGATGACTCGAAATCCAGAATGCTGTGTCGTCTTTTTGGGGGTGGTGGATATCTTAAGATTTTTTAAAAAGGCGAACAAAGTAAGAGCTAAAGTGAAAACTGAGACTCTTTTTTTTTAAAAAAGGCACAATTTATAAAACTGGAAATCAACACACAAATTGCAAATAAGCCAAGTAAGCCTTAACTTATTTATTTATATTACTATTGCAAAATTGATTTAAGGCTGCAAAACTACACACTTTAATAGAAGCTCTATTGAACTCGGTGAGACTTTTTTTCTGAGCTAACATGCATAATAGCATTAGGCTGCATATATGTCAGCTGGAAATACTCGAAACCAGATTTGTTAATCTCTCTTATAAACTTCTAATCTAAAGTTTGCTCGTTTTAATTTTTTCACAGATTGATTTTTTAAAAAGTAATATTTTTCTCTGTTCTTTTATGCAAAATTTCTTGGTTTGAGGAGTTGATCTGGTGTTTCTTTGTTCACATGAAGCTGCTATTCCTGTACCTGCTTATAGAAAAGGAACTGACAATGGAATCCTGTGTATGTCTTTTAAGAAGAAAATCCTGCTGAATTCAGTTAGACTTATTCCTAGGTAAATGTAGATAAGATTGTACCCCAAAGCTTCCATTTTAAGGAAATCACTAAATTTTAAGGAAATTTCTGTGCCCAAAAGAGTACAGTACTGTGACTTACATAAAGTGAATGTGTATGTAAAGGTAAAGGACCCCTGACAGTTACGTCCAGTGGCGAACGACTCTGGGGTTGCGGCGCTCATCTCGCTTTACTGGCCGAGGGAGCCAATGTTTGTCCGCAGACAGTTTTTCCGGGTCATATGGCCAGCATGACTAAGCCGCTTCTGGCGAACCAGAGCAGCGCATGGAAACTCCGTTTACCTTCCTGCCAGATTTACCTATTTATCTACCTGCACTTTGACGTGCTTTTGAACTGCTAGGTTGGCAAGAGCTGGGACTGAGCAACAGGAGCTCACCCCGAACTGCCGACCTTCCCATCGGCAAGCCCTAGACTCAGTGGTTTAGACCACAGCGCCACCCGCATCCCATGTGTATTTAGTTACCTATTATTTAACACTTTTATATACCACTTTCTGATTGGACTTTAAATAATAAGTAAAACAATGCATTCAATCTAAGGCATACTAGTGACGTGGGGGCTGCATATAAGCAAGAGGGGCACTCCAGGGACAAATGAATTTGGAATCGGGTGAAGAGGCCAGGGCAGACTAGCCCCCCGCTTTTTTACCTAACAGATCTCAAGCTCAAAGTAAATTAATTCAATAAATATAGAGCAGGCCGGTAGAAAGCCAGCTGAGGTGTGTGGGGTATGCAGAGTATTGTACTGAATCTTACTGGGTAGAAGTCATGAATGCTTTCTCCATGCAATATGCTCTTGGTCCTTGGGGAAAACATTTGTTCCTCAAGGGTAAGGTAGATGAAATGTAGAAGTTTAGAGAGGCAGTGGGTTGGTGTATGAAGCCTTTGGGAACATGGCAGTGGTAGCCAGGGAATGGATGTTGGATAATTCCCTCAGATATGGAAATGGGAGCAAAAATTTGCCACAGTGTGCATGTTCGTCGGAGGTCAGGAATGGAAATAACACAAGTGAATATGAGTGGTATTCACTATGATTGTATTTTAGGTCTGTAAATGTTATATAAGTAATCAACATTATTTTCTGCATAGTTTTTTACTTTTCTGTTCCGTTTAAATTGATTACAGCCATATCGAATAATGAGACAAATCACATAGGTTTCCGTGGAAACTGAATTGTAGCAGAATGGAAACACTGCTGTTTGCGATGAACACAAAATAGGAGTGAGGCTCTCTGGGAAGGAAGGAATCACTCTGAGGAAGAGGCATTTGATCCCCTAGAAGGGACCAATTTCCTAGGAGATAATGGTGAAAAAGGTGAAATCTGTGTTGGAGATCATTATGAAGGGGACTGAAAATAAAACTGTTAACATCAGAATGCCATTATACAAATCTATGGTGTGACTGCACTTCAAATATTGTATTCAGTTCTGATTGCTTCACCTCCAGAAGGATATTGTAGACCTGGAAAAGGTTCAGAAAGTGGCAACCTAAATCATCATAGGACTGGAACAACTCCCTTATGAGAAATGGCCACAACATCTGGGACTTTTTAGTTAAGAAAAAAGGCAAGTAAGTGAGGATATAATAAAGGTGTATAAAAGTATGTAAGGTGTGGAGATAGTAGAGAGGGAGAAGTTTTTCTCCATCTCTCATAATACTAGAACCTGGGGTCTACCAAAGCTAAATGAGGGAAGATTCAGAATGGACAAAAGGAAGTACAGTCATACCTTGGTTTTCAAACAGCTTAGTTCTTGAATGTTTTGGCTCCCAAACGTCACAAACCTGGAAGTGAATGTTCCGGTTTGCGAACTATTTTTGGAAGCCGAACGTCTGACGTGGTTTGTGCGGCTTCTAATTGCTGCAGGAGCTCCCTGCAGCCAATCAGAAGCCGCGCTTTGGTTTCTGAACATTTTGGAAGTTGAACGGACTTCAGGAACATATTCCGTTCGTCTTCCAAGGTACGACTGTACTGCTTTACATAGTGCATAGTTAAACTATGGCATTTGCTACCACAAGATATAAATATGGCCACCAACTTGAATGGTGTAGACCAGTGGTTCCCAGTTAGGAGTCCTGGGACCCCAGGGATCCACAGAACGCACCCAGGGAGTCCACCGCCTCCACCGCTTGCCTCCCCGCTCCCAACTATTTTTTGTTTTGTTTTGTTATTTTTTTGCATGGCAATATCACAGATTTTAGCGCTGTGTGATTTTTCAATATATTGGCCCAAATCAGTTTTGAAATCACACTACGACAATGATTTTGACCTGGCAATATTCAGCAATATATTGCTCCTTGTGCGAGGGAGAGCAGGGCAGCTGATTTCAAGGCACTGCCGATATCCCGCAATGATCTCGGCTGATAACGTGGCTGCTCTGAGCTGCCTTACCGTGATACTACCTTCCCTGGTGCTGAGGTGGAGCAGCTTTTCTCAGTAGGAAAGCAGCAGCCGCAGCCACAGCAGACAGTGCGTCTTCAGTGGCTGCTACTGCTGGCTGCCTCTGCTGGCTGCCCCCTTGACTGCGGCTTGATGCACCCCCATCCCCTTCCACTCAAACCATGCAGTGGAGGTGACTCTGCTTCCTCTCCTCCCCCCAACCATCTGATCTCCACAGCTGCCCCTTCCCTCATCCCCACGCCTGATCTGCAGGCACCCGACCCACACAATCTCCTTGACTTCTGCTTCCCTCATCCCCACACCTGATCTGCAATTTCAGACATTGTGATATATCAGAATAATGTGGTGCTTAACTGCTGATATATCACGATGTTGAAAACCAGATAATGCTCAAACCTAGTCTGTTTTTTTAGTATACCTAAAATTCTTTGCTTGTTAGGAGCTACCCCACATTTTGTTCCCAAAAAAATAAATAAATGCAGAGGTAACTACCATAGAGTTTTCAAAACTTTCAAAAGTAGGGGGTCCGTGGCTTGGGTTTTGAAAAATAAGGGGTCCTGGGTATTTAGCTAATTGGGAACCACTGGCGTAGACAAGATCATAAAGGATAATGGCTACCTGCGCTATTAGAGGCATTATGTCTCTGAATACTGGTTTCCCAAATGCATCTAGTTGGCTGCTGCAAGAACAAGATGCTGGACTACATGGGCATTTGGTATTATCCCACAGGGCTCCTCTTATGAGACCAGTGCTTTGAATTATACCTGGAAACAAATTGGAATTCAGTGAGGATGTTTTCAGCCCTGGAGAAATGTGATCCAACTGGTGATTCATTGATTTGCATAATTTATTCTGCTTACCATGAGCGCAAAGAGGGGAAAGAGCTGTCTGACCATAGGAATGCTTCTCAGGCCTCTGCCTGGCTTTTGGTCACAGAGATTTTGCCAGGCGTTAGCCACACACTTTGTCAAGGCTGTCCCTGGAGCCACAAGCAGGGCTGAGTGTACTCCACTCTGAAGGGGGGTGGGGACCTGCTGTCAGGAAATCCAAATTCTGTGCCAAGAAAAGTTGACTTCTGCAACATGTATAAATCATGCAAATGGAGGACCTTTTCATCGTTTGCTTTTGCTAGAAACAGGAGGGGTGAGGTCATTGATGCACCAGTCTCCACTCTTGCAAATCTTTTTCAGCTATCTCTGGTTGCAAATATTTCCTCAGCCATTACCCACATATTTCCGTGTATATCTTAAAATCCATAAAGACCTAAACAGCTGCATTTTAAAAATGAAACTTGAGATTCTCAGGAAACTGAATTTCTATACCCACTACGCAACCTGCATTTCTCTTCTGTGATCTTCCAGAATTGCAGCATACAAAAAGTCCTGATCAAGAGCTAGAAGTTTGCTTTACAAAAGAAAAGGTGTTCTTCACAACACATGTGGGTTTTGTTTATAGCACAGGTGGGCAAACCATGGCCCCAGCCTCATTTTATGCAGCCCCCAATGCCTCTGTCCCATTCCTCTTTCCTCTGTCCCATTCCTCTTTAACTGCGCAGGCCTACATTTCCCAGTATGGGTTTGAATCATCCCCGCAAAACAGTGACACTCTGAAGGCAACCTAAATTTAGCCACAATCGCTTTATGTCCTTCTAGCATAGATTGCAATTAGGAAACACACCTAATTCCTGTGCAAAGCTTGATTGCTTATTTATTTAGCAATTATCGAATTTTATACCTCATTTTTTAAAGAAAATACTGTAGTCAAGGTGGGTTATAATCAGTTTAATACAGTGTTGGAGTTCAAACACAGCATGCCAGTTTATCAAGGCAAAGAACAGCAGAAGCGCCACAGGTTTATGACACAGGTGCTAACACCTGCAGAGACAATGTGGGTTGGGTAACAGATGCTTTGTAAGACTACTTAGCAGGGTAAGAAGAAAAGCAGGATGTACACAGCAAGCAGACTAATACCCAGTCTTCTGATGTGGGATTAGATGCCATCCTACCTCTTTTCCGGCAGACATGCCTAACTATCCCACTTCCTTCCATTCTTTTCCAACTCCTTTTTCTCTCCCAGTTCAGCCACTGAAGCAATTTACTCATCTAGCTCAGTAATATCTGAGTGGCAGCATCTGTCCAGGGCTTCAGGTACAGGACTTTCCCATCATCTTCTTCTACCTGATCTTTTTTTAACTGGAGAGGCCAGGGCGTGAACTTACATGCAAAGGATGTGCTCTATCACTCAGCTACATTTTCTTTCTCCCAATCTACATAAAAGTTGTGAACGAATCAGGTCTGTTATAGGAACCTGGACCTTTGACATGCGATAGCTGTCCTTTAGCCATGGCTATCCCCGTTAAGCCACAAGAGAGATAATAATAATAATAATAATAATAATAATAATAATATAATTTATTTATACACTGCCCATCTGGCTGGGTTTCAACTCTGGGCGGCTTCCAACAATATTATTAAAATACAATAGTCCGTCAAACATTAAAAGCTTCCCTAAACAGGGCTGCCTTCAGATGTCATCTAAAAGATGTGGCTGGAACTAAATATCACACACGTTAAGCGGGGGAAACCCACAACCTCTTCCTGAACGCCGAGGTAGCAGGTGCTTGCAGATTTATGCAATGCACCCCATGAATGCAAACTAAGCCTTTGAAATGTTAGGGAGAAGCTGCCCTTGTACAGAATCATATGGACAAGTGGTTCGTCCAGGGGACCTGGCATGTTCTTTCTGCAGAAGGAGGGGTTTTGATATTGGGCGCAGATTTTGTAATGCTGTTTTATTCATTTCAAGAAATGAAATCAAGTTTCTAGTCCCTGAAGCAGGAAAAAGAAGCGTGAATAACAGTTAGTAAGCAGGGTTCCCAGTGATTCACTGGATGGTGTTTGAGGACCTCCTTACTCCTCCCAAGAAATGTATAAGCCATGACAAAAATTAAGCAAATCTTTTCAAAATCATTTAATTAGCTGTTTTCAGGATGTAGTGGCCAGCTTTTCTGGGCAGTGAAAAATCTTGGATAACCTTTTCTTGGGATTTAGTGATATCTTTATTTTTAAGGAGAGGCAAAATTCAGGTGTCCTCTGATGAAGCTGATCCAGGAGAAGAAGGAATTCCCAGGGAATAGCTGGAGGGCCTTGTATGATGTATATGCATGTGTGTATATGTATAATCTTAATCTGAACCTGATACGGATTTTTGTCATGGATCTGCATGCCAGATGTTGTCTGCACCTGGAGGAGCCGGTTACTCCAGGCAGATGTTTTTGGTGATGAGCCAGAGTTGCTGTGGATGGTGGGTAAAGAAATGGCTTCTGAGATATACAATCTAGACTGTCATCCTCGCTTGATGCCTTCCCCTTACAGCTTCCTTTCTCACTTGCTGCTGGAAGGGTGGAATACATTGTCTTTTGATCTTCCTTTTATAGAGTCGGAAGGACAAGGAAAGGCCTAAACAGAAGCACAAGAAGCATTCGGAATCACCCACAAGTCTCACACTGTCCTCCACTCCCATTGTCACTGAAAAGGTAATGAAAACCCCATGTGAGGTGTTTGCAATGGAGCACCAATATTTGTTTGTTGGTTGGTTGTTTTGGCAAGTGCTGTGATATTTGGTATCGGTGTCTAATATTCAGCTTCTTGAAAAAGCGTAGGAGTTGTTTTCGTGTTTTGAGACCTCATGATTGTGAAGATAAGTGTGTTGATATAAATGTTAGATTCTCAGAAGCCAGAGGGGAGAATAAGCAAGGTTTCAATAGACACACCTGTGTTCTGCATTCCCCATGTAGCCATGAGAAATACAAAACATTATAGTATGGGGCGGGGGGGGGGGAGAGAAACACAACTGCAGTAAATTTTAACCTCACTTTTCAGGTTGCAGAATTCAGTTTTTCTGGGTGTACAAACAAGATTAACCTGTCCTATGATCTTTGGGTGAAGGGTGGTATATAAATTTTAATAATAATAATAATAATTTACCCGAATTCAGGACCTGTGTTTTATACACAGCCCTCCCTTGAGAGTGGAAAAAATAGATCAAGCAAGAGAAGAAAGATAGATGTACAAGTCCTTCCTTGCTGCACCCACTCCAATTTGTTTCAGGTCCTAATTGCACACATTCCCCCAATGCTCTTCCCTTCACTTCCCCACCACAAGCAAGCTCTGAGCCCTGAGAAGCTCATATTGCAGCTGTCTGCTGCTGATGACATAATCGCTAAGCTAAACCCTTGAGTGATTTCAGAAGCATGTCACAGCTCGTTCCTGAAGAACATGTTTCACTTCAGGCCTTCCGTAGCATTAATAATCTAATCGCAGAGCTTTGCTTTGCTCTCTCTCTGTCTCTCAAGCCTGATTGTAAACCAGGTGAAACGACTGGGCTACATTTTCTAGGGCCAAATCTCACATTACTTAATCTTCATCAGGGTTAGCCCATTAGGCTAAGTAGGGAAGTGAAAGCCTGCCGGAGGAATTCCATTTCCAGCTCTGTTTTCCAAGCCTCTGGCAGCAGATTTTCTATGGAAAAATCAATCTCTTGGCTTGAATTTCAGGCAGTTCTGTTTGTGCTATGATTGCTTCAATGCTGCCAATTGCTTGGTTCAATAAAAAGCCCCATATGTGTTCACACATAGGTTTTTGTTCACATGCGTAATGCATAATAATTGGGCTTTGAGGCTGGAGATGGGCAGTGGTTTTTTTAAAGAGCTGAAAGTGGTCCAAGAGAGAGGAATCTGTTTCTGTAGTCATTGCACACATACTTCTTTTGTCCCACTGTTACCTCTGGCCAAGCAGGTTTTGCAGGGTTTTGAAACAATACAAACTACTGCAAGACCTGTTTACCAGAGCTAAAAACGGGATGCGTGTATTTGCTGCAGAAGCAGTTATCCCTCTTTCAAACCACTTGATCTAGTTCCATCCTTAAGATAAACATTTTGACTTACTTTGTACCAGATTGCACTGTAGGATGGGCATGGTAGGCTGTTTGAGAGCGTGCATATTTTAAGTCATGTAGTGAGATGATGTTGCCGGATTTTTTGAGATTGTAGGATGTGGTTTGATGTTCAGATACCACAAAAATGCAGCTGGTATGAAACAAAGTGATTAGCGGTGCAATCTGAACTCCCTCAGGAAGAAGGGTAGGATATAAATTTAATAATAATAATCTTATGTATGTCTACACATGCATTATTGGAGGGGATTATTGGGTTGTCTTTGGTTTTGTTTTTATTGTGTATTTTGTGTTTTCTATATTGTGATTTTATGTTGTGAACCGCCCTGAGATCTATATGTATAAAGTGGTATGGAAATTTAATAAAATAGTGGCAAGAAGTGCCAGCTGGTTACCCACCCTGAACCTTTGCCAGCTCTTGGACCTATGCTCCTTATAATGTAGCTTAGGGGCTCAATGACTGGGGGCACCAGCGGGCTAGGAAATCAGCTTCCTCCCTTGAAGACCATGGGAACAAAATAATGCCTAAATCTGCAGTAGGACCTTGAAGTATGGTTCTCATTAGTTTGCTGCAGGCCTCATCCATATAGGTGCAGGGTGTGGAGCGTATAAGCGGGACCCTTAGTAGAGCTTGCTTTCACTTCTTGAAAACATCATTTGTTTAACCATCAGAAACCCCTCTGCTAATGAGTAATTCCTGGGGAAACTGTCGTCTGCCCTGCAATCCTATCCTGCTTAATTAAACTAGATTGTTTTAATTGGATCTAGCATAGCCTGAATGTGGATTTATATTCTTGTGGGATTAGTTTAGTTCAACTGTTGTTCTCCAAAAGTTTGTCCAGAAGGGGCCTGGTCACCCCCTTTCGCCTCTCTACCTTGAAATGATGTCTATTTCATGTGAATGGATTTAAATATGTGTGGAGATGCTTAATAGAGATTGTGTGCATCCACATGGATTGGATGAGGTGCTCAATGTGTGTAAGCCTCCACCACCATATTGTTAATGTTGATCAGATAGACTAAGTGCTTGGTAACGGCTTCATGTCAGAGGTAAATATCAGTCATGGATAATCTGTGAAAAAAGTATTTAGTGAAGGCATGTGAATAGAGTTTCCAAGGTCATTTTGTGGTTAGAACCAATGGGGCCAACTGCGGAGTTTTGTAATGTGTGAACACTGGGGACAAGAGATTAGAAACCACATGGTATACCATGGGTAGCCAATGTGGTGCCCTCTAGATGTTGCGGACAGCCAGGGATGTGGGTGGTGCTGTGGTCTAAACCACTGAGCGTCTTGGGCTTGCCGATTGGAAGGTCGGCGGTTCAAATCCCTGTGACGGAGTGAGCTCCCATTGCTCAGTCCCAGCTCCTGCCAACCTAGCAGTTCGAAAGCACGCAAGTGCAAGTAAATAAATAGGTACTGCTGCGGCAGGAAGGTAAATGGCATTTCCATGCGCTCTGGTTTCTGTCACAGTGTTCCGTTGCACCAAAAGTGGTTTATTCATACTGGCCACATGACCTGTCTTTGGACAAACGCTGGCTGCCTCGGCCTGAAAGTGAGATGAGTGCCGCAACCCCATAGTCGCATTTGACTAGACTTAACTGTCATGGGGTCCTTTATCTTTACCTTTGTGGACGACCTCATCCTAACATCTCTGATAATTGGCCATCCTGGCTGTGGGACGTATCAGTGGTCAGAGCCAATATTTCTGCACTCTCAACCCTTTCCTAAATTCAAAGCATATTCCTTGTTCAAAAATATTAACCAGCTAATCACAAACTGAATTTTAACAGCGGAACAAGAACTCATTTATGTTATGTGTCTTATAGCATCCAGTGTCAATGACTTCCATTAGCGAAATGCACACTTTCAGTCTTAACCTGCCTTCCTGGGAATATTCTCAAGTTTGGAGAGAGAGAGAGAATGAATAATCCCCCCCTCACTCTCTCTCTGCTGCTTGTAAGCCTCCAAAGTGTCCGTCCCTTAGACATTGTGGAGTACAGAATGGGCTGAGAATCTTCACATGGAACTTTTCCCACTCTGCCACCTGCGTGGCTCCAAGAATCCTGGAAGGAGTTAAAATTGGCCATTAAGAAAATTATGTAGCTGGGTAAGACAACCTGTTAGGAGGCCCAGAGCTGGAACTGCAAACAGCAGGATATCTCTCCAGGTCAGGACAAGGGTGAGGCCACAGAGATATGTGGGAGACCCAGGGGGAGGGTGGCAGGGCGGGGCTGGGCTGGGCTGGGGGGGCTGTTTGAGACAGGTCAGGATTACACAGCATTAGTGAAATTTCTCTTTGGGGCCTGTCAAGGGTTCAAAATGAGCACATCTAGGGTAAAGCAGCATAGTGCATGTAAGGCAATACCTCTCAAATCCAAAGATCTGAGGATAGTTTAAAATAAGTGTATGGTGATTGTGCAAGCGCTTGCTCAAACACACAAACTAGGTTGTTTTAATTTAGCGTATTTTTCCGTCTATAAGACGCCCCCTATTATGGGGGACTCCGATTTAAGAAAATGGGGGGGAGATACTATCCGTGTATAAGACGAGCCCCAATTTTGAACCTTATTTTAGAGTAAAAAAACATAGTCTTATACACGGAAAAGTACGGTAGTTTAGGAGTTGTGGTGTTTCTCCTGTGCCATCCATGTACATGGCACACACTAACATGGGGAAATATGACAAGATACCTGCCCCAAGAAGCTTACAATCTACATATTAATAGCACTAGAGGGAGCACTAGAGGCAGGGGAGGGTGGAGATAAAGCTGTTCGGGGGCGACTGTGAGTAAGCAGGAATATGCTTACTCAATTAGACTCCCTTTCAATTCAGGATGAGGAGTAAATGATTTATTTTTGCTACTAATTAGCAGTAATGAGTGCAATATAATAACAAATCATCATCGTTGTTGTTGTTCTTTTCTATTTCTGCCCCCCCCCCCGCCATATCCAGGTTAGACATAACATTGTTAGCAAATTAAAGTCCAGAAACATGAAAAATACAGGTGGAAACAATTGTTCGAATGCTTACTCATATGTTACAATGTCCTGTTTGGAGATATTAGCTGGATCGCTTAGAGGGAGGGGAAGATAACAGACTGTGTTTAGGGAACAGGCACACTTTCGTCATTGGGGAGAGCTGCCCCCCTCCACCTGCAGTTTTTTTAAACCTCAGAATTGCTTATTGCAACTATCACTGCTTTATGGAGACATTCATGCCTTTCTGGCATCGAACTCAAACCACATCTTGGATCTGCTTGCATGCTTGGAAATTTAAGGAGCAAAGACTCCAGTGTTTAATAGGCCTGGAAACAAAGGCTCAATAATGAATGTGCACATACAGATGTAAGCAGCTCACCCACTTGCTCAGCCACAGCTCTTATTTTACAGCTGTTGCTATATCCACATGATGCGCACTGAGTATCCCTTGGGATACATTCATGTGCAGTAACATGTGGCCAAAGCTGCAGCTTCCCACCAAGAAATTGTCAGACTGCAGGTGGCACATTTCCTCCCCTCACCTGGTGATATAGGAATTGAAACATTTGCTTCCAAGTAGCTGCATCCACACACGACCTGATGAGCCCTTGGTAAGGGGAGCTGTCGTCATATGAAGGATACTTTGAACATCTGAATTAGCGGACCGCACTTTCAAATACAGTGGTACCTTGGTTTAAGAACATCTTAGTTTATGAACAGGGATTAAGAACTCTGCAAACCCGGAAGTAGGTGTTTTGGTTTGTGAACTTTGCCTTGGACGCAGAACATGTTTCGCTTCCTGTTGAGTGTGTTCTATTTGTAAACGGAGTCTGCCGCTGTTATGGGAAAGCACATCTCGGTTTAAGAACGCTTTGGTTTAGGAATGGACTTCCGGAACCGATTAAGTTCGTAAACCAAGGTACCACTGTGCAGTTTGAGGAGTCTCAGTTTACCATCAGGTTCATGAACATCTCTGGAGAGTGGGGCTGCAATAGCTGTGGGTGTTTACAGTTTGGGGAGGAGGAAGAATAGCTTTGGGAGTGAGAATGTGGTTGGGTACGGCAGCTTCCGTGCCCTCTGCCCCCATCGTGGATGAGGTGAGAATTGCAAGCTGAGAACACACTTAGGTTGCGTCCAGTCTTCCTGAGAACTCTGTCCAAAGTGGGCATGATAGCCGTTTTAGGGTAGTGGGCCCTGTGCTGGTCTTGAGTCCCCAGCAAATGCCCGATTTTACCATCCAGGCAGCAGCAGGGCTAGGAGAGAGTGCCAGCCCTTTGGGCAAATTTGCAGCCTTCACTCATCCAGCAGTGGTAACTCTGACGGGGCAATAGGGGCAGAGTGCTACTGAGATCTCTGCCTTAAGGTCATAACAGTGGCAAGGGTTGCCATATTTTGAAATGGGCAGAAGAAAAATGCAGGGCAAAGGCAAAACCACCTGGACCTGTGTCTAGAAAAGCACAGGACAAGTGGAAAACTGATCAGACCCATGCTTCCTATGCACAGGACAAGTGGAAATTGCCCACAGATAGGACAATAAAAGAAAATGAAGCAGCCAGAGCTCCAGTGCTGTAACTAAGGGCTCGATGACAGCAAAACGACTCAGTTACCTGAAGAAATTAAATAATACTTAAGCTGCCTTCGTGTCTGGGTGGTGTCCTTACCTGGAGAAAAATAATCTGGATTCATTCTGATTACATTGGTGGAACATGGACATCATAGTGGGAGCAGACACAAATGCCCTCTCCCCCTGCATCCCCACCCCCGCTTGTCCCTCAGCAGCTGGTATTCAGTGGAGTGGCTGAAGTTTAGCCATTATGACTAATAGCCATAGACAGACCTGTCCACCGTGAATTTTGTCCAGTCCCCTTTGATCTAAGCCCACGGCTATCACCACGTTTGTGGCAAGTTTCATACATCAGATAGGCACTCATGCAGAAATTTACCAACCACAACAGAGAGACCCAGTGTTCCCCAGGCAGCGACAATTTATATATTGGTTTAACACTGTAGTCTCTAGACAGTGTACAAGCAGGTTACAAAAGACACAGCAGATATGAAATTATTAGGCCTAAAAGACTCTTGTAGGTCAAATATTTGATACATACTACTGAGCTGATAGCTGAACTCCTCCTGCTGCCTCCCGAGCATTGAAGTTCTGTGTAATACCCCGGAGACTCTTGGCTCTGTTGCTGTCTTCCTGGAGATATTCATATCTGCTCAAGTCACATCCTATCCTTTTGTAGAATCTAGAAGTGTATTACCAGGAACTTGGAAGTGAAAGCCCACCTCTCCTGAGGCACGGGAGTCCCATTGCCCATTGCTAAATGCCACTCAGGCTATTAAGACGTGGCAGAGATTGAGGAGCTTCACCTATTTCCTGGACCAATGAGGCAGTAGCAGCAACGACAAGAGAATATCCTCCATCCCAGTGAAGAAAGGCCCAGCTGGGTAGTGGACTTCACTACTCAGCCCAAAGCAGGTGTTCCCACTGGCGCGCCATCAGCTTCCTATGGTTATGTACCGGTTGGGCATATACGATGCAACTATGCCTACATACATGGACTGTTCCCATTATCTCTTGTAAATAAGATGATAGTTCAAGGACAAACAGCAGAGGTGTTAACTGGATTAAATTTTCATATGTACCATTCAGGGATGTGTCCAAGACAAAATCCTACTGACTCACTGTATCCATAAGGGAAAATAGCCCTTTTGTACATGGGCTGCTAAGCAAGAAATAGGCATATAAGTCCACCTTATGAATTGTATTTCCGTGGCACATGCTGTAGTGATAAGCCTGGATTGGCCCAGTTTCCTTCTGTTTTGTGCCCTGGCCCAAGAAGTAGAGTGGGGTGGATGGAATAAGTTCTACTACGGGCACAAAACAACCTGGGAATCCACCTGTCCAAGATTTAAACTATCCAATGAGTTGATACAACTTCCCAGAATGCCAAGACTGTTCCAGATCACAATGATGCCCTTCAGATTCCATGGGAAAGCTGCAAGTTTTCAGTTATGTACAGACAAGGTCTTGTTCTGATTTGAGAATGGAATCATAGAATCATAGAGTTGGAACGGACTCAAAGATGTCCACATTGACGATGATGTCAGTGTTCAGCAAGCATTTGGGGGTGGGGAGTCCTGTGAATCCTCTGTGCTGGGTGCATTGATAATACCATTAAAATGCAAGTTCAGTATTTTGTTTCAGAGTTATCCTGTGTGACAGGATACCTGGCCTACCGCTGGAATGAAATGTCAGCAGATTGGGAGAGTTGTGGGCTACTGCCAGAAATTCACTGTGAATTTAGTTGCCTTGTTGGCTAACCTTTTGACTGATTTGGTTGCGGGGGAAACAAACCATGTGGACAGATACTTTATGGACTTTCGTTTGCAACACATCCCTGCTGTGCTGTGTGCAACAAGCTTCAATAAACTCCATTGTTCACACTGATGCCTCTAAGTTGTTGTGCCTGAACAACAGATCCCTCCCATACTATCCCTGAGATACAAACTCTCCCATCACGAGTGAATGAAAATAATTTAAACTCCACAGGGTGAGAGCATGCTCTGGTTTAGAACTGGGATCCTCTCAGGTGAGAGAGGAGAATTAGATAGTCCATTGGGTGTGAGGCATGACTCTATTAATGCTTCAGAGATGGGTAGAGTCTCTTGCCTGTGTATGCTTGGCAGCGATCCTTTTTGGGTCGTAACATTGAGTGTGAGTGGTTTTGTGTCCGAGTGGTTGGTAGTGAATGATTGCAATGGTTGTGAGTGAGGCTGACTGAGTGCTTGGGTGAATAAACGTGTGTTGCGTTATGCTGCTTTGCAATGCTCTCTGGTTTTGTTTATTGTGATAACCGTTTCTATATGTGGATGTTGTTTGTGCATTTGTTCTGTTACTATATAAATAATTTGAGATCGTTTTTATTGTACTTATTGTGTTTATATATTTTCAAATGCCTTTTTTCACTCTACAGTATTGTGAACTGCTTCGAGGTCTTTTACTAGTAAGCAGTCTATAAAGGCAAACCATCATGGTCACTGAGAGAGAGGCTGTGGCAACAACCAACATTACTTAGGGGGAGGTGTCTTCATTGCACATAAACAACCCCTACCCCTCCCTCATACAGTGGTATCTTTCCCTCTAGGGCTTCCCTCCCACTTCCTTTAAGGTGGTTCATCAGGCCAGGCACCGCCATGATACATGGGATTTTTTTTGTCCCTGACGACGAATCACTGCCCTGATATCTCTGATCTCTAAGGAGTTACCTCCTAGCCATTAATACCTGGACAACAAATTCTTATTGAGTTCATTGTCTTACTGTTTTTTTTCTCAGTCCCTGCAAGGAATTATGGGGTCACCATTTCTGGAATGGAGTGTTTTGATGAGGGTGTTCAGGAAAGATTGTCTCTGCTTCTTCTTCGCGGTTTTCTCCTCTTTTCTCTCCCTCCCTCCCTCTCTCCCCCTCCCATGTGTTCTCTTGGCTTATACTAGTGCAATTAGACTCTCTCTTTCATCACCCATGGAGTCGCCTGGTTCACGGAGCTGTCTGGAGCTGACATGCTAAGAAGATTATTCTCAAGGTCTCAGTGAAACTTAAAACCTGGCTGCTTAGCTTGGGTTGTAGACAATTAACCCTCTGTTTCCTTTAAATAATAAAAAAAAGAGGGAGAGGGAAGCCCCATCAGACTTTTATTGCATGTAGACAATGAGGGAGAAGGAAAAGAGTCTCATCAGAGATGAGGCAGCCTGATCCATTATTGGGAAATTAGGTGAGAAAAGGCCAACACCTTACCCCTCTCCACAAACACATCCATGTAAATAAACATGGGGCATGGTCCATCAGGCAGTTCTGACAAGTCCCATTGAAATTGTCATAGAATCATAGAATTGGATGGGACCCCAAGGGTCATCTGGTTCAACCCCCTGCAATGCAGAAAGAGCTGTGCAAGAGTGCAATAGTTCATTTCACTGCAGCTTAACAATAACAACAACAATTTGTTATTTCTACCCCAGCCACTCTGGGCGGCTCCCAACAGAATATTAAAACATGATAAAACATTAAAAACTTCCCTAAATGGGGCTGCCTTCAGATATCTTCTAAAAGTCAGAGAGTTGATTATTTCCTTGACATCTGCTGGGAGGGCATTCCACAGGGCAGGCGCCACTACCGAGAAGGCCCTCTGCCTGGTTCCCTGTAACCTCACTTCTCGCAGTGAGGGAACCGCCAGAAGGCCCTCGGAGCTGGGCCTCAGCATCCGGCCTGAACGATGGGGGTGGAGACGCTCCTTCTGCTTGTGCAGAAGAACTTCTTGGTGGATTATGCCCTGTGTTAAATGGTAAGAGAGGTAGGTGCCTTTTAGATTGACCACCTCATGTACCAAATTGGCTTGTGGCCAATGCTGCTTATCTGATCTAAGGAGGTAAGTAGCCTTTTGTGAAAGCAGAACCTCACCACACACACACACACACACACACACAGCCCTATGCTTTAGTGACTGCCAGCTAAGTATGCAACATCCTATTGTTTTGTTGTCCTGTCTGGCAAAAAAACACCCACACAAAACAAAAAAAACCTGTGTTTGAATGAGGGCTGATCTGACCAGTCTTGGCATGAATGGTTTTAATGATCTTGTGAATAAGGAATGATACTGTGCTCTGATGAATGCAGATTGACGCATCTGTGGCAAAAGCAATACCTTGAAAACTTGCCAGTAAACACAGCAAGGTTTGTGATCTCAAGGCATGTAGTTGGAAGTACAACCTGCCTTCTTGTCTGGAAAAAACCCCCAACCCTGATCTCATCCATCAGCGTCTCAAAAGTGAAGGAGAGAAATGGATTCAGCTTTGGCACCTGCACCTATGGCTCCTTCCAAGATGTACAGGAATAAGCCTTCTCCCTGCTAAACTCAATGCTGGAGAAAGGGCAAGCACGCAGCCCTTGGCTTCCACAGCCCAGTGCCAACAATGCTGGTTGTCTCCTTTTGATTGGCTGGGAAAGAGAGAATTTGTGGTACCGTTGCTAAGGCAGCCAAATTTGTATTCTGTGCCAATATGCAAATAAGTAGGTGATTTCAAAGCCTATTCAGCAAAAAATTAGTTCAAGCTTTTACTTTTTAAGCAAACCAATCTGGTGGGAGAGGGATATTTCCCATCACATTACTATTTTTATTATTACTGTATTATGTTATTATTTTTCGCAGATTTGCTTCTGTTCCTCACTCGTTTTCTTGTCGCATCTTAGAAAGGGTATCCTAGTGCTGGAAAAGATTAAAAAGAAACAGGATGACAAAAACGATTGCTGGGGTTGCAGCATCTCCTACATACGAGAAAAGTGTTTGGGGTTGTTTAGAAAGGAAGGAGGCAAGATTAAGGTTTATTACATTAAGTGTTTCATAGCCGTGAAGCCCTTTTTTAGCTTCACGGTTGCTGCATGGCACTGAACTTCTTTCGCAGTTTTGAATAACTTTTGAGAGGAATCCTGTATCTTTGAAATAACAAGGATCCACAGTGAGGAGGGTCAAGTTCTGCAGTAAATATAGCTTTTGCCCCCGGACCACTATTCAGAGAAGAGAGAGACCCTTGGAGGAGAAAACAGCCATCCCTGCATTAATCCATTAATCAATAAACCGCTCGGAATCTATAAATGCTAAAAGGAAATACTGAATTTTCTTTCCTTCAGCAGGACTAATAGGTTTTGCATCTACAGGCACTGCCTCCTTTTCTCTTATTGCTGATAACAACAAGGCAAGATAGCCTCTTTTACACTTGGGGGAATCCATACCCTGCTTTCTCTCTCTCTGCAATGTAGTTGAATTGAGGTCTCGGTCTACGCATGCGGCAGAATGAGATTACAGATGAGAAATAGCGTTTATGAATGACACAAAGCCCATATTAAAAACATAATAAGGTAAACCTGATTCTATGATTCTCCCTGCAAATGGAAAATCAGCACATGATTGAGGAGCAAAGTTTTTTGCCTACCATGTTGATTTTCTATTTGCAGGGAGTTTTTAAGCACATAGGAGCTTTCGAAAATGGGATATCCCCCCCCACCTTCCTGAAGTGGTGCAGTCCACTTTGATGCCTTGTTCTGCTGCCTAAATCTGCATCCTTTCACTCCTCTACCCCACTCTGGACGCCCACCCCACCCTGGCAGCTGCAGACATTCTGATTACTTGTTGACAGGCATTCAATACATTGCCACAGATGGAGACCCTCAACATCTGGCTCTCCAAATTGAAAACTTTCTCTCTCTCTCTCTCTCTCTCTCTCTCTCTCTCTCTCTCTGCCGTTTGCCCCTCTTGGTTTATGATCCCTCCCCAGCCTCCATAATCCAGGTCAGGAGGCTGTGACGGAGGAAGAAGTATTTTAATTGGATGCTCTCATGCCATAGGCGGAGTTCCCACTGGGTTTCCTAGTGTCACCAGAGATTGCAGCTGACCTAAATCCTTTTGGATATAAAGCAAGTCTGAGAAAGAAATTTTAAGGAGGGCTTTAATTTCCCGACTTGAGAGGGGCTCGCTGTTTGAGCCTGCCTGGAAGTCATATTCCCCTAACTTGAAAGCTCTGTTCCCCATTCTCGGATATTTGTGGGTTAGTCACGAGAGGGAAAATACTCTACACATGCACAGTGGTGCTCTTATCTTCATTATTGTTTCACACATCTCTGGGCATCTTCCTTACACTGGAAAAGAACTTCTAGAACTGTTTCCCTAGCTCAATTTTCACCCTTTTTTGACCTTCCGTTTGCAAATATAAGAATTGGCTTGCTGGATTAGACAAGGAGTATTTTTAGTCCAGCATGTTGTTTACTGCAGCGACCAACTGGGTGCCTCTGGAAGCACACAAACAGAGCACAGTTGAGACATCCTGTTGTGTGTTCCCAACACCTGATAATCTGATATCATTCCTCATGTCATGGAGGTTCAGTTTCACTATTATAGTTCCTGGCTATGGATAGACTTAGCTATCTTCCAGGAAGGAATTGGTCTAATGCATTTCTGTACAATCTGTATATTGCTTTGTATATTTTAGTTGTCTGTATGCACTCATCAGGGATGGCATGTTTTCTACCAGTTGCTTGTATGGGGTTTTCTGTGTATTTGCAAATGCTGCTGAATAATGCATCTCATTTCACACTCAGTAGGTGACAACCTTGTTGGGGCGGGGGTGGTGCTGTGGTCTAAACCACTGAGCCTCTTGGGCTTGCCGATCAGAAAGTTGGCGGTTCGAATCCCCACAACGGGGTGAGCTCCCGTTGCTCGGTCCCTGCTCCTGCCAACCTAGCAGTTCGAAAGCATATCAAAGTGCAAGTAAATAAATAGGTACCGCTCCGGCGGGAAGGTAAATGGCGTTTCCGTGCGCTGCTCTGGTTCGCCAGAAGCGGCTTAGTCATGCTGGCCACATGACCCGGAAAAACTGTCTGTGGACAAACGCCAGCTCCCTCGGCCAATAAAGCGAGATGAGCGCTGCAACCCCAGAGTCATCCGCGACTGGACCTAACGGTCAGGGGTCCCTTTACCTTTATCCTAACTTGGGAGGAACAGAGAGCCCATCGCCATATCTGAAGTCCTGCAACCTTGCATCATCCAGGATGGAAGTTTTAGTGTTCCATTGCGCCAGAAGCAACTTAGTCATGCTGGTCACATGACCCGGAAAAACTGTCTGTGGACAAACGCCGGCTCCCTCAGCCTGTAAAGCGAGATGAACGCCGCAACCCCAGAGTCGTCTGCGACTGGACCTAACTGTCAGGGGTCCTTTACCTTTACCTTTTTAAGTGACAACCTTTTTTATGAATAGTATCGTATTGGTTGGAATATAGGCCACACTCCCCCCCTACCCCAAATCTGGCTTGTATAAAACTTGAGTGTTGCCTATAATAATCCTCTTGTAGGTAGAGAGGTCGTGATTTAAGAGCTCTCCTGGGTATGTGTGTCTATATATTGGGGGGGGGGCTTATATTTGGACCAGTATAGTAATAATAATTTAGAAAAGGCTTTTAATTTGCAAGGTGTTTTACCAACCATACCTTCTTCCTCTTCACAACACCTATACTGACACACTGTTCAGCCATGGAATACCTCTGCAACAGGATACATGTCTGCTCTGTGTTCCTTGTTTCGTAGGCAGATCTTGCTCTGCTATCATTTATTTATTTAAAGTTAAATAATATTTACCCTGCCCTTTAGCTTAAAAAGAAAGGCACTCTGAGCATCTTGGAAAGATCAGTAATAAGATATCCTCTGTCCTCGGGTTTATGGTTTAAAAAATAAGCTACCAAAGGAAAAACGGTTTGGGATGGAGGAGGAATATAGCAAACCCAGGCACTAATTCTTAATTACATAGTTTGTATAATGGCCTGCTGGGAAGGAAACAACTTGAGGAGAGGGGAGCCAAAAGTTGCTGGTCTCTCCATAGAGCAGATGGAGTGGCCCTGTTCCTCTTCTCTTCTCTCCTCTTCTGCAACCTAATGAAGGAACCTGATGGAGCAGGTTTCTCAGCAGAGCTGATGGTGGAACCAACCTGCCTCCCTTTCCCTCCTCTGCCGTATCCTGATGGGCCTGTTGGCCGAGCAAGGCAGCTGCTGCAGCGACTGCAGCTGCACATTTTGGCGGCCAGTTGTCCCATTATTAAGTTTGTTATTTATACATTTTGGGGTGGTGTGCCCTTTGGATTTTCTGCCTGGGCCACCCCAAAATTGGGACCCATCTCTGTCCGCAAGACTCCTGCTGGGTCAAATTAATGGCCAGGAGCTTTTGTGGTCCCTGGGCAGGAAGAGATTTTCCCTCCCCTTTGCTTCCCTTTTAGTTTGGAAGCCTGCAGGCAGGAGCCGTTCCTACTTCATCATCTGAAGCTGCCCTTACAACTGGGCCAGGCAATTTGGTCTGTCTAGCACAGCCTAGATCAGCTTTCACCAACCTGCAGATCAGCTTTGGAGCTGATGAGGGTTGCAGCACAAAACATCCTCAGGGCACTAGGTTGGTGAAAGCTGATCTGGCACAACATTGCCTACCTCTCCCTGACATGCTGCTTTTGTGTGTGTTAGATTACTAGTATCAGCAGCAGTCACAGTATTTAATGGAGAAGCATCTGATGGTGTGAGCTCTCACCTGCATCCAATGTAACACTTCTCCTTGACATCCTAGTTCTCTATGTGAGGAGGACCTATGGAAAGATTCAGACATCTGACCAACACAAAGTCTGAAGTTGTACAGCATAGGCAGTGAACCACTCAAATCTGTGCACCATTCTGGACACAGGACCCCCCCATTTTATTCCTTTCTTTTGGGCTTGGCTCTGTTTGCTCTGACAAAACAAGACAGAAGTCCCCTCTGACAAGCTATTGCTCTCTTCCCAGCAGCTTCTTGCATTTCGCTCCCAGTTTCACTGTATCCCTTTTGTCTTGTTTGCAGGAGAAGAACCCTCAACTGGGTTTGATTGTTTATTGTTCTTTCCTCCTCCTCCTGCTGTCAGAGTAGTGCTAGTCTAATCCGAGGCGCACAATTCAGCTGCCGCTGGTTGTTTTTTTTTTATAATTCTCTCCTCCCCACTCCACCAGCATCCAGCTTCCTTGCTTCTTCCTCCAGTCTCTGTCATTCCTTGTAGCAGCTCATCTCACAAGCCAGAATCTGGGAGATGTTCCACTGCTTTATGGAGCAGATCCTGCCTCCAAGTACAAGGGACGGGAGTGCTGGCTGAAGGTGGCTGTGAATCAGGTATACTCTCTCTCCAGGTGGTAGCTTGTGGCTGTGGGTGCTCTGCTTGTCTTTGTGTCTAAGCTCTCGTTGATTGTTTGATTGCTCTCTGAATATTGCTGAGAATGTGTCTTGGGAGATTGGGAGCGATTCGCAAGGAGAGAAGAAGGGTGAACTCGCTCGATCTGGGGGTAGTGCTTCTAAATGGTTGAAGCAAAGTCAAGGAACTGAGGGTGATCAGGGTTTTTGTGCCCCTACTGAAGAATAGATCCACACTCTACATTTAAAGCTACATTCACAGACATTTGGAGCACATGACTTTCCCCAGAGAATCCTGGGACCTGTAGTTTCCCCTCATAGAGCTATAGTTCCCAGCACCCTTAAACTACAATTCCTAGGATTCTTTGATAGGGGAGAACCCTGTGCTTTTAATGTGCATTGGATATGCTTTAAGCATATGGTGTGAATAAGTTATTCCAGTTGCTATCAGATGCCTAGCTGGCTGGACATCACCCAACAGGCCAAGGGAGCAAAAGAAAGAACTAGAGAGGCCAGAGCAAAAAATTGATCAGGTGTGAGTGAGGAAGTCCTGGCTTGCAGACAGACTAGGGGATGACCTGCATTAGGAAGGGTTTATATAGAACTCCCACTGGCATCCAGTCAGAATGTAAGGCTGGGAGCCAATGAGGACATGGAAGGTCCCTGTTCCAACAGGGGAAGTTGGAGAACTTCCCATGAAGGATGAATGGCCGAAGTCTCTGTCTCTAGAGATGAGTAGAACTCGACTCCCACCTAAGGAGACAAGCACTATTTGTATAGGATAGCGACAAGCTGGTCTCATACATTGGGTGCCTTTGTTTGAACTTAAATTGAAAAATCTTAACTTCTCATCAGCAGTCCCCTAAAACATCTGGGTTCCTCTACTTAACTGCTTGCTGTTTGAAATTTTAATGAATTTTCCACTCAGGATTCATTTTCTGAGTCAGGTTTTTGCCCAGCATTAATACATTATTATTCACTCCATCACCTTTTGGCCTGACGGATTAAAAAGAAGGCCTTTGATGTGGATTCTGGGTTATTTCCCACCCACGTATGACTTTGTATGTGTTGTGCATGGGTTCCAAAATACTTTTGCAGGGAGAGGAGCTGATGAGAAGAAGGAAATTCTTTGGGCTTCTCTTTCAGAGGTGTGGTTAGTGAGGTCAGTGTGCCGGCTGAACCTGCTTGGGATATGGGTCATTTTTGCGGTTCCTTAGAGGGTTTAGCATAGTTGACTGCTGCTCTTGCATTGTCCCATCTCTTTTCTGCTTCCCCTCCATTTGGCAGATGTGGTTGTCAAAGATCACCCCCCTGCCGCCCCAAGTTCGTAAATCAGAAGGGTTTAACTTTTTAACATCCCAGGAGTTGCTGGCCTGGAGAAGGCACAGGCCTCCCGCTTTAGATTTTCACCCCTCTCTTTTCCACGTACTTCTGGCACATCTGGAATGCATTTTAACCTCCCAGCTGTTGTACGGTGATAGCTTGATTACACACCGCCGGGGAAATGGAGATTTTGGTTTTTTTAAACCGTGTATCAAAAGTTTTTGCACTGCACACTACTTTTTTCAGGGAAGTCATCTGGAAGAATTCTTGATTGCCCACAGGGGGCCACCTCACAGTCTGGCTAATAATTGCTGCAACTTTTTTAAAAAAAACCACACACATCAAGTTTCTAGTCCTTACTTTGAAAGCTCTTCAACTTTTGCTTTCCCCCTTAGGCCCTTACAATGACTCGTTGCTCTCAAATGAAGGCTGTGTGCACATGGAAGTTCCAAGTGGATTAAATGCAGCCCGTGTATGTGTGTGCTTTTTGCTTTGCCTGCACAATGTCATTCTCATTGGAGTGGCAGCCTTTACTCCCTGCCCACATTTAATTCGTATTTTCCCAGTTTGTAGATAATGCAGTAAAGGGGGGGGGCAGGAAATCTAACAGAAGATTGCATGTTACCCAAGTGTGGACATACTGAAGCACATTGTGTAGACAGGAAGTGGGTTTTTCATGTGTGTGGTGACCTTTTGCTGGGTATCATCTATGCCCACATCCTCTGCTTCTGTAGGTGAGGCACTGCTTGCTGGACTGCTAGAGAGGCTGGGTGTGGCATACTTTTTTTAAAAAAACAACTTGCTGTTTTGTGCAAGTTTGGTATATCAGAAAACTTGTGTTTCAGAAATAAAAATAAATAATTGGGCACCTCATATTTCTGGAAGTCAGCTGTGTACTTCTTGTACCAACTCTGATGGTTGAATGCTTATCATTAAATTATCTTCCTAATGATACTGTATTTTATTGTATTACAGTGGTACCGCGAGTTACATATGCTTCAGGTTACACACTCCGCTAACCCAGAAATAGTGCTTCAGGTTAAGAACTTTGCTTCAGGATGAGAACAGAAATTGTGCTCCGGCAGCGCAGCAGCAGCAGGAGGCCCTATTAGCTAAAGTGGTGCTTCAGGTTAAGAACAGTTTCAGGTTAAGTACGGACCTCCGGAACGAATTAAGTACTTAACCCGAGGTACCACTGTATTCTGAAAAAGACTGGTGTTACGAGTCATTAGACCGAAGAAATAGCAACTTTTCCTAAATGTATCCACAATTTTGGCGACTAGCATAATTGAACGATGTCACTAAGGGCAACCAACTTGGATGGCTTTAAAAAATAATAATAATAATAATAATAATTCATTGAGGATAAGTCTTATCATTGGCTACTAACCCTGATGGTTATGTTGGAGGCAGCAATGTTTCAGTTTCTGGAAACCTCTGGAGGGGATAGCGCTGTTGCACTCAGGTTATGCTCAGAGGTTTCCCATAGGCATCTGTTTGGCCTCTGTGGAAGCGGGACCCTGGAATAAATGGGCCACTGAACAAAATGGACCACTGACTGGCCTGATGTTCTTAACAAGAATTTTAGGGTTTGAGCTCCAAAGATTCCTGATAGCAGTAGCACGTTCCAAAAATGTCCCAAATTCACATGTATTAGGTGTGATGTATTCAAGACAATATCAGCTCAATGTCTCAAATCTCTCTCTCCTTATGTCATGTGTCCATTTCAGCAGACTTCCACCAACCACCACGAGAGCAGTAAAGAAACCGCAGAGGTCATTCGGTCGGAAGTGAAAGGCAAGAAGTCTTCAAGCCATGGCACAAGCCACAAGGCCAAGAAGTCAGGAAGTGGGAAAAGCTCGACGGGTTTTGGCACATCCTCTTCCAGTGGGACATTTCCACCTGCAGGTGAAGCATGGGAAGGAACTGGGAGCCAGTAGGGTCAGCCATGACAGTGGGCTTCAGTCCATTAATATAAATGAGTCTGTTATGAATAGGACTTAGTTGGATGCAACCTGATAGTAACTAGCCATATGAATGTAAGTGCATGCAATTAGACATGCTAAGTCTTCTTTTCAGTTGATGCATTCAGTGTGTGTGAGGGGGTGTCCCCAGATGTTTTTTGGACTACAAGTGCCATCAGCCCCCAGCCCACACCGCCAGTGGTCAGGGATGATAGGAATTGTAGCCCAACACAATCCAGAAGGAACCACGTTGTCCACCTGGTGGGTTTTGCCTTTTCGATTGCAGTCTTCGTCAACCATCCAGCAAGTGAGAAGAGCATCTAGTTTTTTTCAACTGTGAGCAGTGAGGCTTTCTCCAGCGGTGCCTTCTGCACCTTTAGGCATTTTGCAAGCAAACAAATGAACACGTAGACTTAGATCTGTGACAGCTATAGCTCTGATGCCTCATCTCTGCCTGCTTAAGGTTTCAAGATTTCCCTTGATCCCCTTCCAGGTACCTCATGCAGCTCCTTGCCCTTCTCCCAGGACTTCGTAACCTTCCCAAAGCTGGAGCAGCAGCAGCAGCAGCAGCCAGAGGAAGAGAAATACCGCAAGCCTGTCTCTTCCTCCTCGTCTTCCGCTCATTGCTCCCCATTGTACGAAGGGCAGAAAAGCGACGTCTTTGAGCAAAAGGTGATCTTCTCGGGTTTCGGCTCCATCATGCGCTTCTCCACTTCGGCCGTCAGCCAGCAGAGGGGGCACGACGCTTCCCCCGTGGACTACAAGGTCTCCAACTCTATTGGGGGCACCTCTGGCGGGAGTGGCGGCAGCAGTGGTGGCAGCCACAAACGGATGCCGTCCCTCAACGTTGAGGAAGGAGAAGTCCTGAAGGAAAAAAAGCACAAGGCCAGCAAGAAAAGCAAGCATGGGCCAGGGAGGCCCAAAGGGAGCAAGAACAAGGAAGTCCTGGGCGCCCAGCTGGTTGGATCCACAGCTACGTCGTCTTCGCCCTTCTCCGGGGGGTCCCTGGTCAGCTCCAGCATCGGAGGGTCCTCTCGGTCTTTCAGCCATGCAGCTGCCCTTCCGAGCCTCAGTATGGAATCTCCGCTTCTGGGATCAGGTAGGTACCACAGCCTCTAGGCAGGATGCTGCATATCCTATTGGTTTTGGCTTCTGGTGCAGAGTTCTGAGGCTCTCAGCTTGAAAAAACAAAACAAAAGAAACCAAGAGTGAAGGCAGGTATTTACGTCTATCTGTCTAGAGAAATAAGGGACGTGGGTGGCGCTGTGGGTTAAACCACAGAGCCTAGGACTTGCCGATCAGAAGGTCGGCGGTTCGAATCCCCGCGATGGGATGAGCTCCTGTTGCTCAGTCCCTGCTCCTGCCAACCTAGCAGTTTGAAAGCATGTCAAAGTGCAAGTAGATAAATAGGTACTGCTCCGGCGGGAAAGTAAACAGCGTTTCCGTGAGCTGCTCTGGTTCACCAGAAGCAGCTTAGTCATGCTGGCCACATGACCTGGAAGCTGTATGCCGGCTCCCTCGGCCAATAAAGCGAAATGAGCACCGCAACCCCAGAGTCGACCACGACTGGACCTAATGGTCAGTGGTCCCCTTTACCTTTACCTATCTAGAGAAATATGAAGTGGTTGCAGTGGGTTCTTTACCCACAGAGCGAACCTGACATTGCAACTCTGTAAAATGCAAGCAAACACACAAGCAAGTTGAACAGCTTCAGTCTCGCCTCTGTCATCATGTGTCAGATGAGCTGTCTGCTTTTATAGGCAAATCTGTATGCGTGTGTGTGTGTGTGTTGGAGATGACATGCATGCTAGCCAGTAGGCAGTCGACGAAGTCCAAATATAACCCGTGCCAGAGAAGCTGTGATAAAAAGTTGCAGAACTTCTCATTACCCCATCGCCATCGGTGTTCACCGCAGTGCTGGGGAAATTTGTGTGTGTTTTGAGGGTAGCAAAGGTGCTATCAACCCTAAGTTTCCAGTCGCCATCCAAGTCCTTAGTAGCTGTGGAGATAAGGTTTGCAACGTGGATACTAATACTGAGAGAACAGGATACTAGACTAGATTGACCTTTGGTCTGATTCAGAAGGGTGTCCTTACCTTGCGATATCTCAGGCTTTAAAACAGTGTTTCCCAAACTTGGGTCTCCAGCTGTTTGGGGACTACAACTCCCATCATCCCTAGCTGGCAGGACCAGTGGTCAGGGATGATGGGAATTATAGTCCGAAAACAGCTGGAGACCCAACTTTGGGAAACACTGCTTTAAAAGACACATTAATGAAGGACAGGGCCATCAGTGGCTGCCAACTGTGATGGATGTGTTCTGCATCTACTGTTGAAGGCAGTATGCCTCTGTAGACCTGTTGCTGGGAATCAGAACTGAGGAATAGTGCTGTCGTACTTAGGTCTGGTTGGCTTTTATGAGAACAAGATGTTGGGCTAGCTGGCCCTTCTGTTTGATCCAGTAAGGCTCTTCTTATGTTCTTACCTGGTGAAATCTCAGAGCCGCTTCCTGCGCTGTTTGTGGCAAGGCACCCGTGATGTGTGTCAGTGTGATTTCTTCTGCGAGTGCAACAAGCCAGCAAACCACAGCGCATCTCAACTTCCTGAGCCAGGTGCTTGCAGCAGAAAAGATGTTTGCACTGCTAGTCTCAAAAGCCAGAAGGCTGCTGAACCACAAGCAAGACTTCCAGGAGCTGGGAGGGTGGTCCTTCTGAGCTCTGTGCTGTTCCTTGAACCCTCTTCTCAGTTAACAGAAACGGAATCTGTTTTGCAGCACTTGTGCAATGGTGGAAATGTGTATAGAAACATGGCCTAGAGTCGGGTATGTCCGTGTAAAATGAGGGGTTTGTTTTTCTTTGCCCCAGAGAATATGCTTATTCTTCCCCAAGTCCTTTAGTGTTACTCCAGTTGTGCTTTCAGGCAGTAGCTGTGCCGGTTGTTGCTCACTTGTATTGCGGACTCTTTGTATCTAGGCCTATTCATCATGTCAGCCTTTGCCTCTTCCTTTATTCCAGGTGTGGAGAAGACTTGGCCTTCTGGATATTGCTGAACTACAACTACAAATCAGCAAGTGTGGCCAATGGCCAGGAATGATAGAATTGTACTTCAGCAACATTTGGGGGAGGCAAAGGTTCCCCATACTTGTGAGGGTGGCTTTTTTTTAACACTCCCCTGTGCTGTGAAACCCACAAAAAGTCCTCCCCCCCCCAAAGCTGCTGCTTGACATGGAAGGGAGGCTGTCATTGGCACCAGTGGCAGCATCTTTCCCATGCCAAATAGCAGCTGGGGAGGGTGTAGGTTGGTGAAAAATAAAACAGGGCTCTTACACCTTTAATAGTTATCAGTGGAAACTGAACCACCAGGGCAAATGGGGCATAGCCCCACCTGTCTCAGCCAGCTCTCATCTGTCTGCGTTCTTACTTACATCCACTGGGGGGGTGATTCCTGCTTGCAGCAGCTTCCTCTTGTCTCCATAGTCTTGCAGCAAGGAGGAAGATTGGAGCAAAACTCTTAATTCATTAGCTTTGCCTGCCATTGACTCTGGCGCCACCTACTGCTGGCCTCCTTCCCCCCCACTCTTAACTGGTTGGGCACCAATACTTATGCAGGAGAGGGGATTTCAGCAGATGTTGTTCGGCATGCATTTTGCAGCTGCTGAAATCCCCTGCTGAAATTCTTCTAAGCAAGAATTAAAGGTGCGGAAGCCTTGGCCTCACTTGCCCATGGTCACTCTAGGGTGACCTTTCTCAGCTTTGGTGCCCCAGATGTCATTGGACTACAACTCCCATCATCCCTGACTGCTGGTCCTGCTAGCTAGGGATGATTGAGAAAGGCTGCTCTAGGGCCACGAACTTATTTTTCTCCATGTCCCAATCCCGATTCTACAGCCTCCCCATCCTGTGATGTACGCTGCACACAAACTAGGGCTAATGCACATGACTGTGGTGCCCACATCCCAAGCCACATCATCGTGGCAGAGCAGCCCGGCTTCCAAGCATCCCGGCATTGTGGCGGAGTGGAATCGCAACACCTGCACTTCGTTTCCCTGCCAAGTAGCGATCCCATTACACGCTGAAGGACGTTCCCAAAAGTGCTTCGTCAACACACCCATTGTGTGTGTGTTTGAGACTGCCAGGAAGCGAGGCACTGTAAAAAAAACCCTTTAAAAATCCCACCAGCAACACCTTCCTGGCAGTGACACTAATGGCAAAGAAGGGGCAGCATCAGCAAAAAAGGGTTAAAGGGGAAGGAAGTGGGAGGCCTGACCTGGGCACAGCTGATTTGGCATGCTCTCATCTCTGTGCCGGCTTGCTATTCAGGTCACATGGACAGATGAGAGGGTGGAAGGGGAGGCATAGGAGGCGTAGCTGAGCTCTGTGTCATTCCCTGGGCGGCGGAGTGGAAGAGAAAGAGAAACCAGGATGCAATTATTTCTCAGGGAGGAGCTGCTGCAAGCCACACACGCCTACCCATAATCGTAACCTCAGGCCATACGGATTTTCCTCCCCTGTTTCCCTCGCTCCCTTGAGTTCAAAGGAAACAGCCTTTTTGCGTGAGGTGGGTCTGCCTGTCAACCCGTAATCCAGGCCTACTAAGGGCGAATTTTTCCTCACACAGCTGCAGCCAGCTCCCTGATGAACTTCTTGCGATTGGCGTGCTTGCAAACGTGCTTTTTGTTGTTGCGTTCACACATTACATTTTCGGTGGCCGACAGAGATGTTGCAAGTCTGCACTTAGCAGGTGCGAGTGCCTAAACCAGAGCTTTCAGAACTTTTCATCTTGGTGGCACACTTTTTAGACGCGCATCATCTTGCAACATAATAATTCAGTTTTACTAGCAAACCGGAGGTTAAGCTAACCGCTTACCAGCCCCGGGAGGAGCGTTCACATGACACATCTACACACTCTAGCCGGCACACTAACATATTGCGACACACTGTTTGGAAAGCTCTGGTCTAAAGAGTGTCCCTTAGAGTGCCGGCGGCATCATCTTAAATGGAAGTGAAGATACCAGCAGATACCTACCCATTTGCTAAATTTCTTTCTCTCCCATTCTCTCTCTCATCCCCTCCCGGTCCCCATTTTCTGCTTCTTGTGCTGGTTGCTTACCTAGGCAAGAGTCATCCAGGTGGGTGGAATGTAAATGTAGTTTTCTCATCTGCCAATATGGAATCAAGAAGTAGGTGTGTTCTCCTCTCAGTTCAGTAAGGTGGCTGGGCTGTGGTGGGCTGGATCAAATAGCTAGAACAATATTAAATCTGCAAATATTGAAGGCAAGAGGGTTTGGTAGGCAATAAGTGGAAAGAGAAGGTTCCTAAGGGTTTCCTAGATTTTGCCGTCCCACCCAAGGCTATTGCTACAGGCTGCTTCAGCCTCATGTGGCTCAAAGTTGTGAGGGACATGCTGCAACGATATTCCTAGGTGGAATGTGCTAACACTTGGGAGATCTCTGAAGCATGCACCAATGTCAAACATGTTTTTAGACACTTACTTTTCTAGCATGGACAATTCAGGTACATGGTGCATAAAAGTGGCCATCACAGGAGACCCTGGGATCCACCTCGTTCTTTGAGTGAAATTGAATCAGTTGGATGAGTGAAATTGTGCATGTGTAATTTATTACTAAGGAACTAAGAGAGGGGCAGGTCAAATTTAGAACTCTCTTCAAGCAAGTGACTATCTCTCAAGCCTCCAGGATTGCAGACATGATACCAACTATAGTTTAGGGATTGTAAACGGGCACATAGATTCCTCCTTTCCCTTGATCTGTGTTCTCAAGCGCATGCAACGGTTGACAACTTTAGTTAAAATTAAGCTGGCAAAACTTAATTTTGAAAAGCACTAAAAGCTGTCAGCATCTGAATAACATTTTTGGTAATGTTTCCAAATATAACAGTTTTTGCCTGGGTCCCATCAGAGCTCACCTTTTGTCCAGACTTCTGTATTACAATAATAGTACAACTTAAATAGTTTTTTAATAGAGTTTTTGAATATTCAGGTTTTCCAACACATCGCATACACTATCTTGTAGTCCTTACAGCAGCCCTGTAAAGTAGGCCAGGATGCAGCCCAATAGTTCAAAGTGTGCTTTGGCTGTATATTGTTGGGTTGAATGATGTGCATGCCAACCTCCTGGTTTGCAAAAAGAATAATAGATGTGTAGAGTTAGAAGGGACCATGGGGATCATCAGGTCCAACCCTCTGCAATGTAGGATTTTTTTGCCCAACATGGGGCTCGAACCCACAACCCGGGGGTTAAGAATCTCATACTCTACCAATTGAGCTATCCGGGGGCACCAGGGCTGAAACTATCATGCAATGTAATCCTATGTGTATTTACTCAGAAATAAGTCCCACTGTGTTCTGTGGGGCTTACACCTGGTAAGTATGTTTCGGATTGTAGCCTGCATCTCAAGGCACAAGACCTGAGCAGCCAATCCCTGACTCCACCCCAGGAACTCACACAAAAAAAGCAAAATTTAAAGACTGGCTGCTGGGTTGGGAGGGTGTGAAATTGACTAAGAATTACCCCTCATTTTGACTTGAGGCTACTCAGTTTCAGCTTCCCACCCAACCTGCAAGGAAGTCCCCTTTTGGCAGACTGAGCTAGTATTACAGTGAAGCTTTATGTATGGGGTCTGGTGGGGAAGAAAACAGAGCTTGCAATGAATTCTTCAGCCGCAGTATGAGCCTGGCTTTCTCTCAGCACCACAACTGAATTGGCAGACATGCATAGCAGTGAATCAGCTCTAGGCTAGGTTGTCATTTATGGCTCTCTGGCCATGGTTCATGCAGAATGTAGTTCTTTTTCTAAACACACACACACACACACACACACACACACACACAAAACCCCCAGCACTACAGAAATGTTATCCACTGTTTTGTTTTTGTTTTTAAAGGGTAATGGTGGTGGAACTGTAGAATCCTAGAATTTCCATTTACAAGAAAGGAGATTCTGACTGAACATCAGGAAGAGCATTCTGACAGCAAGAGCTGTTTGACAGTGGAGTGGTCCTCCTCAGGAGGTTGTGAACTCTCCTTCCTTGGAGGTTTTTAAGCAGAGGTTGGATGGCCATCTGTCACGGGCGCTTTAGTTGAGATTCCTGCATTGCAAGGGGGTTGGGCTAGATGACCCTTGGGGTCCCTTCCAACTCTACAATTCTATGAGTCTGTTCCACTGTCAAACAGCTCTTATAATATTATTTTAGGCAACTGTTAGAAAACTCTTCCTGGTGTTTATGCAAAACTATTCTGGGGGTGGAGGAAAGGCTGTTGGTGATGTCAGAGGAGGCCAGCCATGCTGTATACAGCGTGCTTCTGGGAACTGTTTTGTTCTGAGATTGATTCTGGAGAGAAATGGTTCCATTTGGGTTAGATGCAATAAGGGCGTTTCCAGATCAGTCTCATTGCTCTACAAACCTTAAACCTGTCTTTGTTTGCCCTTAGAGTCACCAAACGAACTGGACATTGAAGGCAGGAATTGTATAATTCAGTTATCAGTAACCTCATGAATACTGTCCAGAGGGTTTCTGTCCATTCCAGAAAGCACTCCAGACCACATTGGTCTGAATAGCTGGGAAAAACAGTGTCATATCCAGAATCAAAACATTGCAGTTTACAGGCCTGTCTTACCCATTGAGGCTAGTGGCGCAAGGTTCTGGAGTGCGCCACGTGAGAGTCCAGGGAACACCGAATGAGTGCGCTGAGTGAGGGTGCATGCGCCGCTCCCACCAAGCATCGGCTTGGTTTTTTCCCTTTTATCCTGCAGGCGCCGAATTCTGCAGGGCACCAGAAGGCTAAAAGGGAAAAAACTGAGCCGGCGCTCGGCGGGTGCGGCGCACGTGCCCTCACTCACTCAGCGCAGGCCCGCTCTCTCGGTGTGCTGCCTGCCGTGGCCACCACGGCACGAAGCAACCAGCTGAGCCTCCGTCTTCCCCGTCGGAGGAGCTGCCCTCCAGCCGCTGCCTGCTTCCTCCAGCCCTAAAAAAAAGGTCAACTCTGGGAAGGGGGGGGGGAGCGCTCCGGAGGGATCTTTGCACCACGGCCCTGGCAGTTTATTGGCTGAGAGAATGCCTTATCTGGATCCCACATATCAGGCAAGTAACAGAGGTGCATTTGTTGTGCTGTGTGCTATGCTGTGCACTGGAAAAACCCTCAGCCACAGTTGGTCCAGTTCTCTAAAATGGGAACAATACTGGTGTGCCCTAGAATCATAGAATCATAGAGTTGGAAGAGACCACAAGGGCCATCGAGTCCAACCCCCTGCCAAGCAGGAAACACCATCAGAGCACTCCTGACATATGGTTGTCAAGCCTCTTTAGACCTCCAAAGAAGGAGACTCCACCACACTCCTTGGCAGCAAATTCCACTGTCGAACAGCTCTTACTGTCAGGAAGTTCTTCCTAATGTTTAGGTGGAATCTTCTTTCTTGTAGTTTGGATCCATTGCTCCGTGTCCGCTTCTCTGGAGCAGCAGAAAACAAGCTTTCTCCCTCCTCTATGTGACATCCTTTTATGTATTTTAACATGGCTATCATATCACCCCTTAACCTCCTCTTCTCCAGGCTAAACATGCCCAGCTCCCTTAGCTGTTCCTCATAAGGCATCGTTTCCAGGCCTTTGACCATTGTTTTGGGAGGATGCAGAAGGAAAGGAAAGGTTGTCAAACCATCCTGAGAGAAAGGAGCAGAGGCAACGTGGGAATTCGAAACAAGCAGCTATAGACATCCTTTTCCTTGGTGCCTGGCCATCTCTTTTCAAGTCTTGCTTTCATTTCTTCCTGCAGGGATCTACACAAGCAACAAAGATCCGATTTCGCACGGAGGCGGGGTGCTCCGGACAGTGTGTAGCACTCCTCTCTCCTCCAGCCTCCTGGCTCATCAAGGCACTTCGTCGCTTCCCCAGCTCACCCGCTCTCCCTTCGCTAGCGCCATCCCAACCGCCTCTTCTTCCTCCGTCTCCACAACCCAGGTAAGCACTTCAAGCATCAGTGCTCTTAAGTCATTTCTGTGCACTGAGGGGGTGCAGGGGGCACGTTCTAAAGGACAACTGTGCTGGCTGGGGCTGATGGGACTTGTGGTCAAAACAACACTGGAGAGCACCAGGGTGGTTAAGATTGATGTGTGTAAAAGGGTAAAGAAGTTAAAAGGCATCAAACAAACAGAAACAGCCTAGGGCTTGACTGACCTCTGTGGAGCGTGATTTGTAAAATGTGAAGCAAACAAGCGTGGCTGCTTCTCAGGGTCTGGGTAACTCCCAAGTCCTCATTGTTCAGGCACGCTGCTCCTGCTGCTTGCCGATTTTGCTGCTTTTTAGTGGGCCAACTTGGAATATGCAATACAGAAAACCTGCTGGTGAATAGCAGTATTCAGTGGCTGGGTGCACTTTACCATGCTAGGCTGCGTGAGAAATGTCAAGGGTGCCGTTCTTCTTGGTCTGCAGCCCTCACGGTAAATGTAGGCACTCATTTTGATTTGCAACTTGTACATTCATTAACTGGACTCTGAAACCACTGCTGTCTCCCGAGTAAAAGCAAAACAAATGCTATTATTCTTTGATGGTGGTGAACTGAAGCAGCAATCCAGAAAGCCCTCTCATAATTCCATCCTGATGATTCAGCATCCAAAGCCGAAGCTCTCCCCATTGTTCTAAAGGTAAAGGTACCCCTGACCGTTAGGTCCAGTCGCAGATGACTCCGGGGTTGCGGCGCTCATCTCGCTTTATTGGCCGAGGGAGCTGGTGTACAGCTTCAGAGCATGTGGTGAACCAGAGCAGCACACAGAAACGCCGGTTACCTTCCCACCGGAGCGCTACCTATTTATTTACTTGCACTTTGATGTGCTTTGGAACTGCTAGGTGGGCAGGAGCTGGGACCGAAGAACAGGAGCTCACCCCGTCTTGGGGATTCGAACCGCCGACCTTCTGATCGGCAAGCCCTAGGCTCAGTGGTTTAGACCACAGCGCCACCCTCGTCCTATTATTCTAGTCTCTGGCTAATTTACATGCCTCCAGGTATCCCACCAGCACCAATTTCACCTGCGTTTCCTGCAGAAATAAAATGGTTTCATTTTAATGAAGTGTCCCTACAGCCACATGAGACTGAAATGCTTTGAAGCTTCTTTTTAAGACAGAGGCCCAGACATCATCTGTCTGCTGCCTGTCTGTTCCGCTCATCCATTCAGTACCAGTAAGCTCTGATCAGAAGTTTGGAAAAGACGACTCTTAAAATGAAATGGCTGTTTTTCTTTTCCCTTCTTCCTTTGTTGTCCTCACCTCTGCAGGTGTTCTCACTGGCGGGATCTACGTTCAGTCTCCCTTCCTCGCATATTTTTGGAAGCCCCCTCACTTCTGGGCTGTCGGTCAATCCTCTCTTGAACCAATCTGAAAGCAACCGGACAGGTACACAAACCGGAAAGTTTGAAATGATCTCATTATAGAATGTCCTTCTGAAAGTCAAGGCCACACTTGTCTACAAGGTCATCTCCTTCCCTTCTTCCCCCTGCTGCTTAGTTCCAAAGTCTTTAGAGCTGATAAGGTTTCCACACATGAGGGGAAGTGTGATGGGTAAGCTAGGGAAAAAAGTTTCACATTTACTCCTTAAAAAAAGAAAAATGAAAACATGCCATTTACAAAGATCAAGCTGTTTGGTGTATAAATACAGCAGGCAAGCTTCAGAAATATGACCTGGAACCCTTGGGAAAATACGTGCACATGCGCAGTGAAAGAGAGAGACCATGTTATGTAGACACAGTGACTGCACTAGCCTGCCATCTGGTGGCATGTGGGAGTAACATCATTCCTTGAGACAGGAAGTGGTTATGTTGTTATGGCTGCACTGAGTGTTTTCAGTTTTAACAGGAAGGTTTAAGAGGCTTTGTTTTGAATCCACAGAAGGTGTAATACTGTGTAGTGTAAAATGTTAACTGCGTAACTATTGAGTGTAGGACAGTTGTGGGTATGCAGAAATAAATGGAAGCTGTGTTTTGAGAAACTCCAAATTGATCTGTGATTATAATAAATAATATCACGGTTGAATTCACTTGAGCAAAATTGTGTTAATGTAGCAAATCACCCAGGGATTTTGCAGGTCGATTTAGACACAACGATAGACCTGCTTCTATAAACCGTGGCCTTCTCTTTTAAAACTGGGGGCCCTTTATTAAAGAGCAAATAGGGGCATAGGGAGAGCTAAACTTCAATCCCTACTTGAAGCTTACTTCCCTAGAATATGCCCTCCCAGATGCCCTCTTTGATATTGGATGTGGAGTGTCCTTGGAGAAAAGGGCAAAAGTTTTTAGGCTTTTAAGCAGCAGGTTTTAATACAGAATCTGGGTTTGAACAAACAGTAGAGCTGCATCATGTCTGGTCAGGTCTTCTGCCGTATCAAGCGTTTAGGGTAGTGTTGGCATGGTTGTCAGTAAATAATTTTTTTTAAGCCACTCTCTATATTTCCGCTTCCAGAAGCAGATTTGGAAGACTGTAATTTTGTCTGCCGAGGGTCATCACCACAAGAAAGTCTTTCTTCCATGTAAGTTTATTTGCCTGAAATACTGCATTGGGGGCGGGGGAGAGAAGGAAACAATGCACTGCTTAACTAGCAAGGATAACATATAATAATAATAATAATAACAACAACAACAACAACAACATCATCATCATCATCATCATCATCATCATCATCATCATCCAGAGATAGGGTTGCACCACACAACAGACTAATAGGGAAGACAAAACCAATGGGGGCATGACAGGGTAACTAACATGTTTCCTTTCACAAATCCTCATTGCATGTGAAGAGAGTAGCTTTTCTGAGAAGATACCCTTGAATATGCAGCGCCTGGTGAAATTTCAGGTGCAGAGAAATGGCAGGGCAGGGGTTTTGACAAGGTGTCTCCCTGTGGCTGGTGATGCCAAATAAACAAAAACATATGGAATCTTCATAATACATACAGAATTGAACTTTTTTACATCTCACAGCCTTCCAGCTGATGTGGAGTTCTTAACATGAGACAAATGAACTTAATAGCTTGTTTTAGGAGGTGTGTTGACTGTCCTTCCCCTTCTGACAACACTTTTCCCACCACTCTGTTCCCTCTGCAGGTCCCCCATCAGCAGCCTCCCCACTCTCTTTGACCAGACAGTATCAACGAGCAGCGGGCAGCTGGAAAACGTTCCCCAGGCTACACCAAACATTGAGCAGCTCCTGGAGAAACAGGGCAATGGAGAAGCCGGTGTTAACAGTGAGTCGCAGGAGGCCTTGTGGAACTGTTTGCCTTTGCTCAGGGGCTAAGGATGGGGGCAAACCTCACTCATGTATACTTCTCCCATCAGGCTATCTCCATTCTGCAGAAAACTTCCCCTGCTAAGGCTTGCTTAGGGGTGGGGAGGTGGCATTCTGATGCCATATGTCAACAAGCAAAGCAGATGTGCAGAGAAGAGGTTCATTTCTTAAAAAAATAAAATGAACAAACCACTTCTGTTGGTTCATGCGGATGTTGGAAGATCGAACCTCACACCTCTCAGACCTTTGGACCTCATTCCTGACCATCAGGGAGTACAGGGCCCCAAGTTGCAGGTGTGCTCTGATGGTTAGAGCTTTGGGTTCAAACCATGGAGACCTGTGTTCCAACGCATCCCCCAAGCCAAGAATGTTTTATGACCTTGGGCCACTTACTTATTTCCCAGCCTACTTCACAGGGCTGTTGCAAAGGGGGACAGGGGCGGTCCTATGTGTGCTACCCAGCACTTCTTCAAAGAAGGGTGGGGTGAAAATATAATAGGCGAATGAATGAGGGCTCCTTTCTGTGCAAATCAGTGGGCAGAGAATTATGGGCAGCCTGTTGACTTCATTGATTGTGCTCCTTATTTTACTGCCTCCTCCCTTTCGTGTATGCTCTAACTGTGTCACTGTTGTTCCCTCCCCACCCTTCTCCATTCCCAACCCTTCTTCGTTGTCTCTCCTCCTCCCCCCGGCCCCCTTCCCACCCACGTTTTCTGCAGTTGTAGAAATGCTCAAGGCCCTTCATTCGCTGCAGAAAGAGAACCAGCGCCTCCAGGAGCAGATCATGACTTTGGCGGCTAAGAAGGAGCGCCTGCAGCTTCTCAACGTCCAGCTCTCTGTCCCCTTCCCAGTGGTCACCACCAGCAACGGCCCTGCAGGCCAGGCTCAGTACATCCTGGCCTCCAATGGTATGGAGATGAACTCTCCTCTAAGCCCTGCCTGGCTGTTTCTTAATTCCTGACAAGGACATTTTCCAGTCATGGCATCCCATTTATGGGATACCGTGCTTTTATGTCCCTCAACTTCCTTTTCCTTAATCTTAACTAAGAGGGTTTTCAGCTCCTCCTCAACAAAACAAAACTTTATGGTTTGGCCTTTTTTGGTTCCTCAGCCACTTTGCAGACAAGGAGAATCAGAAATCAGCATATATGGTGGTTTCTGCACATGCTGTAGTGGGAAGTGAGGGCAGATGAGGCTCATCAACCTGGGAAGGTAGCCCATCTAGGAGAAGGAAAACTCTGATCCTAAACCACCTCTGCCTTGCAAGTTATCTCTGAGAGAAGAAAGGGCTAAGGAGTAAACCCTACACAAATCTGCGGTGAAGTCCCTAAGATGGTTGGATGGCACATTGCATGCCTCCTTCTGGCAACTCCTGCAGCTAAGCTGGTGCCAAACGTATTGCTCTGCTGTCCTTTGGACCACATCAGTGAGGCCAAGACGAGAGTCTTGTCTGGGCAGCCCAGGACCTCCATAAACACTGCTCAGGCTTGTACCCAGAGAGGTCACTTTGGTGCAGCTAATGCAGCCCTTGACTTCATCCCCAGAGGCGCACTCCATTGTATCTTGAGACAGTCAGATGCCAACAACATATATATCTCAAAAGAAAGAGGCACAGACCCAAGGCATTCAGTGTGATCCAGAAGCTCTTAGCCGTCACCTTGGATAGGGTGGGCTAAGCTGGGCTAAGTCGGAGACACAAGGTGCTCTACAGCTGTGGAGATGTTCTCTGGAGAGGCTTCCTGATTTTCTCTTTTTCCCTCTAGCGTGCAACAGCGACTCGTTGAGTATCAGCAAGAGCCCTCCTTGCAAGAACAGCTTTGGCATTGAAAACTCGCTCTCCACTTCCTCTGAGGTACGGAGCATCTCTTTCCGTTCTCCCCACTGTTCCTTATTGGAACTTTCACCCCCCAGCCAGAAGCGGCTCCTCCATGGCAGATTAGGAGTGCCATGGAGCGTGGTTGAGTGGCAGGCAGACCAGCCAATGGGGAATATCTCCTGCAGCACCAGCTGCCATGAAATCAGTGGGAGCTGTGTATGAGTATGGCAGCACCCTTGCATGGCATCCATTCATTTCAGCAGGGGCTGGCACAGGAGACCTCCCACAAGGGTTACTTACTTACACACACACACACACACACACACACACACACACACAAACTCATTAGCTTGGGCATCAAAATGCCATCCCTGTTGCCAGCAGTTTGGACCTGGCAGATGCCTTTCCCTTTGGTGGGATGTGCTGGATTCAGTCACAGGCAGCCCCTGGATAGGATACCTTGCACACCAGAATGATTTCCCCACCTTTTTCCTCCCTCCTTGCAGGATCCTCACTCCGGCTGCCCCAGCAGAAGCAGCTCCTCCCTCTCCTTCCACAGCACGCCTCCCCCGCTGCCCTTGCTGCAGCAGAGCCCTGCCTCCCTCCCGATGACGACTGGGGTGCAACAGCCGCCACCAGTGAATGGCTTGGCCAGGGCAATGGGGACAGTCCATGGGGGAGGCGCCCCTGCCAATCATAGCCTGGTGGATGGTCTGCTTGGGAGCCTGGCGGGAGGGCAGCAGGTACCCATCAACGGCATCCTGGGAGGTCTGAATGGAGCAGTGGCCACCCAGGCCCAGAATCCCCTCTTGGTGCAAAGCAGTGGGCCCCCAAACCTGCAGCTCTCCAGCAGCCAAAGCAGGTAAGACTCAGGAAGGAGGGAGGAACAGATGGAGGTGGGTTTGCAGTGCCTAAAGGGGCTCTACTTGGCCAGAGTTCTGCCACACGTTCCAGAAAAGCATTTTATTGGTGAAAGCTTCAGGGGAGGTGGCTGTCCCCACCTACTCTGCCAGGCTCCCGGGCATTTGGCTTTCACCCACACCTGCTGTTCCTGGTTGGCCTCCCAGATTTAATCACATGTGTGTTTTGCAAGGTTTGTGCATACCCCTGAGCTATATCATCCAGGCAAGGCACAAAATGATGAAAAGGCATCAGTGATGGAAGCAGGAGATGCAGAGATGTGTGCTCACCATAAAGCAGGAGTAGGGAACATCAGGCCTGGGGCCAGATGCAGCCCTCCAGGCCTCTCTGTCTGGCCCTCAGAACTCTCCTCAAGCTACACCCCTCAGTGATCCTGCTTCACACCTAGAGTACTTTTGCCTGGTTGGGATGTCTCCTTGAACTCTGGTCTGGATGGAGGATAGAGTGGGGGAGGTGTATGAACTTGCCTACTGTACAAACATAAAGCATAAGCCCATTGCCCTGCCCACTTTTGACCCTGACCCTGCCTACTATTGCCATGTGGCCCTTGGAAGGTTGCCCAACAGGGAATGTGTGAAAAACATTCCCCACCCCTGCCTTGAAGGGTAGTCCAACCTGCAGTTTGGAAAGATCCAAACTAGGGCTACCTGCACCTTGCAGTTCTGTGACTGCAGGAATTATACCTGGGTGCAAGTAAAAGGGAAGAGAGTTTCTAACCTTTAAGGCATATAAGTGACCAAAGGTGGGGGAAGGAGACACAATAAGGGAAGCATGACAGCAGGGGAGCAAGACTCATGCCTTCTCTGGACCGCCAGTTTGCATCAACAAGGCCTGGTCTCTTGCCATAAGGCGGTGGGGAAATGAGTGCTCTCCTGGATCAGACCAAAGGCCTAGCTGCTCCTGCATCCTGTTCTTATAGTGACCAACCAAGTGCCTCTATGGGAAGCCCGAGGGTAGCGCAATGACGTTTTATAAGAGCCACGTTGCACGTTGCCCTCCCGTACATGAGGCCAGGTGAGGGAGCATGCCTGGCATGCCTCCTAACGCAGCCAATTTTCAGTGCCATTGGAAGGTGGCAGGCAAATCTGACCCAGGGAACACAGTGAACCATTAAGTTCTTCTCAAGCCCTCTTTGACCCAAACAGCACTCCTGCTGCCTCAGCTCTTGTTTGTTTTGGGGAGGTTTAAGCAGGAAACTTGGGGTGAAGTTAGAACCAGAGGTGTCAGTTGGCTTTTCTGTCTTGAGCGCCAATGTTTTGGGGCGTGGCCCCACTCTTTCTGGAGATAGCTCTCTAACCCCACCCCCCTTGACGCTTTGTCCCTCTTCCCTTTCTCCAGCATGGCCAGCACAAGCCACCTGACTGAGCAGCAGCAGCAGCTCCTCAGCCAGCACGAGCTCCAGCTCCAGCAGCTGCAGCAGCTCCTGACTTCGCAGCCACTCAACTCAGTAAGTACCTCTGCTCTGGTTGGCAACTCCTGCCCACAGTTGTAGCAGGCAAGGGGGCTAAGCAGCTGATGAGGTGCCTTGGCTTCTTACACTTGGGTGGTAGGGGAAAGGCTGGGGTGGAAGTTCCAGGAAAGGATGAAAAAAGCCTGGATCATCTGGGGGGACAAAGATTGGGGTGCGGAGGAATTATGAGAGAGGTTCATAACATTATGAGCGGTGTAGAGACAGTAGGCAAAGCAGTGGCTCTTGAACTGCGGGGTGGAGATCCCTGTGGGGGGGGGCACCTCAAGAAACAGATGAAATCCCATAGCGTAGGATCCTGATTCAGGCAGAGCTTTCCTTCCTGTTCCAGCCCATGACTGGGGTGGCAGACCTAAGTTATGGGAGCATTCCTTCCCCTAGTTCTTCTCTCCTGTTGGCGTGGAGGGAGAGCTGCCAAGATCCTTCTGCAGCTGACCTTTGCAATTTTGTCTTCCCAGGAGCAGCAGGCTTTGGTATTCCAGATGATTCAACAGATTCAGCAGAAGAGGGAGCTGCAGCGGCTCCAGATGGCCAGCTCCTCCCAGCTGTCCATGACTGGCCTCGGCCCGGCTACCTCTACATCCCTCCTCCACTCCAATGCCCCTGCAGCTTCAGTTGCCAACAGCAACCTCCTGGCCTCCATTTCCCCTCAGCAGCTTAATCCAGCCAGTTCCTTGATGGCTTCCCCATCACTCAGCACCAGTGGGAACAGCCTGATGTCAGCTGCAGCAGGGGTAACTATCCCACCTGCCCTCACCACACAAACCAACCCTTTCCTCAACCTGCAAGGTGACAACAGCAGCCAGAAAGGAATGGTGGGTATCAGGCCATCGCCTGCCAACAGCTTAGATGCTGTGATGTCACGGAATGTTCACAGGTTTTCCCCCAGCTAGGGGGGAAAGGGTTAGCTGTGGAACGATCACAAAGCACACGGCTGCTTTGAGGAGAGCAGGAGATAATTTTGACTAAGTGGGGAGGAAATCTACATAATCTTGGGACAGGTTGGATTCTTTCAGAAGGAAATGAGAGGTGATAAGGGGTTTGGGTGAAGGGGAGATGAAGGCTGGAAGTGCTAGTGGGAGAGTCTGTCTGAGACAAGGATGCCAACAGCATGGAGCCGAGCAGGGAAGGTGGTTGAAGGAAGGAGGGTTAGAGTAGGCAATGAACTAAGACACAGAGACCTCAGGGAGCACTAGATGGAGAAGAAAGGAGTAAAGAAATGTGAAGATTTCATAGGAAATTGAAGTGGGCAGGTGAATGGCCTTCAGGCTTGCAGGGCTATTATTGTGGTGGATGCTGCAATTTCCTATATTTTTCTTTTTCTTTTATTGCTCTTTGACACGCAACCAGTTTAGACTGTCCTGTGCTTCTTCCTTTATCTTCATGTTTAGGGCATGAACGAAAAGGGAGGTGCCCCAGTTCAGGACAAAGGTTAACTTGGGCGATACCAGGCTGCTCTCTGCTATAGGAAAGCAATCTGTGCCTCAGCCACAGATCCCGAGACGTAGAGCAACCACATGCAAGACTTCAAAGGGAGTCTTCCTGCCATGGGCAGAGCAGTGCCAAGCAAAGGTGCGCCAGGAGTCTACGTTCCTTGGTTCTGAGCCCGTCGTACTGAACCCTTCCAAAGGAGGCAGGTTGAGCGAACACCCAGCTCCCTTGTCAGCTGTGTCTGCGATGCCGCACTTATTTCACAAGAAGTTGCACTCCCAAGGGGAAACAGTGAAGCAGTCTGCTGATCAGATACCTGAAGACACCCCCCTCGAGGGTAGGATCAGCTAATCGGACTGTGGCCACCTGGTCCTGGAAGGAATGTTGTCTTTGCAGAGCAGGGCATTTTCCAAACCAGGGATAAGGAATCCAGCAAGGCGCAAGGCAGCGAAAAGGTCCAGCTGCGGCAACAGGGTGGAGCTTTTGAGGTCTCTGATGCACAAGAGGGTGAGATTTGGAAGGCGTTACTTGGAAACCCCACACAGGAATCCTGCAGAGAGCCTGGAGGTCTTCAGAAGTGCACACAGATGAGCCTTTCTTAGCGTTTCTGCTGGGAGAAAAAGCCGCTCGGTTCTCCCAAATCTCCCACAGCCAGGGGTCTTAAACACTGACCTGAAGGAAACAGCCCCTCGCTTTCATGCTTGAGTATGACCCTTCTCTTCCATACCTTCAGGAGGCTTTGTTAGGTGTCCTGCAGTTAACAAGGCCATTGCAAACAATCACCGCTCACCATCAAGGTGCTTTCCAGCCCCTCCAGAAAAGGACCTTTTTCTACTCCATCAGACCAGCCACCCAAAAGCCAACAGCAAAGAGGCAGGGTGGAGACTTCATCTAAGGGCAGGAGCTGTTCCTTCCACCTCCAAAGCAGCTCCGTTCTGGTGAAGAACATCTTCCAGCCCAGTCAAAAGCTCTAAGCTAAATCAGGTCCTAGCTGACAAGAGCATTGGTCTTCCCACCAGTGTGAGCCCTCTCCCATCTCCAGGGAGTCAGCTCCATTCTCCTTTAAGCATCCTTTTTAAAGGATGTTGTGATGAGGGGAAATGGGGATCCAAGTCAGATATCCTGAGGAATCCCACCCAGACTTGCCTCCATGTCATTGTGGGCACATCCCAGCCACCTCTTCCAATTTGCACTATTTTCAAATGGTGCTGGGCATGTGATGATGACCACAGGAATGGCCACTGCTGTTCAGATTCATCTCCCCCCTCCCCTGTGTGTTTTTTGCTTTTGTTTCTTCTTTTTCTTTTGCCCCTTTTTGAAAAATACCTGCCCCACAGATGAGTTGGATGCTTGAAGTAAAGGGGGGGCGGGGAGAAAAATCACAGCATCTTTTCAAGATTTCATCCTTTGGTTTGTTTTGTTTCACGTAAACAGATGTACCTGGCTCCACATTTTGTGTGTGTGTGAATGTGCTGTAGGGGTTTGGTGTGTGGGGGGTTTTTTTAATTCGTTCAACAGAAAACTACTGGAAACTGACAAGAGCAGCAGCTTTTCCACATGGAAACCAGGCAGCTTCTCATCATGGCAGCTTTGGCACTAATTAAGGAGCAGCTAGAAAATGGAATGACGCTTGACATTTCCCCCACCCTTTCAGCAGAGCGTTCACAGACAGAAATACCCATCAACATTATGCACTTACTGCTTGGACAGCAGACTCCTCTTTGAAAGGCATCCAGGCCAGCACTTCTGCCACATTCCAGATCAGTTTTGTCCTTCACTGTCATTCTGGTGTGGATCTTCTTGGCTCTTGTCCAACTGCCCAACTGTGGCCTTGGATCGCTGGTGTTTTTTGTTTTGTTTTAAATTGTCTGTTTTTTAAGAAAGCAATTGCACAGATCAACTGTTTGATTCAGAGTTGGAAGTCAGGGAAGGACCACATCCAGCCCCTTGCCGCCCCCATTCCTGTAAACAACTGGTTGGTGTTGTCCTCAGTCTCCTGTTGGGAATCTGTGGTACCACCAGGCAGCTGGATTGGGAAGCAGATGCTCAGCCAGCACCTGCAGAGTTCCTCATCCAGCCACGCCAGTGGACTTTTTGCCCTTCTCACTGGTTTGCGGTGGTATATTCTTCCTAGCCATACTAACTTTCCTCTCCCTGGAATTGCAGGTTTGACTTTTTAAGGTTTCCTGCCAATAAATGCTGGATTTGCACAATTGTTACCCACATACCCATGGACTCCCAACTAAATTTGATTCGATAAGCAGGGGGGAGACAGGAGGGAAGTACCCTGAGGTGGGTTCCTGAAGTGGCCACGTGGAACTTCCCCTAAAAGAAGGCAAGTTGAAGAAGCACACAGGTGAAAATAGGCAGATGTGAAGGGGCAAGTTCACAATTGGGAATGGTTTGGAGAAGAAAGGGGACTCTGTAAGCAGAGGAGGGAAGGGCCAGGGCATTGGCTGGGCAGGAAGGCAGCACAAGGCTTTGTGCATAACGGTTGGGAGAGAGAGACCTGTACCTCTCTAGTGATGGCACAAATACACAACAGTACAAGAAAAAAACATGGTTCCCAACCCCTGGTTCTACTCCTAACACTGAGTGAGGGGGCATATGCAAAAACAACCAAGCAGAAACATGAGCTTTTTTCTCTTTCTTTTTAGTGCTTTTCTCCAAGTTGGGCTCTGAAGCCAGAAGAAGCCCGACTGCAGAGAAAATTGGTGGGGTGTGGGTGTGTAGCATAACATATGAATGGATGATGGCAGGCATGAGAAGGCTTAAGCAGCCCTCTCCTGCTTGTCCACCCTACCCTGAATATGCCTCCCCCACCTACCCCTGCATTTGTGTTAACTGGCAGGCACATGCTTGGAAAATGCATGCCAGCAGACTGGCTGGAGACTGACCCATTTCATGAGTAGGTAGATTTGGGGTTCACACATCATCACAAGCATGAGAATCCCACATTCACCCCATTACACTTTCGGGGGTTGCGTTCTGAAATCTCACCCCCCCCACTATCTCCTTGCTGCCCCCTAGTGGTTTTGTGGGGATATATTTGTCCTCAAAATCCAGTCCCAGCCCTGTCTGGTCTCTTTGACTTAAGGAATGCTATGTGCCCAGTCCAACCCACCAGGCATGCTTTGTGGCTTCAAAGACTCACCTGGAAGGGGGGATTTTATCAAGTCTTAGGTGGGCTGCCATTCATCTGGTCATCTGGAATAATGCCCTAAAAAAACATTAATCTATGCTCTGGATTACATCTGAAAGGAACTAGTGAGTGGAAAGATGGTTGGGCAGCTGGCATTCAGTTTGGGATGCTGCTGTTCAAGTAGTAGTGAGCTTGTCCTGGCGGGCAAAAGATTTATCTAAAGAGGTGTCAATGCAGGAAATTTTGTGGGGAAGGAGGACATGCACTTAAGTATGCCAGTTCTGTCCATTAGGCCACCACAAATCATGCAGCCTCCCTCCCGAGTCCCAAAGAAAAGAACTGGCAATAGCATGTTCAGGTCAAACGGCAATGCCTGAATGATGCACACAACCCTGTGCAAATGTAGCAGCTTGCTTACTGGTGCTACATGTCGTAGGATGCTCCTATGAGCTCATAGGAGCATATACCCAACCTAAGAGATGGTGAAGGGTGTACTTAGGGTGTATATTCCACACATCTATGATCTGAGAAATAGTTGTGGCAGTCTTTAAAAAATTAGGGCATTTTTCTTTAAGTCACTAAGCAGATGGTAGATCAGATGAACTTAAATATAGAGGAGAGGCAGAGAGCTCACCTGAAACATAGAGGGAAACACAAGGTGAGTTATTCAATCAGAGTTTAATTTGTTGTTCAATGGGTCTGCCAAAAGAATTAGAACAGGGGTGTGGAGGAGTTGGGCAGCCCACTTTGTGGGGGGAAACACCATGTTGACTCCTCATCTGCTCTCAGCCCTGGTTGTGAAAAAATACTTTCCAGTTTTCTCATCTTGCATAACCTATTGAAGTTGCAGGGTCATGCTGGCCAGACTCTTTTTATCTAGGGAAATCACCCATCTTGGAAATGTGGTTAGACCTGGAAATCTGACTGAGAAAAAGCTTACTGGCTTCACCAAACGTTTGGATCGGAATAGATCTCAAGCTAAAATTTAGACAGCCAGTAGAGAGAGAATGTGTAGGTGCAAGAGGCTTGTGGGGTATGGGAGGAAGCACTTATTTCTGGAATCATCCAAATGCACCTGCTCTCTCTTAAAAATGGCAGCTATCACCTCCATCCTGTCTGTTTCAGCCACAATGTTTTCTCCTACAAAGCCTACCGGTTTGGGCCATGACTTTCTATCAAGACTTATGAGGGCATTCTGACAGTGGTTGGAGAACACAGCCATCGTGGTAGTCATTGATAGCCTCATCTTCCCTAAGTTTCCCTAGTCCTCCTTTAAAGTCATCCAAGTTGGTGGCTCTCAGTCCATCTCATCACAGATCTCCAGCATTTCATGTAGTTTGGCAGTTTGTTACGTTTGGCTGTGAAATTCATCCATTTTTTAAAGATTCAAAAATGCTTCAGCCTTTCCTCATAGGGAAGGTGCTCCTGCAGCCGATCAGTAATTTGGGTTGTCCTTACTGCACCTTTTCCAGCCAATGCACCTGTCCAACAAACTTGGGAGTTCAGGAACAGTGTCCCAGGAATGAAACTGACTTGAAATCCTAACTATTGGTGTTTTTAAAGCAGAGGCTGGGTGGCTATCTGTCATGTATGATTTAATTGAAATTCCTGCTTTGCAAGGAGTTGGACTAGATGACCCTCAGGGTCCCTTCCAACTCTACAATTCTGCGACTCCATGATTATAACACAGGCATTAAGGTCAGCGCGAAAAATCTGTACGTAAGGCAGACTAGTTGTGGTGCTTTGAAAAAGCACCGGGGCAAGAGCACTGGAGTCTCTTCCTTGGCAGGAAGAGGACAAAAATAAAAATTGGAGGAGGAAAAGGAGTAATCTCCACATTTGGTTGCACTGGGGTATATTTCTTTATACCCATCTTTTGATGCTAATGTCTCGTTTTAGTACCTTGCCTGTGCCTAACACCCCTCCCCTCCTTGGTAGTTGTTATTTTTAATTAAAGAGGAAAAGATGTATATATATATATTTTGGCAATTAAGGTAATGTAGCTAAGATATATTTTTTCTATGCTGCTTCACTGTTCTTTATTATAATAAATAATAATAATTAATATCAAAGACTTTAAGAAACTAAAACAATTGGGGCTGTCCCCCTTCCAATTTAACTAAGCATAGAGTGATATATCATGGGTGGGAAATTTTCTCCTTCCCCTCTCCCCACACTGGGTGTCCTTCAAATGTTCTTGGAACACAACTCCCATCATTTCCTGACTGTTGGCCACGTTGCTGGGGAAGATGGGAGTTGGAGACAAACAACATCTGGAGGGGACACAGGGCAGCCACCCCCCATTTTAATGCAAGCACTGATCAAGGCGTTGGGTTTCGCCAGCTAGGCCAGAATGGCCCGTGTGAGAAAATGTCAGCAGAATGTGCGCTTAGAGAAGAAAGGGAATACTGTAATGGGAACGAGCATTTCCGGAGTCCCTCAGTAGAGGGCAGTGTGCTAAAGCAGGAGTGGGATATCTGTGGGCCTCCAGGTGTTGCGACTGGGGCTCTCGGAGCTTGGCAACATCTGGGGAGCCACAGGTTGCCTTTTCTTGTGTTGAGCTGTGGAAAGCAGAAGTGATGTTTCTAAATAAATAAATGAATAAATAATGACCAAAAGTTATTCCAGTGCATTTTGAGCTGGCAAGGCTTTTCACGAGGGAACTATAAATTTAGTTTATATTTTTTAAAAGGTCCACCATATAAGCAGTCCTTTTTTAAATAACCCACTTGTATTTCTTGTCTGCAAGCAGATACAATCTTCCAGGTGGAAAGGTGCATTTACAACTTTAAAACTATGTACACCTCTGTGAAGTTTAAAATTAAAGGCTGTACCCATTGCTAACCAAAGAAGGAAGGGAAAAAAATCATTAAGAAATAAAGAGATGTTATCGTTTTGGGGTATCGGTCATCCTTGTTTCTATTCTGTATAGTTGTGATGTGCTTCTTGCTATGTAGACATTGAGTCCACTTCCAGGAGACAGCCTTTTCTCCCCAGCTATGGAATACTCTCCCAGGAGACATAGGAAGCAAAAATAGCTGTGCTCTTGGTCCATAAACTGCCAAAATCTGCAGTTGGTAAATGCTTTTATAAGGCCCATACTAAAATGTCACAAAATAGTAACACATTCTCCAGAATGCTTCATCAGGCAAGATGCTACCCGAAGCAGGAGGTTCTTCTGAGCTTCCTACTAAGTTATCTTTCAGGGCCAGGCAAAACCCTTTTAACAATTGGGAGTTCCTATTTAAATTGCTTCTATGCTGCTTCTATAACGCTGTTGTCTGTTTATTCATTCCGATGGTGCTGTACTTTTATTGATTGTATTCTGTTGTATTTATGTGGTGTCACACTGCCCTGATAGAAGGAGGTGGGGGAGGTCTTCTGGGAGGGCAGGATATAAATTCTTCTACAAATAAATAATTTCCAGCCTTGCCAACTGGAAATGGTAGATGACTTTTGGATCACTTTTTAAAATAAAAGATTCTTTTTCAATACACCTTTAAGGGTTGTCCCTTCTGCCTTCTGTGGTCTGGTAAAATACAATATAGGTGTTTGCTTGCTGCAGAAAGAAAGAAAGAAAGAAAGAAAGAAAGAAAGAAAGAAAGAAATTGTTGTCATCCATCTGTCTTGGGAGACAATGGAGGAGTTTGTGGGTGAGGTTGTGGCACCTGCTGTGGCTGTAGAGACCACTGCAGCAGAGACATGTTTTGTTGCAGCTTGGGCAGATGAAGGCAGGGGGTTGGACTAGATGGCCCTCATGGTCCCTTCCAACTCTACAATTCTATGATTCTAAGAGTGGTCTGTCCACCCTCTGGCAGTCTCTGGGCAGGGAGGGAGATGGAAAGGCTCTGTCTTGCCCACTGCTGGCTTCAACCCCACCCACCAACAGCACACAGCCCGCAGATTATGCACCCAATGCCCTGGCATGTGGTGGTTCTCTTCAAGAGAGGCTGCCCCCCCCCCACTATGGTGAAGGTGATTACTGGCATGTAACACAGAAGCAACATACAGAAATGCATGGAAGATGCCTGCCTGATGAAATGGGGAATGGAATTCCATGCACACTGGAATTGCAACAGGTCGCCCAATCTCCCCAGATGTGCTTACTGCTTTTCTTCAGAAGGCATCTTCCATGCATTGTTGCATTTGCAACAGAGACTCCAGAGTGGGGGAATCGGGAGATCCCACTCCTGTAACAATTTGATCATTCCCTCCAGAAAATGTAATTAGGATGTGAGAAAACAACTAAAAACCTGCCCCTGCTTTTCAACACACACACATCCTGTCATATGATATCTTCTTCCCTTTAATTTTGCTCATGCTTCTCCACCACGTACATTGTTGTCATATTCATACACTGCACAAACATGTAAAAATGCTCCAAGGGGCTTCCATGTAGCACCAGGTGTGTGTGAAGGGGTCCCTCAGAAGAGCATGATTTGAATCAGATGGCGACCTATGAAGATTGTGTGGAAAGTAAGAGTGCAAATGGCTCCTTTTTCTGTCAACTTCCTTCCCTGCTTACCCTCAGTCAGCCAAATAAAATGTAAGAGAAAACACACCCTCCGGATTTGTAAGGGAGGCTGAGAGCACTGCTTCATCTCATTCAAGCAGCAGTAATGTCTTTGGACCTTGAACCCAGGCTAAGCGTAGAGTCCAAAAGGGCAGCAGAAATCTTACATAATATAGGTAAAATAAAGGTAAATGACATACGCAATATGACATCATATAACAGCCCAGTAAGAAGAGAACACAAGACAACACGGGCCTCCTGTCTGAACATCCACTTTCTGTGGGGTTGTGTGGCTTTTCCTCCTCATGCTGGCTCCATCTCAGTTCCCTTGCTTGGGTTCTGTTGCTCAGCTCTGAAGAGTGTGAGATCAGATATTTCTAGGCTGTGTACACTCACCCGTTTACTCTGCATCCAATGCGCTCCCACTGTAAGTTTGGGAAGCAGTATATATACATACCACGTTCACCACAATCCATATCTGTATCCTGTCTTTTCTTGTGAAACCAGCTTCAATATGAATTGAAGTAAAAAAACAACAACCTAGCTGTGTTTCAAGCCAATAATGTGTATACAGCCCTAATCTCCATTAGAAGTTGTTAGTGAGAGAACGTAACTATTCAATGTGGAATGCTATGGAGACATAGGATTTTGCTGGAAATATCACAAAAGCAGTACATGACCAAGCTGTTTGTTGGGCCGACAGCTAGAGATTTTGCTGTCTGAGGCAGAACAGCAAATCCCCTGCCAGTCAAGACTGGTCAAGTTATTTGGGTACCTGCAGCAAAAAATCCCAGAAGTGCCTTTCCCTGGGAATAATGTTTGATGTGTCTGCACAGGATTTGAGCTGGTTTACCTAAACAGGTGCAATGGTATTCCAAGGCAATGGGGTTTGAATAAGCCAATCTAAATCAGAGCACATGCATGTTCTAGGCATGGTTTGGCTGGATATGATGACAAAGGAGAGCTTTCTAAATTGTAAATAACTATGAGCCTAAAAAAAAAAAAAATTCTGAATTTTAATTAGCACATTTTCCCATAATTTTTTTATTTCTGCCTTTGGGTTTTGGTAACATCAGACTACGCCAGAACTGATGTTGACAGCCACACTTCAAAAATATGCTTTACTGCGGCTGAGATTGCAGTGTGTCTGATGCAGTTACAGAAGTTACAAAATCATGAATATGCAGATGCCAAAGAGGCACAAAGAACAGGTGGCAGATTTGCAAATTAGTTGAGGGCAAATCCCCTCTCTGCAAAACATCAGGGATGGATGTTAAACTGAATTTGAAATGTTGGCCAACATTTGAATTTGGAACATTCCTATTAATATTTAGCTGTGGGGGAAAGCAGCATAGTAAAACAAGCAGGTGTGTGTGCTTTTTCTATTACACTATATATAAAAGAAATCTGTACTGAGTGAGGGGGGCAGGCCAGATGCGCTAGGTTTCTTTTATGGCGTTTTAACAAAGAGACACTTCTCACTTGGGGAAAGCATGAGTTAAAATGTAAAACATTTACAGTACTTTTTCCTATGAGAAAATTCACAGTGGTTGGAATGGGATTAACAGCAACAGGGAAATCTCAAATGCCCAAGTGCTGCTTACTTACCCTTTGCTTATACTTTTGCTAACTCCCCTCCTTTCATTCCTGTCCTGTAAAAGGCAGAATAAAATATCTTTGTATCACAGCTGTATTTGAGCAAATCCAGGTCACACAATTAAATTATTGGAGCTCCACACAACGAACGTGCTATTGTCAAAAACCAGACTTTTTTGCAATAAGATGGGGGAAATGCACTGCAAAGTGTGGAAACTGCAGCAAGGAGCTCTGAAGGAAGACTGATTACCAACACTGCCTCCCCACCCCATTCTCATTTTGATAAACTTGTATTTATCCCGAAGAAGGGCCCTTACATTTTGTAAAAAATGTAAAACCATCCAGAAGCCTTTTTCAGCTGGGTTGAGGAACTTCAGGCCCAGAGAACAAATGCGGACCTCCAGGTGTCTCTTTGTGGCCCTCAGCTCTCTCTCCCCACTAGCCTTGTCCCAAACCTCTCTGGAGTGCTTTTGCCTGGCTGGGATGTACTCTCAAACTGTGACAATGCCTCTTGTTTGGCAGGGACGGCCCAACCCTTTTTGCCACCTGACGCAAAATGGGAAGGTGCCGTCCGGTGTGCCTTTTGCTCCCCCCTTGTTGCTCCCGCCAAAGCCCTGCTTATCAGGGTCATGTGACTGCGGCTTCTGGTGAGATCTCACGAAAGCCCCTCAAAATCATGCAGAGGCCTCTGGAGGCCTCCATGAGATCTTGTGAGGTTCTCACAAGGTCTCGTTGGAAGCCACTGCAGCTTCTTCTTATTCTCACTGGGATAGAGGCACCCATGGAGGCATTCCTTGGATTCTGCTGCCTGTGGCACAGTGGCGTAGCTAGGGCTTTTGTGTTGCAAAGGGGTTTTGCTTCCCCCCTAATTTCTGGTATCCAATTCTTGCAAAATCCAGCAAGTCCTAAGAAACTTGCTTCTGGTAAACCTGAACCTTCTCCCTCGAGGCTCCTCAGTTTTGCTCCTGCTTCCACCCACTAAACAGCATGCGGCCCCACAAGGCAGAGAAGTGTTCCCTGCCCGTTTTTAAACCATGAAGCCCTGCTTCAAGCCAGCAGCTCCATTTGTTCTGCGAAGGGCTTTGCCGCCTATAGTTGCTAAATATGTGGAAATTAAACTCTAGTTCCCATTTGCGGAAGACAGCCCTGGGTCGTTTGACCCTTTAATTAGTTCTCTTACCCGTCCTATAGAAACTGTTAAGTTGTGGGTGAACATAACAGACGACACAGCGATTCTTCAAACAGCTCTTGTTTATTCACAGGCCAGAACAGAACTGAACTGAAGGGTTCAGCCAGCCTGCTTATATAGAGCTCCACTACAATGCAACAGTAATCACTTTCTGTAACTATCCAATCACTGAATGTCACTTTCAACCATTTATTTGCATATGTGGACCCGAGTGAAAACTATCTACAGTATCCCCCTGCTGGCCCAGGGTGAGAACTTCGGTACATAACAAAAAATATGCAAGACAATTCTTTTTTAAAGTTTAAATGACATATAACATTTACTTTGTGTGCTTGCACTTGCAGAATATACAATTATAAAATATAAAATGCAAGTGGGCAGGACTTAAGTTGTTAATAGTGAAGGAAGGTGAGGACAGGTGACCTCACCTAGGCCCGAAGTCACCCCCCACCAAAGCAGGCTCAAAGCTTCTCAAAGCTTTTCAAAATCATTTTCTCAGCAGCTAAGCATCAGAAACATTCCACTCTGCTGTAACAAAGGTAGAGAACAGTCCATTGTTTCTCAGGCCTTTCTCATGCCTTCTGGCCTTGCTAAAGAACCACATTGCAACTTGCTTTCTGTCCGGGAACCATGCCAGAACAAGAGATTCTCATTCCCCCTTTCCTGGGAAGAGTCCAATAGTCCCAAGACAGCTTTCTGTACATGCTCAGGAACCTCAACAAGGGGCAGGACTCCTGAGGGAGGAGAAAGGAGGAGGGAACTGGAAAGGGGTATATATGCTTGTGCACATGACTGTGAACCCTTGCATGCTTTTTGTGACTTATCACACTTGGTCCTTCTACCAGTTCATGGATGGTAGAAATAAAAGCCTTTTCTCCGAAACTATTCCTTGAGTGTCTGTTGACTCCCACTTCCCTTTCCCAGGCGCAAAATTTTTCCCACCCGAGGGCAAAGCCTCATAAGGCTACAATAGGACTCCAAACTGAGGCAGACACACACAGACGGCCTTGCCTCCGTGATACAGGAGGCTCAGGGCTGCATGATGTTAGTGTGCTGGCATCAGGTGCACACCGCAGAGCATGCTGACGTGTGTGTGGACACCCTGTGGGTGCGGAAATTTGGGGAGGCAGCCCTCTCATTTGGAATTGGGGGGGTGCTTGGCATCCCCCGCCCCCATTCTTGGCGACCGTGCCTGCACAAAACAACGTAACTGCTAATAACTGAACCAACTGCCATAACTGCCACAGAGCGTATGACGTCATAGAGTTCCACAGCTCTTGCAATTCACCCTTTCCCGTATGCATTTGGATGCTAACATCCCAAGAAATATGGCCATCCGTTGCTTCTTATTTTTATTTTTTAGTAATCGGCGCTCCGCCCTGCAAGGAAGGAGATTGAGCAAATACAATGGTCGACGAGCTCGGCGGCGGTTTGGGTCTTTCTGTCTGTCTCTCTCTCTAAAGCGCAGCCCCAGGGCAAAAGGTCACCCGCCTCTCCCCTCCCTCCCCGGGCTTCGAGCTCCCGCAAGAGCCAGCTAGGAACCTTTCGTCGCCGGTTCAGGGGCTGCCGGCGGGGCGGAAAAAGAAACACCTGCGGCTTCCGGTGGGGCTGGTGCCTCGGTGAGGGGGACCGCGAGAGAAGGTGACCCCTTCCACGGGGGCGGAGTTCCGCTGGCGCCTCTCAGCTGCGAGCGATGCCTGCGCTGCGCGGAGCCGGCGCTGCCCTCTCGAGCGCGGCTGGCTCCTTCTTCCGCCGGCTCGCCTCCCCCCAGGTGAGCGCCGCCGCCGCGGGAGCCTCGGGAGTCGGCAGGCGGCTTCACAAGCGCGCCGAGCCGGTGGAGTCGGGGCGTCGTTTGCACGCGCGTTGCTTTTGCACCCAAGGGCGATTCCGTGGAGGCTGCAGCCCGAGTCATACTTGCTCGGGGTCAAAGCCCCGCAGAAGCCAGCGGCACCGTCACCTCTGGGCGTGGGGTCAATTGAGCCCGTAGCCCGAGCGACTTCTGCTCCCGAATTCGCATGTGCATCAGTTGAGACACGTGTTGAGTCTCTCTGCTCGCATTGGGAAAGCAGAGCACGCTGCAGTACTTTAGTACTCCTGATTATGGACGCAACTGAGTTTAGAGGTGGGGGGACGGGACGAATCACGCTTATGTGCGTGTTTGCGGCAGAGATTTTGAGCAGATTTTCATGCCCCTCACCAGGGAATCCTGGGACTTGCCTGTCCCTTACCAGTCTACAGTTTCTATTATTCTTTGGGCAAAAACCTTACCCCACATGTGCTGGCTCGACCCATTCCGCATTTGTAAGAATAAAGTCGTTTACTGTGGCGGCACCTGCACTTTGGAGCTCCGTGCCTCCTGTTGAGATCAAGCAGGCGCTTTCACTGTATTCTTTGCTTAGAAAGTTGAACTAATTCTAACCTATTTTAGTATTTTAACTTTTGTATGTTTTGAATTAGAGCTGTAATTTTTTTAAAAAATACTGTTTTTATCATCGGCCTTGAGGGTTTTATTTTTTCTCCAATCAAGCGGTGTATACATTTTATGAAATAAAACAAAAGCCATGACTAATATTAAACTACTTACATGAGTATAGATAACATGATTTGTATAATAGAGTTGGGGGCAGCGGAAACCCGCAAACCGATGAGTTCTGTCTTCTTGCTACAAGCCAGGCCAGCGGCTACTAACCATGATGGGTATCTTCTACCTCCAGTGGCAAAGGCAACATGCCTGTGAATACATGTTGTACTATTGTGCTGCTTCTGGGCTTCCCATCGGCATCTGGTTGGCCCCTGTGAGAGCAGAATCCTGGACTAGAGGGGCCTTTGACTTGTTCCAGCAGGGCTCTCCTCATGTTCAGCCATCAACCACAGAAGTGCCCACAATGGCACATCAAGAGCAGAGAGGCCAAACTGCTGATCAAATAATTCTTACGACTCAAGGAAGTGAGCCATAGGACAAGCCAAAACTCATCACCACTCCCACCCTGATCACATTTCCATTAGTCATTTTGACCTGGGAAACTCAAATACGTTGACCATTCGAAACCTGTGTGTGCCAGAAGGTGGACTTGTATATAGCAAAAACCAGATGACCGAAATGCACTTGGGATGCACCCATCTGCTCTGCTAAATGACCAGTAGCCTTTGGCCTTCTCTGAACTGCCACCTGGTGGCGACTCTTCCATTAGGCTTACTGAACCATTACCTTCCTAGCTGGTCATTATAAGAGCTGTAGCAAAACGAGACAAGTGTGTGTCCTGCTTTCTGCAGCATGTTGTGTGCAGAAATGAAACTTGTGCATCTCCATCTTGTGGAGTCAATTGGGGTCCAGATACAGGAAGAGCTTGAGCTTCTTCCTGCTTCTGTCACCTTCTGCATGCCAAGATAGGGTTCTTGGGCTGCAACCAGGAAGCTCCCCACAATGCCTTTAATTCCACCTGTGCCCTGGGAAATGAGGCTGCAGGGATGTTTGCTGGTGGCCAGCTGCTGACTGCAGTAAGCCTGTTCACTAAGCTTGCTGCCCTTTCCCTTTAATAATCTTCATTCTTTCCACCACTCCCACCCCACCCTGATCACATTGCAGATAAGGATCTGTTCAACTGCTTCAGCATCTTCAGTCCGGCCAGTGATCGCAGCCAAACAACCCTTTCCGGTGGACCTAGCAGCAGGGAAGCGTTATGCATGGTGTGCCTGCGGTCACAGCCAAAAGCAGGTAAACCACCTGTAGTCCTTCCAGATTTCCCTCTGTATAAAAATCTTGTGAAATAAATAAATAAAATGCTGTAGTTCTTGTGTCTATGGGAACATGGTTTCCAAGAACAGAGAGGTTTCAGAAATCATTGCCTCAGCCCAACCAAAGTACCACTCAAAAAGTGGTGCTGGTTTTATTTACACAGTCCCAACTAATCTGCTAGGACTCTGATGGATCAACACCAAAACTGTAATGGAAGCTCCATTGGCAGTGTGATGGGTGTGAGCGAGGGGGTTGTTTTGTGTTTTTAAAAAACTCTTACTTTTGTTTTGCTACGACAGCCATTCTGTGACGGGTCCCATAATAGATGTGCCCCGGAAATCTCTCCCCTGAGATTCAAACTGGAGGAGGCAAAAGAGGCCTGGCTTTGTGGCTGCAAATACACCAAGAACCCTCCATACTGTGATGGCACCCACAAAGAAGATTTTGTGCAGAAAGCTGATCTCCATTCCCATCCACAGTTGTGCTGAAGGAAGGAGAGATCTTCATATACAGGGTTTCAAATACAGAAACTGACTGAACAAATCAAGCATGCGGTACATGTATGTGCAGGTGTGTTTCAGTGGCTGGGAATTTGCCGCTTTCTGTCCCTCCACCCCCATTTCTTTAATCTTAATTGAACTTTCTTTGAAAATATAAATTATTTTTTCCCGTAATTCTGAATACCTTTGAGATTCCACCCCCACCCAAGCAATCAGTGACCTCCCTCTTCTTGGGTGGTGCCATTTTAGTTATATCATGCTTGGCACTCACCACTAGATTTGAGAAATAGAGAGAATAGCTAGGTTTGTTCCGTAGCTAAATTTGCTTGCGTGAGCATAATGAGGTTTGCTGGCATCAAAGTCCACAGGGCACAGCCTTCGATGTCCTTAGAACAGTTCTGCCACTCGGCGGAATGCCAGCTTCCTAGGCGTCATCTCTGTTGATTAAGAAGCCAGCCCTATCAGCAATTCAGTGTTCCAGCCACATCAGGTACAAAGACCTGTGACGGGGCAGAGTGCAGAAGAGGAAAGTCAGATTTCATCATGCCAGGCTGCTTTCTGGCAGTCAATCCTAGCTACTTGTTTTAACTTCTTAGTGACATCTCGTTGGCACCTGGCTGTCTCAGGAGAATGAGTGCACCTTTAGGAGTGAAGTCAAACTGTTGGAAGGTTACTATGCCTGCCATAGCTGTAGAGACTGATATGGGACACTTGTTTTGTTGCAGCTGGGGCAGATGAAGGCGTCCAGTTGTGCTGCTGCAAATACACCATGTTTCTTCTGTCTTCCTACCAGCGGTCATTCCTCCTATGCTCACTGCTATGGATGCATGACCTGACCGCCTCTCTGCAGGCACTGGGGTTGTCTGCAAGGGATTCCCACAGCAAGGTTAATGTTGCCAGCTGTCAAGTCTTGTTTGCAGACATCTCTATATTCTCACAGTTCTAGGAGTAAGGCAGATGTAGGGAACCTTCATCCCTCCAGCTGTTCCTGAACTATAACTCCCATCCTCCCTGGCCATTGCCATGCTTGACTGGGCCTCATGGGAATTATAAGTCTTATTATTGCTTATTAAATTTGTTCAGCAACATCTAGGGACAAAGGTTCCCCACCCCCTGGAGCAAGGGATTCCAATGGAACTTGAGTTTCTTCAACTTATTAGAAATTAGAAGTGCTTCTCTTATTCTCAGTACTCTTTTCCAGTTCTTAATGCAATAACAAACTTGCATGTGTTTACAGGATAGTCAAAGGGCATCAAGGCTGAGGAAGAAAACAGGAAAAGGGCAAGAGCTCTTCTGTCATCGAGATTTTTGTACGGTTACTCAACTTCCTGGTCAGCTCACACATTCCAGCATGTTCCCACTGTGTGCTAATGCAGGAAGCAAAACTGCTGCTCCTTGACCCACTTCCTGGAAGCTCGCTTTTCCCAGGAGCTTTTGACCTATCCTAGGAACTGTTTCTCACAGAACCCTGGAGAACCTGTGTTGTATCAGGAAGGCTTAGGATGAAAAAACGTTCCAGTGGTTTGTACTAAAAGGTTTTCAGAAAGTAAAAGAAGAATTGGGACTTGGGAAGTGTTGTAAGTACTCAAGTTTTATTGGCATTTAAAATAAAATAAATAAAGCACCACGGTTTAAAAAAAACAACCCAGTGGGATTTTTTTTTTAAAGAATTGCCATTAAATAAATATATATATATATCTTAACAAAATTCCGTACATTTGCACTTGTCAATCATTGACAGAAGTGTCCTTTGAGGTAAGGACTCAAGACCACCAGAATTAAATATAAAATAAATTAACTTAGGATAAAACTCTCAATAAAATAATATCATTAATGAAATAATGTATTCCAAGGGTTTTTCGAGTTAAATAGGCATAAATAAAGCAATGTCCTTCCATATTATCTTGTCACTGAATATGCATTGCTAAACTATATATATTTATGTTGGCAGCTTTGTTGTATACAACTGCTCTGAGGTATGAGAATCATGGTATAGTGTTATAATATATATATATAAAAATTAAAAACACAAAGCAATGTCCTTAAAAAGTAAGAGATCCAGGCATGATGGTAAAGAGGAATGTTCTTCTGTAGACCAGGAAAGATGCCCCATACTTCAGTACATATGAGGCTATTCATCACGTGCAGCAAACTGCCTTGTGTGGTTGGACTGCAGCCTGTGGACTGTACAGTTTCTTCAACCGTTGTTCAAAGGCTGACACCATCCGCTTGGCTACCTCATCAAAGAAGAGGTTAGCCAGTTGGGAATGCAGAACTGACTTGAATTCAAAGGAGACCTGGGAGGGAGATAACAACAATTAATACACTGATACATTGGGATAAGAGAGGGGAGAAGAGGAGTATTACATACCCTCCAACACCTTGATAGCAAAATCCGGCACACAATCTTTAGGGATGCCATACTCCCAATTTTTCCTGTGAGAGAATGGAGGCCATTTTGGACGCCATGATCTCACACAATTTCACGCCATTATTTTCCCCTGAAAAAAGTGCTTTTGGGAGGACAGTGCCCCAAAACATGCCCCCCACAAAAAGCGCTTGAGGGTGGAATTGTGGAGTGAAATCGTGCAAGATTGTGGCATCCAAAATGGCTGCCGTTCTCTTGCGAGAAACAATGGGGTGCCCCATTTTTTCTGGAACACTTGCAGGGTATGGCGGTATTCCTAAGCCAAGGTGAGCAGCCACATCTGGCAACCTTGGGCAGCTGTCAGGGCCCAATACCTGCCTTGGGGTCTACTTGGGAGGAGGGAAATTGGCCTAGTGCTCCAATAGGCAGCTAGGTCTGCTATTTTAATTTCCCTCAATGCAGCATCACTCTTGGGCATTGGAGACAATTTATGTGGCAAATGAGTGAAATTTGATTCTGCAAATTTAGGGCTGTATTTTGCATTTCCGCATGCAGAATTTAAATTAATGAGAACATCAAGAGGAGGAGTTGTTGTTTTTAACCAGGTTTCTACTTCTTGTGGCTGTGAAGATACGTGGGTGAATGTGTAGGCCCAAATACTGAAAGTTGCACAAGTAGTTGAATAAGACTCCTAGCTAACACATCTCTGCTTATGAAAGGCAATCAATACTTTTTTTTAAAAAAGGCAACTGTGGAAGTACCTAATAAATTAATGACCCATATTGACAAAGCTGCAATAAATCCTCCAGCGTAATCTTTGAACCTATGATGAAACGGGACTTTGCCAACATGCAGCTCTTAGCACACATCCTATTGGCCTTGCAAGTCACACCCTCGCCTGGAGCTGGCATACAAAGGGCACTTACGTAAAACTTGAGCGTGCAGCTGCTGTCCGGCTGCCCTGGACGTCCTGGTTCAAACTGCCACAGTGTTTCCAGATGCTGAAACAACCGTCCCTCATTACTCACAACCTGAAGGGTAGAGAAAGCAGCACAGGGTTAGTGCTCACAGTTTTGAAATCAGTTCAAATACCCCAAAACGCACTGCCGTGAGTTCAACAAACCCGCTGTTGCAAGTTTTCATTTACCCTAGACAGATAGGAATTGGGACAAACTCTGCGGCTGAATTTCCCGCATTTGGGGAAATCACAGGGGTCAGCACACCCGAAGTGCAGTGCATGAGCCTTATCCATGGCTTTAGTATGCAGTAATTACACTGCGTGCTCTGGTCCATGGGGTCATGAAGAGTCGGAAACGACTAAACAACAACAAATTACACTAATTTGAAATATTATAACAAACAACCAGAGTTATATGCAGTTTACTACGATTCAACCTGAGCACAGAATTTGATACTGGGTCCAGAATTCAGTAGCACAAGAATGTGGTCAAATGAGAAACTGTGTTTCTGCAGATGGAACTGTTCCAGGTAGTGATAGAGAAAGATAAATTATATTCTGGAGTGAGGTAGCATGGGCAGCCTCATTTCTCACCTTAACATAAAAAATGTGGAAACTATAGTCATCCTGATGCTGTTGGACCACAACTCCCATCAGCCCCATTCATTGAACATACTGGCTATGGCTGATGGGAGTTGGAGTCCATCAATCTCTGGAGGGGCACATTTTCCCATCCTGCCACTGCCCATGCTTGGTGGGAGTGGGTGTGTGGGTGGGTGTACATTTTTAAAAACAACACAGCTTTGCAGTTTGTAATGAACCTCTGGCCACATATACACCATACAATTAAATCACATTCTGTACCACCATGAGTCCTGGGAATTTGCCTACTGTGCTACCACTCCCAGCATCCTTAACCAAATTGCAGTTGCCATGATTCTTTCCTGGAAGCCACGCACTTTGGGCTTTTAGTGTATGGTGTGTACATAGCCAGAAGCTGAGAAAGCAGCTTTGTGAGATGAAAGCACAGCACAATGGGTGCCCATCTCTCCCCCTTTCTGGAAATGTGATTTGAGACAGTGGATCTGCTGCTCTCTAAGGAGTGTATGTTCCTTGCTTTCTTTATAACCAACCAATATATCTGTAAATAAAATTACAAGAACACTATACATCTCTAGGGCTCTCTCCTCTGATGAGAACACAAGCCCAGCTAGGTCTGTCTGCCTCTCCTTGAAACACTCTTTCGCAATCCCAGGTCACAAAGGTGGGGATAACAGAAATCTCCACATCTAGAGTTTCAACATTGCAGGCCCTCACACCAGCAAGTTCCAAAAGGCCCTGTGTTGGGAGCAACAGGACTCTCTGCTCTGGTGAATTAACTTTTTGAAGTTTCCAGTGTCCACTGACGTCATTTCTCCCTGGGTGTTATTTATCGCCATGTGAAGGAAGCATGTGCCAGAGAGGGGAAGTGAGTCAAGGAGCTGCTACATCATAAAACTGAAACCAGATTAAAACTGGTTTGAAGACAATAGCTCTCACCCGGCAAATTCCGGAAATCATAATCCTGGACCGCAAGTTACTAAGAAAGAATAACTCAGTGTGTTTGCTTGGATTGACAGTTTTCAGAGTTCAGCGCAGGTAGCCTTGACAACTCAAACAACCCCACTTGACACAGATGAGCCCTTAGCCCAAAGAAATGAAGATTGTAAGCATTTCTCAGATTTCTGCTAATGGTCAGGGAGAATGGTAGTTGTGGTTCAGCAGAACTGGATGGCTAGATGCTCCCCCCATCCCTGGTTAGCACTGTCAGCTCACAAATGGCTGGGATCCTGGGATAAAACATTCCAGGTGAGTGAGTGTGGCTTCTGCAAGGGGATATAATTCAATCCCTTGGTTTATAAAGTGACCAGTGACAAAACACGAGCGCACAAAACCTCGCCAGCAAGGTCATCCAAGGGAACACCCAAAGCATAAGCCCCATCCTCCAATGCTTCCTTACCCGGATCTGATGGTGAGGCACCAAGGATATGTCGGAGGAGTAGCGCTCTACCACAGGAGGGAATCCCACTTCCAGTTCAGCCTGCAGGAACCCGTTGCGATGGGAAATGATGCGGGAGCCGGTGCACCAGGGCACAAACAACTTGTAGCTGCCCACATCTGCCACCGTATTGTAGATCTGCTCAATGGAATACCTGCAGGAGAAGGAGGTGCAAAGGCAATGAGTGAGAATGATCGGCCTGGAGTGGTGGGAAGTGGCAAAGCACAAAGGCTGTATAAGGAACATGGCTTTCTTGCTTTCTTTCTTTCTTTCTTTCTTTCTTTCTTTCTTTCTTTCACACACACACAAACAAACAATCTAATATATATGGGAACTGCTCTTCTTGAGCTAAGCATCACCACAGAGCCTGTTTCTGATCTCTGGCATGTGTGAACTAAAAAATAAGAGGGTGTTTCTGAGTCATGTGCAGAGTGCAGCAAGCAGAGGCCTGAGGCAGTAGTGTCAGCTAAGTTGTTCTCAGAGAAGAGCTATTTCAATGGGTCCCGCTCTGCAAAGGAGTAACATTGGATGCAATCCTCTCTGCTGAACTACAAGTCCGACTGTAGTGCCCCAGTCATGTAAAAAACACAGCACAATGCACAACTCCCATCAAACAGAAAAGTGTTGCTGCAGAGTGCTAGGAACAATGGGTGAAAATGACAGGGAGGCAGATTTCGGCTAAATGTTAGGCGAAACTTTGTAACAGTAAAAGCTGTTCGACAGTGGAACAAGCTGCTGCAGGAGAAGCTGGGCTCAACTTTGCTAGAAATATTTAAGCAGAATCTGGATGGTTATCTGTCAGGGAAGCTACCTTATGCCAAGTCAGACAATTTGCTCATCTAGCTCAGCATTGCAGACATTGACTGACAGTGACTGTCCAAGATTTCAGGCAGGACACATTCCCAGCTCTACCAGAAGATGCTGGGGATTGAACCCAGGACCTTCTGCATGCAAACTGTAGTAGCATCCAGCCCTGAAAAACCTGCACTCGGTGTGTGTGTGTGTGTGTGTGTGTGTGTGTGTGTGTGGGTTAGACTAGATGTCCTTTAGGTTCTTTTCTGTATGATTTTATGATGCCAGGGGGATGAGTTCTCTGACATGCCTGTTGTCTATATGCAAGCTGTTTGTTCTTATAATTGGAGAGATTACTGGTGGTTGTTTTCTGGCATCTATAGCAGGGCTGTCCAACAGGTGCCGCTGGTAGATCCTGACTGATCACGTGATCCTGAGCAACCGACCCCTCCCCCCAAAAAAGCTCAACAACTTTGGCCAATCCAATGGGTGGATCACTTCCAATTTTTTTATAGTGGGAGTAGATTGCAGTCTCTTGGAAGTTAGACATCCCTGTTCTATAGCATGAAATTTAAATGTATTTATTTTTTAAAGGAGGATCACTTCCATCATGCAAACCCGTGTTGGCAATTTAGCTTGGATAAAGTTTTACAACTCTCGGTTAGAACTAAGCTAGGTGGGCGTTTCTCTCATTCTTTTGGCATACTCACGGGAGCTGACGGACTTCTGCATACTCCATCCGCTTGGCACCAAGCAGGGGGGCTGCCAGACTCAGGAAGGGCCGGCTCTGCTGTTTGGTGGCTGACTTTGAAGCCAGGGAGGAGCAGGTCTTCAGGATGCAAGGGGCAAGAACCCCTTTGGAGCTGAAGCGCCTGCAAGGTGGCAAATGCAATCTGCACCAAAAGAGGAAAGAAAGCACCAAATAAGGGAATCTATAAGGAGAAGGGAGTGTCCATTTCTCAGCCAGAGGGGGAAATGGGAAGCTACCACTATTGAGAAATCAGCACTTTCTTAGAAGTACTGTACCTAGAAGGGGAAGGTGGGAAATGGTCAAACTAGTTACATCCAGCTTTTTCTCGTGCTGATCTTTTGTTATTAATTAGTAAGGCATGTTCTAATATGGGCACAGGCCATCCCAAGTGAAACATATTAAGGCTGCAATCCCAGGCATGCTTAGCTACTGAGCTGGCTCTGCCATTAGGTAGCCAGAGACGGCTGCCTCAGGCAGCACAAGCTCCTATGGGGCACCTTGCCTGCCCCACTCACTCCTCCACTGGCAAAGAAGCACTGATTTTGGCCAAAAATGACCAAAATTGGCGCCGCTGTGTTGGCACCACTTCTCCGCCAGCAGCAGAAGCAGCAGGGCAGGAGGGAAAGCAGCACTGGTAGCAGCAGGTATGGTGGCAGGAGCAGGGCAGGGCAGTTTGCCTCCAGCAGCGGGACAGGACACGATACCCCTACATATCCTACATATCTAGGTGTTAAGTCCCATGAAACTCAATTGGACTTGCTACTTCCAAATTAAACTGGCTGCACAACCTATTGTTCTTAATGGGACAGTTGTGACTGACTATAATGTCACTCCCTCACTGAAATCCATGGGAATTCAGGATGTTATATTTTGGAAGGATTAAACCCTATTTTAATTAATTAATCACTAATAATAAACACAATCAAAGAGAATGCATTATTTTTATTGATACTACATAATTCACTTTAATTATTATTCATTTAATAATAGTTGGAATGATTTAATACATCTCTGCTAAAATGTTATGGTAAGGTCCATTCACTTAAATGGGACCTTAGCCGCTGAAACCTATGCATAGAACCTATATACACAGAAGTAAACCCCAGTGAGTTCAGTTCAGCTTATTCCCAATTAGGTCTGTTAAGGTTTGCAGCCTAATTTCGGCAGGATTCCATGCCGTTTATATACTTCAGCTGCTGCTTTTAGTGTTTAACTTCTATTTTATTTTGTGCGTGCTGTAATTGATATTTTAAATGGTTAAATTCCATGGTTAGCCACCTGCAGCTTCTTGATAGGAAAAGGCAGAGTATCCGCGTTTTTAAAGAAACCACAGACATATACTCGAATATTGCTATTAACATTAAAACTACTACTGTATTCAAATAGCTCAGTCAGTAGAACATGAGAATCTTGTACTTTGGGCAAAAGATTCCTGCATTGAGGGAGTTGGGTCCCTTCCTATGATTCTGTAATTCAGAAATTGTCTCTATGACGGGCGCTCAGCAGCCCAAAAGCTCTCCGGGCTGAAAGTTTGCGCCTTTGCGCAAGGCTGGTCGCCCCGACGGCGGGCGCAAGCATTTGGGGAGAAGGCAGAAACGGCGGGACAGAAGCCGGATCCCCTGATCTCCAAAACCTCCCTTCTAGGATCAGCCCCCTCTCTTACCCGGCTCCTTTCGAGCATCGTGGGCGGGAGCCCATCTTCACCAAACCCCGGACGGCGAGGCGACCGCTTCTTCCTGCCATCGCTTCACGCTGACCGAGAGAGAACCGAGTGCTCGGGACGGACCGGCGGCTCGCCTAAAAAGTTACCCAGGTGCGTCATCGCCGGGGAGGGTGGGCGCGCGTCTGCCTGTGCGCGTCGGCGGAAGGGCCAGCCCCTTCCCCGCCTTCCTCGTGCGCGCCCGAGGTTGGGGGCGGCGGCGGAGGGGGCAGTTAGGTAATGCCGGACTCTGGACTTGGTGGCCTTGCGGGTTCTCCCGCTTCCCGCTTTTTAGATGGCCATGTGTAACCGCGTCAAAATGTGGTGTAAGCCAGCCTTGTTGCGTTGGGAGAGGAGCCCCTCTACGCAGAAGCGCGCCTGGGTTGCCTCGCGCCCTTGGCAAGGAGACCTGTTGGCACCCCCGTCTCTTGCGCCAGCTCAGCACACTTGACAGGAGGTGGCTTTCCAGGATTTCAGCTAGTGGCTTCACCCAGCTCTGCTTGGAGAGATCAAGGATAGAACCTGGGACGTTTTCATGCAAGGCAGATGCTCTACCACTGAGCTATGGGAATGTGCCTTTGCTGGAACTGCTATAGCTACTGCTTTGGATTAAAACAGGCATGGAACAATCTGTGCTTGGCATTCTGACACTGAACATGGAAAGAGAGTAGAAAGAGCCTGATCTGTTTGCTTTAAGCCCCTGCTTTGTCTTTATTAACAAAATGTTATGTGTACATTTAACAAAGAAGAAATTACAGTAGTCCTAATATATACACACAAAGCAGATGGTGTCTATTATTTTTGGTTCAGCTTTGGAACCCTTAAAGGCTGAGCTAAATTGGAGCTGGCAATGGCAGCCCTACAATATGTTGGGGGAAAGTGCTTCTGAGCACATGTGGAGTACCTGTCATAATGCTGCTGCCAGACTCAGATCCCAACTTCCGCATCACGAGAGATTTATAGCTTTCAGATTCCAAGGCTGATATTCAGCTTTAATTAAGCCCTGTCAAGTCCCCTACTGTTCTGAGGGAATGTTTTGCATAACTGGAGTGTCTTTGGCTTTCATGCAACAGTGTCTTGCAGTTCCTTTGAAACAAACAGATTTTATTGTAGCACAAGCTTTTGTGGATCCAGAGGCATTGGATAAAGTGGACTCCACCCCATGAAAGCGTTTGGCACAATAAATCTGATGCCAAATGACGGTTTGCTGCATTTGCACTGCAGGTGCACATGGTTACTCCTCTAGAAATTTATTTTATAATTGTTCCTTGGCCTCAAGCATGTTATATAGGAGCCAGGTAGGATTATTCACCTTTACATCAGCCAAGGCTCCCGTACCCTTAAAATGTGCATGACAGGCAAAACTTCAGCAGGATGACGTTTCTCCCTGAGAGAACTTGTGCAGCTGTTAAAGGCAAAAGATAGGCAAGCAGCCCAGAGCTTCCAAAGGGACTTGGGCAAAACAGCTGCCAAAAAACAGTAGGACTGTATTTGGAAACCCACTCCACATAGGATCTGAAGGCAGCTGTTATAAAACAAAAGATAGAGGTGTATTCTGCAAATCTTGTAATGGGAAACAAAAAGGGGCAGAAGTGCCGAGGCTCATTTCTTAAGGTAACATACTGGATGGTCATTAAGTTCTCTTGGTATCCTCTGTTAAGGAGAAGCAGAGTGGGGAGACTGGTTTAGCGTGTCTGGCAGCTCCATTGTTCTTCGCCTTCAGGTGCTAGGATACTAATCTCCCAACGGAGGGCACTTCTGGGCAGGTGCCTAGTCCTAACAGCTGCTGGGCACCATTTCTTTTGAGGGTCGGCCATTGCCATCATGACAGGCACAAGCAAGCAAAATGCGAAGCACATTGGCAGGCTTTGCAAACTGGTCTGGTGATGCCAGAAAGGGACACAAATGACACCACCCCTTGCTCACTGCAGCTGCTATGGGGTGGCCAGAGAGAGAATTATGGGAGGCAATGCTCCACCATTAGCAAAGTCAGAAGATCATGGCGCAGAGATGGCTTGCTTGAAGATCCAGTTCTGAGGGCCTTCCCTCATTGCGAGAGGGAACCAGGCAGAGAGGGAACCAGGCAGAGGCTATTTTCAGTAGTTGTGCCAACCCTGTGGAACATCCTCCCAGCAGATGTCAAACAGATAAACAGCTATGTGATTTTTAAGACACATATGATGGCAGCCCTGCTCAGGGAAGTTTTTAGTTTTTTGGTGGTGTATTGTGCTTTTTTGGGATGCAGGTGGTGCTGTGGTGTAAACCGCTGAGCCTCTGGGCTTGCCAATCGGAAGGTTGGCGGTTCGAATCCCTGCAACAGGGTGAGCTCACGTTGCTCAGTCCCAGCTCCTGCCAACTTAGCAGTTCAAAAGCATGTCAAAGTGCAAGTAGATAAATAGGTACCACTCCAGTGGGAAGGTAAAGTGTTTCCGTGTGCTGCTCTGGTTTTGCCAGAAGCGGCTTAGTCATGCTGGCCACATGACCCAGAAAAAATGTCTGCGGACAAACGGCAGCTCCCTCAGCCAGTAAAGCGAGATGAGCACCGCAAGCCCAGAGTCGTCTGCAACTGGACTTAATTGTCAGGGGTCCTTTACCTTTATTGTGCTTTTACTGTTTTTTGTTGAGAGCTGCCCAGAGTGGCTGGGGCAACCCAGTCAGATGGGTGGCATATAAATAATAAACTATTATTATTATTATTATTATTATTATTATTATTATTGAGAAAAATATATAATATTGGAAAAAGCAATTTAATTCAACACCTTCTACAAGGGCCTGACCACACTCCATTTCTCCCCTATCATAATGATTCCCAAATGCCTGTGCCAAGACATTGGGTGATCTAAGAAGAGCTGAAGAATGCTTTGGAAAATTAAGCCACCATGTTTGACGCATCCAATATTTTACACCCACTGGAAATCAGAAGTTCCATGTATTTTATGCCAATACCAGTAGTCGACATAGTCAGATACCACAACAGACCAGAGCCCCCGAAACCAACTGATAGCAACTTCACCACATAGGAAGTTCCATCAAACCCAGTCAGACCATCGGCTCATCTGGTTCAGTATTGTCTACACTGATTGGCAGCGGATGTCCAGGATGCCAGGGATTGAACATGGGATCTTTTGCAGGCAAAGCAGATATTCTACCACCAAGCCATTGCCCTTCCTACAGTGTGGCACAAGTGGACAGCAGCTATGCAGACAAAACGTGCTTGCCCAGTAAATAGCCTCCAACAAGTGGAAATGATGCACAGAAAGGCCAAAGGCTGCCAGGGCTGCTGGCCTAATGGAGGTGGTGGTGGTATATCCTCCATCACTTTTGAATTCTATTAAGAAAGAGGAAGACTAAGGACCCACATAGTGAAGAAGGGCCATCACAAAGGTGTACATGCATGGAGAGAGAAGCAGGAATTGGCTGTTGGGAAATGTAGAAATTATCTTCAATTGGCTTCAAATAACTAGTCTTCAGGGGCAAAGGCAAGAGCTCACGAGACAACACTCATTTTTAAAGGGTTTTTAAAAAAATGAAATACTGAGTTATTGAGGAAAAGGTTAAAGCGACTGAAGTTATAATAATGACAAACACCGGATGGCAAGTCTTTTGTTTTCAAAAGCTTTGCATACGTGGGAGGGTTGTCAAAGCAGTTTACTGGGACCATAGAATCTGGTACAAGCTCAGATCAAGAAAATGCATCTTTAGCTTTCCCCGCTCTGCCACAAATGTTTTGATGACTGCAAAAAGAGAAGAACTTGTTCGCCAACCGCTGTGGAACAGACAAAGAGATATCCCCACCAGGTGTTAAGGTGTCAGGCACAACCACACAGAGACGAAGCTGTCGAGAGATGTCGTCTTTATGTGTAGCTTATGCACAGGGCACACCGACAGAGCAGTGGTGGGCTAAAGCAGAGCAGCCCCTCCCCACCCCTGTGACCTCCGAGTGTCGTCGTTGGTCAGTCGTGCTGCTGAAAGGTTGGTCTCCATCAGAATCATGAAACCCATCAATGGCTTTGGATGCTAAAAGCTGCTCCTTCTTACTCCATCAGGCAGCCCCTCACCCCTCACTTCTTCATGCCTCTCCCTCAGCCTTTTTGCAACCGGGGGGGAAGCAGAGGGAGGTCAGCTCTGTCCTCTCACCATCAAGCATTTTGAACTCCCCTTTCCCCCCACCTCCACCCTCATCTGTGGCCCCTCGTCGGGGTGGGGCCCACCTGCCGTAGACTTTTCCAGACCGGCAGCACCGAAGGAGCAGAGTGAAGAAGTGATTCCATCTCGGTTCAAAGCTCTACTCCTCTTTGAGGCGTTTCTGGAGCAGGGCCCAAGCCTTTTCTACCTGTGAAGAAAGGACAGGTGATTGATTATTTGGGAAGGTTGACAGGGAAGGGGCTCAGAAAAGGGATGCTTATAAGGGAAGCTGCGGGGTGGTTTCTTGAGTAGCGGCAGCAGCAGACTCTTACCAGCTCACAGGTAACTGCTGGCTCCCACAATGTGGAGAGAACCACGTGTGACTGTTTCACGCGCTGGCTGTTGGACATTTGGCTTTGCAGGCGCAACCTGGCAGATTCCTCACTGAGCCTGTCTCTGGCTACAATGCGTCTTAGGGCCTGAAACAGAGAGAAGACAGAAACTGATTAGAAGCGTATCTTTCTACAGGGAACCAGGCAGAGGGCCTTCTCGGCAGTGGCACCCACCCTGTGGAATGCGCTCCCATCAGATGTCAAGGAGATGATTATCTATATAACCTTTAGAAGACATCTGAAGGCAGCCTTGGATAGGGAAGCTTTTTAATGTTTTATTATGTTTTTATATATGTTGGAAGCTACCCAGAGTGGCTGGGGCAACCCAATCAGATGGGCATGGTATTATTATTATTATTATTATTATTATTATTATTACTACTACTACTACTATTCAGAGTAAACATTCTACATATGGAAAGCACTTTTGCATACACTCATCTATTTCACTGCCATGTACACACAGCAAAGTGCACGTTGTAAAATAAATAAATAAAAGGTTCCCCAACCTATAATCTAAAGGCAGTTTCCATGTTTTCCCTGCACAGAAGTGCTTTCTGCATAAGAAAGCCACAATATTTGATGCAGCCCTCATGGATTGTATAAGCTTTGAGGTTCAGGTTTATTACATTTGTAAGTCTCAAAGCGATTTACAACCAAAGTAAACAAACAATGAGCTTTTGAGTTTTAGACAGCCTTTGCCTAGCTGGGTTCCTGCATACTCCAGCAAGTTTGTCCAACCAAAATAATAATAATAAATCACTCAAAAATCAGTTTGTGTCTGCTACGCTTTTGGTCCAGCATTGAAAACGCCATGTACTAAATTGTTGAGAGAGACAGAAGTGGAATCGTTTTGCTTCAGCTGCAGAAATGACACAGAGAAAAACAGTACGTACCTCATCTTCCGGGATGATAACTGTCCAGACCTCGTGCACCAAGTCTGCCCAGCCTGCCTCCAACAACATGGCTGCGTCCAGCACACACACAGCATTTCCTGCAGAACAGACAGGGGCAGCTTTGAGAAACTTCCAAGGACAGGCAGGAAAAGAATTCCTTCCAATGACAGAAGGGACGCAGGACTTGGGTTTGCCCCACCTTATGTGGGAAAGGCTCAGTGGTAGAGAACGTGCTTTTCATGCAAAATGTCCCTGGTTCAATCCCAGGCATTTCCAGGTAGGGCTGTACAATACCCTTGTCTGAAACCCCACCAGGATAACCGCTGCCAGTCCGTGTAGGCAGTACTGAATTAGATGAGCCAATGCCCTGACTGGGTGTGAGGTACCATCCTATATTTGTGCTATTATTGTCAGACTTCAGGGAATTGACTTCCTACCCCACCCCCACCCCTGTGGTAGTAGATAAGCAGAACAAAGGAAAAGGAGTCTTCTTACCAGTTAGAAACTTTAATAACCACAATGAGAGAACAAAGAACACATCTCCCAATTAAGGATCCCACCCCCTTCTGTTCTACATCTTGTAATCTGATCTTGTACCATCTGTGCTTTGTTCTGCCACTTTCTGAGCTCTCCATTAACTTTGGGGAAGGGGGGGGGGTGAATGCGAGACTGTGAATCTGTTAACCCTCTCTCTTCCCAGTGTTTCTTCTCCTAGCTGTTCCCCATCCAGTACTTCCCAGCCTCTGCCTTCTGAACTATGTCCCTTGGCAAACCACTATTCCAAATCTATACTGTCCTCCTGTTCCTGGTAAGATTCAGGATCAGGATCAGGATCAGTGGGAGGGGGAGGCTCCCACCATTCCTCCTCAGTGCAGCCCTCCCTAGCACGGTCCCTGACAATTATTATTTTAAGCCAGGGGTCAGCAAACCTTTTCAGCAGGGGGCCGGTCCACTGTCCCTCAGATCTTGTGGGTGGCCGGACTATATATTTTTGGGGGGGGGGGGGAATGAACGAATTCCTATGCCCCACAAATAACCCAGAGATGCATTTTAAATAAAAGGACACATTCTACTCATGTGAAAACACACTGACTGTCCGCAGGCTGGATTTAGAAGGCAATTGGGCCGGATCCGGCCCCCGGGCCTTAGTTTGCCTACCCATGTTTTAAGCCATTTCCAAACTGACTGGAGGACAGTATTTTAAAAAGATATGCCAGAAAAAGCTTCTTTGGTGGCTAGGCTCCATGTTAAATGATTGGAAATAGCCCCTGTAGATTACCAACACCTGTTTGAAAAAGCCAAGATGGCAGCCCCTTCATGCACCTATTTATCCCCGAATCCCCACCCACAACTCCTGCCAAGAACCCAAATCCCTCCTCACCCTGTGCAGCTGCCTCGTCTATCTTTTCTTTTGCTATTCGAGCCATCACTGGCCACATGATATTGTTGAGCCGCGTCAACTGCTCCTGGGGAGAGGGAACAAAAGCAAGTAAGGATCCCAAGGCAAAGGAGAGCTGTTGGTCAAGAAACTAATCTGGGTTGTGTGTGTGGTAACAGCCCAAGATAAGACATGGGTGGGTAGGGGGCTAGAGAAAAACACACATCAGTGCAGAAATCCCAGAGCAGAGCACCTTTGGCTAACAGATCAGTGGGATGTGAAACATGGTAAAAGAGAAGAGGTATCCCAGCATGCACTTGCACTATTTCTAGCACTAAAGTGCCCAGTCTAAGGGTCAAACTGTGCATACTGTACAGCGAGAAATTGTTCCAGCATGCACTACTCCCCATTGAGTACCTTTCACCCACAAAAGAGGAAAACATTCTGAGAACAGAGGTGAAAGGGTTCTGTTAGTTTTGTGGACTGAAGAGGCAAGCTAGCGTCAGAGGCACAAAGGGGAACAAAACAAATGATGGCCAATTGGGAGAGGGAGGGGTGTGGTGGCTGAAGTTAAACATTGATCCCAAACCCAGAGGGCTTTTTACCTGGTCTCTAAACACTTTGGCCCCCAGGATTTGTCTGTTGATGGTTCCATCTTCTTTCAAAATATCTGCAAAGAAGGAACGGTGTTACTTGTTCTTGGTTCCGTACAGCAGGGGATCTCAAACTTTCTACCCAAGGCCCCACTTTACAGGACTGAAAAATTACTGAGGCCCGCAAGTAACAAAAAAGTGGTGCAAGAGTGAATTCAGTCACAACATGGTGACAATGGAAGCAGAGTTTGGCCTAATCTGCTGGCAATTACAGACATCATTTTTCTTGGTATCTAAGCTCTCTTTGGAAATGTCTCAGCATTTTTCTGGTGGCAAGGGGTTCCATAGCTCAGCTTTCCTAGAGCTAAATGCAGGCATTTGATCAGGAGATACTGTGACAGCCTCCATATTTTAGGCAGAATTTGCTAACCCAGAGGTAATAAGTAGAAAATATTTCTATTTTATATTTTCCCCTTCCTGCCCCCCATCCCCTGGCATCTCAAAGTATTTTTACTCATCTTCTGTAATTTCTTCTCCTGTTCTCTTTTCATTGGCCCTTATTCCCCACCACAACCTGCCAGTGCCTTTCATCCCTCTTTCTAGGTCCTTTCACACTCAAACTCTTCCTCTTACAGCAGCTTCCTACAACCATTCCTTTCTTTTCCCTGGCCCACCATTTTAGAAACACTGCTATACAGTTATTAACATTTTACCTACAATGGTTCAGTCTGCATGTAACATGAAACCATAGTTTAAAACAAACCATGGTTTCATGTGAGCCAGAAAAATTCCTGTGATCCTCTCCCACTCCTGCTGCTCCACAAACAAAACAAGTCAGAGCTCAACTTGTATTATCCGAACTCCAAGGTTTGCTGCTGGCTTTCTGCTCGTATTTTTTTGTGTGGGAACAAACCATGAGCCCTGGTTCAGACAACGTAACAAGCCAGACTCTGTCTTGTTTTGTCTGCAGCACAGCAGCAGTAGGAAAGAAGCGCTACAGAAAATCATTCACATCAAACCAGAGTTTGCATGTTCACAAACTTTCTAACTGTTTGGGGGAAACTGTCAGCAATAACATGTTGATGAACAATGCAACTTTTGTTAAAAACAAAAAGAAGAGAAATAGAAAAGGGAAAACTAGGTCCGGAATTGGGATGGGGGCATACATAATTTCTAGAGACAAAAAGCAGCCAGGCTGTGGGCTAGGGGACGAAGATAACCAAACATTGTTTAGCTGTAATTCCTGAAGCACTACCTATGCAACTTAATTTACTAGTCTCCCTGACATTAAAAAATGTTTTCCAGGAAGTCTGAAATACCTGTTCCAAATGCTTCTACCACCTGTGCATACACAGGACCTCCTGGATGGTAGATGTTGTGTCCAAGACTGTCCATATCCAAATGGAAAGCACCGAGGCGAACCAGATGTTGCGCAATGGAACTCTTGCCACTACCGGACCCGCCTGTCAGCCCAATAACGTAGGGATGGCAAGGGACACCTGGATCTTTCTGGGGGTGGTGAAGGAGAGAGAGTGGTTTCGGGACACAGACACAATTATGCACATCCTAATTTTGTTGTTATAACTGTTGCTGCTCACGCTGAGCCACTCTAAGACGTTACAGCAGAGATGTGGCAGCCATTGTTCCATGGGCTCATCCTACAGCACTGTTGTAACACTGAAAGGCCTGTCACCAGGCAAACTTCTGCTCATGTTGACTCAGACGGACATTCCAAGTTCTGCACTGTCTTCTGTGGGCAGCATCCTCTTTATCTGGGGAGTTTGTCTGCCACTGTCTGTGTTTACCACACTCAGTGGCAGAGCATATGCCCGGAGCGGCACATGCATCCTGCAGCCAGGGGCAGAGTGAGGCGCTCATGGCAGACATTCGGCAAGCCACCCGCCTGCGACTCCCAAGCATCCCCCAAGCTGTCAAAACAAAGGGGGAAGGGGGAATGCCGCCAGCAAAGCAGCATAGCTCCCCCCTTACCCTGACGGCTCGGGGAGGCTTGGGAGTTGCGGGCGGCCAGCGCGCTGAATGTCATCCCCCTCCGTAATGACACCCAGGGTGGCGTGCCCACACAGCTCCCCCCTTCCTACGCCCCTGACCACACTTGATGACACATGAGGCCCCTGATCTTGCATGTATGCTCCCCATCCTTGAGTCCTCTAATCCCTCTCAAGCAGCACACAGAGGAGGAAAGGTGGAAAGGGAAAGACAGAGAGGAAGAAACAGTGCCTAGAGTTCATAAGATGGGGAAGGAGGGATGTTAAACTAACTCACCTCCAGTCTCTGCCCACTTAGCAGGCCAGACAAAAAGCAGCCTTCCTGGCTGAAAATCAGAATTTGCTCCTTACCCTATATGTGTCGTCTTTTCTCCCTCCACCTCATTATTCTTGCAAGTAAGCCTCCTCCTGGAGATCCAACAACCCCATCTAGCCAACCCATAACCTATCCAGTTTATTACTCACATGTGGGGGGTGTAACAGAGTCCCAAGCAGCCTGTACCGCAGGCTAGAAGAGCTGATCTTCTCTTCCTCATTCCTGCCATGCAGGGGGTCAAGGGCCAGTTTGATGATGTGGACAGCCAGCTCAGGGAGACCCTGCAACAGAGCATGGGCCAGTGAAGAAGGAGGAGCAACAGTGAGAAAGGAAACCAGAGGGCCTTCTCTCTGCCACAGTTTGGCAACCAGCTGCAGGGTAGATTCTGCTGCTCCTTGAAACACAGCCTGCACCTAAACTTACTCCAACAAAATCAGGCTTGTGTGCTGCACATTAGCAGATTGCTAGTTAACTTCCTGGCTCCATCATTCCCAGCGACTAACACGGATGTGAATCTGAAGTTCACCTATAAGCAGGTTTTGAAAACGTGCGAGAATCCTTCCTTTGACCCAGTTATTGTATTTACATCCCACATTTATTACAACAGTGGGTTAAGCTGAGGGAAATACAGTCACCCAACTGTATTTCATGATGGAGTAAGGATTAGAGCCCAGGTCCCATCAGTCCCAGTCTTGACACTCCCACCACCACACTATACTGCCTCTCCCCGGTGACTGGTTTTTCTGCCTCAGTGGTGAGAAAGGGGTAGCTAAATTATGTTTAATATTTTGAAATGTCTAAGACAACAAACTAGGACAGGAGACTATTTTTTAAAAAAAATATCAACACCTCCCAAAAGCTTGAGATCTGTATAGTTATGCAACTTGGAGTGTGCAACTTTAGAGACCTTAAGCTCTTTTACATACAGAATGAAAAATACTTCTTCACCCAATACATCTCTGACCTTATGGAATTCATTGCCCAGGATGGTGCAGTGCCAGCTAAAACACAGGGGTTCTTAAGAGAATTAAGTAAATGCAAGAGCAGCCGATTGGTGGCTACTAAACCCTCATCGTTAGAAACAGAACTTCCATTTTCAGAGGCAATATACAGCCAACTACCAGCTGCAATAAATTAACAACATAGGGATGGATGTTCCTTTATGCCCTCTATTGGATTTATCAAATCGGGGTTGAAAAAGTCTAAAAGGACATCTAGTCCAACTCCGGCAGGGATATCTATGTTCTCAGTTCAGATTGCTACAAGCACAGAGCCGAAAGAGGCCCTTATACAGAGCAGTTTGAGATTTTTCTCAAGAATGTGAACCAGGCTGCACACTGAAGAAAGAAGGCCAAACGCTTCCTACATCTAGCCACTTTGATTAAGGAGATTAAATTCCAAACTAGCAATATTTCTGAGCAGATATGTTGAGGCATATACATGGCCACGGTTGATAAACAGGAAGCCAAGCCACACTGTTTGTTTGCCTGATCCAGCTGGACCATTCGTATGCCCCTAGAGCAAATCTTCTCTGAGCAAAAATCATTGTGACTCAAAGGAAAATAAACACAAGCAGTGCCAGAACACTGGGCTGACCGAGAGACTATATGTTAGGAATGGAGGTCAGAATTTAGCAGATGGCACTCACCATCGCAGGATGCTAGCAAGAATGGATTTAAAAAGAGATGAGATACTGTAAATATATGGAGGTTCAGCCTGTCCATGGCAGAAAAGCCTCTGTTTATTTCATGCACCCCCAAACTTATTGATGATCCAATTTGTTTACAAGGCTGGGGCTCCCAGCACACTTACATTTTCCACCCTCCTCCTGTTGACGGCAAGACCACCCTTGAGGGTCTCTTCGCTGACTATGATGCACTTCAGTTTGCTGTCAGTGATGGACGGGCCAAAGTAGTCAAACAGGGGGGAGATTTCATACCGCAGGGAGGGCTTGATGTCCACCAGGAATTCACTGAGCTGAGCCACACGCTGCTCAAAGGGCAAGATCAGCTCTTTCAGCATCTTGGCTGCAAGTGGCGAAAGAAGGAAGGGGGAAAGATGACATTTTTAGGAATGTGCAAAGAGCCCAGTAAGTTCTCCCACATGTGCTGTAGAGATGCCTCACACACACCAGTTAATCTAGCTGCCAACATCCAACATAGTATCTGTCAGGCACAAGGATGCTATCACACCAAGCGGCTTACAGAAAAGGGCAAACTATCCATCACAGACAGATGTATTTTGAGCCTGATAAGACCTGCCACCTCACTGTGTCTCCTGCTGTGTGTAAGAGGCACCCAAAGCTTATAGGAAAAACAAAATCCCAGGCTGGTTAAAAATATACAAGTTTGAGGGGTTGTGTGTTTTGCTGAGCTAGCAATTAAAAGGCTCATCTTACCCAATAATTTATCACATCAGAGTAACATAGGTGCATCTGTGATGAATCCTAAGAAGTATAAGCGAGCTCTGTTATAGCTCCCACTTACAGTTCTCCAGTGCTTGCTTTAGCTTTTCCTGTCTTGTTGCCTATATGTGTGCAGGGCTTGGGACAAACAAATGAGAACTAAAGTGCAAGATCTTGACAAGGGCTTTGGCAGAATCCTCTTTGCATGTTCTGTCTTTTCCAGTTTGTGTGTGGCCAGAGAAAGGGAACATGCAGGATTTCAGGTGGTTCTTCCTACAGCTCAGTGACAGAGCACATGTATGGCAATGCAGAAGATCCTAGGTTCAATCCTTAGCATCTTTAGTTAAAGAAAGATCAGGCAGCAGGTGACGTGAAAGGCCTCAGCTTGAGACCCTGGGGAGTTGTGTCATTCCTAATAGATAATGTTGGTCTAGAGTAGACAAACAAATAGCTCCACTTGCTATAAGGCAGCTTCCTACCTACAGTTCCTGTCCTGTGCAGCAGAGACAGGTAGGCTGAGCTGTTTGCGCTGTAGTTTCCGCAAGAGGCTTCTATCCCGTTCTACCAAAATCCTATTCAGATCTGCTTGCTATTCCAACCAAAGCAAACCTGGAGTTTTTGGGAACAGGGACACTCCACAGTTGCAAACATCAGCAAAACAAATTATGCAAAGCTATTAGAAGCTTTAGAAAAATCACCCTGATAAATTATGTTTGGCAGAGTGCCAAACATATTTTTAAGCATCACTGGACTTTATCCCTTCACCTTTATAAACCATAGCCAAGTGTGAGTAAAAAACAGCAACAAACCCTAGGATCCAACATCAATTTTTAAAACATTAGTTTTAACAAGTTTGAAAAAAATATTTCAAATTCCTAGATATCAGCTGTAAGTTTTGTATGCCCGGGCAATCATGTGTGTAGGATGTTCAAGTCCTATTTTTAAAAACAAGCCTATCCGTGTTCTTGGTTTACTGCTTGTGGTTAAGCTTGAGTTTAGATGTACCGCTAAACCAAACTAGCTCTGGAGAGCACAGCAGGACCAGAGGAAGAGCTTAGCAGCTGTGATTTTTCCTGTGAGTACCACTATCTGCATGTTCACATTTATCCATGTCTTGGTTTAATGCTGTGTGTGAACTGGGCCTTTATCTTGTGGCTCAACAGCCTCATTTCCAAATTCACATCCTAGCCTCTGAAAAAACAGAAGGATTAAATTTCTGATCTACAAGAAGAGAGAAAACCAAAATTATCCAGCTCATATCAAAACAGAAAAGATGTTGTAGGGTCAAAAATATCCCAGGCATATGAAAGTCTCTGGGTAGTATTTAAGGACTTGGAATATTTCTTCATCCTGTTAGACCAATTCTTAAACATTTGTTGCTAATGTTTAGATAATCTGAATTCTTTTTTCAAGGCCTGGAAATGTAACTAACTGGTAAGCAATAGTTTCAGTCAGGGCTAGAAAATGTTTTAAGTTCCTAAGCACCAAAATAAATGTCTAGGCAACAAGGGAATTATCCCGCTCACTCTCTCACCCAATTCTGGGGTTTTCCAGCCCGGATTCTAGTCACAGCATTTGCTCATTCAGTGCTCTTGGTTTGTTTAAGTAGCATTACATAAGAATCTACAAAGTGCCTGCTGGATCAGCCCACTAGCCTATCTAGTCCAGCATCCTTTTCTCACAATGGCCAACCAGATACATGTGGGAAACTTGAAATCATGACAAGAGTGCTCTGCCCTTCTACAGTTTCAGTAGCATTACCACCTCCAGCAGTGGAGAAAGAGCATAGCCATCATGGCTAGTAGCCATCAATAGCTTTATGGGACCTTGGAGAAAGGGCATACATGGTTCAAAGGGACCCACTTTCCAGGAGATCTCTGTCCGAGACGCCCACCACAAGCCGATTTTCTGCCAACATGCAGCTCACGCTCAGAAGGATCTTGTGACCGTTGTGAAGTCTATCGAAAGTGCCCCCTACGACGACATCACTATAGCTCTGCAGTGGCTCCTCAGTTGCGTTGGTCTCATGCTGTGCGGACAGCTCCTCGTTGCTGACTTCTAGCTCATACTCAGGGTACAACAAAACAGAGATGAGATTCGGGCGACAGCTGTAGCAGCTGGTAGCGTAACGCTCCAGCCGCTGCTTGACTGGATTGGATTGCCCTCCATCTCTGGTTTCAAAGTCAGTAAGCACCACTTCAGGAGGTTGGGAGAGGTTCTGCACAGAGCCAAGTGCCGGAGGAGCAGCTCCCTGGTTGAGGATGTTGGTGAGCAGCACCCGGACATTGAGGTGGCGATGGATGTCGGCGTTGGCATATAACTTGCTGATAAGGGTGTACACCTCAGATGTAGCAGGGACATATGTGGAACGGGGCTGTGTGGAGCCGGTCAAGCTGAGCCCTGGCTGCAGGTGAATATAGAGCGTGTCTTGTACCAGCCGGGCAGCTGAGGCGAGAATGGGTACCAGACGCAAGGAAAGTGCTGACAGTGGTGATGTCAGAACCAGCAGGCCTGAGCGGAAAACCGACATGCTGTCCAGCAAACACAGGCAGAGAAGGAGGGTGCAAAAGAGAAGAGAGGCAAAGGTAAGTGGGAGGCAGCATGTTATATATAGGGAGAATTTATGCAACAATCCTACCAGAGTCACCATCCCAAAATAAAAAATCAGATCCTGTACCCCAGAAGTACTTTCCCATTAGCAGGGTGGAATTGGGGCCCCCAAACTGAAATCACTAGCATTGGGCAAGTCACACAGTCTCTCACAGCCTAACTTACCTCACAGGGTTGTTGTGAGGCTGCAGTCCTGCTCTGAGTTTATGAAGAGGAAAGGTTGGATAAGCATGCATATACAATAACCTTCACTACTGCCAAAGGAATGTCAATCCCTGTTTTAATTTCCTTCTCCCCTGTCCTACTTTTTTTGCTTGGTTTTTAACTTCAACGTTTACATTTAGTTAATAGGCAATACAGCATGTGCAAATGAGTAACAGCCAGCATTTCTTTCTCAATTCCTCTGTGCGTATTAACTCTCAGCTGGCTGGGAAGAAAGTGGTGAAAGACAGAGAAGTGGGAGGGGAAGGTGTCTTAACAAGTAATCACTTCTGCCTCCTCTTCACAGCAGCAGTGTTGCAGTACTAATGTGTTGACTATATCACATATTTTTTCAACAGCCCGAGCAAGGAAGGCTCCATACAGTTCCCCAAGACAAAAATGAAAATTAGTTTTGCATTTATTACTTAAAACTTTTGATGTGCAGCCCAATCCCATGTTTGTTTATTTGGAAATAAGGTCCAGTGGTTTTATTTACTCACATAAAACATTTATACCCTGCTGTTCTTCCTGAATACCCTCGCTGCAACACAACTAAATTAAAAGGGCTTACTCCTATTTAATTCCACTTGGACTGAGATCTAAACATAATAGTAACAGTAATAAAGGTTTCAATAGACATGCCAACTAAAAATAAACTATTCACATACAGTAAGAACTGAAATCCTTAGTATTTTAGTACATTATATATAATGTCACTGGGATGTACTGTTATGTTGTTTACTCATTTCCAAGTTACGGTACTTTGCAATAGGGCATTAACATTTCAGACAGTTCTTTGAGGAGATCATGCATAGCATCTTTACTACCTGGGTGTCTCTCTTCTCAAACTGCTTCCTGCTCCCAAATAAACAAGATACAGTATAGGTAGATACATAGATATCACCTACCCTGTCCATTTTAATTTATATAACTCAGGCAGCAATCCTATGAACACTTACCCAGGAGCAAGATGAAGTGAATATAGTAGGACTTATTTCCTAATAGACATGTAGAAGAATTTGATGTTACTGATTTTCTATTCTAGCAAATCTGCAGACTTAGATTCATTAATCTCAATGGGTTAGCTCTGGTCAACATTAAGTGACCAGAACAGCTGCCCCACCCCCAAAAAAACACTCAGGTAGCCTCTCAAATCTGAGAGTCGGACTAGCATTGGATAAAACCCCATATGTTTATTGGCCCACCTTTCTTCCAGGGGCCTCAAGATGGCATAGGCAGTTCTCCTCCTTGCCTATTTCATTCTGAAAACAACTCTACCAGGTAAGTTGGGCTGAAATACAGCGATTGGCCTCAAATCCCTAAGAACCCTTTATGGCAGCCTGGAGATTTGGACCAGTTATCACCCTGGACCACTGCCCAACCAGTGGCTCAGCTGGTAGACACTTCATCTCAAGGGTTCATGGGATTATTCCAGCCCCACATTTGAGCAAAAAGATTCCTGCATTGCAGGGGGTTGGACTGGATGATCCTTGTGGTCCCTTCCAACTCTTATGCCACAGCCCCCAATCTCTAGCTGCTTCGTGGACTCTGCCTCTCCGTTATCCCCGGTTACCTCCCAGATCCCCCACCACCACCTCTCGCCTTTCACTCCCTCTGACCTCCATATTCTCACTTGGCTGAAACACCCCAATTTCAAAGATCCTGTTCTTTTCCTCAGCCCACCAGCACCTATGCTTCGGAAACGTAAGAAACATATTTTCAAAAATACCAAACACAATAAGCCTCTGTTCTGTGAGGTGGGGACATAATCAGCGGGCGACCTGTCAGTTAGAGAGAGGCTGCTGCCACCTCTGCAAAAGGAGAGTGTGCGGCGGTTATTTCCTTCCCCCGGGTTTGCTCGCTCCCTCCATTACCCAAGCGCTGCCCCTGGCACTCCCACCCCGCCCCACGGCTCCCCGAACCGCAGGCCGGCCCCGCCCCATATCCCCCCCCTCGTCTCCCCTCGCTGGCAAGCAGGGAAGAAGGAACGGCGAGGGTCCGGGGTCTCTCTCACCCACCTGCTGGGAAGCCCCAGCTGAGGCGCCGTGTGATCCGGAAGCGTTTCCTCCCCCAACCGGAAGTGCCGCCTCACTGACAGGGGGATAAATAAATAAATAATAATAATAAATAATAATAATTAAAACTGCAAAAAATAACACCACTATATTTTAAAAGGAATAGGTAGGTTTAGGCGAGACTGGGTTTCATTTCTGTAACCCGAAAACGTTTAAAAGTGGCTAAAGGCAGCGAGCCCGGGATTCTTGAAGAAGGCTGTGCTGGGGGCGGAGCTAACCGGAGAAGGAGGGGCTTAGGGAGAATGGGAGGAGCTGGTTTACATGTGGGAGGAGCCACAGAGGAAGAGGGTCGTCGTCGTCGTCCCCCCACTGTTCGATTCCGTGCTTCCTCGTTTCTGAGGGGGGAAGAATGCGAGGCGCGTTTGTGAAGGCCAGCTCCAGTTTTTAAATAGTGCACTGCGTGCAGAATTGTTTTCCTTTTGTCCTCCCTCTTCCCACGTTCAGCTTCATACGGTCTGATATTGCGATAAAGGAGTGAGAAACTTATCCCTGTCCACTTTCCCCAAACCATGCATAATTGTGTGTGTCTCTCTTGTTACCACTTATTAGCCGCGTTTCCTCTCCCAAACTAAAAGGCCCCCAATGTTGTAACCTTTCCTCATAAGGGAGTTGTTGGAGCCCCAGGATTATTTTGGTTGCCTTTCCTCCCCCCAAATTCTATATCCTCTTTGATGTGTATTACCCAAAGTATTCCAAACGAGGCCTCATGTTACATAATTTGCATAACTACATCATATTGGCAGTTGTATTTTCAGACACTTTCCTAAAGATCCCTCATATGGAATTCAGGGTTTGTTTTTTCCCAACTGCTGCACAATAAGTCTATATGTTCATTCCACCACAACTTTCTTTCCCGCTTGGTCACCAACAGGTCAGATTCTATAAGCTGTTTTGTGCGAACTTACCATGTTTTGCCTCATCTTACATCATTGCACACTTACACTGAATTGCATTTGCCATTTTAATGCGCATTCACCCAGTTTGGCAATGGGGTGCCCCAATTTTTATTGGAGAAATGTTGGAGGGTATGTTGGCATGGTATTTTTGGTGCTCCACACAATCCCTTTTTCTTCTTACTACCTTGAACAAGTTGCTTGTTCAGAAGACCTGCCCATCTCACCGCTCACTTATAATTCAGGCTCATTTATAAACAACTTAAATAGTACAGGTCCTCCTAATACTGGCCCTGAAATGCTTGGTGTCCATATACTAATGGGAATACTTCCAAACATACCATTTTGTTACGGAAAAATCTGGGTGCGGGGTTACTCTGCCACCCAGCTCGTCGGACTAAGTCCGCGGGTCCCTGCGGAAGAAAATGAGCTCAGCCGGAGACAGGAGCAAACTGCAGAAGATCCAAGTTTATTGCGCAACAGGTTCAAGGCGAGATTGAACCCCGAGAAAGGGGTGACAGGAGTTTTTGAAACTTCCTCCATGTCCCAGAATACAGTGCAAAATACATCATAATTACATCATGAATACATTAGAGAGAGGTTGGGTTACACAGGTTACATCATGAATATCTTAAGGAGAGGTTGGGTTACACAGATTAACATATGGAGCAGGGAGGGGGAAATATGCAGAGCTGGAGATATGCACGGATAAGCGCTTCCTGAGTACCGGTGATGAGAAGACAATAGTCCAAGTATGCAAAGTCTGTCACCTGGCATTGCCCGGAGGAAAGGTTGGGCACAGTAATTTGACCGGATTAGGGTCTTCCTGAGTACGTGACTCCTCGCTCGAGGGATTATGGAGGCCGAGGAGGTGTCATGGAGTCCTGAAGAAACTGAGTCGATTGACACCAAGACCAAGGAAATCGGAGCTGCGGTTGATTTTATACGAATTTTAGAAGTTTTAGTCCGTTCTAGTCCATTCTTATATTAATAATTGAAGTCGGAAACAAAAAAGATACATTGTTGCAAGATTTGACACTTTTATGAGTTCACGAGTTTCGATTCCATTGTTCTCCCAGCGGGGAGCCGTCAGTAGCTTGTCAAGAGGTAAAATGAGGCGTGCAGAGGCTCGCTGAGCTGATTCTGCAGAGCGGATGCATGGCTCTGATCGGTTAGGGCGCGGCCATTGAAACAAATGGGAATGCAGTTTGATACGGTCAACCCATGATAAAGATGGAGCGAGAGGGAGAGAAAGAGGCTTGAGAGTTTGGGCTTATTTCGCCCGTGTAGAAAAGGGAGAGGCACTTTAAACTTGGGGTTTGGGTAGGGTGTGGTGCTTGTGCAACCGTGAGGGGGCTGAGGGGGGTGAATGTACAGTGGGCACCCTTGAGGTCATCGCCTCGGTCGTACCAAAGGAGGGGGTGAAGGAAGGCACCCCCCCTTCCCGTATCAATATGTAGAAAGTTTTATTCTCACCCCTGAGCATCCGTCCCTAATAATGCCCACCTATTCCCTTACTCTTTGGATCCAGATGTAAAGCATGTCAGCAGATTTAACCCTCTGCCCCCACTCTGCAACATTTGGGGAAAATAATTTCCTCTTTCTCCCAAAGAAAAAAGTTGGTTGATTGTGATGCCTGTGTTTGTCCTGTGGGGGCTCATTCACAAAATGCCAGAAAAATCAAACCCATATGATATGTGAAATAAAGAAAACATTACCTCTGAGACTAGATAGAATGCATTTTATTGCCACTATTAATGTGCAAACTACCACTGCATAACTTTTCACAAGGTATAGTTTCCAAACTTTCTTGAACCCAGCAAAACTACTTATGTGATCATACTGTGCCAGTCCCCTCCCCTCAGGGGAAGGGTCATAGTTCAGTGGAACAGTATTGCATACGGAAGATTCCAGGTTCAATCCTCTGGCATCTCCTGGTAGGAGTGAGAATGTCCACTGTCTGAAATGATGGAGAGCCTTCTATAAGTCAGTGTTGAAAATACTGAGCTAGATGGATCAAACAAAGTGGGAAGGGCAAGCCCCTCTCAGCCAAAGGTACATGGTGTTTAGTACTGGTGACAAAGAAGGCAGTTTGTTTAACATTTATATCTTGCCTTTCCTGCAAAAAGCTCAAGCATATGGTATTCCCATCTTGTCTCTTGTTTACTGGCACAGTAAACCTGTGAGATAGGTTAAGGCTACAAAGAAGAGTCATTGGCCCAAGGTCACCAAGTGAGTTTCATGGCTGAGCTTGAGCTGGAATTTGAACCTGTGTCTCTCCATTTTTAATGTGCCACTCTGATCACTACACCACACACCTTCAAATTTAGCTTAGGCAAAATCTACTGAGGATGTGCCAATACATATGAAGAAATTTATCTAACCATCAAAAAGCAATTCTCTGGCAAATGTAAGAAGAATGCAACATCAAAAGCAGCAAATCAGAGGTGTTCAGGGGATGACCAGCTGTTTAAAGACAGTATTTCACCTGAATGGATAAAAAGAAATGACAAAGTATTAGCATTTAATTAGCATTAAAATGTATAACTTACAGTTAGCAGAGAAGAGAAAGGATGGGAACCAGAATCATTTGTACTTGATTTTAGTGGGCTGCATTATTATAAGTACAGTGGTACCTCGAGTTAAGTACTTAATTCGTTCTGGAGGTCTGTTCTTAACCTGAAACTGTTCTTAACCTGAAGCACCACTTTAGCTAATGGGGCCTCCTGCTGCCGCCGTGCCGCTGGAGCACGATTTCTGTTCTCATCCTGAAGCAAAGTTCTTAACCCGAGGTCCTATTTCTGGGTTAGCAGAGTCTGTAACCCGAGGTACCACTGTAGTAGTAAATCTCTATACTGCCCTTCATCCGAGGATCACAGGATGGTCTACAATGAACTCCCAAACCTTTCTGCTTCTCCCACTTCAACCCTATGTTGCACACTAAGAACTGCTATTTTTTTGCCAGTTTTTAAAATTGGTTTTCCATAATTTTTAACAAATTATCACCAAATTAATACAAATTCAATACAAATTTAAAAGCTAACTTCCCACCCACCCCAGGTGCCCCCTCTATTTTCCTCCCTCCTTTGCTTCTCCCAATAAAATAACTCTTCCAACTATCATTTCAAAATACCTTCATCCCTTCTCCCTACACATCACCTGTTCAATTACCAATTTCTGCTAAGGCTTTTATAAATTGTTATAACCTGTCCTCGGAATAGCTGAGCAGAGTAAATCCTCTTTTATCTATCTGTAACAGTCATTCATCAATTTTGAAACATTTCCTTCTGATTCCTCTTGAGTAACACTTTGCTTCCTCCCAGACAACATGCACACATTCCTCCCTACTGGAGCTGCGTTCAGAGGGTGAAAATGAAACCTCTAGGGTTTTTTTTGTTTTTGTGTAAATATATAATATACATCCCCCCATTTATCACTGCCAATCTCCCAGCATCACCCCCAAAAGGACGACTTTATGATATTTTAATGTATTAAATCTTACAACTCTAACCCAATTAAACAAATCTTAGTTGATTAATTGTATGGTTTTCAGATGATTCAGGAAGTGGTCTGGTGGATAAAAGAAGTGTTTGCAAGCTAGGCAGAATAGGTCTTTTTAAACAGACACCTGAAAGCAGGGCGGGCGGCGATCCCCAGTGGACAGAATTCCAAAGGATTGACACCACCACTGAGAAGGCCCTGTCTGATCTCATGTAGCAACAGGCTGGAGAGCAAGGCCAATAAAATTAGTCTTAAAAGCTAAGGCAGGTCAATATGGATTGGATGAATTAACAGTCTTTTATACCATTGCCTCCAAAGTTAAGCAAATTTCTTAAAAAGCTAAAATGTTATGTGCTGTTGGATCTGCAAATTTGCATCTAACACTCAGGATCTGAATTTTGAATTTGTGCCATGCTTCAGCCAATAGACGGTGCACAGTGTTGAACTTAGCAAATGGTAACACAGAAGTGTGGAAACGTTGCTAGCTATTAAAAACAGAAAGAGATGGGGGCAACCTGATTACTACCCTAGCAAGCCTGTGGGGCAACAGGACTGTTGGTTGTAGTTCTGTGTTTAGATGCTCACCTGCTGTTCATGCCTATTTATTCATCCACTCATCCACCTCGGGCTCCATGATCACCAGCTCTTGCCCTTCCAGCTCCCCATGTGTCCTAGCGTTGTGACCCTTTAAGAGAAGGACAAATGGCGGAGCAGTTCTCTCCACTTGGATACCCTTGGTGCTGAGGTACGACTGCAGGGCGCTGAGAAACTGTGGGGGGGGGGGGACAATAACAGATGAATAATGTAAATTTATTGGTCACCCCTGACTGGAATCTAGATTTGTTCCCTTCACAATCTCACTCCAGTTTGTATTTCCTCTTGCAACTGTGAGAGTACCAGATAAATGATCAGGGAATATAGCAACCTGCCTTATACAGCGGTACCTCGGGTTGAGTACTTAATTCATTCCAGAGGTCCGTTCTTAACCTGAAACTGTTCTTAACCTGAAGCACCACTTTAGCTAATGGGGCCTCCTCCTGCTGCTGCGCCGCCAGAGCACGATTTCTGTTCTCATCCTGAAGCAAAGTTCTTAACCTGAAGCACTATTTCTGGGTTAGCGGAGTCTATAACCTGAAGCATATGTAATCTGAAGTGTATGTAACCCGAGATACCACTGTATTAAGTCCATCCAGTCTAGTGTTGTCTACTCTGACTGGCAGCCACTCTCCAGGGTTTCAGGCGGGGGAGATTCCTAGCCCAGAACCCGTTGGTTCCTTCCAATGCTACTACAATTCTATTATGCCTATCCTTGTACTAGATGTCATCGCTGTGGCATGTCGCTTATTCCCCACTTTGAAGAAACAAAGCCTTCTTGTTGGCTAGGCACTTTGTAGAGTCCTCAAAGTCAACCGGCAAGCATTAAGAAGGCCTCTGGGGAAGTGGAGTCTTGACAGACAGGATGCCAAGCTCAGAAAGCTCTTGACTTTTAACCTGAGTATCTCTTGAGAGATCAGAGGAAGGGCAAAAGGGAAAAACAAGATAGCGAAAGGAGAGTGGCACTCTTATGTTTGAGAGTCAATTACCTAATGGAACTTTGTGGTAAAAATGGGCCCTGTGAGTGCACACACAGGGGTGCATGTGTGTGTGTAAGTGCACAAGCACAGCAAACCGCAAATCTTCCATCATTACAGATGTAGCAGCCAGCGTCCTCACTGTGGATATGACCTGCTCACCCCCATCCTTCTGGGCACTATTTGGAGTAAGACGTGCAGATCTTAATCTAGGGCTGTTCAAACTGTGAAGGAGACATTGATTGGTGGCTTGTACAGCAGCCCAACAAGGAATGAACTAACCTGCTTTTGTCAAATCCAGTAGTGGATTTTGTCAGCTTGTGACTCCTCAGTGGGCTGCATTTGGCAGAGAATCGGGCTGGCCTCCTTTAACCGTTTTTGTTTTTTTAATGGTAAATTAATCAGATGACATATTAAGGGATAATTTTTAATCTGCCATTTTTTAACCAGTGGGGCTGTAAGTTAAGGGCGCCTGCCTTTATCCCTTGAGGCCAGGGGTTTTTTCCCCATCTGGAAGGTACTGGTGCGTTCCGGCACCTCTCCCCACACCATGCCTCTGGCTCACGAGAAGGCTCTCCCTGGAGCACAAAGAGGACACCCTCTATGGGCACTGGAGAGGGTCTTCTCATGAGCCAGAGGTGCAGCGGGGCTTTAATTAGGCTCTTCAGCCTCCCAGGCTAACAGTTGAGACATGGAAAGTCTTCCCTTCCTCAGCTCTGCAAGGCGCCCTGTTTCTCCAGCTTTTGCAAGCAAGCAGAAGGGACAGGGCAGCTCGCAGAGTTGACAGGCAGGGAATAAGCTTCTCTGCGCTTCAGCTCTGCCCGTCCACAGAGCTGCCCTGCACTTCCTGCTTGTGCGCAGAAGCAGGAGGGACAGGGCAGTGTTCTTGCACCTTTTTCTCCTAGAAAGAAAAGGACTGCTTGAGACTGTGTTTCCAGAAGGACAGCCACGTGAATCTTTTGCAGCAAAGTGAATGAGAAGTATTGCGGCGCCTTAAAACAGGGGTGGCAAATCTGTGGCCTGGCCCACAAAACCACATGCAGTGGCTCACCACCTCTCTGCTTAAAGGCTATTGATTGTATATTGGTTGGACTCAGAGCAGACCCACTGAAATTAATTGGGCATGACTAATTTAGGTCCATTAATTTCAATGGGGGAGGAGGGTGGCGCTGTGGGTTAAACCACAGAACCTAGGACTTGCCGATCAGAAGGTCGGTGGTTTGAATCCCCGCGATGGGGTGAGCTCCCGTTGCTTGGTCCCTGCTCCTGCCAACCTAGCAATTCGAAAGCACGTCAAAGTGCAAGTAGATAAATAGGTACCGCTCTGGCGGGAAGGTAAACGGCATTTCCGTGCATTGCTCTGGTTCATCAGAAGCAGCTTAGTCATGCTGGCCACATGACCCAGAAGCTGTACGCCGGCTCCCTCGGCCAATAAAGCGAGATGAGCGCCGCAACCCCAGAGTCAGCCATGACTGGACCTAATGGTCAGGGGTCCCTTTACCTTTACCTTTAATTTCAATGGGTTAACTCTGAGGAAAACTCAGTTGGGTCACGTAATCCTATCAAATTTAAGCTTTTGTGGACCTCAGGCCACTTTTTGTCAAGTGGTGCATCACCACATATTGGGTTTGGTTTGTTGCTTCAACAAGGAATGTTGAAGAAAATACAAACGTTGGCCTTTCTGCTTACAAGTGGTAGCTTTTGGTGTTTTCTTATTATTATTTATTAAATTTGTTAAGCACTTTCATCATATCCAAGGCAACCCACAGCAACTTACAAGCTTTTTATGCATTAAATGTATTAAATTGTCTCCCAAGACAGACAGATGCCAACAATGTATTAAATTGTAAATAATTAGAGGATTTTTGGAAAAAGAGCTTGTTTTCCGGAGTGGGCTGGGGTTATGTTGTGCTCTGCCCATTTTTTTCAAAGGCACTCTTTTTTGTTAACTCTCCAGGTGTTGCAGAGCGAATTCTAAATAAAACCTTGCTTCCCATTCCCCAACAAGAGCCCTCTTACCAGCTCTCTGTTCTGCAAACGGTCCAGCGTCTTCCACTGCTCATTCTGGGTGGGTTTCTTAAGGACCCAGCCCTGCACCGGCAGACACAAGAGACTAAGGAAGGTGAATAGCAGAAGCAAGTGCATCCCTCTTCTCGCAACAGCTGCCTTTGGGAAGGAGTAGCTGGGAAAGAAAAGATGGCAAGTCACAGCCAGAGAGGCAGGAGGAGTAGAAGATGCCACATCACAAGTTGGAACTGGCAACAGGAAGGTCCCTGGACCAGCTCACAGTTGGGTTTGTGGCAAAGGTGAAGAGGCAGCCAAGCTTTTAAATCTGAGCTGGAGCTGACCCGCAGAACGCATTCAGTCATTTAAAAGTGCCAAGTAAATCTTAATGTCTCTGAGCATGTGCAGTGTACCTCCCCCACTCTAACACACAAATACTGAGAACAGCACAAGACTATGGCATAATTTCCAGGCAAGATTGTTAGTCCAATATCTATTCTTTTACATTTCTTAACGCCAAGTCTTGCACTTGAAGCATGTGGGGTCTTAATAATTACCGTATTTTTCGCTCTATAAGACGCACCAGACCACAAGACGCACCTAGTTTTTGGAGGAGGAAAACAAAAAAAAAATATTCTGAATCTCAGAAGTCAGAACAGCAAGAGGGATCGCTGCGCATTGAAAGCAGCAATCCCTCTTGCTGTTTTGGCTTCTGGGATAGCTGCGCAGCCTGCATTCGCTCCATAAGACGCACACACATTTCCCCTTACTTTTTAGGAAGGAAAAAGTGAGTCTTATAGAGCAAAATATACAGTAGTTAATCTGCATGTGAAGAGTGCATTTCTTTCTCTCCCCCATTTGATAACAACAGCCTCAGCGCAGGTCTTGTTAAATAAGAATCAGCCTGCAGTCCCAGGTTCTAAACTAAGAACAAATATGGGGGAAGGGGCAATCCTCAATCAACTCTAATTAAGTCTAAATACGTCCAAGCTTAAACAACCAATCATTGCCTCCCTGCTTACTCCTCCCTCCATCTCTGCCCCTTTCCTTGGTCTCCCTTGTGTTGAATTTTAGATTTTAAGCAATTTTGACCTAGCCTCTAGTACACAGTAAAGTATTGTGTACACTGATGGCAGCATCGTAATCTAATCAGGAGTTTTAGCAATTTAAATGAAATCACAACGATCATTTCCGTAGATGGAAGTTGTTGCTTGCTTTTAAAAATAAATAAATTTGGAGCCTTGCTGGTAACATTTTAGGGGAACTTTTAGAGAGAAGCACACATTTACCAAAGCAATAGTTCATCCTCCCTATTTTCCTTAAATGTTTCAGTAGCTTCCAACACCCCCTCCCAATGCATTAAGTATGAATTTGAATTTATTGCAAACAAAATCAATTGGAGGTGACCTTGCTTGAGGAACCCCCCCCCCAAAACAAAATCATTTCTGCTCTGCTCTGCTTTGCCATTAGGATTCCTGTTGTGCTAACTGATAACTCTCAATGATGGGATCCTTGCAAAAAGAAAAAAAGGAGACAGGGAATCCGTACCTCTTTCTCCTGTTTTGTGTTTCAGGATGCAAAGTCTGCGAAGTATGGAGCAAACACCTTTCCCCCCACTCTTTTTATGTAGTCCTGCAGCTAGAGAGGGAGGGGAGCGAAAGAGCAAAGGAATCGCTGCCTGTTACCGCTGGCATTCCCTGCGTTTGCAAGTACGTGTTGTACCACTGCTGCCCCCCATCCCTGGTGATTCTGTAGCCCCCCTCAATACTTCTTAAAAGCTTCCTTTCGTTTCTAAGGCCTTCGATGGCACTTCACATCTAATCTCAGAGCAATGCTAATGCATTTTTATTTTATTTTTACTTTTTAAAGATACAACACTTGAAGGGCTCTTGCCAAGCCGCTTTGCGTAGGCTGGCGTCACAGCCACGACCCTCCCCATCACAGACCACCCCACCTGCTGCCCTGTAAACAAAGGGCGCATATTCTCTATATATGCTACAACGGCAGCAAGAATATTAATAGCTAGAAATTGGAAAAGTGAAAAAAAGGAATGGCAGGAGAAATTATTTGAATACAGTGGTACCTCGGGTTACATATGCTTCAGGTTACAGATGCTTCAGGTTACAGACTCCACTAACCCAGAAATAGTACCTCGGGTTAAGAACTTTGCTTCAGGATGAGAACAGAAATCGTGCTCCGGCAGCGCAGCGGCAGCAGGAGACCCCATTAGCTGAAGTGGTGCTTCAGGTTAAGAACAGTTTCAGGTGAAGAACAGACCTACGGAACGAATTAAGTACTTAACCCGAGGTACCACTGTATCTCGAACTGGCAAAAATGACGGATGCGATTAGGAGACTGTCTAACCTAAAATTCCAAAAGGAATGGGAAATTTACAGAGATTATTTTAAAAAAACTGTCCCCAAGTCAAAACCTGCCTGGATTTGCTTTGATTAATTTTCGCAAAACACAACATGGATTACAGTGGTACCTCGGGTTAAGTACTTAATTCGTTCCCGAGGTCCATTCTTAACCTGAAACTGTTCTTAACCTGAAGCACCACTTTAGCTAATGGGGCCTCCTGCTGCCGCCGCGCTGCCAGAGCACGATTTCTGCTCTCATCTTGAAGCAAAGTTCTTAACCTGAAGCACTATTTCTGGGATAGCGGAGTCTGTAACCTGAAGTGTATGTAACCCAAGGTACCACTGTACAAGTATTGTATGCGGGAAAACAGTAGAAATGAAGAAAGGATAAATGGAGTAGTTTAAGCCACTGCCTCTCTGACTGTGGGTGGGAGAGTTTCCTTTCAAGACCCCCCTCAATGCCTGATGCTTTAACTCTTGATTGTGAGGTTTATATTTATTTATTATACAGAAATTCCCAGAGATGTCTGCAAACTAAGAGATTATGGTGCAATGCAGTTCTTTGAACTTAAGCAATGCCAAGTTGTCCATAGGGTGATTGTACTGGGTGCAATTCCACATCACTCAATAGGGCTGGGCGATACCAGCTTTTCAACATTGCAAGAAGCAGCATTCAATTAAGCCGGCCCATCAGTGCAAGGATTATTGCTAGCACTACAGGACTTCCCGTCGCCGCCATGTGCTCCCGAAATCTGCTCCAGAGGATCGTGGAAACCCCTAGATTTAGGGGGGCACACAGGGGGGAGAGGGAAAGATCTGTGGTACAAGCAGTGATCAATGCATCAATGCAACTACTGTGATCAATGCATCAATGCAACTACTGACTTAGTTAAATACACCCCAGTTGCAATTAAGTGGTTGATGGGGTGGAACAGTGCCAGTGAAGAGTGTAACTTGGGTGGAATCTAGACAAATATAAAAAACATCATGAAGATGATTTAAAAAACTGTTTTGAAAAATATATATATTGAATTTGCCATAGCTCACCATCGCCATCTAGTGTCACATTTGTATAATTGCACTTTACAATGCACTTAAAATGTTTTATTTGCAAAGCCCCAAACCCCAAAACAGCTAATCAGCACGATTTATCCGGAACTCAGGTTGTCTTTTTAATAAAGCGTAATAAAATACACCGACCCCTCATGACGGCCTCTCTTTTGGCACAAGGGGGCACGTTTTTATACAGGTATTAAACCAGAAATAATTATTCGGAGATCAGACATCTTTGTGAACAAAATATATATACACATACGCATGTAAACTTACCCCTGAGTCACTCAGGGACAGTAAAGGCACTGAGCAAAGTTAAGACAGGCGGAGGAAGGGAACTCTCCCGAGGGAAAAGGCAATGGTCTGAAGCAGGGCTTTTTCCAGGCAGAACTCAGGTGGCACCTCTCAGGTGGGCGCCATTGCCATTCTAAGAGAACAAGGGAGGTGTTCAGGGTGAGTTCCGGTACCTCTTTTTCTAGAAAAGTAGCACTGGTCTTAAGGCACGTGAGGCTACCACCTTGCTGAAGCTAAGCAGGTCTGGGTCTGGTTGGTGCCTGGAAGGGAGACCATGTGGGAGCCACATATATGGCCGCCTCGGCTTCCATGTTGGGGTATAAATGTAATGCAGGAAAATATGTGTTTGTTGTTGGCCCTACATTTTCACTGCGTTACTACAGGAGGCAAAGAACCCCGAAGGGGTGAATACTCCTTGGAAAATCTGCCCTGGCTGGCTTGGCCTTCCTCCTACATAGCTTACCAGAAGGAGCTCACCTTCCCTCTTTCATTGCCACCTGGGCTTTCTAACCCTACAACCCGTAAGTTTCTGAGGAAGAAGCAAGGCAACCCTTCAATGCTATTCCTCAAACCTGACTTCATGCTCACCACATCCCCATAATTCCAAAATGACAATGTTGCTGATGAGGCCTGTTCCCTTTTCCCAAGGATAAATCAACCTTTTCTATCCCTACCCAAGCGTTTCTGGAAGAAGGCGCCCAATCACCTGGTTTGGGCTGTTAAATGAACCCCAATGAGCAATGGATTTGTTGTCAAAGATGCCTTGTGTCTTTTTTATATGTAGAAAAAGGCACCTAATAAATTCAAAAGGCTAAACCAAACTGCAATCAGTGTAGCGCCTTCCTGTTTCAGTATTTATCCCTATGGGAAGGGTGAGAAACTATGGCTGCACTTTGAGGTGGGGTTTATTGCATTAATTTTACTAGGGCTTCTGTTTACTAGGGATTTCTAATGTTCCTTTTATACACCAATACCATCTGCTGCGGCTCTTCGATCGATAGATAGTGCTGCCATGCCAACCTAAATTTCAAACAACAGGAAAGACCTGTATGCTAAAGATGCCGCCCCAAATTCCTTCACCTGAAATTGCAACACAACACACTCCCACAAGTCTCCTGGTTAATGGGGCTGCAAGCCAGAATTTTCCTGGAAACAATTAACAATGGAAATGAGCACTAAATTGCCACGAGGCCACAATGTATTTCCACAAGTGTCTTTTGCCTCTTATGAGATTATCCCTTGGAAACGCGGAAATTGGACTAAACAGGAAAATGGACTAAACGGTGCTGTCTGAATGCAGCCAAAGCCTAGCTTTTTTGGTGGGAAGATCCCTAACGATCCTCTAGTCCAATTGCGAGGAACCTGTGGCTCTTCAGGAATAGTCAGGGGTGCTGGGAGTTGGGAGTCCCAACTATGTCTGGAGGGCTACCAGGTTCCCTGTCACTTCATCTGGTCTCATCAATGCTTCAAATGCTTGCTTGCGGAAGGCAGCTGCAGCAATCTCTTCTGCAGGTGGTGTAGTGGTTAAGAACAGTGGACTCGTAATCTGGTGAACTGGGTTCGATTCCCCGCTCCTCCACATGCAGCTGCTGGGTGACCTTGGGCCAGTCACACTTCTCTGAAGTCTCTCAGCCCCACTCACCTCACAGACTGTTTGTTGTGGGGGAGGAAGGGAAAGGAGAATGTTAGCCGCTTTGAGACTCCTTAGGGTAGTGATAAAGCGGGGTATCAAATCCAAACTCTTCTAGCGCTTCTGCTTGGGGGTGAGCAGGAGAAAACACGGACCACAGCTGAATACAATCCAGCAGGGGTGGCTAACCACTTCAGGGGCCTCATGTCAAGGTGGGTGCAACCAGTTTTTGATATTTGATTATTATCTTTAATGGACCCATTAGGAAGTCTTAATGGGGCCACAAAGCCCTTTTTGGCACCACAGAGTCACAGCAGCAGGGGACCCATATTAAAATAGAGTACTTAATTATTCTCTTTGGGGGGGGGAATAATAAGAAAAATTGGGGCAGGGGACCTCGGAGGGGCCTTAAAACATTTTGTCATCAGACTATCACTTTGGAATACCTATGAGAGCAGTTAGTAAAAAAGAATATAATAATTATTTTAAAGGTTTCTTGTTTTTTTTTTTTTTAAAATGGGGAGCCTTGGAAAGCCCCCCCCTTCTCATTTTTAAATGAAATTATTATCTTTAAAATGATAAATGTTGGAGTTGCAGAGGCTACACAAAAAAACCCTGAGGGGCCTACAAGCCACAGGTTAGCCACCCCTTGCCTGTGTGGAGGGAAGAGGGCTGCGATGCGGGTGGTCTTTTGGCAGGGAGCTGCGTTGCAAAGCCTCGTGACTGCGCACTTCCGTCTCCGTATTAAGGCAGCAGAGTCCATCTCCACCACACCGCTAACCTTTTTAGAGCTCAATTTGAGCCAGCTCTGGAACACGTGAAAAACAAGGAGAAGTGCCCCCAAGAACCATGTGCTGAGTCCCTGACAATGATCCCTCAACCACAACTAGCCTCTGCACCCATCTGGAGACAGGGTTAAAGGCTTCCAGACAGGCTTTATAAACTCTGTCACCTCTCTTTCTGACCAGAAGTCATTCCCATTCCCACCACCACCAGCTCCTGTGCCACTTGAACACTGGGAAAATGTGCATTTAAGAAGAAGCTGTCCAGTAGTCAGATCTGGCTCAGAACACCCAACACAGGACGAGTGCAGTGGCTGGGACTGACGGCAAGCAGAGACGGGGGCCTGCCAATAGCGAGTCTCTTCTCATGCAGCCCTTGAGCAGTTGTGCTGCACTGCGGAAGGGTAATACTTGAGAAATATCTTCCTGGCAATGTCCAGCGTGTTGCCCATGGCCTTGGTTGGGTACCGCTTCCCGTTGTAGATGAAGCCCCTCTCCACTTGGAAGACGGCTTGGTTGAAGTGGCTCTGGTGGAAAGGGGTCCCGGTGTTGAGGCACTCCACCAGGGTGGACACAAACAGGCTCCAGCGCACCCCATAATAGTCCAACACCAGCCCTCCGAACTGCTTGTTGGCGTAGTCCAAGATGTTGCCGTTGGGCCCCCAGAGCGTCAGCTGGTTGCGTGCGTTCAGGTCGTAGAGGACCGCCTCCTGGTCGCTGGTGGCCGACAAGCGGGCGGCTTCCAGCCACCGCCCGAGCAGAAACCGCTTGTCGCTCGACAGGAGGCTGTCCAGCTCTGGCAGGAGGTCGTAGACCAGAATGCCGCCCGCCGTCAGCAGACGGGAGAGCATGCGGCTCTGGAAAGCCTGCTTGATTTCCAAGTAATACCGGCTCACCAGCTGCTGCATGGCCTGGCGGGTCACGTCAACCAGGTCGTAGCAGAAGGTGCTGCTGGCGCCGAGCACGTCGACGGAGCTTTGCAGCAGCCGCCAGGCCTCGTAGACGTTGCTCTCGTTGTACCAGAGCTCTGTGGTCATCCGGAAGGAAGGGCGGTGCACCAGCGGGCTGCGGTTGTGGTTGGTGTACGGCCCTGAGCAATTGTAGGCGCTCTGGAGAAGCAGCTGCCACGCCGCAGCCGCCTGGGCGTTGCTGGCTCCGTAGCGCTGCGTGGCGTAATTGGACACCCACTGCCGGAGGTCCAGGGGCTCCTTGCGCCAGCCCAGGTCGGTCATGAGCTCGTACATCACGTCGTTCTGCTCGATGCCTTCGGGGGTCAGGCCGACGCCCACCATGGTAGAGTTGGGGAAGCCCCGGGCGGCAAAGGGGCCCCGGTTGATGCTCTCCGCCGTGCCGAAAAGGCCGTGGTTGCCACCGAAGTTGTGCAGCATGCACCAGATAAACGGCTGCCCGTAGAAGGACTCTGTCCAGGGGTAGACGGGCTTGGATTCGGCAAAGAGGTCCAGCACCACCATCCTGCCAAGAGGCACGCCCTGGAGGAGGGCGCGGACTTGGGCTGGCTGCCAGAAGTCAGGCTGGTGTTGGAAAAGCCAGCCTTGCATCAGCCATATGGCACGGGGGTCAGCTGTGGAGGAAGACATTGCCAGTTAGCGCACGGCAGAGGTGCTGGCAGTTACTTCTGCTTATGGAACCTCATTCATTCATTGAGGACATCGATTTCAATTAACATTATATAGGTCACCATCCTGACTTCCAGCTGCAAAATGTCTGCAAAACATGGCTAGCTCTTTGGTGCCAAATTCTCTGCAGAACAACAATGTCTAGGAGACAGTAATCCTGCAGTGGAAAGCTATGCCTTATCTAACACATCCCATAAACATAATCTGAGAGGCTACAATGCTGCCGTAGAAGGGCTTGGCTGAGAAGACCAGGGCTCAAGCCATGAAATTTGGTGGCCAGTGGTAAGTTACCTTCTCTCAGCCTAGTCTACTTCAGAGGGTTGTTAGAAGGATATACAGCAGAGTAACAGGAAAATGCTAGGCATGCCGCTCCGAGCAACTTGAAAGAAGGATGATATATGAATGTGGTTATTAAGAAAACAAATAAATGCAGCCAACATCTTTTTCCTAAGCATAAAAAATGGGAGATAACCTAGCCATGGTATGATCAGGATGGTATCAACAGTGGATGGCACAAACGTGGAGTTTGGAACGATGCAGTTCCCGAGTTTTTAAAAATAGCATGTTAAAAATAATAATAGATTTTTGAATTTGAAGCCATATACTTGAGGCTTAGCCACAATGTGAAATTCTCTGCAAGAGAGAAGGGATCCTTCAACCTACGATGCCCCCTCCAGGTTATGCAGCTACCCAAATGTGGGCTAAAGTGAGTCACAGTTAGAGTGTTGGACATGGGAGACCAGGGTTCGAATCTCCACTCAGCCATGAAGCTCTCTGGGTGACTTTAGGCAAGTCACCCTTAGCCTAACCTACCTCACAGGGTTGGTGTGAGGATGAAAAGGGGAGGAGGAGAACCACGTACATCACCCACCCTGAGCTCCGTGGAAGATAAGCATAGTATATAAATGTCATAAAAGACGAGGCGACTGGAGGAGAAACTTGTGTATGTACGGAGGGGAACCAAGAGAACCCATCACATCCTACCTCCCGTCATGGAGCGGAAGACAGCTGCGCTGACCTGGGACAGGTAGGCGGGATCCGATGAGAGCGGGCGCATCTCGTTGAAGGTGTCAGCGCTGTACAAGTGATCCGTACCAAACTGCCTGGTCAGTTCTTTCAGGAAGAGGGTCCCGATGACCTGGAACATGGGGTCTTCGGGCGACAGGAGGTAGGAGCAGGAGTAGGTGCAGTCAAAGTGACTCCAGCTCCCCATTCGTGTGGCGTTGGCCCGGGGGAAAACCCTGAAAGCACGGGAAAGAAATCCAGGAAGGAATTGTGGCCCCAACTGCTGTTTCACATTTGATTGTGCGCTAAACGCTGTACAGCTAAACAGTTTCTGCCAGAGAGCTCAGAGGCAAGACTAAAAGAAGAAACTCTAAAGCAGGGGTAGCCAACATCGGGGTGCCTTTCCAACACGGCTGGACTACAACTCCCATCATCCCTGATCAATGAGCATGCTGGGAGTTGGAGTCCACTGACATCCAAAGTGGAACGCAATAGCTCTCTCTGCTTTGAGGGGGAAATAAATGGTGATGATAATGATAACAAAATTATATGCTGCCTATCTGCCAGGGTTGCCCCAGCCCCCTGGGCGGCTATCAGCAAATCAAAACATCAAACGCAGTAAAGCATCACACATTAAAAAAGATGGGAAGGGAGGAAAGAGCTGTGCCAAAATCACTGCTGTATTTGGGAAGGGCTGTAGCTGAACGGCAGAGCCTCTGCTTTGCATGTAGAAGTTCCCAGCACCTCCCAATACAGTGGAGCCTCGGTTGTCAAACGCTTTGGAAGCCGAACGATTCAGAACCCAAATGCCGACAACCCGGAAGTGAATGCTTCCGTTTTCGAACAATTTTCGAACGGCTTCCAAGCTGCGTTTTTCATTCCCCCCCCCCCTGACTTTGCCACTAGCCCATTGATCCTAGGTTTTCGAACTTTTTGGAAGCCAAATGGTCTTCTGGAACGGATTAAGTTCGAAAACTGAGGTTCTGCTGCAAGGCTGGGAATGTCCCATGTCTGAAATTGTGGAGAGCTGCTGCCGATCAGCTCAATGGATCAACGGCCTGAATCTGTGTAAAGAGGCTTCCTGTGTCCCAACTTTCTTCCCTCTACCCACCCACCACAACTGAAAACACTCCTCCATCTCTTTCATAATGATTTTGCAATCAGCCATAGCCTCCATGTGTTCTGATCATGGATATGAGAGAACTGGCTGCAGAAGTGAGGAGCAATACAGTGGTAACTCGGTTTACAGACGCTTCAGGTTACAGAGTCCGCTAACCCAGAAATAGTACCTCAGGTTAAGAACTTTATCTCAGGATGAGAACAGAAATCGTGCAGCAGCAGTGGGAGGCCCCATTAGCTAAAGTGGTACCTCAGGTTAAGAACAGTTTCAGGTTAAGAACGGACCTCCAGAACGAATTAAGTTCTTAACCCGAGGTACCACTGTACACACTTCCACAGGCTCAGTGGCCTTTGAAATGTCTCTGGGCCACAGCCTCTTCCACTTCCCATGGAAGAGGCAGTGGCGGTGCAAGCCGGTCGGGCGCCTGGGGCGGCGCGCGTGCCCTGTGCCCAGGGGCGTGGCCAGCTACCCGCGGGGTGGGGCCAGCTGGGGCAGGACACTCTGTGGGGCCTCCGAGGCGTCTGCCTGCCTCCTCCCACTCAGCCGCCCTACAGCTGGGGGGGGAGGGGAGGCAGCGGGCAGACTGTTTGGGGCAGCGTGGAGCCTGTGGGCGCCCAAGTCACCACATCACTCCCAGGAGAGACGTGTGGCTAAGGCGCGGTGCAGGCCCCGCAGTGAGTACCGCCCGGCATTTTGTCACCCCCCTCAGTGGTGACACCCGGGCTGAGCCGCCCCCACTGCACCCTCCCTTCCCCCACCACTGGAGAGAGGCCACGCTTTGGATTCAGAGTGTCAGGTGGGCAAGGCCCAGGAGAAACATCCTGGTGGGTGAAACTGGGGGGGGCTGGAGGGCCTCATGTGGCCTGTGTGTCCCTGCAGCTGGATAATGGTTTGATTTGGTATACAGTGGTACCTCAGGTTACAGACACTTCAGGTTACAGACTCCACTAACCCAGAAATAGTACCTCGGGTTAAGAACTTTGCTTCAGATGAGAACAGAAATCGCGTGGCGGTGTGGTGAAGTGGTACCTCGGGTTAAGAACTTAATTCATTCTGGAGGTCCGTTTTTAACCTGAAACTGTTCTTAACCTGAGGTATCACTTTAGCTAATGGGGCCTCCTGCTGCCGTGCGATTTCTGTTCTCATCCTGAAGCAAAGTTCTTAACCCGAGGTACTACTTCTGGGTTAGCGGAGTCTGTAACCTGAAGCGTCTGTAACCTGAAGCGTCTGTAACCCGAGGTACCACTGTAATGTGGTTTCCTAGGTCCCTTTGCCGCCTGCATTCCATTCCTGCTTGTGAAGCATGACCGACAACCTTTACCTTAAGATGCCGCGAGGAACGTATCCTGAGAAGGCAGGCAGCACTGTCAACATCCCCAGGCTCCGCATTCTCTCCAGGATCCTGTACTGGGAAGGTAAAGAGGGCAGGATGGAGCAGTGTAACAAGGCCTGGGGAAGGATCCATACTGCCCTGATATTCCCACCCACTAGCCCCAGAAGAATGCCCACATTTTAGGTAGGTCTCTGTCGATTCTGTTGGCTCAGCTACAAGTGGTGCCAAAGATTGAATATTTGCTGGTTTTTTTCATTTCTTTCCCTTCTCTCTCACTTTCTCTTTCTTTAGGTCTCTCCTTTTCTCGTCTTATTTTCTTTCGGACTTTGGTCTTTTCTAGGTAGCTGTTTCATCTTAGTATATTATAAAAAGATACTTTGCAGTGGGTATGAATTTTGTATATTTATGAACAAGTATCAACAAATAAGGGTTTTTAAACAAAATTATCAGGTGTTTCAAAATTCAAAAATGTTGGAATTGGTTTAATGAAAAGGCAACTGGCCTTTGGGCTAAAAAGTGTTATACAACTATACAATAATGACGACGGCTTTATAAAATAAGATTGATGATCTGGTTATCTGAGTTTTCTTTTTACCCAAGTGAAGCTATGGGTGCCACAAATTAGCTCGGGCACTAGAGAAGGGGTGTGTGTGTATATATGTGTGTGTGTGTGTTTAAACCAGGAATTGGGAACCTGTGGCCCTCCAAATGTTATTGGACTACAATTCCGATCATCTTTGACCAACTGCCATGTTAACTGGGGCTGATGGGAATTACAGTCCAACAACATCTGGAGGGCCATTGTCCCTCATTCCTGGTTTAAACCTTTCCCCTTGTAGTTTTCTGAAACTCAGACTCGACCACCATTCCTACCCTAATTCCTCTTCTGAAACGGTTGATAGCCCCACAGGCAAAATAATATATAGATTTTAGACCCCATATACCCTGCTTTATAAGTGAATGGGGCAGATAGGTGATTAAACAAATATGGCTGCCCTTGGGTCAAGTTTGGCTCTTTATTAGCACATTACATCATACTTCTGCCACCTTGGACTGAGACAGCAGTGGATCTTTCTATAAATACTGATGGAAAAACACTGAAGAGGGGAAAAAAGAAGCTCCAAAGGTAAGAACTAGAAAAGGAAACTGAACGTAAGAATATAAGAAAAACCCTACTGGAAAATAAGAAAAGGTCCATGGAGTCATAAAATCATAGAACTGTTATAATAATTTTAAGGTCTAAAATATAGACTAAATATTCATAAATGCATACATATCTAAATATATGAACTATGTGTCTGAAATAGTATGGGAGAGCAATCCTGAAGCCATTTTGACTCTCCCATTGACCTCAAATATTCCTCTGCAGTAAGGAAGGCAAATGGGGAAAGCCTTCCCATTGCCTTTTTGCTTGCAAATCCTGTCTTAAGGGCGTATTTGTATATGAATAGGGTGAGCCTGTGACCTGGATTCAGAAACTAAAGTATTACCATCACAAAAGAATGGCCAGACAGCCCAGGTAATGCAATCAGTGACCGTTATCAGATATCCTTCTGTGATGTATGTATGATTTTTTTTTGGGGGGGTGTTAGGCTACAGGATGGGCAATTTCAAAAGTCTATATAAGGGCTTGCACACCATTGTTCATGGTTCTCTTCCCTCCTGCATGTGGTGGGTGGGGACCCTGTTGCAACAGTTCCTTTAATAAAGATCAGGCTTACTAGCCGCTTTGCTTCTCAATATACTCTGGTTGGCCTCTGTTATTTTCTCCTACCAATAGGGAACCCACTTAAGGGCTCTATATGGCAAGCTTACTCAAATTCGGCCCTCCAGATGTTTCTGGCCTACAACTCCCATGATCCCTAGCTAGCAGGACCAGTGGTCAGGGATGATGGGAATTGTAGTCTCAAAACATCTGGAGGGCCGAGTTTTAGGAAGCCTGCTATAGTGGCTCTGGAATATCCCATAAGGGAAAAGGAGCAGTTTTTTTCTTATAACAGAATCAAAAAGATGGAAGGGACCCTGAGGATCATGTAATCCAGGGGTCAGCAACCTTTTTCAACCGTGGGCTGGTCCACTGTCCCTCAGACCATGTGGTGGGTCAGACTATATTTTTTTGGGGGAAATGAACAAATTCCGATGCCCCACAAATAACCCAGAGACGCATTTTAAATTAAAGGACACATTCTACTCATGTAAAAACACCAGGCAGGCCCCACAAATAACCCAGAGATGCATTTTAAATAAAAGACCTGAGAGATCTTCACTGGCTCCCAGTACATTTCTGAGCACAATTCAAAGTGTTGGTGCTGACCTTTAAAGCCCTTTAAAGCCCCAGGTATACAGGCCTCGGTCCTGTATACCTGAAGGAGCGTCTCCACCCCCATCGTTCAGCCCAGACACTGATATCCAGCACCGAGGGCCTTCTGGCGGTTCCCTCATTGCGAGAAATGAAGTTACAGGGAACCAGGCAGAGGGTCTTCTTGGTAGTGGTGCCCACCCTGTGGAACACCCTCCCTTCAGATGTGAAGGAAATAAGCAGCTATCTTATCTTTAAAAGACATCTGAAGGCAGCCCTGTTTAGGGAAGTTTTTAATATTTAATGCTGTATTGTTTTTAACACTCGATTGGGGCTGGGGAAACTCAGCCAGATGGGCGGGGTATAAATAATAAATTATTATTAAAAGGACATATTCTCCTTATGTGATTCCCGGACCGTCCGTAGGCAGGATTGAGAAGGCGATTGGGCCGCATCCGGGCCACGGGCCTTAGGTTGCCTACCCCTGATGTAGTCCAACTCTCTGGTAGTCCAGCAATCTGTTCTCACAGTGGCCAACCAGATGCCTACAAGAAACCTGAAAGAGCAGGAGCTGTGTGCCATAGTACTCTCCCCACCTGAGATTCCCACAAATGGTGGAGGTAGCACTCAGCCCACCATGGCTAGTAGCCTTACCCTCCACGATACGCATAAGCCTAGCGCCGCTGCCACCACAACAATCAGGCCCAGGTACCTGCAAGTAGAGCTGCTTCAGTTGCCACGAGAGGGGCAGTGGCCCCGCCCAGGTGTGCAAGTTCCCCATCCGGTTCCAAGCCAGAAATGCCGGTCCAGTGAAATACTCGTCAATTTCTGACTGGTTCAGGCCCAGGGACAAATATACCTGGAAACAAGAGAAGGGGGATGTTGAACTTCAGTTGCCACCAGCTGCTTTGGCAGGCATTCTTCCGGTCTGAAAAGTGCTTCTAAAATATTATCACGGTTCAATCTTTTTTCTGTTTAAACGAGATACTCCACCCGCTGCCAGACGGCCTCCTGCCCGGTGAATGCCAGCGCCATGTTGATGCCGTGGAGCGCCATCCAGTCGATCTCCTGTTCCCAGCGCTCCCAGTTCCACCACACATAGGAGTAGCTCTGGGTGCAGACATTTTGGTAGAAGCGGAATCTGGGAAGAAAAAACAACGGAACTCTTAAGCACCTGCAAGCTGTTTATTATCTATCCATTCGTTTGTCTTTCTTGTCTTGGGCTTGTCTGAGATCAGCGACTCCTTAGAAGTCATTTTTCTACAAGTAAGCCTCTTTATGTTTAATGGGGCTTACCCCCAGGTAAGTAGGTGCAGCAATGTATCCCAGGCTTTGGTTTAGGGGAAAAGCACAGTTATTTTGCCTTTAACAGCTGTGCAGCAGGCAGAACTTAATAGGTTCAGTATTTTCTAGTATGCTACTACAATTATGGGGAAAGCATTGCCACTTTGCATTCTGTCAAACATTTTATTACACATGTGGCCACCTATTTACTTTTTGGGCCGTCCACCCTGCCTTCAAACAATGGCACATATTTGCATATAATACAACGCAGATATAAACCTGTGTCCTCTTTTATGAGTCAGAGGGCCATATAATGTACTGGGGCCAGAAAATCCTGTTCTGGAGTGAGGGAGAAGGCAGGAGAATAACAAGATGCGCACAAGTAGGTCCACAAAGGAGGGATCAAGAAAGGAAGCGGTACCATGGACTCAAAGTCAAGGCAAGTTTCACTGGGCAGCACTTGCTAAAATAAAATATCAGACACTGGGAGGAATATCTTAAGGCAGATTGCCAGTAGTCAGGGAAAGTAAATTGGCAGAAGCTGAATAGTGCTACTAATAAATATTATTTTTAAAAATCGAGGAAAATAAATAAATAAACAAACAAACAAACAAACAGCAAAGTTGCATAATTTATACAGGTTGCAGAATGCTTTTTTATACACCTCCCCCACCTTTTAGCAGCTTTTGTTTGTGCTTTGGTTAGTCTACAGCCGCTGTTGTAGTTTTGTCTCCCAAATAGCCATGGTTGGCAATTGCAATAGTACCAGGCCAGTGAGGAGGAGTTGTAGGTAAGGTTGCACTTAGTGTTATAGTACTCCCTCCTTTACCCACATCTGATAGGTGAGGGAAATAAATTTGCTCAGTTTGCATTTTAATGCTGACGTTCCTAATTATCACTTCCTGAGAACCAGCAATCCTTTGAAACCTGCACTTCCCCACATTTTGTGTTTTCCAACCAAAAAGAGTGTCCCCCCCCCAAAAAAGTAATATATTATTGAAAAATGCATATAGAACTACATTACAAGAGGGGAAAGTGCTTGCAAAAACGTGCACATCGCACACAAATATGCAAACACGTTAGGAGAAAGGTACCTCAGAAATGTGTAAGGAATTTCCAGGCAGAGATTTAAAAGGGGAAAAAATTGCACACTGATCCAGAAATGGGGGCTCAAGTTTGAAAAAAAAGAAAAGAAAAAGTAAGCAAGTTGAAATGGACACATTTGTCTTAGTCTTAGTGGGACAAGGCCTTGCACAGGTCAGTTGCACTTGCAAGCACGTCGCTGCTGCAACACACAAAGGTACCACCGCACAAGGACTCTGTTCCGAATTTACTTTCGTCCAGCGCGGGCTGAGAAACTGGGTGGCAGGAGTGCTAGAGCGATGCTAACTACGCAGTTGTAGTCCACAGTGCGGTGTGTGCTATGTAAACAACGCAGCTATGATCGGTCCCCAAGTGCTTGAGATTAGCTGCCTTGGCTCAGGGGCCAAGTCCTCAGGTTGAAGCTATTCTAGAGTCATCCCCTCCCTCCACCAATTGGGTTTCCCTAGGGCCCCGGGGGGGGGGCCCTCTTCCTTTTCAAGCGGCACAAACAATCCAGTCACGCAAAGACTCTCCTCACCCTGCCAACCTCTCTGTCCTCGCCAGGACCTTTGTCCGCCTACAAGCCAAGGGACAGCTCTTCTAACGAGGCCCTGGGTCATCCTCCCCCTTCCGCCCACAAAAGAGTGTCAAGATTAATTGAGCTGATCTTTAAAAGAGCGGGACCGACGGACCCCGACTGACGTGACATCCAACACGCAAAGGAGCACAACTGCACAGATGGAACTGCTGGACCCAGTCGAGCGGTGTAGAAAGGGAAGGGCAAAAGCAGCCCCCTCCCCAAATCCGCTTGGCAGCCCTCCGTGGCCTACTCAATACTTTTTCCTTCAATGGTCGTCAGAATTTGCTTACCACTGCTATTCAAAGCAGGCAAGGTAATGGACACAGGATGCCCTACAAATGGGGGGGGGGTTCCTCCCCTCTCTAATTTTAGATTTGCTGATTTAGAAACATCCACAGCTAAGACTAAGCTAACACGCTACAAACAGAACTGATGCTGCTGCCTTCTTTACAAAACATGTTCCAGACTTAGGGTGTACATACCCCAAGGTTGTCTCTGGGTTTGGTATGGTCAAGGCCAGGCATAGGCAAAGTCAGCCCTCCAGATGTTTTGAGACTACAATTCCCATCATCCCTGACCAATGGTCCTGTTAGCTAGGGATGATGGGAGTTGTAGTTCCAAAACATCTGGAGGGCTGACTTTGCTTATGCCTGGTCAAGGCATTGAAAAATTTCTGAGCAGTTCATGAGAATGTAGAAGAGCTATAGCTGCTCTGCGTGTAGAACGTCCCCAGGCTCAGTCCCCAGCATCTTCAGAGAGGGCTGAGAATGTTCCTTGTCTGAAACTCTGCCAGCCAGGGCAGACAGCACTGACCTACATGGACCAATGGTCTGACTCAGTAAAAGGCAGTTTTCCATGTTCCCTGTAGGTATGTTTTAATAGCCACTCCATTAGAAACCAGAAAGATGATTGTTATCTTCTCTTTGGAAACTCGTGGCTTGAGCGTGACTTATGACTGTTCTTTCCTCACTAATGTTTAGCGACATCAGTGTGCACTGCGCTGGAGACAGCAACATTAAGCAAGAGAGCAAGAGAGAGAGAGAGAGAGAGAGAGAGAGAGAGAGAGAGAGAGAGTTCCTGGTGAATTTACAACCTAATAAATCCAGATGTTGCACACCCAACTCCCAACAGCCTCAGCCAGCATGGTCATTAGTCAGGGATGATGGGATCTGTAGTCTAGCAACATGCAGAAAACTGCAGATTTTAAGGACATGATACTGAAAGGACACACGAGGGGTCCGTGCAGTTGTGATGGCTACCCACCCCCCAAACACAACACATGCACTGGCGACAACCCCTTCACACAGTTAACCAGTGTGTACATCATGGTGGTACCATGCTATGACTCCCTGACATGTGCTTTCAGCACGTGGGGGGGCTTGTGTGAACTCTTCTATCAAGACCTAGTGTAGGGTGGTGGCTGAGAGAAGTGAACAGAAAGTCATCAGGTTTTTTTTTATTATTACTTAAAAACTTCCTCCAGAAACCCAATAAGAAGCTTAGTCAAGCCACTTTTTCATAGCTCCAGCATTTTTCTCAAAGGTAGGTGTGGAGAACCTGCAGCCCTCCAGATGAACTACAGCAGCCCTTAGCAAGCATGACCATGGCATGATGAGAGTCGTAGTTCAACATTTGGGAGACCAGAGCTCTCCATACCTGCTCTAAGGGGATGCTAATCCCGACCTACCTTACTGGTTTGTCGTAATTACTAAGATCATGTCTGTGAAGCACTTTTGTCATTAGTGCTTTATACTGTAATTGCTAAGTATTATTAAAATTTAGGCGAGTGCATGCAATGGGAAGACAAGACAGGAAGGAAAACAAGAGAACAAAGAAGAACAAGCAAACATAACTACTGTGTACACATATTTAGGATTTCTTCCTGCCCCGCCCCCCCCTGCCCCATTGTGGATGGAGACTAAGGAGGAAAATTATGGAAATTGAGCTAGGATAAGAAGGAAGAGAGCACTTTCCTGGGGAAGGACTTCTTTTCTTTCTTATGTCAGAGCAAAACAATTCAAACACACACAGCCTGGGTATGGCCCCAAGGAGAACTGGGCCACATGCTTTTCTTTCTAAAATGTTTAATCAGCACCGCCCAATTATTTTCGGCAAGTGGCAAGCAAGGTTCTCTTTCATAATGGGAACAGCTGGGAATAGAAAAAAGGGTTGTGTGTTCCTTCCCCCTTTAAAAAATGTAGGTTTTCTAACAGATCAATTTTATATCTAGGTTGCAGTATTTGACACCTGTAAACACTGCCTTGAAAAAGAGGTTTAGCAGATGGGGTAAAGTGTACAAAATGCAGTTGCAGCTCAGTGGTAGCTTGGTAGAGCATCTGCTTTGCATGCAAATGCTCCCAGGTACCAACCTCTCTGCATCCCCAGGTAGGCCTAGGAATGTCTCATCTGAAAGCCTGGAAAGCTGCAGCCAATCTATGTAGACAATGCTGAGCTAGAAGGACCAATGGTCTGGTGAAATACAAGGCAGCTATGCCATATTTCTATTTCTTTAAAGATACGCCCCCCAGCACATACAGTTTGTTTGAAAAAGCAGAACCTGAAACTCCAATGCCCCTGTGAAGTAGACCTTGAAAAGCAGTGACAAACCTAGACAGCATCTTAAAAAGTAGAGACACCACCTTGCCAACAAAGGTCCGTATAGTAAAAGCTATGGTTTTCCGAGTAGGGATGTATGGAAGTGAAAGCTGGACCATAAAGAAGACTGATCGCCGAAGAATTGATGCTTTTGAATTATGGTGCTGGAGGAGACTCTTGAGAGTCCCATGGACTGCAAGAAGATCAAACCTATCTATTTTTAAGGAAATCAGCCCTGAGTGCTCACTGGAAGGACAGATCCTGAAGCTGAGGCTCCAATACTTTGGCCACCTCATGAGAAGAGAAGACTCCCTGGAAAAGACCCTGATGTTGGGAAAGATGGAGGGCACAATGAGAAGGGGACGACAGAGGGCGAGATGGTTGGATAGTGTTCTCGAAGTTACCAGCATGAGTTTGACCAAACTGCAGGAGGCAGTGGAAAACAGAAGTGCCTGGCGTGCTCTGGTCCATGGGGTCACGAAGAGTCGGACACGACTAAACGACTAAACAGCAACAACAACAAATTTATGTAGCAAAGATATACAAGCGGAGGGAGAAGTCACTCTCTGCATGCTCAGAGGTACTCTCTCCCCTCCCTCACTTCAATCAAAGCTGGAACTAGGATTGCCATGTTGTGGATGACAAGACACTCTGTGCCTTAAACAACTACTTAACAGTCAGAAATTCAACAAGTACATCTTTCCCGGTCACTGCATCAAGGAAAGCTGCACCTGTTGGATTTCATTTTTACCTGAAGCTGTTCAAAGGCTCAAAGTTTCGAGTCCAATAAGACCAGAGGCAAATTTAATTGGAACAGAGCTCTGTTTTCTGGACATGCTCAGAGAATTTTTTTTAAAAAAAACTTCCCACGTGCAAACAGGGAACACAAAATCCTTTGCTCTCCTCCTTCGCCATCGAATCACCTGTTGGGGCTGGTGACGATGATCTCAGTGGGTACCGGCGGCAGGCTATCCGGCAGTCGGAGCTGCTTCCCAGACCAGGAGACATGGCAGCCGCAGTAGTCCTTTAGGTACTGGTAGATTCCCGAGGCGGCGGCAACGCCGCTGGATCCAGCTACGTTTACAACGCCCGGAGCCCTCGAGCTCAGCCGGTAGGTGTCAAGCCCGCCGGGCCCGGCCAAAGACCGGTTGACCGACACCGAGAAGGCGGAGGCAGCCCTCGGGCCCAGCAGCCGCTCCAGCAGCTCCCGCACCGCCACAGCCTGCCGTGCATCGTTCGTCCCCGGCTGCAAACGGGCAATCGAGTCCCACGGGGGCCGGGATGCAGCAGCAACTGCCGCCACCGTCGCCCAAAGAAACAACAACCGGGGTAGCGCCATCGCAAGGCCCCCGCTGGGAAGCGAAAACGGAGCCAACGTTCCAAAGAACCGTCCTCTCCCGCGCGCTTTAGCCAATCGCCGGCCGAGCAGCTGCTGGGCGTCCCTCTTATGAGCCAATCGGGAGCCACGCCACGCCCCTAGACATCAAGCCGTAGGCAGACCTGTGTAACCGAAAGTGCCGACGTTCGAATTACACAGAGTTCTTCAGCTCTCTGTGGAAAGGGCAGCTCGGGCTCCTTTTATGTGAGAGGGCAGGACGTGAGCTCCAGTTCTGAACGCGAGGGATAAAGGAGGAGGTGCCTCTGAACATTTGCAGACTACGTTTCTCTCACCACTGGAGTAATTGCTATCACACACAAACAGTTCCAGGGTTAGAAAAAAATGATTAGCAACTTTAGTAAAAACTGATACTGGGCCTGTGGGATATTCTCAGTCAGTAGAGCATGAGACTCTTAATCTCAAGGCTGTGTGTTCAAGCCCCATGTTGGGCAAAAGATTCCTACATTGCAGGGGGTTGGACTAGATAATGACCCTTGTGGTTCCTTCCAGCTGTACAATTCTGTGATGAATGACGAGAGATTTAGATAGCAAATGTACTTTGCAAGTGGTCAGAGTTGCTCCTCCCCCCCCATTTTTTTTTTTACTGCTCCCCACACTCTGTTCCTCATTTTGGGCTTCCCCAGTATTTGCTCCTGGCAGTTTTCCATCAGAAAACATATGAGTAAATGCTCTTGGAAAGCAGTCACTGGATGCTGATCACAGAGGAAGTGGAAAGAACCAGAGAGAGAAGTTCTCAATCCCTCTGAAAAACGAAATCAGCATGAAGAATGTGGAATTCTGCAGTGTAACTCTCCCCACACTCTCTGTATAGGGATGTGGGCGTGAACTCAGACTTTGCACCAGTCAGATCTGGTATGGCTTTTTTATTTCCCTTCCTTCATGCCTACCCTACTGTAGAAATTTAGATTTCAGGATGTTTAGGGGTAGGGACCTATCTTAGGAAGATGGGAAACTGCCCAATACCGAGTCAGACTATTGCTCTATCTAGCTCTTGGGTAGGCAAACTAAGGCCCAGGGCCGGATCCGGCCCAATCGCCTTCTAAATCCGGCCCGCGTACGGTGCGGGAATCAGCGTGTTTTTACATGAGTAGAATGTGCGCTTTTATTTAAAATGCATCTCTGGGTTATTTGTGGGGCATAGGAATTCATTCATTCCTCCCCCCAAATATAGTCAGGCCCCCCACAAGGTCTGAGGTACAGTGGACCAGCCCCCTGCTGGAAAAGTTTGCTGACCCCTGATCTAGCTCAATATTGCCTATGCCAGCTTTCACCAATTGGGTGCCTGACAGGTATTGCTGGAGCCGTAGTCTTAACATCTGCACAGCACCAGATTGGTGAAGTCTGGTTTACACTGACTAGCAGCAGCCTTCAAGGACTGCTGGCAGGAGTCTCACTCTGCTGGGGATTGAACCAGGGTCTGTCTGCATGCAAAGCATGACACTGAGGTACATACCTTCCCCATCTGTCTAATGATAGGGCCGGCCAAGATACCGGATTTGAAAAGGAATTTAGGCCAGGGAACTTGCTATCATCACTGTATGCAAAATGCTGTGATCACAAAGAGGAAACAGAAATCAGGGAGGCACCCCAAGAAATGTTGTAGTAATAAGTGTTTTCAGTCACCATCATATATAGACTATGTAAATGCATGCTCAGGTCACAGCAAAGGTCAAATTTCTATATATTCTAAGTGACAGAACAATACAAAATAAGCAGGTGTCAGAATCAAGCTTTACTTTGCATATAATAAATACTTTGTGTTCATGTATGCAATGTATGTATGTATGTATGCATAGTTTTAAAGCTCCCCCCAGGTACTATATACTGCTAGACTTGGCTTTACTTGAAGTCTAGTACTGTCCTCTGCATGTTTACTGCCATTTAATCCAAGTTCTGTGACACTGGCTATTTCAGGATATGAACCAATCCCAAATGCATGGTGTGGAAGATGGATTTATTTGCCCTAAATGCTCACAAGCCATGTCCTCTGTAGGTTTCCTCATCTTGAGTAGCTGTGTGAAAACACTATCATTATTGTATTAGGTATAGAATAGAGAACGTGGGTCCCCCCCCCAGCATTATGTTAATATGAAACATATCAGTGCCAGAATTGTTTGTTTCTTTGAGCAATATTTTAAAAAGCTATCTGTTCTCCTTTAGCAAACTACATGTGCAAATTGGCCCTAGCTATGACAGGCAAGTTTCCATAAGCTATTTTATAGGCAGCACCGGGAAAAGACCAGGCAGACTCTTTCTAGCACTATAATTTATGTTGTGAACCGCCCTGAGATCTAGGGATACAAATTATGAACAGATGACCTAGAAAAGAAAGAACAAACCCTGGCTTATTAAATAATGTGAGTATTTAACCAAGCCTGCTGTACAAAAAGCCAGAGCTACTGAAACATATGCAATCACTTCGCTATTAAGTGTAAAGTTCCCAACAAAACCTACAATAGTTGGTCAAAAAAGAAAGCAACACACCTTTTATATTTCAGACATATTATTATTATTTTTCCTTTTATGTATTTAAAAAATGGAATGGCAACATTATTGAAAGGCCCAGAGTGGTAGAGTCAGGCCCTGCAATTGTACAGGTTACGCACACAAATGTGGTGGACATAAGGCAACAGTCACTTAAGAGAAGGCAAGTGGATCGTTACTCAAATGCTTCCCCCCCTCCATGCCCCTTTTATAAGGTTCCTCAGAGGCTTAAAGGACCAACAACTCCTCTGTAATTGAGAGGAGGAAGGGTGATGAGCATGCACAAGGTTGGAGGAAAAGACTGGGATGAAGTGGAAGATCTTTGACTTACTTCACAAAGCAACCTTTTTTCTTATTCAAATTTGCAGCTGAGAGGGTTACGTTTTACATCAAATACCCCAGGCAAAGTGTTAACCAGACACACGCAGCCCCAACAAAATGATGACACTGACAGCAAGCACTTAAAACAGAGTATATTCCACCTGGGCAAATCACCCTGAAGCAGGTTGGATAACTGAACACAATCTAGTTGTCCACCCACCCCAACTTTCCAACCCTCCTTTCCCATTACCCCATACCGACTGAAATGTGGGGAACCTTCAGATGTTGCTGAACTACAACTCCCATCAGCCCTAGCAAGTATAGTCAATGGAGGGGGGTGATGGGAGGGGGCTAAATGTTCCCCACACATGTGCTGGAAGGGAAAAAGTGAGTGTGGGTGGGCAGCTTACACTTCCTGTATTAAATATACAGGTCACCAATAAAATGCCACTATTATCTAGGGCAGCCTCTCTCAACTTTGGGTCCCCAGATGCTCTCATTATCCCTGACCACTGGTCATGCTGGCTAGGAATGATGGGAGTTGCAGTCCATCAATATCTAGGGACCCAAGGTTGAGAAAGGGTGTTACACATTTGTTTTTCTCACCACCAGACCCCAGAAATTATTTCAACAAAGGCCTGCAATTCTTCATATGGGGTGGGTGAGTGGGGCTTCCAGATGCTGTTTAACTACAACTCCCATCACCCCCTGACCTTTGGGCTTTGCTGACTAGGGCTGATGGGAACTGGAGTCCAATAAAGTCTTGAGGGCCCTGGTTCCCCATGCCTGGCTTAGGGCGTTTGATGTCCTCACAATTGTACTCTCATGGCCAAGAGAAAAACAACTGGGCTATAATTTTGTTGCACCACATGTTGGCACAGATATTAAGCATCACAAAATTTATAGGGCGCCTGAGGAGAGCGGCTGTGCCAACTTGGCAACTTACCGCAAGTCATCAGAACACCATGATCATTTTAAAGTATCTGGTTAACAGCAAAACTGGCTGCCTCAATTTCAGAAGAAGAAGAAAACAAAGACCCTCTCTGTACCTCCTTTAAACCAAGGCATGAGAAACAGCAAATATGGCAGACACTCACAGATAAATGCATAGGAAAGTGTGTGTTGAAGACAGGCAGGCAGGTGGGTGGAGCTCCAATGAGAGGGACGGAATCATTGACACCACTGATACCGAGTCAGAGTTGTGTTCCTGATTATTTTGCCCCACCAAAGCTTGGCTACTCTTGACAGAGTGGGAGGGAGAGTGTCTGTGTGCAAAAGTTGTAAGTGCAGAGATGAAGACTAAACTCAGATGCAGCGGATCAAATAGGTGTGGGGATGTAAGTGCAGGACAGAAAATAATCAAGAATGGGTCACACGTTGTGGATAGAGTGATCAGACAGCCAAGCAGGGGTGTCCAGCAGTGGGGAGGGGTCACAGCTAATTCTGGTCTGGTATGTGGTATGTGGAGAATTTACTACTACTACCACCACCAAGCGGTGGGGTATAAAGTTCCAATCCAGTAACAGGCTTTTGGTAAGCGTTGAGAGGGTAAAATCTGGCAACTGAGCAAGGGGGTTATTCCCCCCCCCGGTACCCTTTACTTGTTTGCCCACCTCCTGCAGCTATATACTGGCTGCATTCACCTGGCAGGTCATTCAATTTTTACGACGTTTTCCTAAAAGTTTACTTTCCACATTGTATTTGCACTTTCACACAATGTAATATCGACTTCCGGAACCACAGTGGAAAGTATAGGGCAAGTTTAGCACTCATTTCCACATTATTTGCAAATAGACACCCCCCCCCCGCAAAGCAAATTACACATAAATGAGCACTAAACTTGCACTAGAGTTCTGGAAGTGGCTTTTAAGTCAGGTGAAAATTCAGATATAAAGTGGAACTTAACTTTTAGGGGAAAGTCGTGAAAACGGAATGAGCTGCCTGGTGGAATGCAGTCACAATTTAGCCTAAGGTTCAAAAGGGGTCCTTTCCTCTACAGCAGGGCTTTTCCCAAATGTGGGTCTCCAGCTGTTTTTGGACCACAACTCCCATCATCCCTAGCTGGCAGGACCAGTGGTCAGGGATGATGGGAATTGTAGTTTCAAAACATCTGGAGACCCACGTTTGGGAAACACAGCTCTACAGGACAGGGCAACAGCATTCAAACAGGATAGTGGGAAGTTGTGAGTTAGCCAAAAACAAAAAGAAGGGCTTCTGTTTTTCATGGTCCCATCAACGGCTTTTTAAGAGAGGGGTGGGGAAAGAAACCTCTTTATTGCTGAAGTCTGTAATAAAGTCTCCCCAACTCTCCTGGTCCTCTTCTACCCCTAAGTGCTCCTTTTCTACATTCATATGTCAAGAAGAAATGGCTGAATCTTAAAGCAAGGATGAAGTGCAAGCAGGTGAAAAACTCTCCCAACACATGGAAGCACAAGAAAACCCACAGACATATACGGAAAAATGGGGGCGGGGAAGAGGGCTTCTCACACCCCTCGTTACATGTTTCGGATGCATAATGCAAGGATTCAGAATCTTTTTCTGGGGTGATCTCCCAGACTACTCCCACACGGCTCTCTGCTAAGAAGGAAGACCCAACGGATGGAGTGATAAGGCTCGGAAATTCGAGAGGGCCGATGGCAGATCCCAGTCTGTTCAGGGGCAAGGAGAAGCATGCAACAGAGATGGCACCCGTGCACATCCCACGCCCCCTCACGTAAAAGGAAAAGCTCTTTTATCCAGCCAACCCCAGATGCAGTTTGTGCGTGAGACGCGGCAAAAGGCAGCAGAGAAGTGGCCAGCTGTTCGCCACAAGCCGGAAGAGAGTCCCCACAAGATGGAAGGACGGAGGTGTGTGTGGGGGGGAATAAGCCCAGATGCTACTACTTGTCGATGAGGCCCCCTTCCTTGAGCTTGAAGTAGAAGAACTTCTCCAGGGTGTTGGCGCACTTGCAGTAATCGCTCTCGGGGGGGTTGTACTCGCGGCAGTTGGTGATTATGCGCTGCAAGTCGGCGATGAACAGCTTCCTGGTGACGTAGTAGCGGTTCTTGAGCCGCTCCGTCATCGTCTTGAGGTCTGATGAGGCAAGGGGGTTGGAGGGGAGAAGGTCACTTGTGCAGGAAGCATCACCAGTTCAAAGAAGAATTAATAATAATAACAATAATAATAATAATAATAATAATAAATCTTCTAGACGGAAACTGCTTATCACAATTCATCCATTCTGTTGCACGTGGCTAGATATCAAGATAGTGGGTTTTTATCATAATTAGCTTACCAGTACACCAAGATGCTTGTGTTATCATCAACACTGCTTTGTAATTTATCACTGGAACCATTTTGCTTTTACATTGGTACCTCTGGTTCAGAACTTAATTCGTTCTGGAGGTCCATTCTTAACCTGAAACTGTTCTTAACCTGAGGCACCACTTTCGCTAATGGGGCCTCCCACTGCCGCCGCCGCGCGATTTCTGTTCTCATCCTGAAGCAAAGTTCTTAACCCAAGGTACTATTTCTGGGTTAGCGGAGTCTGTAACCTGAAGTGTCTATAACCCGAGGTACCACTGTATATATAATTGCCACTGAGGGGTGTGTCGTTTTTTTTGGTACAGTGGCACCTTGGTTCTCGAACTTAATCTAATGTCTTAATCCCAAAACCATTCAGAAACCAAGGTGCGGCTTCCGATTGGCTGCAGGAGCTACCTGAACTCAAGTGGAAGCTGCGTCTGATGTTCGGCTTCCGAAAAATGTTCGCAAACGGGAACATTTACTTCTGGGTTTGCGACATTCGGGAGCCAATTTGTTCGGAAGCCAAGCCTTTCAAGTACCAAGGTACCACTGTACTTTGATCTCATTCCTCTCCAAACTCAGCAGCCACATGAATATATATATATGTCTACCAGTTTAGGACTACAGTTGAGATATCTGATTAAATGGTTCACAAAGCCTTTTCATTAATACATGTGATTTGAGCTTTATTCAACAGAGCAGTAATGAAATAGTTCTGTCGGCGCAAGGATTTCTGCTTGTGCAATGAAACTCCCTCCCCCCAGGAGCCCCCTAAATCTGTTCTAGGGTTTCTCCCAACCCCTGGAACAGATTTGGGGACAGTGAAGAGGGAGGAGAAAGTTCTGTATTGCCAGTTAAAATCCTTGCACGCTATTTTGCTGTACGCCACCATAAAGGTGCCACGAGACCCTCTGTTGGGTTTGTGGCAACAGATTAACAAAGCTAGCCTTCTGGAACTTCTGCAGGGTATAGTAAAAAAAATAAATGTGGATAATGCATGGCTTCATTGCTCATGAAACTCTGTTCATCATCAACAGAAATGGGCAATACCTTATGTGAGAAGTAGACCGGGTGGAGGAGGGGGCACAAGAGGAAAAAGACACAAAAGCAAATTATAGCAAGAACAGCAGGGCTGTTTAAGGGATGTCTGTGGCTGTTTGCTCTGAGTTCAGGTGCTAGTCAGATTTATTTGCTAAAACCACTAGAAATCACAAAAATACAGAAATACAAAGCAGTACACTTCAGCACAGGTGTCCCCAGCACAATGGACCCCATGTTGTATCATACAACTATAAACAGCTTCCCGCAAGGCATCCTGGGAACTGTAGTTAGTTAAGGGAGTTGCTATGAGACTCCATTCCCCTCAGAGAACTACAGTTCCCAGAGTTCCCTGGGAAGAGGGGTTGATTGTTAAACCACCCTGAGAGCAGCAAGCTCTATGAGGGGAATAGAGGTATCCTACTAACTCTTAAAGCCCTTACTAACTACAGTTCCCAGGATGCATTGGGGGTGAAGCCGTAACTGTTTCAAGTGGTATAATGCTTAAAATGTACAGTGCAAATATTTACAGCAATAAAAAAATGTTATGTAGTGTGTTTATCCCTTTCCATCAGCAAATGACAATTTGTATTCCTGTAAGAAGGAAACTCTCTGAAGATTTTTTTGTGGGGAGAAATCTATCTCTAGGAGGATTATACAGGGGGCAATGCATTATGTAATGAACAACAGTCTCCACCTCTTTCTAACTACAGATACACGAGTGAATGCAGCAAAAAAAGTCAAGATTATACTGAATTTATCTTTTTAAGCTCATTTCTGCCCTTAGCAGAATTAGGAACTCTTTTAATGTACTGAACAGAAAAGCACCAAGTCTCAGGAATTTGAAATCCACACCCCTCACCCCTGTGGCACGATTATGATCCAGGAACTAATCTCCATCAATTCTGCCATCTGAAATATTTTCACAACAGCCATACTGACTCCTCCAAGCAAGGGCCAAGTCAAACTACCTACCAATGGGGAAACGGATGATCTCATAGTAGTCAGGAGCCTCAGATTTCTTGACCGGTTCCATGAACGGCCAGGCGCTGGGATGGGTCTGGCCAGAAGGGAGAAAAAGAGCCAGTTAGCTAGAACAGTAATGCCACCTTTCCAAAACAGGGAGATTAAATACATTTATTAGAACTGAGATTCACAACATGGTGTGAAAGCTTTTCAAGTAACACAGTTCTTTAGCTAGAAGTTAAAAGAAAATTAAAAAGAGAAACCATGATGTTGGCAGAGGGCAGGCCTCAGTCAGAAACATTTAAAAAACCCTCTTATCCCTTTTTACCTTTTTTAAACATCCAGCCAGAGGAAGAGTTCTGTGTAACTCAAAAGCATGCACACATTATGAACCTCGGTTTTAATAAATGGAATAGCTTTATTCTCCCTGTTTAGATCTTTTTTTTTTAAACGGTCTTTAATCTATTTTGGAAACGGTCTCCAGTTCATAAAGTGTTGTTGTTGTTGTTGTGAAAATTTGTGTGTGTGAGCTAAACAAGAAGGTTGATCTTTTGAGGCCAGAGAAACAGCTAGGAAAAACAGGCTGGAGCCTGAAAAAAGTTTTCAGTTTGCATTTACAACGAAACAGCTTTTTTTAAAAAAATTAGTGCATCTTGCATAACTTGTATGAGTGTAAAACAAAAGACCCTTACACCACCCGCAATCTGCCTCCATTCACTCCATGAGTTGCAGAAAACCTCCAGCACAGGAGCCTAATTATCAAATCCAATTTGGTCCTGCCCCAGCCCACGGAGGAAGTGGTTTTGATCCAAACTGCTTCCTTTGAATGCAGGATTCTTTCCTCTGCAGGCTGCTGCAGTGAGCTCCTCTGAAGGTGTGCTCCAAGTGTATCTTCAAAGGCAGTTGCTGTAACTACCGACCAGCTGATGCACACTTACAGCGATGCTCTTTGAACTTCGGGGAAGTTTTTCAATCACCTCATAGAATCATAGAATCATAGAGTTGGAAGAGACCACAAGGGCCATCGAGTCCAACCCCCTGCCAAGCAGGAAACACCATCAGAGCACTCCTGACATATGGTTGTCAAGCCTCTGCTTAAAGACCTCCAAAGAAGGAGACTCCACCACACTCCTTGGCAGCAAATTCCACTGTCAAACAGCTCTTACTGTCAGGAAGTTCTTCCTAATGTTTAGGTGGAATCTTCTTTCTTGTAGTTTGGATCCATTGCTCCGTGTCCGCTTCTCTGGAGCAGCAGAAAACAACCTTTCTCCCTCCTCTATGTGACATCCTTTTATATATTTGAACATGGCTATCATATCACCCCTTAACCTCCTCTTCTCCAGGCTAAACATGCCCAGCTCCCTTAGCCGTTCCTCATAAGGCATCGTTTCCAGGCCTTTGACCATTTTGGTTGCCCTCCTCTGGACACGTTCCAGTTTGTTTATCACGTTCCTGATGTCAGGTGATTGACAAGTGAGCACTCCACCCACCTCATCAAAGCTAGCCTGCTGGTGGGCAGGGGAATTAGGGATTCAGTTCTCTGAACCAGATTCAGTTTGTCACCCCTGTTACACACAAACCAAAAATGCCCCAAACATATTCTGAAGATGGGCTGGGTAAGGATATCTTTCCCCAGTTATGTGTGGGTTGGGCAATACCGAGAAACTAGGACTGTAACATGCAGCTATTTCTCCACTACATCAGCTGGAGAAATCTTGTTTGCACCACCAGCTCCCTGCACCGCCCCACCCCACCAAATTGTCATTCAGACAAGTCACCTTGATTTGCGCTAGGAGGTTTTTCAAGGTTGTATACAGCTGGTCAGGATCCCTGAGCTCCTTCCTGCAAGAGAAATTCACAGTCTACAACATCAGCTAATAAGAGAGATTTGAATGACTCTCTTAAGGTAGGACCAAGATCTTGTTGCTGCTGCAAGAGAGAGGAAGTATTGCGAGGGGGAGAACAAGAAAATTGCCACACTACTTACCCTTTCTCCTTCCCCAAGGGCTTCCATCCCGTCTCTCCTGGAAAAGAAAGAGAGTCCCCATATCACTGCAAAAGTAACAAATGACCCAGGACCAGCTCAGAAACAAGCAAGCAAGCAAGCAAGCAGCAGTCCCCACAGTGCTGGAGTCAATTTGTAAAAACACCACATTTGTACACGTAGAAGATAATGTATTTTGCTTTTTTAAAAAAATGGGCAAAAATTGGGGGCCCTCTTGTATATGGATAGTGAATGCAGAGAGGGGGTTGCGGGCATGCGGGCGATCAGCTGCAGCTGCAGAGAATGGGTGTGCGATCTGTGGCTGCAGTGAGGCTTGCAGGGGCTGTGGCATGCAATTGGCGGGTGCAGCAAGGTGTATGGGCGATTGGTCGCAGTGACCTCCCCAACAACAGAAGGGCGACCTCCCTCCAAAAACCTCAACAACTCAGGGCCATCTCCCCCCCGCAACATTGATTTCTTAATCAATAGGGGTCCTCGAAAAATAGGGGTCCTCTTATACATGAGGGCGTGTTATACACGGAAAAATATGTTAAGTGTAGGGCTTCATATTTCCCTGTGTCTTTTATCTTACAACACAGGCATTCCTCCCATCCCCAGATGAGTGAGTGCTGGCTGAGGTCACGTCCCCAATAGATGTCCTTTGCTGAAAATTCACCAGGGTCCACAGTGTCACCTGGGGAGAACATTCTCTCCAGTTTCATACCTGGCTGTTGACCAGACTCTGAAGAGAACAAAACACAGCTAAAAAAAGCAAAACACGGCCAATGTGACCCCAAATTAGGGACCTGCTGGGGATCACAAAAGGCCCTCTACCCTGCCCCCATGACACATCACACCCTCCTTGGTTGGTCTTCTCTGGAGGAGAGAGGCGAGGAAGCCGCTGAAATAGGGACCTCTTTAGAACAGAGGAGTATTGCACCATCATGGTGGTGGCAATGGGGAGGAGAATTATTGGCCTTTTCTGCTCCCATGCCTTCACAAGAATGTACAAAGGGCCCTGCTGGATGAGGCCAATGACCTATCTAGTCCAGCGTCCTGTTCTCACAGTGGCCAGCCAGATGTCTGTGGGAACCCCACAAGCAGGGCATGAGTGCAACAGCAATTCCCACCTGCAATTCCCAACATTCAGAGGAATGCTGCTTCAGACAGTGGCACAGAACATAGTCGTTGTGGCTACTAGCCATTGGCAGCCTTGTCCTCCATGGATTTGTCTAATCCATTGTGTTTCCCAAACTTGGGTCTCCAGCTGGTTTTGGACTACAGTTCCTATCATCCCTGACCACTGGTCCTGCTAGCTAGGGATGATGGGAGTTGTAGTCCAAAAACGGCTGGAGAGCCAAGTTCAGGAAACACTGATCTAATCCTCTTACAAAAACATAACAAGGGCATCTTGTTTGCCCCAAGTCCGAACCCTTTCAACAAGCTTGTCGTGGCGGCAATCCTTGATGCCTGAAAGCAGTGAAGGGGTGCAAGGTGAGAAAAAGGCACGCCCAGGTTCAACCTTCCCCAACCTGGTGGTTGTTGCTGGACTACAACTCCCATCATCCTTGACAACTGGAGACATTGGCTGGGCCTTGATGGGAGCTGGGGTCCAAAATACCTGGAAGGCCACAGGGAAGCTGCCAGAAGTTGCTCCCATCACAGCACTATTCACGCCACAAGCCATGCTCACTATGCCAGAGACTACCCAGCTGCACTCACGGATGCCTGGTATGCTTTCAATAGGGATATGCCGAACACCTTCCTTGAAGCAAGTGAGGCCAGGGTAGACTTTGCGGATCTGGGCCTGCTTCCTCTCTATCAACTTCTTGATGATCTGTAGGGAGAAGAGAGCAGGTGATGCACCTTGGACTGCCATCCCCACAGCACACCCCCTGCAGGACCAGCTCCAGGGGAAAGGCCATAATGGATCACCCAACGAAGGGCTGGTTAAACTTGTGTATTTGCAGAGCAGAGGGCGGGCGACAGGCCAGAATCAAAAAGGCATGTTTCTTTGGGTTGCCGACATTCCGAATTTGACACAAATACAGCATGTGATGTTTTTTGTTTCAGAATAATTTCTACTTCAGGATGGGGTACACAGGAAACTGCCATCTACAGCGTGAGAGCATTGGGTCCATCTAGCTCAGAACTGTCTACACTGGCAGGTAGTGGCTCCAGAAGAGGTCCTTCCCAGTCCTACACCTGGGGATGCTGGCGACTGAGCCTGAGATCATCGGCAGATGCTCTACCAGTGAGCTACAGCCCCTCCTCGAAGTGGCCACTGGTAACCTTCTGAATACTGAATTCTGGGCACAACTGCACATTTCACCTCCCTCCTTTTCTACCTCCTCACCTCCTTCTGCTTCTTGATGATATGAGAGAGCTCTGTGTAAGGGATCCGGGGATTCAGTTCACACTCCATCAAGGTGGCTCCCTCATAGTCCTTGATATAGCCAAGGTATCGGCTCTTGGGGACTTTGATGTCTTTGGAGAAGCCCTGGAGGCCAGACATGAAAGGTCCATTCATTTTTCAATAATAATAATAATACAGTCATATCTCATGTTACATTTGCTTCATGATACATTTTTTTCAGGTTGCGTCCTGCGGCAACCCGGAAGTACCAGAAAGGGTTACTTCCGGGTTTTGCCGCTTGCGCATGTGCAGAAGCGCTAAATCGCGCATGCACAGAAGCGCCAAATCGTGCCGCACACCTGCGCAGATACGGCACTTCAGGTTGCAGGCTTTTCATGTTGCGAACGGGCCTCCGGAACGGATTCCATTAACAACATGAGGTACCACTGTAATAATAATAATAACAACAACAGCAAAGAAAAGCACGAATCTATTCATGCACTGAGATGGTGACCTCTTGCCTGAAAGCTTTGACCCTAGTTCCCTCTTTCCCTCCCCGATACAATGGAAGTATGTAGTCCTTACGAGGATGGAAGAGGAGGGAATGCTGACTCAAAAGCCAAGGCTCCAGCATGCTCAATTAGCTCTGTGCAAAACAGCCACCTTCTGCATTGCGCCACTGAAAAAGTCTCTCACACATGCACTTTTTAAATGTACACTGTCTTTGGCATTGAGAACCGACAAGGCATACCTAGTCTGGTACATGTTGAGCACATCAAAGCTCACATCTATATGTATGAGATTCGCAGACTCAGAGTCAAAGACTTGCTTTTGAAAGCTCTGTGGACTTCTCCTGCCCAAAAGCGAATGCCTCGTCTCCCCACATACACGGGCTCTTTTATGTGGAAAAACTCACTGGTATGGAGTATCAGCATCTCTTTTTTTGTTGCCCTTGGCAGCCATTTTGTGTTGGTACCCACAGCACTTTAACACCACGAGTACTGGCACCTCATAAATATTTTTTTAAGCAAAAAAATAACTGGGTCTTCCCAATCGCCAGCCCTGACTTGCACCTTTCTGTTATAGGTTGAAAGTCCTCTGGGGAGCAACTGTGATCCTTCTTTCTGCACAGAACTGTGAAGAGCTTCCCAATCCCACAGGCAAGCCATGAAAAGGTGCAGGTGGCAGTTTTCTCATTTCACTTAATATTAACCACCCACATCTCTCTCTCAAAAGGAAACCAAAAAGCAGCTAACAGAAATGACTGTCAATGCAGCCAACATAACAACAGCTTGGAACCAGGCTAAGGCCCCATCTGCACTATGCATTTAAAGCAGTATTACACCACTTTTAAACTGTCATGGCTGCCCCCTAAGAATCCTGGGAACTGTAGTTTGTTAAGGATGTTTAGATTTGTTAGGCTACCCCCTATTCCTCTCACAAAGCTACCATTCCCAGACTGTTGTAACGTTCAATCCCTCTTCTCAAGAAACTCCAGAAATTGTAGCTCTGTGAGGGGGAACAGGGGTCTTCTAACAACTCTCACCTTTTACAAACTACAGTTCCCAGGAAGTCGTGACTGCTCTAAATGTATAGTACAGATAGGGCCTGAGTTAGCTGCACAACGCTTTTGCCCTACCGAAACCAATGGGGCAAATTAGCCACTACTTAAGTCCCACTGATTTTAACATGAACCAAATACAACTGATTAAGTCTGGGTCCAATCTAATATATCAAACTACAGGCGGTAATAAATTCAACTGGCAAACAAAATTGAGTTTCAAAGCAGTACCATGTGACAATATACCTCATAGGAATTGCTTGACAGTGCCTCAGTTCAACAAAAGAATGAACAAGATTTCAATAACCATTATAAATTCACTGCAAGTCCTGTCACAGAGACCATTGGAGAGGCACTTCTGAGTTCTTTATGGAACCATGAAGGCAAAAGCTGGCCCTAAATAAACCTTCATCAGCGATGCTGTAGTACCTGCTTCTTGAAATAGCCAATGGCATATTCATCAGCGTAGGTGAGGAAGTACAAGATGCTGTGCTTGATGTGGTATTCTTTCAGGTGATTCATCAGGTGGGTCCCATAACCCTACAAAGAGACATAAGAGGGAATGAGGAAATAATGAGAGTGGCAAACCGCTAGGGGGGAAAAGAATCTGATGACTTGAGGATTCATGCAGGAAGACCCAGAATATCATTAAGCATGGCAAAATTAAATGAGTTCCATTTAAAATTGATTCTGGGGTAAGTAATGGCCAATTCTGAGGTAATAAATATGGAACAGTGAATGCCATAAGCATGGGCACATTAAATTACCATTGATTTTTAATTAATTCTGAGGGGGAAATTTTAAAATTCTGAGGAAATTAAATTACCATTCTTCTGGCATTAAGAATCTAAAGTGAGGTATCAGTATAATAGGTAGACAGATACATACCTATCATACTTGAACGGGAGAGGAAACAGTTCAGTGTGGACTGAGCATGCTAAAAGCAATACTTCTTAGCAATAATCTGAGTAATGCTTTCTCTATTGGGGAAAGAAAACCAGGAAGGGATAAGGAGTGGAATCCTGAACAGCAGAATGCCACACAGTAAGTTGCAGGTCCCAGTTGTACGGGTATGTAGACACAACATGCCTATAAGTGCAGTGTGGTTTACTTGAGCGGGACATTTAAACACACACACCCAAACCGTTTTTTGGGATAATTCAGGAGTCCCCTGGAATGAAATCATCATCATAATAACTTCATTATTTGTACCCCGCCCATCTGACTAGGTTTGCCCCAGCCACTCTGAGTGGCTTCCAGCACATATAAAAACATAATAAAAGATTAAAAAGCTTCCCTAGACTGGGCTGTCTTCAGATGTCTTCTAAAAGTTATATAAATAAATAAATAAATAAATAAATAAATAATAATAATAATTTGAAGGAACCCATTTCTGGCCTATCCCTTTCCCCATATTCCTGCCCAATATGCCCTCCATTCACAGAGAAACTTCTTTATTAACGACGACAGCAATATAGTTAGAGGGCGGGAATGGTGAACGCTTTCTAAATTTGCTCTCACTTTTCTGGATGCTTTGCACTTGTTTACGATCGACTGCAGGATCTCGAATGTTACTGTAGAGCTCAAGTCCACCCCTTACCTTGGGCTATTGCCCTTCCTGGCCAGGTAGACTCACACATACATATAACACAAAGGCACCCACCCCACATCGTAACACAATCCACCTCTAGCAACCCTACCTTGACTTGCTCATTGGACGTCACAGCACAGAAGACAATCTCTGTGAACCCCTGGGTAGGGAACATTCGGAAGCAGATGCCGCCGATCACCCGGCCATCCTTGATCAGGGCCAGAGTCTTGTGTTTGCTGTGAAGAAAAGCAGAGCAACGAATGGAAGTGTCTGGACTGCAGAGGAGCCGTAAGCTCAGAAGCACGGCATCTGTTCTGCGTGCAGAAGGCCCCAGGCTCAAACCCAAGCATCACCAGCTAGGGCTAGGAAAGATTTCTTGTCTGAAATATTGGGAGAGCTGCTGCCAGCCAGCATAGCTAATTCTGGGCAAAATGGGCCTACAGACTGATTCAGTCCCGTATAAGGCAGCTTCCTATATTCCTATGAGGTGAATGCTGAGCATCGTTATTCTCTCATCCCACTCTATAACTTTCCTGGACTGAATTGAATAAAGGGATATATAGCAGTGTTGCATAGTGGCCAGAGCGTTAGACTAGGACGTGGGAGACCAGGGTTCAAAACCCCCACTTGGCCATGAAGCTCACTGGGTGACCTTGGGCCAGCCACTGCCTCTCCGCCCAACCTACCTCACAAGGTTGTTGTGGGGACTAGATGAGGAGGGGGAGAAGAATGGACAGCACCTTGAGCTCCTTGGAGGAAAAAGGTGGCATATAAATCAATCAATCAAACAAACAAACAAACAAACAGTGACTGCCTGTAATCTGCAAACAATCCCCCCCCCCACTTTTAACAGTCCGAGCTTCTCTTGTAGAATCCTAGAAATTTGAGGGATCTTATTTTGTTTTCCCTGTTTCACCTGAACAAACTGAAATTATCCAGGGAGGCAGGAATGATTGTTACACAAGGTTAAGCCTGAACGCGGATAAACCCTCTGTCCTTTTATCAGAATAGACAGGAGAGGCACCGCTGGCAGTATGGCACAACAAACCTGCAGGCCACCTCTGCCTACAACCCAGGAAAAGTGAGTTGCTGCAGAATGTTCGCAAGCATTCTAACATAGGGCCATCGAGATGCTTTTGGGGTACCACTCTCAGCAACTCCCTACTGCTCCTGACCACTTGGGGCCATGGTGAGTCCTCATCCCTGCTCTAACACCTAGAAATAGCCTTTTTGTCAAGATGGAAACAGTGTTGGGCGTTGGGCTATATATTGTGCCGAACACTAAAAGAAAGGAATTGTGAATTATTTTTTCTGTTTAAGCATGGTTTTCTTCTGTCAATCAGGTGGCGTTTCAGCGGGAAGTGTCAACCACAGAATGCTGCGACGGAACTGTGTCCGGCCAACTTACAGTGGTACCTCTGGTTACGTACTTAATTCATTCTGGAGGTCCGTTCTTAACCTGAAACTGTTCTTAACCTGAAGCACCACTTTAGCTAATGGGGCCTCCCACTGCTGCTGCGCCGCCGCCGCACGATTTCTGTTCTCATCCTGAAGCAAAGTTCTTAACCCGAGATACTATTTCTGGGGTAGCGGAGTCTGTAACCTGAAGCGTATGTAACCTGAAGCATATGTAACCCAAGGTACCACTGTACTTACAAACGATATTGCACAGTACAGCGAGGGGGAAAGAAGAGACTAAGCAAGAGGTTTTCAGCCTTTTTGAGTCCACGGCTCCCTTGACCAACTACAGTCATACCTCATGTTACGTTTGCTTCAGGTTGCGTCCTGCGGCGACCCGGAAGTAATGGAATGCGTTACTTCCGGGTTTCGCCGCTCGCGCATGAGCAGACACGCAAAATGACGTCACGCACATGCGCAGAAGCGGCGAATCGCGACCCGCAGGTTGCGTTCTGTTCAGGTTGCGAACGGGCCTCCAGAACGGATCCCGTTTGCAACCAGAGGTACCACTGTACATTCTTTCTGCGGCACCGAACAGTGGGGCTCATCAGCCCTGTTCTGGCACCCCTTGCCTGCAGAGCTGGTGGTCCTTCACCCCTCCCTTGTGGAAGGTTCCCTCAGCATCCTTTCCCCTCCCCCCCGGGAGTCCTCTGGGTAGCCGCAGCTGCCGCCCCTGGTCTCTGAGCTGCCCACCCTGCCCCAAGGAGAGAGGCCTCCTCACACTGCCCCACAGGGGCCTGGGAAGCACCCCCTGGCCAGCCCCAGAGGCACTGTTCATCTGGGGAGCTTGTAGCCAGGGCTGCTGCAACGAACTGCAAGCCTTTGGGAGATGCAAGAGGGCATCAGAGGAGGGAGAGAAGGAAAGAGGCACAGAGGCCAGTGTTGCCCGCGGCACCCCTGACCATCATTCAAGGCACCCCAGGGGGCCATGGCACACTGGTTGAAAACCACTGGACTAAGCTGTTGAACAGAGGCTCAGCTCACATCCTAATTTGGCGGCAAACCTTTTGTTGAAAGTTCTGGAAACAAGACCCTACGTTCATATTCTTTGAGTCTTTACTCAATAAATCTGCACTGGTTTTTAAGTTTTCCCAATTCTAAAGACTCAGGGTTGGGGGGGGGTTGGTGTTGTGGTGTTAATGTTAGGATATTTCCGTTCCACCTTAAAAGGGAGCAGGCTTTTGTGAGTCACAGAGTCTGCGCATTTCCTGTTCACAGGATGTTTATGTTTCCTATTGCTTTCGTTTTCTCTCTGTGTCTGGAGACACTGACGCAGGCAGTCATGTCTTTCTTTGTTCTGATCAACGCTGAATAAAACTTGTAAATAATGCTCTCCTGAGTGCGACTTTGGCTGTGCATTATCTGCTGATAGAGTGTGCATGAGCTCTGGAATGTGGCAAGATATTTTCTAGAAATTCATGTCGCTAATTGCTGATACTGCGTGCCTACGGGAGATCGATGGATCGTCCGGCAGACGGCTTGGGGGCCATGATGGACTTTATCTCCCTGGCAGTATCCCAACAGTTAATACAGCACCTGTCTTATGACACACCTGTTCCTACCCGCAACCATTGACGAACCAGGGCCGTTGCTCAACTTACGGATCAAAAACCAGACGGGTAATGTACTCCTTGGGCATTCGAGGCAGCTGGTGAGAAAATACATTCTGCAGCCCAACCAGCCACATGAGAATCTTCTTGTTGGATTTCTGCGAGAGCGAGTTGCCGATGACATGGAATTCGATGATGCCGCGGCGCTCCTCTAGGCGGGCCGTCTCATCCCGGGCTGCATTGGCGGAGAGCAGGCTGGTCTGGGAGCGAAGGAAAAACAGAACACTGGTAGAACTTGTTAATGCTAACATGCAAGGTCTGAAGAAAATGGACCATTATATTAAAAAAAATAAAAATTAAAACCTTTATGTGGTCTGTGGATGAAGGGATTAACTTGTGACCTGACTCATGGCTTTGCCTACCTGGAAAAAAACAACTTGGAAGGCGTTAAAAACTAATTAAGGGAAGATAAGGTCAGAGAAAATTGTTTTCCTTGAATCTTTGGGAAGTGTATGGGGACTGGAATGCAAATCGAAGGCAACACCAAGCTTTAATTAGCCAAGGAATGCTTGATATGCTTTTTCTATTTCATTATGCTACACTCTTTGCTTTGTGTGTGTATTATCATTCTTAGGTTTAGGTACTTTCCTCCGCATATGATGATGATGAAGAGGAGTTTGGACTTGATATTCTGCCTTTCTCTCCCCTTAAGGAGTCTCAAAGCGGCTAACAATCTCCTTTCCCTTCCTCCCCCACAACAAACACTCTGTGAGGTGAGTGAGGCTGAGAGACTTCAGAGAAGTGTCACCCAGGTCACCCAGCAGCTGCATGTGGAGGAGCAGGGAATCGAACCCAGTTCACCAGATTACGAGTCCACCGCTCTTAACCACTACACCATGCTGGTGTACGAGGAGCAGAACCTCTTGTTGTTTTTAACCAAAAAAACCACTAGTTCAAGATAATGTTATTTCATGTGTCTCAACCTAGGAAGTCTCTCCCTAAAGTTCCATGAGTACTTGGGGCTGAAGATCTGCTTGGGTTCACGCAACGGGCCGGAACTGAACCATACAATTAGTGTGACAACTGCTGAGATTGGTTTGCTGTATTCTGTGCCAAATGTGCCTTACTAAGCCTTTCTATTTGCCACACAGACTCTCCCCAGGCCACACCCCTTGCTGAGGGGCCTGTACCCTTCTCAGACGTCTTTTGTCTGGCTGGAATGTGTCATGGCATGGAGGAGAAAGAGGAGTTGAGTGTGGGCAAAAAACTAGCCTGCTGCACAAAGGTAAAATTTACGTTCACTGATCTGCTCACTTTTGCCTTTGGCCCTGGCCAGCAGCAGCCTATGAAACCTGAAATGTTGCCCCTAAAAAGAACATGTCCCTCAGGCTAAAAATTGATTCCCAAAAAGTTGGTGAATATCCACTCCTTTATGCCCCTCCTGCTTGCCATACCTCAGGTCCCAGCATGGCTGCTGGATCTGTGATAGTCAACATCACTTCGTTTACGAGCTCCATCGGGATGTCACCCAGCACGCGAATCCGCTTCGCATCCTCCAGCGTCAGGCTCTCTGGAAGCTTCCTCTTCTCACCTGTGCGACAGGGAAAAGGAATGAGGCCTCAGGCTCTATCTACGCCTATGCCAAAAAAATTATAGTAGGCTGAAGTGATTGATGTAACTCCCAGAAACGTTAACTTCTCACTCTTTTTTAGCAAACAGCATATGCATAAATCTGATTCTGGGTTTTACTCCTACGTGACAGGTGGCTTTGAGCTGCAGTGTCAAATTTAAGACACGGTTAAATATAGCTTATGAATGGATTGCGAGTAAAACAATACTTGTGGAGCTGGGTTCCAAAACCTGGCCCTCATGGGCACCACAGCTCCCTTAGATGCTGCCTACCAGGGCCCCCTTCCCAATGTTTCTTTATCTATATTTATAAAAAGGAGGGTCTTTTGGTTGGGGGTCTTATCTGTTGCCTGTTTTCTTTGGTCTGTGTTTTATTTATTTGGAGCATGTTGGTGGTTTGCCTCTCACTGAAGAGTGGGTAGGTGGCTTCTGAGCATCCCCAGTTTTTCTTCTGCAAAATGGGTATTTCACAACTAGCTGGAGGCAGTATGCTTCTGAATGCTGGTTACTGGGAATCTTCAAGTGTGGAGTGCTGTTGCACTCAATTTGTCCATGCAGGCTTTGCAAAGGCATCTTGGTCCTGTATACCTGAAGGAGCGTCTCCACCCCCATCGTTCAGCCCGGACACTGAGCTCCAGCGCCGAGGGCCTTCTGGCAGTTCCCTCATTGCGAGAAGTGAGGTTACAGGGAACCAGACAGAGGGCCTTCTCGGTAGTGGCACCCACCCTGTGGAACACCCTCCCTTCAGATGTGAAGGAAATAAGCAGCTATCCTATCTTTAAAAGACATCTGAAGGCAGCCCTGTTCAGGGAAGTTTTTAATATTTAACGCTGTATTGTTTTTAACACTTGATTGGGAGCTGCCCAGAGTGGCTGGGGAAACTCAGCCTGATGGGCGGGGTATAAATAATAAATTATTATTATTATTATTATTATTATTATTATTATTGGTTGGCCACTGTGAGAACAGAATGCTGTACTAGTTGGGGCATTTTCCTGATCTAGCAGGATTTATTTTCATATTTCTTGAATTTCCAGCTGTGCCCCCAGGCTCAAGGAGGCTAGGGATGAACCAACGGCTTTTAATTCAGTACAAAACCTTCAGAGTTTGCAAAACTCTTGGCTGGTTGTTCAAGAAACACTTTTGCAAAGGGAAAAACAGATGTCTCCTAGCAAGGGCTTATTATTAAGCCCTTCGCTGAAGATGTTTGGCTTGGACATTCTCCAGATACGTCTACACTACAGGCTTTACCTGGCACAGAATCCAATGAGCTGCCATCCAGGTTAATGGAAGCCAAGGAGGAACTGCAGCTCAGAGATTTGCTGAAGAGAGGAGTGCTGGCTGCAGGAACGGTGCTGATTGCTGCATGGGGAAAAAAACAAGAACACACAGCCTTATTAAGAGACGAAGCAGCTGCAACAGAAAATGAAGGAGGAATTGTCTGACCCACCCACACCTGCCTCAGGTACATAACATATAGCCACAACAAGCAGCCAACTTACACTGTAATACCTTTATTTTTATCCCATTTTAAGGGGCTCAGGGCGGCATGCATGGGTTACCCCTTTTTACTGAGGTTTAGATAGCACCCACCCACGAGTGCTGAATTGCAACCATCTCCAGTCATGCTACCTTTGGGTGTCTGTCTAAGGACCATCAGCTTTGAGTGCTTCAGGATCTCCTACAGTGCTAGAGGATATGACTGGATCTTTAAAAAAAGCTAAACCCACAATGGTCGTTTATAAATGCTTATTGGACTGCTGTAATGTGGATGTTCAGGATCTTGAGACAAAATGAATAGGGAACAGAGAGCACAATCCACACAGCCCAATCAGTAGAAAATTGATTGGGAATTTATGGGTTGTAGCCAATGCCAGTCCTACTCAGAGCAGACCTACAGGTTTTTTTTTCTTTTTGATTGCAGCAGGCCCCATGTACAAACCACCAGTTAAAACAACCTTGGGTAGCAAGACTGGGAAAGACCCCTGCCTGACACTTTGGAGAGCTCCTGCAAGTCAGAGATGACCAGTATAAGGCTGTGTCACAGATTTGCATGAGGACAGAATGCTGCCAAAAAAGGATTCCAAGAGATACATACCTGGCCGGGGAACGAGTGGGGTTCCTTCTGACGCCGGCATAGTAAAGTCGGCCTCCCAGATTGGTGAGCTCTCCCCATAGATTTCTTCCTCGAGCATTGATAGAAACCTGGGCAGGGAGAAATGGAGGGGAATCAGCAGGGCAAAACATATACAGGAGTCTTGTGAACCCCAGTGTCAATGCAGTGGGGGCCGAGTCTTCAAGCTTTAGGTAAAGGTAAAGGGACCCCTGACCATTAGGTCCAGTTGTGACCGACTCTGGGATTGCGGAGCTCATCTCGCTTTACTGGCTGAGGGAGCCAGCGTACAGCTTTCAGGTCATGTGGCCAGCATGACTAAGCCACTTCTGGCGAACCAGAGCAGCACACGGAAAGGCCGTTTACCTCCCCGCCGGAGCGGTACCTATTTATCTACTTCCACTTTGACGTGCTTTCGAACTGCTAGGTTGGCAGGAGCAAGGACCGCGCAACGGGAGATCACCCCTTTGCGGGGATTCGAACCGCGACCTTCTGATCGGCAAGCCCTAGGCTCAGTGGTTTAACCCACAGCGCTACCCGCGTCCCACAAATCCCACCTGGGTTAAAACCCCCACCTTTTAAAAATGGAGACGATGCTCAACCTTATGTAGCTGTGAGTGAGTCTCCCTCAAGCCTCCATTCTCACATCTTTTGACTTGGTGCCAAAAGAGGACATCAAGTCACCAAAGAATAATCCCATGGATGAGTTGGAGCCAAAGTATCATGAAAGTGAGTGAGAAATTGGGACTGGCCAATCCTACACCAGATTTAGGCCTCATCTGTGGTGTACATTTATATTAGTGCCCAGGGGAGCTGACTTGGACCCCAGGTTATGGGTGCCCATGATGTCATGCTGCGACATGACATCATGTGTGCCCCCTGGCCTTGGAACCTGACTTCCGGTGGCACCAGAAGTCAGGTTCTGAGACCTTGGACATGACTTCCGGTGCTTTCCAAGGCACCGGAAGGGGGTCCTGCAGTGTGGGTGCTGAGCACTCACAACTATTTTCTGGGGGCTTGGGCACCCAGAGTCCCTTATAGTTGGCACCCCGCCAGTGTCACACCACTTTAAACAGAGCTACGATTCTCAGAGCAGTTTAACCATCAACCAGTCTTCCCAAGGAACTCTGGGAATTGTAACTCTGTGAGGGAAATATGCCTTCAGACTCCTCAGAGCTGCCATTTTGCACCCAAAGTGTTGTATCCAACTAAATCTATTGATCTCAATGGGCCTATTTTAAATTGGGTACCAACAATGGTACCACAACCCGCTGCAGCTGCGTAGCCCCCTTTCCTGTAGCTTCATGGAACTGGCCTTACTTGGGGAAGTGGGTGAGGATGAGGGTCCGTTTCTCTGGTACCAGCTTGTCCTTCTCCACGCGGAACTTCTCCAGCAGCTGCCGGCGAGTCACCGTGAAAGTGGACTTGAGGAGGTTGCGCCCAAACACTTGGGTGGTTTCGTAGCGTGGGAGGCTGTCGCAGCTTTGGGGGACGTGGCAATAGCACAGCCACCTAGGGTGAGGGAAGGTCAGAGAGGTATCACAGGCAGCGAGGACATATTAGCGCAACAGGGGGAAATGGGATTATTAGGTCACGGCAGCGTTTCCCAACATTTTCTTTCTGAACTTGGGTTTCCTCAAAAACCTCCTCTACCTCCCCAAGCACACATGCCTCCAGGTGAATGGGCAGAATCCTGACATACAATTGAATCAATGCAGTCCTCCATTCCTCTTTGGACTAGGGGACCAATCCAGCACCGTCTCGGGTGGAGAACGAGTACAGGCCATCTCAGACGCCCTCTTAAAAATCAGCCAATGGGGGTAGGCGGCCAGAGGGAGAAGAAAATTTGCTGAGGTCAGAACGTCCCATATACAGTCGTACCTCGGAAGTTGAACAGAATCCGTTCCAGAAGTCTGTTTGACTTCCAAAACGTTCGAAAACCAAAGCACGGCTTCTGATTGGCTGCCTTCGAAAACTGGAACACTCACTTCCAGGTTTCAATTGTTCAGGAGCTGAAATGTTTGACTCCCAAGGCGTTTGGGAGCCGAGGTACAACTGTACTCCCCTGCAGCGTTCATGATTAGGGCAGCAGAGTTTCGGCAGTCGCTATGACTTCTTCCACTGGCGAATGAATAGTGACTCTGCTTGCTGCAGGATCAGCTCCCTCCCTTCACCTCTGGCTCCCATCTGAGAAGCACTGAGGAGTTCTTGTTGTTTTGCTGTAGTTATTCAGGAAATATGGAAATGCAATTGCCCAGAGGTGTTCATCTTTATCAATAAGTCACCAAACCACACTTGACAATGCAAATGAGTCATTGGAGATTAGCCCTGCTGCTGCTGCTAATAATAATAATAATAATAATAATAGTTGTTGTTCTTTTATTTTATTTATACCCCGTCCATCTAGCTGGGTTTCCCCAGCCATTCTGGGTGGCTTCCAGCACATATAAAAACATTAAAAAATGTCAAACATTAAAAACTTCCCAACACAAGTTAAGACTTGGGCTCTGCTTTCTTCGCTTCCCCCAGCTCACCTGGTGTAGTTAACCTTGTACGTTGCGACATCATCGTTTTGTGAGCGCTGGCGGAACTGAGACGGCGTTTCCAGCTTCCAGTAGTTTAGGCACAGAAGGAACATCTTCGACAACTCAAACATGGTCTGCCGCTCCTTAGGGGGCAGGTGGCTGAACTTGTACTGCACAAAGTTTAAGACGCCCTGAGGGGGAGAACAGAAGGCCAGGTGAGCTTTAGCAGCCTTACACTTCTGTGGGGTCTCCGGCATACTGGGTTGCCATCTGAGCCTTACCCCCCCAAATTATTATGATTTATAAAGTTGTTAGGAGGTCCCCTAGTTCCCTCACAGAGCAACCATTCCCACAGTTCCCAGTGAAGAGGGATTACTTAAACTACTCTGAGAATTGTAGCTCTGTGAGGGGAATACAGCCTTTTTTTTCTAGGCACAGGGAGCCAAATATGTGTTTTAGATGCACCCTGGCATTTTACATCTCTCAAGGCATCTTTTTACCTGTTCAATGTTTGGTTTTTCAAAAGGGGGGCTTCCGAGTGAGCCCTCAACAACTGGGCGGCTCATCTGTAGGATGCATTTCCTTAGGAGCTGTGGAGAGGGGGGAAAGAAATTGTTTCAATCTCAAGAAAAAAAGGAGGGGAATCACCCATTATTTCCTTGTAGGTTTTTTGTTAATAATTTTTTTTGAATTTTCAAAAGTTTGACATATTTACTTCAATACCTAATAATTTTATATTTTTTCGACTTCCCACTCCATTTTCCGTGGTGTTTTAATTCCTCCCCCCTGCTGTACAATACCTTCTCCCTCTTATACCAACACGTTGATACTATATTCTTCTATTCCTTCTGTCACTCCTATTTCAAATCCTGCTCGTGAGCTCCTTGAGATGGTTTTACTAGTTCTGTCTAAGATGTTCCAAGGTATATGAGATGCCCACAATCTGTTCCGAATGGCTTCCATCTAAGGTGCACAACAAGTCCATACCAGTGCATTGCAAGTTCAAACCCTGGCATCTCCTGGTAGGCCTGGGAAAGACTGGAGAGCTGCTGCCAGCCAGTGCTGGGAAACCTGTGCTCTCCAGGTGCTGCTGGGCTCCAACTCCTAGAAGCCCCAACTAGCATGTCCAATGGTCAGAGATGACCGGATGGTAGCCCAACACCAACTGGCAAGCCATAGGCTCCCCAGCCTTGGAACAGACAATGCTAAACTCAAGGGACCGGTGGTCTGGCTCAACGCAAGACATCTTCCTATGCTCCCATACTTTTCCACACTGGTCTCCAGTTATTTCTGCATTAGTATTTCAGAACCAACTATTGTCACGATTAAGCAGACAAGAAAATATGGGAATTAATATGACAAGGAAAACAAAACAACAACGAAGTTGTGGGCAGGGGAGTGGAAGGCATAGGATCTTGAGCAAATGTAAAATGGTATCAAGACACAAAGCTCATGCAACCATCTTCGCAAGTCCACACCCTCTGAAACAAAAGCAGCACTTGCCCGAGCTGATCTGCAGAACTGCATGGACACATTACAAGGGCGGTGGCTGCAGTCTCCTTTCTATACTTTATGTATTCTAGGAGCACTCTTGCTATTATTTCATTTACAAATTTATAATCTACATTTTCATAAAAATACAGCAAGGCGTAGTACAACATATAAGGATAAAATCAACAACAGATCCATAAAACATCAACTTACTCCAAGCTTATATGTACAATGTTTGTTTCTGTGTGTACTTCTTGAAAACAAATTTAAAAAGCAGTTAAAAAACCAACAACCAAAGCATTGATGTGAAATAGCCACTTAAAAGATCTTGAGAACTTCCTTGTATACAGCTGAGTTTCTGCTCTCCCCACCACCTGCCCCACCAGAAAACCCCCAACCACCACTGTGGACATTTTGCAATGCACTATTCCTCTTTGAGCTCACCTTAAACAGGTAGAAATAAACTTGCTTGGTGTCTGTGTCCTCTTCCTTGTGCACTGACATGAAAAGGTTCTCCACATCTACTACCATCCCCAGAAGCCGATTGATCTCTTCCTCAGAGACATTCTCCAGGTGAGACACATGGTCAGCTGAGGGCAGGTGAGAGAAATCAGGTCATGGTCTAACCCAAATGGGATGGAGCACAACAAAGGCTCATCATCCATCCACCTCCCACCACGCCACTATTCAAAGACTCTCTTTATCACTTCTGGGGTGGCGCCATCGGCAATGGCAGACTCCCTCCGAACTGGAGGGACCAGCTCCGCATGAAACGGGTCTTTTCCGCTGCGGCGAAGCAGGGACCCTTCTGGAAATCACAGGCGGATGAAGCCTGTGACCGTGGGACTCAGCGGGCACCCTTAGCGCCCCCCCCAACCCGCAAAGGAACCCACAAACGGGCTCCAAAGCGAAGAGGGGGAAGTGGCGCGGTGCTGTGAGTCAATCGCTTTTCCTGCGGAGCGAAGCCGCATAGCCGTTGCCGGAGAGCGCTGCCTTTTTCCTGGGACAATTTGGCATCTAAAATAACCAACCGTGAGTACTGGAACATTGAATATCTGGACTTTAAATAAGAACTGGTGAAATAGAAAGGAATTTGGACTTAAAAATTTACCCTAATTTGGTACTTAAACGGAAAGGTTTAAACAGGAAGTCAGCCTTCCGTTTCCCTGTAGCCAGAACAAAGCAAAGACAACGCAAACTAGAGCTTTAAAAATCACTCTTAAAGGATTGACTTTCATCATTTAAAATCGCTGAACCCCCTTCGGTAGCAGGAGAAGAAGGGGAGCTTTTTTCGAGCTGTTTAAACCTGCAGATGTGAATCTAAAGCAAAGTAATTTTCCACCGTCCTGATCCTGGAGCGGGGTGTCAGAATTGACGTTTGAAGCTCACTGACCAGAAACAAATGTCTTTGACAGATAGTTAAAAGAAGAGAAACATAGTGACTCCATTGCTCCCTTTCGCATCTTAAAAAAACAGATATGGACAAAATATCTTAAAAAAGAAACTTTGTTGCTATTGTTTTTAAGAGAAAGAACAATCAGAAGTTTTTCCCCCTAAAGGGGCACTGTGAAATTGTAACTAATCCCTGGGAGCTTGCAGCTGTCACTGATTACAACCGTGGGAAAGGGTTTGTGACCTTGCAGGACAATGTCTGCAGAAGCACTGTTGGGTGCTTTCTGCAAAATAAATGCCCTATTGGATCAGCTAAGCCAGAAGACGGATTTGCTGACGAATGTGGCCAGAACCTTTGAACAGGTAGTGGGAAACTATATGGAGCCCACCCAGGAACTAAAACAGGAGCGTGCCATGACAGAACAGCTGAGAGATGAGGATTCTGCTGAATCTTGGGCGCCAGAGACGGAAGGAGCTGCGGCCCAGCAGGAATATAAATTTTTGGATTTGACAAATGAACTTGGAAAAGACCAGACTTGGAAAGAAAAAATTTGGTTTGGTTTGGAAATGGGGGGGTGGATAGACCCCCCTATACAGGGAGATTTGGACTTTTTGAGTCTGGAAAGGGGCCGTCAGATGTCTGAAGCAGTGGGGGCTCTCAACTTTGAAGGGAATCTGGAACATGTTTTTAAATACTACATCGAGTCTAGTCTGGACTATGGAAAAGGGACTGTTTTGTTGAAAAGGGTCAAAAACATTACCAAGCTGGAGTTCCCACGAATAAAAGGAAAATATGAAGAAGAGTTGTGGAAGGGACATGGAAGAGACTTGAGGGCCTCGGATATAAGATTGCCAGGTTAATGTGCTAGATTAATAGGACAAAAAGGACTGACAAAACCCGGGACCAGGAGGAAGGGACGCTGGATGAAGATTGGATTGCTTAAGTTTCTATTTCTATCATTAGGACTGTTTTACAAAATTGATGAATGTTAGGAAAATGCTGAAATGAAATTATTTGGCTCTTATAAAAATGTCTAAAGAATTAGGTAAGAATGTTATGGTTAGGAGAAGTTGGTAAAAATTAAGATTTAAGTTCTAAACTTTTTATATATAAGATAAGATGAAAATAGATTAAGGTAATGTGAGGACAGAATATTATGAATTATGGAAAGGATTTGCTGTGATTATTATAAATCAGGATACAGGAAAAGGGAGGAGGAGGAGGTCAAGGAAAGAAGGTATTGAAAGTGGAGAATTGGAGAATGATGGTTTTACTTTTTCTTTTTCTTTCTTTTTGTCTTGTTTCTTTTTTGTGTGTAATTTTTTTAAAAAAATTCTCAATAAATATCATTTAAAAAAAACAACAAGAAAGACTCTCTTTATCTAGCAACTGGTGGGGCTTATCTACATTATATAGGTCTGCTGTGTGCAAGGTTCTGTCCAGGAGGGAAGGGGGACCTGTGGCCCTCCAGCTGTTGCTGGACTACTACTCCTTTTGGCCTCCTCCTACCCTCATTCCCTTTTCTTCACGTGTCATGTCTTTTTAGAACAGCGTTTCCCAAGCTTGGGTCTCCAGCTGGGGTTTTTTTTTGGACTACAACTCCCGTCATCCCTAGCTCGCAGGTCAGGGATGATGGGAACTGTAGTCCAAAAATAGCTGGAGACCCAACTTCAGGAAACTCAGTTTTAGAAACTTTTCAAGCCTGAGGGCCACATTCCATTGAGGGCAACATTCTGGGAGCCACATGCCAGCGGTGGGTGTGACTAAAGGCAAATGAAATCTAAGCAATAGATGCAACTCTTACCTTTGTACAGTACAGTACATGCCAGCAACCAGAGATTTCAACACACACACACACACACTTCCACTCAGGGAATTCAAGAATTCAAGATCACATTTCAGAGAAGCAAAGCAGGAAAGGAGGGTGTAGAGCAGGACTGGTGAGGGCTGTGACCTAAGGGAGAGTCTCAAGGCCTGGAAGACCGCACCTGGCCACCCTAGAAGTTTTTGGTCCCGTTTTGGTCCTGTGAGCAGTGCCAGGACCATAATAGTAATGACCTCTGTGAGAGACTTCTTTTGCCTAAAGTACAGGGTATAGCTGTCATAAAAGATTATACACACAAACATTTGAACACCACTCATTGTCCACCCCTGTTGTACAGTATAGTGGTCAGAGTATTTAAGTAGGACAGAGGGCAGTGAGTTCAGTCACAAAACACACTGGACGACTTTTGAGTCAGTCACCACCTCTCATCCTAACCTACAGTGGCACCTCAGGTTACATACGCTTCAGGTTACAGACTCCACTAACCCAGAAATAGTGCTTCAGGTTAAGAACTTTGCTTCAGGATGAGAACAGAAATTGGGCTCCGGCGGCGCGGCAGCAGCGCGAGGCCCCATTAGCTAAAGTGGTACCTCAGGTTAAGAACAGTTTCAGGTTAAGAACGGACCTCCGCAATGAATTAAGTACGTAACCCGAGGTACCATTGTACTTGTTGTGAGTATAAAATGAAAGGGGGAACCACGTCCACTGGCCTGAGTTTGATGGAGACAGACTGAGATAAAAATGAAACAAACTGTTTTTAATTTTTTTTTTAATAACCACCAAATAAAAAGTCTGATATCCAATATGGAATTTGGCACCCAAAGTACAGGAGCTCTTTCTTTTTTTACCTTAACATATAATACAAATGTAAGGATGCTGTCACATAGCCGTTCATCATAAGGATAGTGGGGTGATGGTGGGGGAGTGGGGATTTTGCACACCATGGGGAAAGTAAGGGGGATTGGTGGGCAAAGCGAGCAGGGACACGGTCCCTACCCTTTTTTTAAAGAGAAGGTTTTTTTGTACACTGCTTAGAGACAATCATAACTAAGCAGTACTGTATATAAACTGTCAAAATAAATACTAATAAACAAATAAAAGTAGGAACAGCCAAAATAAGGCATTCAGAAGTAACAGGGTCCAATCTTACGGGTCAGGGAAAGCCTGGGCAAAAACATGTTTTCACCAGATGTCTGAAGCAACTAATAAAGGATGCTTCATATATGGCAGAGGAGAAGGGCATTTTTCACAGTACAGCATCACTTCTGCTGGTGGTAGACTTGATGGGGAAGTCCTCTTCCCAACTCCCAAGTGCCTTCACCTGGGCTGGGAATAAAACAGCCTGAGAGAGAGAGAGAGAGAGGCTTGCTGAGTTACCTAGCGTGTGCCCACAGCTACGGCAGGGCTCGCTGAGGTTGGTGACCGTCTGCTGCAGGTCCATACGGGGAGCTGTGGGAGGGTTTGGGTTCTTCCACCCATTGCATTTGCAAGAGTCATTAGCCTGGAGGAGTGGGGAGAAAGAGAGAGAGAGAGAGCAAGGCTGCTATGTGTAGAAAAAAATTGGGGCAACGTTCACATCCATGAACACCATAACTAACATGTTACAGGTAAAAAGCTGCTTTAATAAAAGCAGAGCCATGCTGAATTTTCACTCAGGCATGTTTAAGGCAAAAAGAAAAGGTGCTTTCAAGGGATGTGAAATGTACCCTGGATTGGGTTTCGAGGGAAACACACCAAACTTCACCCCCTTTTGGCTTCATTTTTCCTGTTTGTTTACAGCCATTGTTGTACTGATCTGCTTCTGCACCATTTTTTAAAAAAATATTTAACGTACAGAGCTACCTCTTTTCCCTTCACTGCGAGAGCCCATACAATCAGAAATTTATTGCAGCAGACATGATGACGTATCATAGAGCTAGTCAGATTTGACTATTTATTGAGACCAGTATATGTAAACAGAGATGCAATGGCATCTCTCTGAAGCCCCTATCATACTCCAGTTGTGCCAGAATGTGCTTTGGCAGGTGCAGCATGCACCCCACAGACAGCAACACAGTGCAGACAGGCAGGACCTATATACTTGGATGAGCGTCTGAGCAGACACTTGCTGCTTCAGTGTGCTGAACTGCCGCAGCACAGAGGAGAGTTGGCTCAGGTGGCCAAGGCAATGGGAATGTGTTTCCTCCCTCTTTCTGCGTCCATTTTTGCTTCCCATAAAATCACAGCCACTAAAAATGGGGAGGGGGCTGCAAAAATGTTTCTGCAACTTAATCGGTTCCCTCATTGTTTTAAGGCAGAACAGAGCCATTCTATGTGGTGCCTGTTACAGAATGCACAGTCGCTTCCCACACATATCACTATGCTGCTGCAAATGACTGCAAAAGGAGGTTTGCAAAGATACAGTGGGAATGACTTCATCTGCCTGACTGCAGAAAAGGGACACAGGAATCCTTGAGCAGAGATGCACAACTACCAGAAGTGGGAAGCTGAAAAAGCCAAGTTCCATTTCCTCACTCACAATTACCAAGCTCCAGATACTGATTCCTTTGATTCATCCACATATTTAGTACTAGATCAGGCATAATGAATTGTATCCAATGCTATTCCTACTCAAGAGTAGACCTACTAAATTAATGAATCTTAGTCAGTCATGCCCATTAACTTCAGTGGGGCCACTCATGATTTGGAATAGCACTGACCACAATTGGAAGTGCTGCAATAGCTTCACTTTTTGTGGAAATGAATTTCATGATTAGAATTAACAGCTATGACCAACGGCATGCTTCCTGCCATAAAGCTCAGTACTGCTCTTTCAGCTGGGGCAGATACAAGGCTTTAGAAGAGTTGGAAGGGAAAACAAGAATCATTTAATCCAACCCCTTGCAATGCAGGAATCTTTTGCTCAACGTGGGGCTCGAACTCATAACCCTGAGATTAAGAGTATCATGCTCTACCAACTGAGCTAGAGATACTACATATTTCAAGATTCATTTCTCGATTGTTTTCTAAACATGCATATTATAATAATTACTGTATTATTATTTTTTAAATGGGGCTATAGCTGAGCAAAATATAATAAACAGAAGATTCCAGGTTCACACCCTGGCATCAACAGGCAATAGATTTCAGGCAGGCATAATCCAAAAGACCTTGCCTTAAACCATGGAGGCCCATTACCAAAAAATCAGAACAGACAGTGTGGACCACATGGTTTGTTAGACAGCTCCTTACATCCAAAAACATTTTATTTCCAACTGTTGCCGTTTGCCCATAGAATTCCGGGATATAGGCGATTGAAAACGTAAACGAACATCCCGGACAAACAAATACAGCTTCTATGTCTGCAACATCTTTTCTGGTCTAGAGAAAGGATGCAGCTATGGCTGGACCACGTACACGGGAGGAACTCCCAGTCTTTTGATCCCTCCGGGCCCCCGTACCTTGCAGGCTGAGAACACCCCTAGCTTTTCCAGCTTCTTTGCCCGCGGGAAGCTCCGCGCATGCGCCTTACGCTGGCTCGCGCGCTGCTGCTGGCTCAACCCCGGGCGAACCGGATCGCTGCTGCTTCCTCCGGCGCCGCCTCCTCCCACTACCGGCGGAGCCGTGGCCGCAGACACTGTGGAGACGGAGGGAGCGCTAGCCTGCGGGGCCCGGCTAGCTTGCGATGAGACCTCCGGCTCCGCCATGATGCCCGGGACCCCTCCGAGGCGGCGTGGGCGCGTGGGCGCCACTGCGCATGTGCAGGATAGGGGTTCTGGTATGGCTATTGGCTGGAGGCTGCTACGCAGCAGCTCCCCCCTGCCACCAATTGCATGCTGGGTGATGTAGTTCCGCATGTATCGGGCTACTTGAAAAGGAGAATCAAGGTGCGGTGGGAAAAGGGGAAACGTGACCTCTGTTCCTACTGAAAACAAAGACTGAAAAAAAGGAAAGACGAATACTGTTTACTCGTGTAGAAATATGGGAATGAAAACGCGCAATAATTTTGTTTAAATTAAAATATGTAATATGTAAAATGCAATGTAATATGTAAAATACGTCTCGCGATGCTTTGCATATTGCAGGTTGAAGGAAAGGGGTTTTCCTCTCAGAAGGATAAGTTTAAAAGGACTGCTAATAGCTTTGAAATGATGAGGTGAAAAAATTATTGAAATGGGGTACTTTTATGTGGCAGGGCTCGGAGCCTCCACAGGTTGACTGCAGCTCCCGTCTCACACAAACAGGCAGTAATAGCTTGGGGCTGATGGGAGTTGGGCGTTCCAAGAACCAGGTTTGTTTTATTAATGGGATCATCATTATTACTGTCTTGAATTAAATGAATGCATGTTTTGTTTACAATAAAACTTACAAAATCTAAGAAAGTCACAGGAAAAGATGCTTATAGAAAGTGACAACCCTCTTGCATATTGGGATGGCTCTGAACTTGTGTTGAGTGACCCAGAATTCCTTTTTTTTAAAAAGTTACCTGCAAAGGACAAAATGCCTCAGAATACATGCCAAATGCTGCTTATCATGAAAAGAACCAAACGCTGATTCTTTTGTACAATGCTACCTGAAAGTGAAGCCTTCGAAGAATGCCTCTCACCTTTACAAATACACATAAACTGAATCACTCCTACCTGGCTCTTCAAAGTACAAATATACAGTGAATGAAAGAATGCCTTCAGTCAGACTAGATACAGGACTGCAAAACTACAAACACAGAAGGACTTCTTTGTGGAAACTGACTTCCTGGATCTACTGGCTTTCCTAGAGAAACAAAGGGAGTAAAAATGAGACCTAACAGTTTAGCTGAGATTTTGGCTCTCAGTTCTGGAAACTGATCAAGATCTGGGGGCAGGTGGCAACACTATTCAAGGAAGGCAAATGAAGTTGCCTTTTACTAAATCACCACTAGCCCAATGCTGCCCGGTAGTAAGTTTCAGGTCTTTTGCAGCCATACTACCAGAGATCATTTTAATAAGAGATCAATGCTGCTGAGCCTTCAGAGCATATGCTCTTTTACTGACCTCAATGGAGCATAAGATTTAATAGAGTGTGAACACCATCCCATGTTTTTGACCTATTACATATTGGAGGTAGGCATGCCTTCCCAATGCAAGGCCGTATTAACCAACCTGGGTGTTTAGTTCTGGAAATAGTCTATACTGTACATCTATATTTGAATTCTGTTGTACCATCAAAAACTACCGTATTTTTCGCTCTATAAGACGCACCTAGTTTTTGGAGGAGGAAAACAAGGAAAAATATATTCTGAATCCCAGAAGCCAGAACAGCAAGAGGGCAGCGATCCCTCTTGCTGTCCTGGCTTCTGGGATAGCTGCACAGCCTGCATTCGCTCCATAAGACGCACACACATTTCCCCTTACTTTTTAGGAGAGAAAAGTGAGTCTTATAGAGCAAAAAATACGGTAGTTTTGGAGACCTGACTGATAAGTCGCAGATCTATTTTAATTTGTAAACAATATTTTTCTTTCTCTGAAACGCCCTCTCCCCCCGCAAACACTTGTTGCAACCAATTCCAAGGGGAGGAGGATTCCATTCCTAACATCAAAAACTTCACTCAGCATTATGTGAAGATTCTTTACCAGGCAAATGGACCTTTTACTTCCCTTACAGAAATGGCACTACTAATGTTTTCTTTACAGATGCTTTCTCCTGGACAATTTAGATGCTTACAAACATTCCATGATGTCACAGCAGCTCAGTCCACAACTCAAGGGCACCTGCAGGCAACAAGCCATGTTTCACCCACCCACACAGTAGTCCCTTGTTTCCTTTTCAAGATAGATTCATTCTTGGAAGAATATTTGTGATCCAAGGATAAAGAACTACAATACTTGAAAATCTAAGAATATTAGCAGTGTAAGCCCAACAATTGAGAGTGTAACGATGTGAATTCATCCAAGCAAATTGTAAAATGTCCTCCAAATTTCAGAGTAAAGAGTTATCTTACTCCCAGATAAGTTTAGTGGAGATGCCAGACATTAACGTGGCTGATTTATACAAAGACAGAAGCTGCTTTTCTGGTCAGTATCTGATTTATAAAAAATTTATTTTTCAAATCATACACAACTGGAGCTTTGCATTGAAGAGACTGACAGACTCCTCCCCTTAAATACCAATATGAGTTAAGACAAAATTGCCTCAGGCACTAGATCAGAAACAAAATCTGTGGTCTCCCTTCTGCAGTTTTATTTAGTGGAATTACCAATATTTCATCTGCATGTGAATACATATTATTGCCCCCCTCCCCACATCACGTCCATCCTCCCCACCCCCCTGCATCTATACACCCACCAACATCATACTATAGGGTTATTAACAATGGCATCACATTGCTCAAAAGAAGTGATAATTTTAATACAATTTTTCTTCAACAGGCTGAATTAGTGCATTATATCCAAAATGTAAATAGGAAAAAAAAATGTTAATGCAGAGTTGGTATACCCAAAGCCCAATGCAAACTTAGGTGGGTGCAAGGCTAGTTGGTATATGTGATTAAAGAGATACTGATTGGTTATATGTTGAAAACAAGAATACAAAATACAGAAGAAAATCAGATCCCTGCCCCCCCCCCCCGCAACCCCTGGCAATACTCATAATTGTGATTTGGTCAAAACAAGGCTTAAAGGCCAGAAGTTCTTCCTCAATCTAGCATTACTGCTACCGTTTCATTTAGTGGTTACCTGTGTGTTTCGTTACAGCACTTGCTTTTTATAAGAGCAAGTCTATACCATATCTAGACCAGGCTCCTGGGCAAGGAACCCTGGGAGTTGTCGTTCTGCCAGCATACAACTCTCAGTGCCTTCCCCGGCCTACGGCAACCACACTTTCTTTAGGGTTAAGCCCTACCGGTGGAAGTGGCTTAGAATCACCAAGCAGGTGTTCCAAAAGTCACTTCTGGTTGAAGTAAGGCAGGTCTTCCTTCCAAGCGGCTGCGAGCAAATACGAGGCTGTAAGAACCCTTCAGAAAAAGAAAAGGAAAAGGAAAGGCAGAGATAGGAGAGGCCAAAGCTCTGGAAATGCACATCACCTACCCATGAAGAGTGGTCGAAGAGGTGTGCTATAGTTCCTTTGTGTGTTTTTGCTCTTTTTTTTTTTAAAAAAAGGTGACTAAGACTTTTTTTAAAAAGATGAATTCATCATTTGTACAGAAGAGGGGGCAGGTGGTTCTTGCTCCCTCCATTCTGCAACCAGAGGGAAAGAGAGGGGAGGAGACACAGCAGCAAAAAAAAGGGGGGGATTGGGAAGAGGTGGGAAGAAGAGGGATCCTGGCAGCTGTTCTTCCGTAAGTGCGATTGGTTCAGGCGCATTCCAGTTGGGGCCGCCCAGAGGGGCAGGCAGTGTGGCCCCTTCAGTTGCAACAGGGCCCCTTGCTGGGTTGGCTACTCTCCTGGAGGTCGACACCTCGGTTCCTGCCTGCTGTTCCCGTTGGGCACTGCGGTTCGTTTTTGGGGAGCTTCTTGGCTGAGGTGGGGGAAAAGGAAGAGGCACATCCAAGTGAACTGGTTTGTAAGATTCACCCTGTGGCAGGGGATTAAGATCATGTCCGTCCCAGCTCCTGGAAGCTAGCAACCTTTCAATTTCCTGCTGCTTTCAAAGGGGTAACTGGCACCGCAATATTCAGCTGGTCAGTCAAGATGGATATATTCAGCTTCTCTGTCTCTAGACTCCCGTGCCTTTCTACTCCACACACCCCTTGCCCCCAGCTGCCTTGCTTAACCACTGCCTCCTGCTCACCCCTCTGGCCTTTCTACCCTACTTCTTTCTCACGTCTCTTCCCCCCCCCCCCCATTTCTCAGCACACTACCCACTCTGTAGGCCCTTATTTCAGCTCCCCTCCCTTGGGACCTCATTCCACCCGATCTTCCAGAGCCTGTATTCCTCCTACCCAGCACTTTTGGCAACAGAGAGTCAACAGAGAGTGCCAGACTAGGACCTGAGAGGCCAAATACCACCTTGGACATAAAGCTCACTGGGTGACCTTGGGCCAGTCACTGCCTCTCAGCCTAACCTACCTCACAGGCTTGTTGTGAGGATGAAATGACCGGGGGTGGGGGAAGAATCACGCACACCACTTTGAACTCCTTGGAAAAAAAGGTGGGATAGAAACCGAATGAATGAATGAATCCCCACACGGCCTTTCCTGGACCTAGGCCTGCAAGTTTCCTCAATTCTGAACTGGCCTATTCTGCAGCGAACTGCACCCCAAGCTGTTCAGGAACCCAAGATTGTGATGTGTGTGTGTTTGTGTCTGTTTATTTATTTATTTAACATCACTTTGTTCCCAATATATGGCAGTGTGGAGGGTGACTCGCCACCCTGCGTCTCCCCACCACTTTACTAACCTATCGCCATGAAGGTCTCATTCACATTCATTGCCGTCTTTGCGGATGTCTCCATAAACAGCAAGCTGTTGTCATCTGCATAGGACTGGGCTTCCTGCAAGGGAATGTGTCGAGCCAAATCAGAATCTGTGCAGAGACATGTACTCAGACAACCTTTTGGCAGCCTGATCTGGTGCTTCCTAGAACCACAACTCAGTAACAGAAAGGAAGGGACATGTCAGAAGTGCTACCCTTTATAACCAGTATAAACACTGCCTTCAACCTCTGTTCACCAAACGCCTATAAACAGAGAGATGGTAAAGAGAAGACAGCTAAACTTATCGGTGAATGGGTAGCCACCACAGCTGCATAGCAGTCTCCAGGTTTTCCAGTTCAGTTCAATACTGCTGTCAGCGCCTTGAACCCTCACTTAGTTCTGGCCACCACATGGCGTTTTGCTCCCAGGATGGGAAAGATGACGTGGATTCCAAACTAGTGCAGACAAGAGGCTCGTGGAAGACTGCTAAGTGTGAGAAAAGAGCTATGATTGGAGCAGGTCTGGGAAGGTGTTCGTTGGGTGTCCCAGCTGTGCTTGAAAAACAGAATTCGCTAATGGAGGAATGATGACAGCCTTGGCCACTGCCAGCATTATCCCGGGGGGGGGGGGGTGGCACAGTGGAGACACTCCGTCTCCCAGGACGGCATGACTCAATGGTAACTGAACCTGGCATGACAGCTGTGGGGCAGCCACTGATGCCTCCAAGAAGCGAGTGCCTCCCCACCGCCACACACACACTTAAGATCTACTCATGAGGACCTTTCTCCAGAACTCCATAATACAGTGGTACCTCGGGTTAAGAACTTAATTGGTTCTGGAGGTCCGTTCTTAACCTGAAACTGTTCTTAACCTGAAGCACCACTTTAGCTAATGGGGCCTCCCGCTGCCACTGTGGTGCGATTTCTGTTCTCATCCTGAAGCAAAGTTCTTAACCCAAGGTGCTATTTCTGGGTTAGTGGAGTCTGTAACCTGAAGCGTCTGTAATGTGAAGTATCTGTAACCCGAAGTACCACTGTATTGGAGAACTATTACTCTCTACCAGGATCTTTTCTGTCGGCACCCCAATACTTCTGGATTCCCCTTCCAAAGGAGATTATAACAGCCCCCTCTCTGCTTTAGGCAGTCAAGTAAAACCTGGCTGTTTCAGTTGGTCTTTGAGAATTAACTACTACTCTGCCCTGTTTTATATTGATGATAGCACTGTCTTCAGTTCACATTGTGGTTTTTCCAATTGTTGCCTCTACTGTAATACACTATGGAACTCGACTGAATGACTGTCTAATATGATACCATCTGCCCTGTGGGAAGAACATATGATGCTGGTTCTTGTTTGAGTAGGGCTGGTTGTTTTGGGGGGGTATCTGTTGTGTTTTACAAGCGTCATTAGCCACTTTAGCGAAAAAACAGGATGTTAACCTACTAAATAAACAAGTATTTTTAAAAAATAATAATGCATAGTAGCATGTTACCATACAAGATACTTGACAGTTCCCAGAATTTTGCTCACACTGTCATGATCACTTAGCATTTATAGCACATTCCTAAGACTTTCAAAGCTATGCAGAGTAGTTGTACAGATTACCAAGCAACTGTAAGATACGGTAGTTCAGCATCTGCTATATATATTGTAAAGTTGTATGCCTGCCTATCTGTCTGTTCTCTATAGGTTTTGGCCACCTCTCAAGGTATCAGAACGGGGGTTCATGAGGTGTGAGCTCCGCCATTTTGAATCAAGACGGTGGACAGAAACATGACTTTGGCATGACTTCGCCCCCCTCAAGTTGATTCAGGGCAAGGTCACGTCGAATCCCTGGGTTGGTGTGTGTGTGTGTGTATATGTGCAGCCCTGAAATTCACTAATTAAACTATCAATTTAAAAATCACAATATTTATTGGTTTCTTTAAATTCCCATGCCCTGCCAAGCACTTCCCACTAGTTACATATAGATTGGATGAGCAGGAGAGGAAAGCCGTTTGCCTAGCCATGTTAGCCAGTTCATGACAGCAGCTTCCTGCAGTCACAGGACGACTACAAGGAGGTTTACTTCCCAAGGCAATGAATGCCACTCACCTGGAAGTCAACAGCTCGCTTGCTGGCCAAGTCAGCCTTGTTCCCTGCCAGGGCAATGACTATGTTAGAGCTGGCTTGCCGCTGCAGTTCCTTCACCCAGTTCTTGGCTCGTACAAAGGTGTCCTACAAGAAGGAAACAGGCAAGGAAAGAGGGAAGTCAGCTCAGCAGTCAGTTCAGTGCAAGAAGAATACCAGTTCTTTCTAACTGGAATGCCAACACACTCTTCCTAACAAGCAGAACAACATGTTCACTGGCCTGTCACTTCCATCTTAGTTTTGCATATCCAAGGCTGGGCAAAGATTGACAGCGGCGGAGGAAAAATTGCTAGCAAAAATGACATTTTTATAACATTCAGAGTTATGGGTGCTGCTGGATTTTACATGTAAATGAGTGCGTTGGACAGGTTTATGCTTAACAAACATTGCATGGAGACCTTAAACTGCTGTATTCAGACTTCAAAATTCTTCAACGTCCAATTTAAATACCAAGATTTTAAAATGTTAGGATTTGGCTAAGGTTCAGGAGCTCACAGAATTGTGTATTTTGGGGCTATCGTCACACGCCTTAGTATATGGAAATGAAATGAAATTGACACAAGAACAGTAAGCACGGAAGTGTTCCAAGAGAAGGCAGTAGTTGAGTCTGCTGCACTGCTACAGGCTGCAGGCGAGTGCTTCTAGCTTCCCCCTTTCCCCAACATGCTACTTTTCCAGATGCAGAGATTATTATTTTTTATGGAAAAATGTTGCATCATGGAGACGATGCCATCCAAAGTGGTGAAGCCCAGACAACAGATTTACAACCTCACTTACTAGACCCAACAGTAAATTCCAATTGCAACTACGGTCTAAAGAGCCCAACCTGTTTTCATACCACCAAGGAAAACCAAGCATTTTTAATCTTAAAGCAAGCCCAAGGGGCTTGGCTTTCCTTGAAAGTTTACCCTGGGCCATAAAGCATTTGTCAAATGGATTCATACACGTCCAGGACTTCAGGCATTCAAGATTATTGGAACAAGAGAAGAGGCCCTCTTGGGTCTAAGCTGACAAGACAGAGTCAAAAATCCTCACCATGTTGGTGATGTCATAGACAACAATGGCCGCTTGGGCACCCCGGTAATACATGGGTGCCAGACTGTGGTAGCGCTCCTGCCCAGCTGTATCCCAAATCTCAAACTTGACCGTTGTGTCATCTAGGCAAATGGTCTGTGTGAGGAAAGCCGCTGGAAAAGAAACATTAGCACAGAGTTACAGGAAGGTGCAACAAAATCTTGGATTGAACTCTGCACATGTTCCGATACATTTCCTAGATACCGTTGTTTTACTTGCACATTCAAGTACAAGTTTTACTTGTAATTTTGGAGATGATTAATTTTTGCTATTATTGGTATTATGTTTTTGTCTCTTTATTGTTAAACATCACTATCAATTATCAGTGAATTGTTTAACTTTATTGTATACTTTGAGACTGTGGTTTATGGCTATTTAATTTAAATTCTGTTGTATTTTTTGTAATTATATAAAACTTTCATTACCCCAACTTTCACCCAAAGAGCTCAAAATAGTGTAAATAGTCCCCACCCCATTTTATCATTGTGATAACCCCGTGAGATGGGTTAGCCTTAAGAGTGAGCGACTAGCCAAAGGCCACTCGGTGGGCATCATGGTTGAGTGGAGATTTGAACTCAGGTCCTAGTCTGACATGCTAACCTATGGGTAGGCAAACGAAGGCCCAGGGGCCGGATCCGACCCAATCGCCTTCTAAATCCGGCCCACGGACAGTCCGGGAATCAGCGTGTTTTTACATGAGTAGAATGTTTCCTCTTATTTAAAATGCATCTCTGGGTTATTTGTGGGGCATTGCTGTAGTCCAAACCAACCATCTGAAGGGCCACAGATTAGCCCTGCTGCAGTGTTAAGATACTATGGGACTTGGCTGCAAATAGAGCAATGTTAGCCATTTGAGGGCAGGGGGATTTGTTCAGTAGAAGCCCTCCTTTTGTGCAGAGCTTGGACAGAAGATCAGTTCACACATCCCTTTGGCTTGTGTGCAGCTTTGGGCTGATATGATCTGCACCAAGGGATGCATGCCAAGATCAAACAGGAAGGGCACAGGACAACTGCCCTCACATTTGTGCAACTGCCCTCTTCTTCTAGATGCCAGGTTCAGAACCCAAAATGCTTTCTGGAAGAACTGCAAAGCTTTCTGTTTTTGGACTGGCATTTGACAGGTGGGGTAAAGCCAAGTGTGGGTTACTTAGCAGAGAATTTTGTTGTGGCACCTGCATACTCCCGTTTGCTCTTACCCATCCCAAGCCTGCAAAACAGGCAAAACAGAATATGAACTAAAGAACGTTAAGGTGAACCAGGCCTTCTGTCTGTATGCAAGTAGGCTCCACCTGTCCATACCTTTTGCAGAATGAAGTGGAGCGGGTCTACAAAGAACCACCCCCCACAAGGCAGAGGTCAGGTCAGTCCACACTGAGTCCTATGCCCCACAGCGCATATACAACATGTACCTGGCAGGCTGTGGGCAAACCAGCTCCTAAGCAGCCACTGCTCTATTCAGATGAAACCAAATAGGACTTGACATCACTGACTCCAACCAAGCCAGAAGTCCCCACTTTGCAAAAATTGCGCCAGAACTGCCAAGGTTGATCTTGACAGAGGGGCATTGTAAGAGGTAAAGCAAGAACTTCAGGTGTCAGGCTGGCTAATCTGCTCAGGGCAGAGAAGACGCTTCTTCCAAACTGACATTTTTGCAAGGATAGACAAATGCGCAGCCTTCTCTTCCTTTTGCCGTTTCGTCTGCAAGTTTCAGCCAGAAGTGGCATCGTGGCTCTAAAAAAAAGTCTAGAAGGAACTGTTGAAACAGATTAACCCCCGTTGCCCCCTACAGACAACTACATCCTTCTGCCAAGTTGCCTCTGTTTGAAAATATTGCTGGGTAGGAGAACACTGTCAGAAGAGCAGTGAGAATTAGCAATGGCAGACGAGCTTCTTTAGCGACAGCTTGCTCTCTGCTGCCAACTTCCCCCGGTAGTTTAAACCAGGCTTTTAGTGTTGCAGCCCCAGCTCTCTGGAACAAATTACCAGCTGAAACCAGACAAGCAGCTAATGAAAACATTTTTGTTTAGGAAAGCTTTCCCTGTCATTTAAGGAAGATTAATTATACATCTGATTAAATCGTATTGTTGTTTCAAAGTATAAATGGTTTTATTGTTTTAGAGCTCGCCGAAGTGATTTTATTAGTCTTGGAGCTTGTGCTTTATTCCGTTTTGTACAATGTAGGTCTATAAATCTGTTTAGTCACTATAATAGTTTACAGCTGTAAGTGACTGTTGAGATATGTAGGGAATACATAATGTCCTAGGTGGGAAAAACAGGGCCGACAAACAGGCCTGGCTAGTGCTTCACTTTGAAATGGAATGGGCGACTTGTTAGGCTCACTGAGAATTCTTTGAACCATATCAGTGTGGAAAGAGCTCCCTAATCACAAAAAGTTTGCAAGCTGGGGGAGGGGGGGTCCTGCAAAGGCCCAAGAGTCTTCTGTAACTTAACCCACAGCTGGAGTCCACCAATACTCACCTCCAATTGTGCTCTCCTGGTACTCATGGAACTGTCCTTTCACAAAGCGCAAGACCAGGCTGGACTTCCCAACAGCTGACTCGCCCAGAAGAACCAATTTGAACTGACAGATCTTGTTCCCGGCAGCTGGCCCGTTTGGCCGTGCAGCTCCACCGCGGCCTGCCATGGCCTGTTCCAAGGGCACAGGCTCTGATGAGAAGGAGATGGGACTGTTGGCGAGGAACACAAATCTCCAACTGAAAGAAAGAGACATTTCAGTGGTGTGAAACCGGCTTTTGAGCTAGCACAGAGGTGGGGAAACCCGTGGCCCTCCGGGTATTCTTGAACTCCACATCCTGTCAGTCCCAGCTGGCACAGGTGTTCTGCCCCTGATCCAGCAGCTCAAATGTGGAACTGGAAGCTTCATTCTTGCCACAAGCTCTCCTGGGTGGTTTCAGGTGAACTGCTCCTCTGTCGTTCCAATGTACAGAGCATCTTACCTGAAATGGCTTCTTAGTCCTAATAAGCGCATGCACTGTATTGTTCGCCACTGTTTTACCATTACAACAGCATTAGTCTGCAGCATTAAAACTTCTAACGTGATTGGCTGGGTTGAGGGATGTTCCAGCCCAGTGGATAAAATATCAAGCTATAAATTAGGACGTCTCAATCTCACATCTAAGGAAGCCAGGCTATCTTCCACCAGAGCCAGGGCTTTTTCAGTGATGGCTCTGACCTGGTGGAATGCTCTGCCCCACGAGGCTAGGGCCCTGCAGGACTTGATCTCCTTCCGCAGGGCCTGTAAGACAGAGCTATTCTGCCTGGCCTTCAATTTGAATTAGCCTGATCCTCTATTTCCTTTTCTCCTTTCCTCTTCCGCGAAGAAACCCTTTCTGGGACCCCACATTTAAATTCTTCCCTGGTCTCCTTGCTGGCCCTAGTAGGACCAACTTGGCCAGTTAGCCCTGGTGATCATTTGATGTCTACTGACTGGGGTCCCCCCCAATAACCCCTGAATTTTAGAATTCTATTGATATTGATGCTGCATTTTATGTTGTATTTTATGCTGTTTTTAAGTTGCATTTTAATCAATGTTTTATATTTGCTGTTAGCCACCCTGAGCCCGATTTTTAAACCAGGACATGTGGGATATAAAGAAAATTATTATTATTATTACTACTGCTACTACTACTATTATTATCTTCCATAACTCACTGGGTGGCCTTAGGAAAAGTTTATTCTTCATGTCCACTGACAGGGGACGATACTGATCCAATTTGCGGGGCTGTAGTAGGGATTATAAGAAGGTAGCTCTATGTTGAATAGATGTGTAATATGTATGTGACTAACTGTATGAGCATATAGCTCAGCTATTTGTGTACCCATATACAGTGGTACCTTGAGTTAAAAACTTAATTCGTTCTGGAGGTCCGTTCTTAACCTGAAACTGTTCTTAACCTGAAGTACCACTTTAGCTAATGGGGCCTCCCGCTGCCACCACCACGCCACCACCGCCGCGCAATTTCTGTTCTCATCCTGAAGCTAAGTTCTTAACCCGAAGTACTATTTCTGGGTTAGCAGAGTCTGTAACCTGAAGCTTCTGTAACCCAAGGTACCACTGTACTACATTTAGGCATCAAGGCTCAGTATGCCCAGAGCAAAAGAGACTGTGGACCTCATCTTTCTTTTTTACATAGGTAAAAAGTTACATTAGCTTTCCACACTACACTTCTCTGTGCCTCAAACTTTCTTTCTTTTTCAATATAATTTTTATTAAACACTTTCTTTGGTTACAAAAGTAGGTGTGCTATCTCTTTTTTCAGGTCATAGTGTCTTTTTTACAGAGCAGTGACACTGGATGTGAGACATTAAGTATTGAATGCAGTATAAGGTTGTTGGAGGAGAAAGTGGGAGAGGAGGTGAGGTGGTTAAACTTATATTCTTTTAGTTAGTGTATGCGTGGAGCTTTTGTGTCAGCGTCACTTGGGTATGTTCTTTTTCTATTCATTTTTTGTTTTTCTTAGGCAGTGAGAGAGGTTTGGGTGGGGGGTGCAGGGCATGGTTGGTTGTCTTTAGCTGACCGCAGTGAGAATTCTTTGCTTGGATTGTGGGGGGCAGGGATTGGTGACACCTCAAACTTTCTCTGCCTAAGGATGCTAAATATTCAAACCAGCTGACCTTTAGACAAGGCACTCAGCATTTTACAATTTACAGTGGTGCCCCGCAAGACGAATGCCTCGCAAGACGAAAAACTCGCTAGACGAAAGAGTTTTCCGTTTTTTGAGTCGTTCCGCAAGACGAATTTCCCTATGGGCTTGCTTCGCAAGACGAAACATCTTGCGAGTTCTTGCAAGTTTGTTTCCTTTTTCTTAAAGCCGCTAAGCCTTTAATAGCCGCTAAGCCATTAATAGCCGCTAAGCCGCTAATAGCCGTGCTTCGCAAGACGAAAAAACCGCAAGACGAAGAGACTCGCGGAACGGATTAATTTCATCTTGCGAGGCACCACTGTATACTGAGTATACTGAGAAGTAACTCAAAAGTGAAAGAAATGAGTTACTGTTAATCAGTAGTCCCTGATATATCTGGGAACAACCAACCCGACATTTATCGAGTTAAGCTATTGAAGCTAAATACTTCTTTTAGCTGCTACATGTTTAAAGCAATAAGATGGGTCTGTCAGGTTACTTCATGTACTGACTGCACACACTCTTATTTAGTGTTTGACTGTGGCGTGTGTGTGTTTTTACTAAATACTGCGCAGGCTAACCCTGAATAAATATAAACAGAAATTGTTATTGGCAACTTCTCAGGTCACAACCAACAGCACAACAACCAGACCAGACCTTCCTCAGCACGGATATGGATTGTGAGAAACCATGTAGCATTTTACAGACATGCAAGAGTCTTCTTAAGGCACTGAGGTCTGGTGGATATGATCTAACTTCAATATGAATCACATATGTACTCCACTTCATTTTGCCCTAAACCTTTGCCAGAGAAAAGCCTCTGGTGCCTTGCTATAATACTAGCACAGGGCCCACCAATATGATGTTCATGGAAGGAGGGCTTGTGAATTAAAAGAATCTCATGGGGATGCATGAAGCCAATGTTGCATCCGAAATAGGAAACTTCTGTGATCCTTGACCATCAACCATGCTAGCTGGGGCTGATGGGAATTGGAGTCCAATGGTTTCCCCATCCCTCCCCTACAAAATCCCTATCGGTGACGGACTGGCAACCTGCAACAGGGGTGGAGCACAGGTTTTACTTTGAGAAAGCCAAATGTAGCATCTGCTCTGCATTCAGAAGGCCGCAGATTCAATCCCTGGCATCTCCAGCTAGGGCTGGGAAGGCTTCCCTATCTGAAACCCCAGAGACCTACTACCAGTTAGCATAGACAATACTGACCAAAGATATAAAGCAGTTTTCTGTGTTTCATCGCTATGTCAGTGTCCCTAAACACAGCACTTTATTTCCATGAAAGTGAATGCCCACCATTCACTTACACGAGAGAAGAATTGCACTCACGCTCCAGTATTAAGAATTAAGCATGCTCCCATCTGCATAGTTTGCTTCTTGGCATGCTGGAGTGTAACAGAATGCTGGGAGCTAGCTACCCCACCCATCTGGCCATGAAGAAGGGTAGACCTTTAAAGAGACATATCCATATATTCAGGAAAATGGTCAAAGCAATTACACTATACATCACCTTCCTGAACTGTGGCACAACTAAAATTTAACAAGGATTTAGAGCATGGGCGAGAAAGATATTGCTGAACTACACTTCCATCCTCTGGCCATACTTGCTGGGGTGATGGGAGTTGTAGTTTTGTAACACCTGTAGGGCCAAATGTTCTCAACGCCCAATATAGAAGACCAGGTACAGGAAAGAGGAAGGGTGCCTAAAGTTTGGGGACAGCAAACATAACTTTTACAAGTACAGTGGTACCTCGGGTTACATAGGCTTCAGGTTACATACGCTTCAGGTTACAGACTCCGTTAACCCAGAAATATTGCTTCAGGTTAAGAACTTTGCTTCAGGATGAGAACAGAAATTGTGCTCCAGCGGCGCGGCAGCAGCAGGAGGCCCCATTAGCTAAAGTGGTGCTTCAGGTTAAGAACAGTTTCAGGTTAACTACGGACCTCCCGAACGAATTAAGTACTTAACCCGAGGTACCACTGTAAGTCTTTTTACATTCAAGCAATGCAGAATGTTCAGGCAACATTGTTCCTGCATACAGGCTTAAGAAAATCTGCAAAAGAGAGGCAAGGGGTGGGGGTGGGGCAGGGTTGCAGTGATGACCAGGGATTGAGATAAAATGGTGGGAGTGGGGAGAAGCCAAATAGCAAAAGGTGGGGCAAAAAGATAATAGGGAAATTGTTACACAAAGGAGGGGCCTGTCCCCTTTAATAACAATAATACGAACTTTCATTCACATATAATGCTCCAGCATTTTTACAGGCTTCAAGTGTTATGATCCTTATATGTATTGCCAAACACCAAAGGGACTCATCTAAGAGTCAAAATTTGAGTCACAGTCCACTTTCTTAATCACTACACAAACTTTGGAGAAGTCTTTCAAAGAATGTCAATCCATGCAATATAACAGTAGTAAGAAAAGGGATTTGCCGTAATAAAACTGTTGGCTATTATCATGTTGGTTTTGTCTGATGAGCAAAGTATTGTATCCGTTAAGTTCATAGGACATACAAAGTTCACAAATTATTGACTCCCAAGATGGCTCCCTGAAAAAAGGCCCATAACCAATTCATTTTTATTACAATCCTTCAGGCTGATTGTTTTAAATGCAGCAACTATGATCACAGATAGAATATGTAAACTCATAGTCCAAAGCATATCTGGATACAGTAGAACACAAAGGGTCTGAGAACCCCCTCTGCTAGAATCCACACCCTAGGTTAGAATATCATAGCCTTAGGGATAGGATATCTTATACAGGAAATGTCACACCTGTTGAACTTCTGCCCGACAAAGCTGATAAACGTGCACTCATCCCCTTAAGAGGAAATTAACTGGCATCTCCAGTTAGCAGCGCACCAGTAAAGAGCTCGTCTGTCCAAACGCACAAATTCAGTGTTTTTCGTGAACACCCAATCCTCTGGGAGCCTTGCATACGAATTGTGACTACTCCCGCTCTTAGACTGCAAGCCTCACAGGCTCACAAGGAGAACTGTTTCTGCTTATGGCGTTTCTACAAAGCGCCGTGCAGGGCGGAGCAAACAACAACCCTGCTGGGTCGGCCAGAGCGGTCCTCCTAGTCCGGCATCCTGTTTCCAAGAGCGGCGCACGGCATGCCTCCAGGAAGCCCGCAGGCGGGGCTCGAACACAACAGGTGCTCGAGAGAGGTGCACTGCCCCTGGCCATGGAGGCTCCATCCTTGCTCGCCACGGCCGAGGCAGCCCCGCTATGGCCAGCAACGCCCATCTGCGAGGGAGGCGAAGCCGCGGGGCTCCTTCTCCGCAGGCAGGACAGCTTGCGCTCCCGCAAACCCAGCCCAGGCCGGCCTCCGCCGGACCCGACCCCCATCACTCACCCGCTCCCGCCTGCGGGACCGCCGCCGCCGCCACCAGTCCTCCCGCTGCTCGGTATCCCCCTTTACCCACCACTCCAAAAATCTCAAACGGCGCCACTTCCGCCCTCGGCTCCTTTCCAGCTTCTTCCGCTTCCGCTAAAGGCTCCTCCTGACAGCGGGGGCGGGTTTTTTTTGCCTTTCTACTTCCGCTCTCCTTGTGACAGGCTGCTCCTTCCACCAATCGAGAGGGAAAAGAACCAAAAAAACAGCAGCGGCAGCAGCAGCCCCGCCTTCTATCCCGCCGTAACTGCGTTTCAGGGCACAGGGAGGGAGGATAAACGGGTGGGGTGATATCTTCCAAAGGGGCTTTTCCCTTTCCGTGTTTCTCTCCGTTAGTTGCCTCGGGGTTTATTTGTTGCTTTATATATGTATTTTATAACATTTATACGCCGCTCGATAAAGAACAAGAAAAAAAGCTACGTCAAAGCGGTTTGCGAAAGATAAAAACAGTAAAGTCCATTTAAAAACACAAGCCTATTTTTAAACATACAAAAGTTAACAGGCTGAAACGAATTTTTTAAAATCACCTCGACTTCCCAAGGGGTTAGTGATAGAGCCAGAAATTCAGCAGTAGTAACAATAGCTAAAGTCTCTGAGGGTCATGCATTGAAGGAGTAAACTTGCACAGGAGCGGGCTGCAAACGCCATTCTTAAGACATTCTCACACGTTTTCAGATTCTTTGAAGACGTCACTTTTAATTTCACGCAAACATACCCTGGTGTTGGTTTTTGTTATTTTACTTGGGTAAATTGTTTCTATCATTAATCAAAATGTTATTTTCTTTAAAAATTCCGTCTCCCTTAGTGCAAACTTGCTCCCCTAGGAGGCAGTGATGGATGCCTATTCAGGTGGCTTTTAAAAAAGGATTGGACAAATTCGTGGAGGAGAGGGCTATTGGTGGCTTTCTAGCCATGACGGCTATGCTTCTGCCCTCCACAGCGGAAGACAGGGATGCTTCTGAATACCAGTTGCTGGAAACAATGGGAGAGGAGAGGGCTCTTGAGAAGTTCTGTTTCCTGGTTTCCCACAGGCATCTGGTTGACCACTGTGAGAACAGGATGCTGGACTAGATGGGCCATGGGCCTCATCCAGCTGGGATACTCTTTTGTTCTTATCTGTGTGCTGAGTTCCCACAGCACAGGGCACAACTAATCTTTTCCCCTTCCGTTTGTATGTTGCAAGTGCCTGGAAAGCCTATCGTGGGTTCTTTCCTATTCAAATGGAAGCAGAAAGTGACAGTGCTATGCATGTCTCCCTTTCTTCCCAGGCTGGTGAGTACTTTCAGTGCATTCCTTTCTTACATACACAAATGAACCATCATTTTCAGGACAACCCTCGCCCTTTAAACTAGACTGCTGTTCTCAGGTGTGGAGGATGCTGTCTGCTGGCCATACCCACACCATACATAGAAAGCACATGGCTTCCCTCAAAGAATCCTGGGAACTCCAGTTTGTTCAGGGATCTGGGAATTGTAGCTTTGTGAGAGGTAACCTACAGTTTCCAGGGTTCTGCGGTGGGGAACGCATGTGCTTTTAAATATATGGTGTGGAAGTGACCGAGTTAAGCGTCAGCTATCACACTGCTCAACTTCTGTACAACTCAACAGAGCGTCATCTAGTCCTTTTGCCTCAGCAGTGAAATGACTTTTGCTTGCCCTGTTCCTAATATACTGCCAATGAAGCAGGTTATCAAAAAAATAGATTAATGGGGGAGGGCAGTGCTCACTTGGGTTTACATCACCCACAAAAAAGGATTATTAGTAAGCGTTTACAGAGCCCTCATGGGTGCTAGGTTGTAACCACCCAGTAGAGGACGCCTCAGGCCAAGGAAAAGCAGACAGGCAAACACATTTCCCTCTCTATTATATCCAAACGAGGAGGTGCTGAGGCTTTAGCCAGCTTGCCCTACCTTCTGATCTAGAAGCTCTCTCTCCCCCCCCGCCCCGCCCCGCCCCGCCCCTTTCCAAGGATATAGTGACTACCTGCTGGGAGGTGAAAGGTCCATTGCACATAATCAGAGGCATGATTTCCTCTTGATTTAAAAAAACAAACAAAAGCATACAGACACACAAGGAGAGTAAATATTATAAATTAATGCAAGAAAATTAACTTATGTGTATGGTACAACCTATTTCATATAGTTTTTGTTCTTTTCCAGTTGTTGTTGTTTTTAAAAAAGATGTAAATATAACTTTGGACCTTTCTCTCTTTTCTAAGGAAAGAAGGAGCTGGTTTTTGCAAACAAACAAACAAACAAACAAACAAACAAACGTGTGTTTACATCCAGCTTATCATCCCTTTGGAAAACTGCTGGTGGGTTGGGTCATAGCAAGCTGTTGTCGTCACCTAACTGCGCAGAGTCCATTCTCCGGGGTAGGTGATGAAATGCCCCTTCAGGTCTTATTAGGAAATAAAGCAGGGCAGCGTTGTCAAGGTGGAGGCAGCTGTGCTGCTGGTTGCTAGGAGACATGGGCCCTATCATGACAACAGGACCGAATCCCAGGGAAGAGGTAATCAAGGGGCCCGGCATGAGGGACATGGGGAAGGAAGGCTGCAGTGGGACATTTGCCCTGCCACCCCACCCTCACTTCCGACCCAGTCTCTATGCAACGCAGTAGTGACCACCAAAGCAGTGGCAACAGTTGCCGTAGCAACAAACCTGCAATCCAAGATGCTCAGCTAGGCAGGGTTACAATGGTACCTACTCAAACAAGGAAGAAAGAGGGATGATTGCAGAGATGTTGGGAGTTTCTGTTTAGCAGATGCTGCTAGTTCCTCCCTCAAAATAGTTGAAGCCAGGATTTATATCTTGTGATATCCCTGTGTGATGTCATATATAAACCCTCAGAACTGAGACAAAATCAGCTAAGAGTCTGCCATGCACAAGAGTCTGCAAAAGAACAGCCTGCCACCCTTCAGATCATCAGTCTGCAGGTCAGAGAGGTGGAATCTCTTTTCAGTGTCCTGGAAAAGAAGTGACTCTGTGCATATGCAGAATACACCATCTTCAGTGAGAGCACACACACTTACTGAAAAGTGGACAGAGGGTTATTTCCTTTGCTAGGAAATGATCACAGAAAACTTACTCCCTGACATCTAGGATTTAGCAGGCAGGACATCACATGCGTACCGTCACAGTCATCTCCCATGTTAGAACATTTGCAATGACCAGTTATGTATTCCAAAGCACATTTCAGTTCCTCTTTCTGAAAATCAGCACCCAGTTTCATACTGCCAGCTAGCTGGAGGTCTTAGCACAGCACATAAGGCTTCATGTGAAGGCATTTTGGATTGGTTCACAGAAATGGAGGCCAGACTAATTTATTGGTCCAGAGCAGGCCAGGCCTTACATTCTATGTAACATAGCAGTTGACATTTGCTCCATAGAACAACAGTGATGTGAAGACTTTTCTCAGGATGGCAATTGGTTTAAACATGCTGAACTCAAAGGGTACATTACGCCGTTAAGCAAACCCACTTGGAAATGAGTCCCATTGGAATCCAGGGGCTTATCTTCCAGATAAATGCAAGTTTAACTGAGATACTGCAGCGGAACAGATTGTTTTGAGGAACTGAGAAGAGATTGGGTGGAACAATGTGGAAGTTTTGTGTAGCTATGTCCTTGAAGTTTTGTTCTGAAGAATACCACATCAGACCCTCCAAGTGTCCTTATTTTCCAGGGATAGTCCCAAATTTACAGAAGCTGCCCTGATTTGATTTCTGATTTGATCCCAGAATGTCCTGCTTTTCCTTAGGATGTCCCTATTTTCATTGGAGAAATGTTGGAGGGTATGGAGTTATGCAGCCCCCAAGCCAAAGAGATAAGTAACTACACAACCTTTAGAAGACCTCTGAAGGCAGCCTTGTATAGGGAAGTTTTTAAATGTTTAATGTTTTTATATATATTGGAAGCTGCCCAGAGTGGCTGGGGCAACCCAGTCAGATGGGTGGGGTATAAATAATAAAATTTATTATTATTGAATAGGATGCCCCTATTTTCATCAGAGAAATGTTGGAGGGTGTGCCACGTGCACTTACCTGGGAGTAAGTCCCACTGGGCCTAATGGGGCTTACTTCTGAGAAGACTCTCCAAGAGTGGGATTCCGCAAGAGGAGGGAGAAGATGGCACCGTTATCTTTTATTGTTTGTAAGCCACTTTGAGACCTACAGTGTGAAAAGTGGTTATGATTTTTAAATAAATACATCCAGACTTTCAGCTTTGTGATGCTAGAGAGAGTGGGACTTTCAGTTTGTTGACACCACTCTGTTGGGCTTCTATTGATTTGTGTGCCAAAGGTGTTTTTTAAAATTGATTCCCTGTTTTGCTAATGTAAAGAAAGACTTCCTCAGCTTCCACCCGCTGCTTCCCTGTGGCACAATCCCAAGCAGTTCAAGAGTGTGTATTTGTGTGAGTGAATGAAGAATCCAGTTGGCCAGTGCCAATTGTGGGTGGGGAGCTTTTTCATGCCAAACCTTGGCTCATACATCAATGTACATCACTTCTTCTCTATATCAGACTGGCAGCTGACTGGGTGAGCCAATACTGCTGCAAAGCATTATGGGGTGAGGCTGAAGCACTATTCACTTCTCCACCCCCTACACAAAATTATCATTTACAAGAGAATGAATTTTGCAGCAGGAGCCTGTCCTACTCAAGCAAGCTCTGTGCACAGTTAAGAATCCTGGAGGATCAGGGTTTTTACCTTGTACTGAAGGCCTTCAAGGATTTCATAAAAAATAGCCTGTCACATTGTTAAGCTTTTGCTATTTGGCTGTACCTTGAAGCACTTAGTAGTAATAATTAACATATACGGTATTTCCTGAGTGTTCAGAACATGCATTCTATTGTTGCAATCCTCGCAATAGCCTTAAGAGGTCACCAACATGCTGCCCATGGACACCCACAGAGGCTTTCCCAAATGCCATAGGCCTCCATTCTTCCAATCGTCCACAAGCTGAAATAAGGTTTGAAAGAAGTATTCTTGTGGCTGATAGAATAGGCTGTGCTTGATTGTGGTGTATATGTGGTGTCCACCGGTTTCTCCAGTTTGCAAATGTGCCCAAGGGCCCCCAAATATTGGGGACCTATGCTTAAGGAAGATCAGTTTTATCAATCCCATGTTGCAGATTAGGGAGAGGGTGCTAAGCATGAGCTGGAGCATGGCCGTCTTCACCCAGGGGTGTGGGGCACCTGGGTGCAGAATTATGGGGGGTGCCAGGCGTCCGTTGCTGAAGCCGCCTAAGCTCTTAACTATCTACCTTAGGGATGTCCAACCAGTTCACCAGGATGCATCTCCCCCCCCCCCCCCGTGGTGTCTCTCATTTTCACTTGATCACAAAAAAGGAACTTGCCCCCTAAAAAAAGCTCAACAATTTTGACCTGCCCCCCAGCAGCACATATCCTAAAGACGGCCCTGCTGAAGACCATCTAGAGAGTTCAGAGTAGGCAGAAGGTAAGGATTAAACCACAACCTTCCTGACTCATAGCTCTCTTGGAGACTAGATTGCATCACTTCTGATAGTTTAAGTCAGCCTATCAATTTTTTTAAAAGGTGGTTTTAAAATTTTATTGTGTTTTTATTGTTTTTTTAAAAATGGTTGGTTGCATTGAGTTAATTCATGGTAATTTGCGTCAAGCGCTTCTGAAAAGTAAGCAGTGATGAATTATAATCAACCATTGGGACACAATTGAACAAAAATTAGTCTCAACAGAGCCCTGTTGCAAGCAGTTGAATGGAATGGGATATCAGTCTGATCCAATGTGTGTGCTGTCATAGCACATGCATGCAGACTGAGGCTATAGGTCATCTCTCACCCAGGTTGCGTTTCATGTTGCATTTGCATGCTGTACTACACATCAGAGGGTGTCTTCACCCGATGCACATTACCTGTTTGGTTTCCCACCACCACCAAACCCCTCTTCTAACTCCTGTTCATGCGCTGTCATCCGCACAAGTGCAATGGCTGTTTCAAGTGTACACACCTCAGCTTAACAGTCAGATGAATCTGGCTTAAGTTGCCCTTTCGGATCAAAGGCCGTCTGTGGAAAAGCACAGCAGGACTGATCCACGCTTATAACTCTTCCCAGCCACAGTCCCTGCATGCTTTAAAGTTCTGTATTGGAGTATCCTTTTTTGTAGGCACTGATTGAGCTTTGACACCTTTGGGCTTAGAAATAAAGAACCGGGTTTTGCAGCCGGAAATGGTTCAAGCTGTCAGGATATATTAGCCTCCAGGGAGGACAAGAAAGAGATTGGTTAATTAGAGAAAGTCAGTCAATCTACGTTCTTTAGATTGGAAAAAAGAGGACAAATGCTGCAGCTTTTACCCAGAGGTCTCTCTCCTCTTTTTTTTTTTAGATTACCCCCACCCCCAGCCATCAGGAACTGCTAGAACAGAGTAGAAAAACAAATTATTTAATTTGTCAGACATTTCACGGAAGGATAACATATCCCCCTCCTGCACCCCTTTTCACCATAAATAGTAAAAGAAATAAAACAATAATTTAGTAGAGGGGGGTTGGCCCTGCGGCAGGATTGAAAAGCAATCAGTGATCAGAGAAAAGGCTGTGTACACACTGTAGTTTGTTAAGGATTGCTAGGAATTGTAACTCTGAGAGGGATAGGCTTGGCGGGGGGAATTCTCAGAGGGGGGAAATGTGCTTCCAGTGTGCATTAAAAGTACAGTGTGTACACTGATTCTGAAGGTTTTAGGGGGAGGAAAGAAAAAAGTAAAGATGAAATAAATTTGAAGAAAAATTCCCTAGTCGTTTGCTCCTAACATGCTCCAGCTTGAAGAAATATGCACATATATTCTCCTCCAGAAAGAACTCTGTCATGGGGTGTCTGCTACAAATAATGGAATCTGAGCCTCATTAAATGTGGCAGAATGGGAGATGGGCAGAGCCAACCTGTAGGATAACTACTAATGGAAATTCTCCTGTGCAAGCTTAACTGAAACAGGATTATAGGAAGCTGCCTTATGCCAAATCAGACCATTAGTCCAGTATTGTCTACACTGGCCGGCAGCAGGTCTCCAGGAGCCTTTCCTGGACCTACCTGGAGATGCCAGAAATTGAAGCGGGGACCTTTTGCATTCAAGCAAGTGCTCTGCCACCAAGCTAGGATGTTATTTAGAACTATTGCTCTTGCACAGCTCCCATTCATTTCAATGAGGCTTGCACATATGAACTTCCTGATAGATTGTGCTCATATTAACTCACAGGAGGAAAGGTACCTGCCTACTTTCCCTCTGTAGCACCAAAATTTGAATCAGCCTTGTGCATCTGCATATTTAATGTTATGAGTTTGCAGGTGCCAGACTCCTCTGCGTTCCTAGATCCAGTAAGTGTTAGAATTTAATCAAAGCTTGGAAAGCTAAACTGGGTGCCAGAGCCATTTTAACCCTTGGACCAGCAAGTGTTAAAATATAAGCCAGGCTAGTTTCCTGTGATCAGGTAATCATTGCCTGGGTGATGGGTCATTAAGAGTTATGACACCACAGTCTCTGCTGTGCCTCATTCCCAAAAGGAAACACGAACTCTGGGTGAGCACCTAGAATCACTGGAATCTCGCACTGCTTGGAGATTAAGGTGGTGTGCAACAATATATTGCAACATGCCATTTGATGCTGTTAGATTTAGACAGACTTCCCCAGCCTGCTGCCTTCCAGATGTTTTGGACTACAATTCCCATCATCCCATGCTGACAGGGGCCAAACCTGCGACCGTGTTGGAGTCCAACAACACTAACTCCCATCAGCCCCAGATAGCACAGCCAGTGCTTGTGGATGATGGGAGTTATAGTCCAGCCACATCTTCCCCATCCCTGGTTCATAGCTTCAAAGCAAGCTGGACTTGAAGCCACGATTTGAAGCTGGTTTGATATACTGGCTTGCTTCAAAGCCATTGGCCAGAATTTCCAAGTTTGCACGTAGCCGGAAGCTATGAATTAAGTGCTGAATCATAATGTGTTTAGCTTCTTGGGACAATCCAAAGCACGGTATGCAAACACAGTCGCTGCCTTCAAAATGCACCAGCAAGATTCACGATTCAACTGCCTGTTTTTTTTTTCTTTTAAAAATGCCTTTTAAAAACAACGTCAAAAACCCAAATGTTCGCTTAAATCTGGAATCCAAAATTTCGCTTCATTTCGGCTCTCATGGGAACGGTTGCCTCCCGCATGGAAAAATTTTAAAAAATATATCTACTGGTTACAAAAGAAAAAAATAAACAACCAACAAGCCAAATCTTGGGGCCCAGCTTGCTCGGCTTCTCTGCAGAGTCCTGAGCCCTCAGCAACCATCAGGAAGAAGGTTAGGTGACAGGAGGCTACTTGGCATCAGTGAAAGGTCTCTGAGCTTGACCGGAAGTGGAAGCGTGCTGGTGGCGGACAGCCCTGCCCCGAACAAGTGGAGAAAGAGTTCCTTGGGGAGAGAGAGCTAAGGGGGCACGGCGTGGGCGAGCTCGACCGGGAAGAAGTCCCCTTGGCTGCCTGGCCACAGTGGTGGCTTCCGTGTCCCGTGTCCGCCCATAGGGAGTGGTATTGGTATGTGGGGCTCGTGGGGCCACAGGAAGTGGAACCCCTCTGCTCCCCGGGTCCCAAGTGCTCTATGCACGAGGCAGAAGAAGGCAGGGAGTTGGTGAAGGCTGAAAAGTCTGCGCTCGAGGAGGCCGGGAGGCCGAGGGGTGGCATGCTCTGGGACGAAGGCAGCCTGCTGGTGGGAGGTGGGGAAGGCGAGGGCTGGCCACAGTTGTGAGGGCAGCTTGCGGCAGGGGCGTAGGAAGGCTGGATGGCAAGCTGACTCTGAAGGAGGCTCATCAGATGCTGCAGCTCTCGACTGAGTTGGGAGACTTCCCGGTTCAGGTTGTTGATCTGGGGAAACCAGAAAAAGAATCAATACCTAGCCTTTATATAGAGCACGTTGAGAGTGTCATGCCTGCTTATTTGATTTATATCCCACCTTTCCTCCAAGTCATCATACATCGTCCTCATTTTATCCCTACACAAGCGCTGTGAGGCAACTTAAACTGAGAGAAAGTGACTGGCCCAAGGTCACCCAGTGAGCTTTATGGCTAAGTGGCTATTTGAACCCGGGTCTCGCCAGGTCCTAGGCCTGCACACTAACCACTACATCCTCACGACGAGCATGTATGCACTGTGTGATAATGTGCATCGATGCAGGCAGCTTTCTGAGGTGGTCCACACACACAGTGACATCATCCCCATGCTGCCCCTGTCCCACACTATTTGTCAATCTGAAGTTCATTCTGCTGTGATGACTATAATTCATTTGGTGCTGAGAATGCCCTCTACAAGGGCCTGATCCCTCCATGTGTCCACACAGAAAGACACGGCTACTGGCTGTGGGCCTCTTATTTCTGATCCGATCTGTTTCAACATCTTTGAGGCTTTTATGTAGCAGCTGGGGAAAGGGGAGGAGTCAGGACATTGGGGCGGGGAGTGTGTGTGTGTGTGTGTGTGTGTGAGAGAGAGAGAGAGAGAGAGAGAAAGCTCTGCCTGAGATGGGCTCCTATGAAGAATGAGGAGCAGAACACACAGGCAACTTGTTTTGTGGGGTGAGGGTGGGGGGAGAGAGAGGAGAAGAAGAAAGAGAAGGCTGGCTTTGTTGCTATGAAATTGTCACCAACCCGGTGCTAATTTTAAACCCTGACACCCTGAGTCAGAAACGCCAACACCACGGATGCACAGAAAAATCAACCCCCTCATCCCTTTCCTTCCCCCATGGGTGGGGGGTGGGGGCAGGAATAAATGCAGTCGAGCCAAACAAATAAACTAAACTAAACTAACCCGGCATTTGCAGCTAGTGGTGATGTTTTGGCAGCTATGCATCTCCCCATCCCACCCTGCTTAGTTTTCAGGGTGAAAGAGACACCTGCAAACATCACCTCCTGATCTAGAGTTTCCCCTAGTCCTTGATGTATGAGAGTGTGCTGTGCTTACTTGGTGGCAAGGCAAATGCACTTTGCCCATGCTCAGAGGCATTTTAAACTTGACTTTGTATTTTCTAGGGCACAGCCCCGGCAGGGAAAACTGATGCCAGGACTGCACCCTAGTGACTCCCAAATAAAATAAAGCCCTGCTGCTTCCTACCTCTTGATTCAGCCTTCGGATGTTCTGCTTTACCTCATCAGCTTCTGCAGTTGACACAGGGTTGGCTTGCTCCGTCCCTGCAAGGAAATTCAAGGGGTAGGAGGGGGAGATGAGAGGGTTAGAGAAAATACTTGCAGCAATTTGCCTTCTGCCCAATCCTCCGACACTGTGCTTGTATGAGCAAGGGGTCATCACATTGGAGAAAACCCCTAAAAAGGGAGGGTGACCTTTGGTAGCCCAAGGGTTGTGGGTGGGGCCAGAGGCAAAACTGGGCAGAGTAATGAATATAAATGTTAGCTTTTTGAAACAGGCTAGTTTCTCCACAGCCTCCTCTCTATCCAGGCAGGCAAGAGGCATTATCCAAGGACACATTCCAGCTGGGCAAAAATATTCAAGGAGGGTGTAAAGCAAGGCCACTGAGGAGTGAGGGCCACACAGAGAGGTACTGAGGGCCACATCAGACCCCTGGACCTGAGGTTCTCCACTGTCGCCCCAAAACCTGAACTGTGCATATTTCGTTCTAAAATAGTTATTTTTAAATAATGAAGCTTCAGTACTGCTAGAACAAAGGACTACTTCTCACCAAAGTTGTAAGCCTGCCTTTGGACTATACCATGTCAGATATAGATTTTGGGGGTGCATAGGATATTACATATTACAATGTGGGCAGAAGCCATTCATAAAGAAGTGCATGTTGCGGAGAAGGCACCTGGCCTATCCCTTTCCCCTGCCATACAGTTTCCTGCCTGCAGAGGGACCTGTGGGAGCAAAGAAGCCCCATTCAGCCATGTGAGTCACCACCTGCAGTCAAAAGTGGTATAGTCCAAACCTAGCTTTATCACTTCGGGGAGGGGAGAACCTGGCCTAATTCTGTCCCGAGAAAAGCTGACTGCTGCAACCTATGTCAATTGCACAAGTTTATTTATAATAATAAATTTTACTTCCTCTAGTCACAAGATGGGGGTCAAGATCTAGCCATATAGAAATGAAGCCCCCACAGAAGCAGTTAGCTCAGCGGCAGCTAACATGGGGCCTTCGAGATGTCATTGAACTACAGCTCCCATCATCCTCAGGCACCATGGTCCACAATTGGGGATGACGGGAGTTGGAGTCCAATAACAACCGTAGAGTATCATGTGGGCTCTTTTTACCCTCCCCACTTTAGCCTGTTAGGAAATCCAGCCACAAAACTGGAGGGGCCTTAGACCCAGCCATTCTGCAACATGTTATGGTTCCCAACTCATTCTCTGAGTGAGCTGTCACATGCTAACTATTTTAAGAGAAATACGATTATGGCGGGTCAGCTGAAGAGATGGCCAGTCTTAACTTGATGGCTCACTAATGAGCCTTGATGCTCAACAGAGGGCTGAATCTGCTTGCTCAATAGTGTGTGAGACATTTCTTTAATGAGCATTGAATGGTTGACGGCTAAGTGGCTTCTTGCTCTCTAAGGCAGGTGGAAGGACCCATCTCCTCCGTTGCCATCGCTACCTGACACTGGAGGCTCCTGCGCCGAGCTCTGCATGGGCTGATCCACATTGAAACTAAAGGTTTGTGTCTCTGATGCGCCACCGTCATCTTCAATTCCATCCACGACTCTAGGGAGGTGGGAGACAGATTAGTTTATGTGGCTGGGTGGAGTCAAAAAGTGGTAAGATAGGGTCAAGCAGTGGCGATTGAATATCGAATTTAGAACCTCCATATTCAGAGGCAGCCTATCCCTCCAAGGAAATGGAGCACTGGATGGAAAACAGACCCCCACTGTCGGGCCAGATGGATGAGGAGGAGTGGTGGGTGCCTGACTCCCAAGAACTCTCCAGGGAGGGCCTTGAAGATGACACCTTAGAGCCTGGAGCCTGGTGGTGGGACACTGAGGAACAGTCATCAGAAAGGATAAGCTGGGAGCTGAGAGAAGCAGGAGACTTGAGAGATCAAGGGGGGGGGGTCAGGAGAAGGAGGGCCTTCCAGGACAGGGTTAGAAGCTGAGAGTCGCAACATGCATGCAGACAGTCCCAGTCCTGCTGACTCTTCTCCCACTCTGACTCCCTGCTTGAGGAGTGCCAGACAGACCCACAGGAGGAGCCCACCCCCTGCTTGGGAGTGATCCAGAGTGAGAGGCTAGCGGGGAGGGGCATGGCTAGAGCTTAGTTTCAGCAAAGCCTTCGTTGAGTTGAGATGAACCAAAGGACATTGCTGTGTTGTTGTTGTTTTTCTGCTAATAAAAAGCTAATCACATTCCATGCCTTCTGTGTGTGTGCCTGCCCTGTGGATGTCCTGGCTTGTTGACAGCCACCCTACACCCCAGTGCTAGGAAGTTCTCCAACCTAAATCTAAGCTAAATGGAAAGAAGCTACAGAAAACCACTGCTTCCTTCTTGAACGTATCCTATTCATTTTATTGAGGCTTTCGCAGGAGAACTTCCCAGCGGATCATACCCCATGAGCCAAATCCGTTTGTCTGCTGTGGCCGTTCAGGAATGCAATGAGGACCCTTACCTGGGGCTGAGGTCTGGGGTTCCGTAGTTCATGAGGGAGGGAATGAGGAGCTTGCCAGGTTTCCGGCCATTGCTGCCCTCATCAGAGAGCTGCACCTCCCGGCGACACTGCGGAGAGGGGCTACGGCCTCGGTTGCAGTGGGCTGGGGAGCGACAGTTTCGCCGCAGGGCGGAGAACTGGCGCAGGTCATCTCCTAGCAGGCTGCTGAAGGAGCCGCGCCTCACGGGGCTGTTGAGGTTGGGCAAGAGGAGTTTGCGGCGGGTGATGGTGGCTGGCGAGGGCTGGAAGAAGTCCTCAGAGTCTTCGCCATATTCCTGGATGGAGGGCAGGGGCTTCTCGGGGGCAGCGCCACTTTCAAGGTGAGGCTAAACAAGAGGGAGGGAAGGAAGAAGATTCAGAAGATGGAAAGGCAGCTTTCTTATAGGTGAGGCTTAAATCACATTTAATAAACTTAGATGTATGACCATCTGATCATTGTTTAGGTGGAGAGTATCAATCTGTCATGCAAATAAGCATTTCAAACTAGTTCATATCTGCACCGCAAGCCAGGGTGAAATGCTCTTAGCCCTCAGGCTTTCAGGTGTAGGAGAAATAATTTAGGAGAATGCAAACTCAAGTTTTTGCAAGCAACTTACGAACAAAGTTAAGATTTTTATTTTATTTTTATTTTTTGCTTCCTGAGATCCCACCCACTCAGCCAATTTCATGTTGGCTGTAATCAATGCAGTTTCTCCCAGCCCTGTGCCCTTCTGTTCCTGCAGCAAAAAAGTTACCTGGGATAAACGTGGGGACCTGGAGAATCGGAGAAGTCCCTAGAAAGGAAAACAGCAACAACAACACAATCAAACAAGAAAGACTGGGTAGCTCTTTCAGAGTCTATCAGGGTTGTTGCCTCAAAGCTGACCATTCTTGGTTGCCAGACTGACGACCACCCAATCAAAAGCTGAAGAGACAGATGCCATTTCACCTTGGTTCTGGCCCCTCTAGGAAGCATCTCCTGCACCATCTTGGCACAAACTGACAACCATGCATTGTTTTGAGCAGGAGCTAGAGCGCACTCCTCTCCTGTGGGTGCCAGCAACTAGTATTTGCTGTGCCCATAGTCCCTGGAGACAGGGCACAACCTCCAGCCATCATGGCAAGACTTGGGGAGAATGAAGCTTGCGATGGAAGGTTCTGCCTCCCTCCTTATGTGTGTCCATTACAACATACGCAGAGAACCCCCATGCTCTACTGAATACACACAAGGCGGATTAGAGTCCACCTCTCCTCTTTTTCCCATGCACATTCATTCCACCCGTCTTCATTCTGCCTATATTTTCCTCCTCTGCTCATTAAGCGCCCTTTCTATCTATTTGCACTCCACCTCCCACACCATTCTAGGGATGGACAAACTTCCATGTGCTACAGCAAAGTATCAAGAGGGCAGGCAGGGATAGGGGGAGAAAGTTCAGGGGAATGGGGGTGGGCATTGTGATGACAGATGGGAGCAATGAGGTGTGGCGGTGGGCGAGGGAGGGCAGGATTGTATCGGGAGGCGGGGTGGGCACACGACCTTTCACCTCTAGGTCACTGGTTCGAATGTAGCCCAGGCCGGTAGTGCCCAAAGCATGTTACCATCCGACGGCTGTTGGAGAGCCTACGGGCGTTTACTGGCTGGTCACGGTCTTGGTCCTAGTGGACAAAAACCACCATCACAATCAGCAGGGTGGGTAGGTGGGTAAGTTCAGCCGAGGGGAAACTGTAGACGGAGGAGGACACAAACAGGAGGAGAAATGCAGTGGGGAGGAAGTGACCTGGTGCGTTGAACCAAGAGTGAACTGTACTGGAGGAGAGGATGGAGGCAAAACTGGAACGAGTTGGTTCTGCTTGCAACGGGTACAATGGGCACCAGCCGCTGTTGCCTCTAGGCGTATTTTCTCTTGCTTAAAAACACCTTATGGGGGATGCTACATTCTGTTCTTAGTTACAGCAATGTCCATATATGACAAGAGTTGAAGCGTTGCTTCCTGGGAGGTGTGAAGTCTAACAGCAGAGGAAACGGAAAGTAAGGGGAGGCGATGTGGCCTCAGCCTAAAATGAGTGACTGAGCGATGCAGTCAGCAGTTGTTCATGTTTAACAGCTCTTAAAAATAAACCTCCATTGGACTTGTGGCTTAGTAAACAGGTGGGCAAGTGGGATCAGAGCCATGGTACAGAGGGGAGGGTGGTCAACCTATTCTTCGGCACTGTTTACTTATTTAATTCCTCTTCACTGCCTCACTGAAGATATTATTAACCACGGGGAGAAGGGGGAGCGAGAGACAGGAACTTGTACTGCACCTGCCTTTCCCCCCACTGCTTGTAGCTATATAGGACACACTTTGGTACAATAGGACACACTTTGGTACATTTTTTCACCCATGTGCATTTGTGTACAGTCAAGTCACCAGTGTGCATTTGTGTGTGCACTTTTCACTAACAGGCCCATTTTGCTATGCGTTCTTTGGCTGGAGGACTGCAGCGCAAAATTTAGGCAAGTGCAAATTTCAGAGGAGTGTGCATATTAATTCAGGAAGGGTGAGTTAATACAAATCGAATGAATTTATATTGCACCCCTCATGCTGGCTTTATGCTACCTCCGGGATCAGAGGCGCCATGCCTCCAAATGCCAGTTGCTAGGGAACAAGGGCAGGAGACAGCTATGGCGCTCTTGCCCTGCTTGTCCCGGAGGCATCTGATTGGCCACTGTGGGAAATGGGATGCAGGACTGGCTAGGCATTTGCTTTGATCCTCGAGGGCTCTTGTTCTCTTCTGCAGTGTTCAATGAGCATGACTCGTATTGAATGACTGGACCATTCTCCTTCTGCAAAGGAGTCTTTTCAGACCTCAGCATGCCATACTTTAAAAGCGTCCTGCAAATAACTGAGTTTTGAGCTCTGTTCTAGCGGCATGAGGTGCTCCAATGAGAGGAACAGTTAGATTTAGCTTTGGGCTGTGTGCAATAAACCTTGCAGGTAAAATTCTACCACCTGATTCAGTTGTGCATATATTGGCATGTATTCGATGAGTTTGCAGCTTTTATTCTGCTTCTATTATAGCCAAGTATTTAGCTATTCAGGGCTCTGAAGTCCCACCTCTTCCCCCCCAGTTTCTGAGATTTTACCATTGTTCACACACTTTCAAGCTTCTCTTTGCAGTGACAACAGGCTGAAATTTGCCATTTGAAAAGAAGCAGGCTGTTGTTCATACAATGTTGAATTCTGTGTCTGTATACCAATTCATGTGCTTAAATTGGATCACTGAATACATTTCCCACTTGGGGAAAGCCTTGTTTGGGGTTGCTATCACTGTATAGGTTGCTAATTGTATAACCTAGACTTATGAAGCCAGCCAATGCCAACATGTGGCATTTTGATGCCCAAAAGAAGGACTCACAAACACACACACTGCTGCAGGTAACACTTTAAAACAGACCTGGGTAATCTGTGGCCCTCCAGATGCTGTTCAATTAAAAACCCCATCAACACTGACCGTTGGCCTTGCTGGCTCGGGCTGATAAGAGCTGGAGTTCAAGACTATCTGAGGAGACACAGGTTGACCATCCTTGCTTTAAAAAATCTTGCTGCACCATTCAAACCCCAATTCCTGCTTTTATCACGCCACCACAGTGCCTTATAGAATCATAGAATGGTAGAGTTGGAAGGTACCACAAGAGTCATCTAGTTTAACCCCCTGCAATGCAGGTGGAACAGTGTGTGATGCTAAATGCAGGGCTTGAACCCATGATCCTAAAATTAAAAGTCTCACAGTCTACCAACTGAATGAAGAAGACCACTTCCCCTTCCTTCCTTCCTTCCTTGCATGGTAGCGCTGGCCTACCACCAGTCACGTATGGTGGCCCCCTAGGGTCATTGTTAACCTCCTGAACTCTTTGCCTGCCTGGGCCTGCAGCCATGTTGAGGACCTGCCAAGGTATGGTGCAAGGCTGCATTCAAGTGGGGATGGGAGAGAGGGGCAGTCAAGCTGTGTAGGCCCTGCCCTAACCCCTTCTCCACCTGAACATCCATAAATAAGAGTTTCCCAGGGAGACAGCCCCACAGATGCCTCTGACACTCTCCCCTCTGAAAACACACCCACCCAGAAGAGGCTTTTTTTTCGTTTTGCAGAAATGAAGATGCCATCGTCTGTGCTGTGTATAGCACTTCAGAAACATGCAAGATATGTTTGACGAGGGGCAACAGCGGCGCAAAAGGCATGAGTGTGCAGAGATTCTGGGAACAGATGCTTAAAACGCCACAGAAACAGTTGCCTGTCTCTATCTGAAAAGCCACAGCTCTGTGGTTGAGCCCCTGCTTTGCTCAGTTTCCAAGTTTGATCCATGGCCCCTCCAGGTAGGGCTGGTGGAGAACCCTGTCTGAAACCCTGCAGAGTTGCTGCCAGTCAGTGTAGGCAACACTGAATTCAATGGATTGTCGGTCTGGCCTAGTATAAGGCAGTTTCCTATGTTCCTATGAAGGCTATCTGGATCTGGGGAACAGGTGGGGGAAATAGGTCAGACTGGATGGGACACATTTCACATCCTTTGCCCTTGACTGCTGTTTCTTTCACAGATTGACAGCACACACACTCCTATTGTATGATGGCAGGGGCTAGGGCAGATTTAACCCTTTGCTTTCTGCTAGGCTCTTAATCCAGATGGGGCCTCCTTCCCATGCTGGCAATTAATTTTTTTAAAAATAGCTTTTCACCCAGGACAAGCCACGTGATAAACGTGGCCCTAGTCTCTCTCTCTCTGCCTGCTCAGGGAAAGCAGCAAGATGCAAATGGTGGAAGGGTGCTGATGGAGTCGGAAATGCTGGAAACATGGATTCTCATGGTCTGGGAGTGATGATGGTGGATGTGGTGTCTTTAGCAGGGGATGTGAATGATTCCTGGGGAAGGGGAAGGGTCTGGTCTTCATGGGAACTGGCCCTGTGTGGTCAAATGGCTAGAAGTACAGGTAGAAAGGGGGCAGGATAGGTGGGGATCAGGGTCACCTGCAGCACACAAACACCCCTACCTCAATCTCGCTGCCCTCCCGCAAGTTGAAGGTGAGGTCCTGGTGGATGTCGGCCATGAACTTGGCAGAATATTCGGGGTACAGCTCCAGCACCTCGAAGAGCCCGCGCAGGCTGATGTACTGGAGGTCACAGTAGGTCAGCGCCTTGACGTCTGCGTTGGTCTTGATTACTTGGTCTTTATTGGGCAGGTCAGCCCCAATGAGGTCCCCTTTACCTAAGGAAGACAAGTCAGGATTTGGGGAGCGCCTGAACGGGGTTAGAAGCAGGGAGGCCACTCGTGTGTTCTCTCATCTCTCCCCCATCTTCTGATGGAGGGGCTCAAACTGGGAGTCCCATGGGCTGGGGTTGAGGCTGGGACTAGCCTAGTGAGCTGTGTGTGCTTTGAGATCTCGGAGCCTTTTCTAGGCTCACAAGGGGTGTGCATCGCCAGTCAGCACATGTCTCTGGACTGGAAAGCAGGAGCCTGGATTTTCCTGTCATCAAACCAAGAGCTGTTGCCTGCTGGGCTTCAGCCCTCAGCTGCCCAGCTCTTTATGCCAATGGCATATTCTACAGCAGGATTAATATAGAGCGGGGAACTTGTGGACCTCCAGGTGTTGTTTGTCTCCAACTCTCCATCAGCCCTGGCCAGCACTGCTAATGGTCAGGAATGGATTGATTTGTCAATTTTGGTTTATCTCAGGGCAGATCCATGCTATACACTTAAAACACATTTAATGCATGTGGCCTCTCCCAAAGAATCATGGGAGCTGTAGTTTGCTGGGAATTGTATCTCTTTGAGGGTGAAACTACACTTCCCACGATTCTTTGGGGGAAGCCATGCACTTTAAATATCTGTTGAATGTACTTCCTGGTGTGGATCTGCCCTCAGTTTCTCAGTTTTCATATCTTAAATTCAGTTTTCCACATTTCCTCAGCAATTTGCAGATTTAACAGAAATCCTCAAGAAAATCAATCAGCATTTTAGTGCAAATTTCTTATAATAAATGTATTTTTGTATGCAGTTTTGTCTAATGCACACATTCTTGCAAGCAAGTCCCTCTAACATAATGAATTTTTGTAGTTAGTTTCACCAATATATGCATTTCTGTGCACATTTCCCCCTAACATACACATTGTTTTGCAAACTGCTTGACCAGAGAACTGCATCGCAAAATTTGGAGAAGTGCAGATTTCATGTATTAGTTTGAGAAGCACAGATCAGACAGTTTCTCATTAAAATGCAAACAAAACTGAATTTTGCCCTAGCCCTGACACAGAGCCTATTTGTGGCCTCAGCCTGGCCCTAATACAGAGACCACCCCCGCATCCCCAAAGAGACACAGATTGCACTGTGCGGCTCTCCCAGAGTCTTACCTAAAATGGCCAGTACAATGTTGTCCTTAAGGACTTCAAGGGAGCCTGAGCAGACAAAGTAATTTGCTTGCAGGGCGTCTCCCTGGCGGAGGAGATATTCCCCAGGGGCGCAGAAGGATGTCTTGATGTGCAGGGAAAGGGCACGCAGGCAGCCACGGCTGGCGCTCTCAAAGAGAGGCAGCTGCAAAATGTCCTTGTTCAAGTGCATGGCAATGTCCGCTCGTAGTTCATCCGGGAAGTCCCGCAGGAGCTGAAGGGAAAGGAGGAGCAGGGAGCGTCAGCATGGGGTTTGGTACAATTGGAGTCCACTGTGCTGCCACAACCCACAAATGGGCCGGGGTCTGACCCCCAGGCTCCTCTCATAGCCTGTTTCATTTTATCCTCCTTTATGTAGGAGCGCTCTTCAGCCCCAGACCCTAAGGCCATGTCCAGATGACCTGTTCCATTGAGCATCCTTCCTGATTTGTATTCACAAAGTTTGCAGAAAATTTAGACAATATTGGCTAATTATCCATTCTGTTTTGTTTGTTGGGAGGTTAGACGACCTCATCTCAAATATTCCTTATCTCACACTTTCCTAGTATATTTCCCCATCATTGTCCTTACTGCAAAAAGTCAGATTTTGGGGGGAATCTCCCAAATCATCGTGACCCTTAGAAGGGGGTTAATAATATTCAGTCCTATGAACATCTGGTCAGAAATCAGTTTCATTCAGTTCAGTTGTGCTTATTCTATAATAAGGGGGGCATAGGAATCCAGCCTAAAACTGACAGAGAGCAAGCTGCCCTTACCTCATTGGCATCAATGCCATTGTTGACAGACCACGTGGTTTGAAAGTACTCCAGCATGCGCTGCTTGAGCTGCTGGGGCAGGCGGTGGACGCGGATGAAGTCCTTGAGATCCTTCATGCGGGTATGATAGAGGGAGCGTCGCGAGTACATGCGCTGGATGATAGCTGTCACGTTGCCAAAGACCACGGCATGCATCAAAGCTGGGGCAGAGAGGAGGAAAGGGGCATGAGAGAAGAAGAGCTCTCTTAGCCTATCTAGATTGGCATCCTATTCCCAACAGATGGAACACAAGTCAGTGTGGAGTAGTGGTTAGGGTGCTGGACAAGGACTAATAATAATAATAATAATGATAATACTGATGATGATGATTTTATTATTCCTACCCCACTCATCTGACTGGGTTGCCTCAGCCACTTTGGGCGGCTTCCAGCTTAAAATAAAAACATAATACCATATTGGCCCGAATATAAACCACACCCAAATATAAGCCGCACCTTTAAAATTCAAGGAGGGGGGAGGAATAAAAGACAATACCCAAATATAAGCTGCTCCCTTAAAATTTTGCAGGCACTCACACTCGTTCCGTTTTACCATATGTCTGTTTCAGCGGCAATATCATAAAAGCCAATTTTTGTAAGGTCACGAAATTAAGCCGCACTTTAACTTTTCACGGTCAGAATTTAGAAAAAAAAAAGTGTGGCTTATATTCAGGCCAATATGGTAAAACATTAAACATTAAAAACTTCCCTATACGGAGCTGCCTTCAGATGTCTTCAGAAAGTCATATAATTGTTTATCTCTTTGACATCTAATGGGAGGGCTTTCCACAGGGTGGGTGCCACTATCTGGAAGTCCCTCTGCCTCGTTCCCTGTAAGGGAACTGCCAGAAGTGAGGGAACTGCCAGAAGACCGTCAGAGCTGAACGACGGGGGACGGAGACACTACTTCAGGTATACAAGGACAAGGCCGTTTAGGGCTTTAAAGGTTAGCAACAACACGTTGAATTGTGCTCAGAAACCTGAGAGATCAGGGTTCAAATCCCAGCTCAGCCATGATGCTCACTGGTGACTTTGGGCAAGTCACTGTCTTTCAGTCTAACCTACCTAACAGGGTTGTTGTGGGAATAAAACAGAGATGGGGAGAAGCCTGTGTGCCATTTTGAGTTCTCCAGAGAAAAAGGCAGGATATAAATGTAATGTAATGTAATGTAATGTAATGTAATGTAATAAACTAAACTAAACTAAACTAAACTAAACTAAACTAAACAACTAAACTAAACAACTAAACTAAACTAAACTAAACTAAACTAAACACTATACTATTTTTTTTTTAAAAAAGCAGGGCATTAAAGCAGCAGTTTTTCCTCTGTTGCTTATCCAGAATGGCTAGTATTCCAGAAGTAGACGGCTTCTGAGCCTGGAGGTTTTATCATTGCTAATAAAGCTGAGATGGGCCAATTATTTCTGAGCCTGGAATTCCCCTGCCCTGGACTGCCCTATGAGAGCATTACGATAAATTTAGAAACAAAAATTTAAAATTGGACAAAAGTAATAAACCACCCACCCCCTCTATTTCTCACTCTTCCTGCTTTACTCTCAAAGGAAAGTAATCTCCTCGTCTCAAGTTCTAAAGCACAGCCATTTAAGTTATCTAAAATATTTTTGTCTTTGATGTGACCTGAACATGCATTTATCCAGTCTATGGGACCATAACGAAAGTCACTTTATGACTACAGCGCTTCCTTCTGGGGATGCCTCTCTGACTTCCATCTCCTTCTCATGATCACCCAGGCAGCACTTGGTATAGGGCAGCTGTAGCATATTCCCTGGACTTAATTCCCTTTCAGGTCTGGTATCAGGGCCAGCCCTATCATTAGGCAGGAGGGGAAGGGCTGTAGCTTAGCTTCAATCCTCAGCATCTCCAAGTAGGGCTAAGAGATGCTCCCTGCCTTCTAATCCTGGAGAGCAGCTTTCTGTTAGTCTAGGCAACAATGGGCTAAATAAATTATTGGTCTGGCTCAGTGCAAGGCAGCCTTCTTGTGTTCCTAGGCATGGCAAAGCAGCTGTGTCAGTCAGAAAACTATGGGGCAGCAGCCATCCCAGCTGCTCTGCCAGAGGACAACTTAGCATGCCACACAGTTTGCTTTGTGACCTCTAAACCAGGGGTGGAGAACCTCCCACCTGTGGGCCAATCTTGGGACCCTAATTTGGCCCAAAAGGCCATTTCCCCCCAAACCACGCCCACCTGCTGACCAGCTGACATCAGCTGAGTGACAGGCATGTGCCCCCTGCACCTCTCATTTTCTGAATTACACTTGTTTCTTTTATGTCCATTTTACAGATGGGAGGAACTGAGGATGAAAGAGAGAGATCAATAGACCAGAGACATATAATGAGTTGCAGGCAGAGGAGAGTCTGACGGCTTATCCATGCTTAACTTTTGCCCCGCTCTTTCCAGGCACAAGTCTGTGCTTTAAAGCTCTGTGTCCAAGCATGGTCTCCCACCTCTCCCCCAAGAGGTTTCCCCATGAAAACCTGCTTTTTAGTGCTCAATTGGAGCAATTGGCAATTTGGGTTTTATGTGGATTGCCATTTGCTCCAAATCCAGCTTTAAAAAGCAGGTTTTTGCAGGGAAAGCTCTGGAGAGAGAGAGAGAAAAATGTACTCAGAAATGGAGCTTTAAAGCATGGACCGTGCCTGGAAAGAGTAGAGGAAAGCTAAGTGTAGATAAGCCCCAAGTCTTAACTATCAAAGCTCACCTCTCAAACCATTTCAAAAAGGCACCACATGCATACCAAAGGCCACAAGGGGAAGATCACACCCTCACATTCATCCCTGGACTCTGGTCAACTAACAGCACCACTCAAAGCCCCACCCGATTAAATTATGAGCCCAGGTAGCCCAAATGTTGCATTGCATAGTAGTGGGCATGGTAGTGGGTGGTAGTGGGCTTGTTGTTGTTGTTGCCTAATTTATTCTACTTCTGCTTATCTTTAGGAGGGGCAAAGCACTCTGCACCAAACACGTGCCCTACTTTTAGCATGTGAAAATATCCTGTCTAGCAGTCCCCCATCTCAACCTTGTCTTTCAAGACTTCGCTAGGCCCTGCCCACATTTGCGAACGATAAGGATGCGGGTGGCGCTGTGGGTAAAACCTCAGGGCCTAGGGCTTGCCGATCGCATGGTCGGCGGTTTGAATCCCCGCGGCGGGGTGAGCTCCCGTCTTTCGGTCCCAGCTCCTGCCCACTAGCAGTTTGAAAGCACCCTTAAGTGCAAGTAGATAAATAGGTACCGCTTACCTAGCGGGAAGGTAAACAGCGTTTCCGTGTGCTGCGCTGGTGCTGGCTCGCCAGAGCAGCTTCGTCACGCTGGCCACGTGACCCGGAAGTGTCTCCGGACAGCGCTGGCCCCCGGCCTCTTAAGTGAGATGGGCGCACAACCCTAGAGTCGGACACGACTGGCCCGTACGGGCAGGGGTACCTTTACCTTTAAGGACTAGAAACTTGCTTTCTGGCAAAATGGAAACCAGGTTTATCTGGATGCTAGACACCAGCGCCAAACCCCTATGCTTCCCCCCTCCACAGTGCGCTTGTTGTTACGAGAGATATGCAGCCCTGCCTGTGATGGACTTACCGCCAATGAGCATGGTGCAGATGGAGAAGATTTTCTCGGCGTCCGTGTTGGCGCACACGTTGCCAAAGCCCACGCTGGTCAGGCTGCTGAGGGTGAAGTAGAGGGAAGCAATGTAGGCGCTGCGGATGGAGGGTCCTCCCACAGAGCTGTTGATGTACGGGGCCTCGATCCGCTTGCCCAGTTCGTGGAGCCAGCCTGCAGGGCACAGTGAAGGGTTAATCCTGTTGCAGCGGGTCAGACTGCATCCCTCTATCAGAGAAAGGAGCAGATGATGCAGATACCAGGGCCTTCCCCCTCACCCCAGAAAAAGCTCCCACAGAAGGGGAATCCCAGAAGCCAACATTGCCCTCACCAGTCTGCCAAAGCACGGATGAGGAATATGTGGCCCTCCATGTTTTGTTGGACTCCAACTCCCATCAGACCCAGTCAGCATAGCCAGTAGTCAGGGATGAAGAGAGTTGGAGTCCCATAGGCTCTATTCCCCTGGCTTACACATTCATGTTTGAAAATGTAAACATTTGCTTAAAAGTTAGAAAACTGCTCCAGAGACTGGGGGAAGAGGAGGTGTTGGTGGTTTTACAGACACTAGCCCTTCTGTCCCTTCCAACATCAGCTTTCTGCTGGGTCAAACTGAACCATGCTGTAAACATGCAGATCTATGTTATTTTCTTCTTGAAAGGTTGCCCAAGGAGTAGAAAAGAAAGTGTGTTTGTTTAAGCCCTCTTACTCAGCGCCCACTCCTTTCCCAGGATGCACAGCAGCCTTGTTATGGGTTCCCACAAGGAGACGCGTGTTGCTCCGCTCAGAGCCACACACCCAGGGTTTCCAAGAGGAGGGCTGCCCAGTTGTTCCTTAAGCTCACCAATGTCCCAGGTCACTGGGTCGTTGCTCTCCTGCCGGCCGATGACATACCAGATGCAGGCCATCCAATGGGCCAGGAGAGCGAACATAGACATGAGCAAAGTCAGGACCATAGCACTGTACTGAGAATAGCGGTCCAACTTTTGGAGGAGACGGAGCAGGCGCAGGAGGCGCACTGTCTTCAGCAGGTGCACCAGATAGGTCTGGGGAAGAAGAAGGGAGAAAAATAAATCAGAGTGGGTCATGGACATTACATGCTCCCCGGTTGGCATTGACTTGTGACAGGGCCTTCTCAGTGGTGGCTCCCTGTTTTCAGAATGCTCTCCCTGGTGAGGTGCGTCTCCTTCCCTCACTATTAACTTTCAAGAGGAATTTAAAAACATCCCTGTTTACCCAGGCATTTGATGACTGAAAGATACTGTCCATGACAGCCTTGAAATTATTAATTTGAGATGGTTTTATGTGCTTTTAAATGTACCGTATTTAATTGTTTAAAATATATTTTATTTTTAATTGTATTGTTTGGCCACTGCTATGTTTGCCACACAGGGCTCCTTTGGGAGCAAGGGTGGGATATAAACTTAGCTGCTAACTAAATAAAACCTTGCTTTTTGTCTGTTAGACTATTAAGCAAGAGTGGTATAGGACTTATCCAATGGGGTAGTCCACAACTGGAAGGAACCTGGATTTGTATACAAGGAGCAAGTTTGATCTTTTGTGCTGATTAAACCAGGTGCTCCCTTTTGTGTTCGCCTTTGCCTTCTAATTTGTTTATCCTATAGGCCAACTAAGTACTGACAGGGCATGCACTCAGCTTCACAGGAACCTTGTCTTTTCCTTTTCATTTTTAAATCCCATCCAAGAAGTGTGCAAATGCACACACTCAGGCAACTGCAAAATTTCAGCATGCAATTTTTAACATGCAGTTTTCTGGGGCTGTGTGTGTGTGTGTGTGTGTGTGTGTGTGTGTGTGTGTGTTTGTTGCAAATCTGAGGGATCGAAAGGAATATAAAAAGCCACACTCCGTTCAGGAGTGCATCACAAATAATTACGAGCATGGCTGGGGGGAAAAAAACCGAGAGCACTGAGGAAGCAGTGGGTGTGGAAAGGGGAGTAGCAGAAAGTGACGATTGATCCACCCACTTAAAAACACCAAAACAAATCATCTGTGACCCTGAGTGGAACCCAATTTTCCACTGTTTATCAGATTATTCCTGCACTGGGCAATTCTTATGTGGGCAAGTGTGGGTAACAGTGTTAGATTAGAACTGCAGAGACCTAGGTTCAGATCCCCTCTCAGGGCTTAATTGTACTTCATAGTAACAACACGGTTAGAGTTTTCTTTTTTAAAATAGATAGATAGATAGATGATAGATAGATAGATAGACAGGCAAGGCAAGTGGCTGGAGGTGGGGGTAGTCATCAACAGCACAGCACACAGGGGAGGGAGGTTTAAGTCTTTCCTCCCCAGCTATGATCTTGGCAAGCATCACACCACTCCAATAGAAATTAGTATTAGGAGGGCAGGACTCCCATTGGTGCCAACACTGATTTCTGCAGTACTTCCTCCTCGCCCACCCTCCACCCCCTGGATGATTATGGCTGGGTGGGGAAGAAAGGATTCAACTTGCTCTTGTACTGCAGTGACATTGACTATCCCACTCCCGTACCTGATATTTTATTTTAGAAAGCCTGCAATGTGATTGCTCATCACAGCATTAACATACCATGGATTTAGACCTGAAGCTGAATGCGTGATCATGGGCCAATTGCTACAACTCAGCCTGGCTTACATCATAGGGCTGAGATGAGGATAAATGGGTGGGGAAGAAAGGTTTTTTTCCTTGGGGGCTATAAATGGAATAAACAAATAAATCATAGTCCGCAGATGGACTCTTTCCCAACACCCACGACAAGCGTCTTTCCCTAGTCTTATTCTTCTTAGTCCTTTAAATTAAGAGGTGCTGGTAGTGGGCATTAAATCTGAAATCTTATTCTGTCATTGAGCTATGGCTGTGACTGGAGCTTGAGAACAAAGATTAAGGTAACTGGGGCTTACAGGAGGGGTCTGAGAAAGATGCCCTTCATCTCATCTCACCCCCAAATTGTGCAACTTTTCCAGAGCTTAAACCACATGAAGAATGGTTGTACCAAGACAAAGTTCCTCTGTGCACATGCAGAGTGGATCCCCATCACAACTGAGTAGCCACAGCCAGCCCCCATTGCACTTCCAAAATTTAGATTTTGTGACTTCAAAGCAGGCTAAGGCTGCATACACATACTATGACTTTAAAGCACATTCAAAGCATATTTGATCCCTCAAAGAATTCTGGGCACTGTAGTTTGTTAAGGGTTTCTGGGAATTGTAACTCTGTGAGTGTAGACTAAGGTGCCCAGAATTCTTTGAGGGAAAGAATGTGATTCAAATGTGCTTTAAAGGTATCGTGTGCACACAGCCTTGGGTTCTGCAGTTAGTTCTTATTTCAGAAGCTGATTATTACAGTTCTGAGAATGGAGGAGTTGCCGTATGCCAGGTCTCTGGAGGTCTTGGTTCAAACTCCCACTGTTGCAGGACTGAGGTAAAGTCACTGTTACTTTGAAAAGCAGGTAGAATCTGACAAGATTAAATTAGGAAGCAAGGAATTCAAACCTAGTGACCTCCATTTGCTCAGCACGCTGCCAGGAGAAAGCAATGGCTGGTTAGCAACTGCATAAGCTTCCTCATTAGTCGAAGGTCTCATGTTAGCATGAGACACTTCGTCAAGCTGCTTAATGAGCCCCCCGGGAAACCAAGGCTAAGAAATAAAGGTGCATCCAATAGCAAGAAGCAGCAGAAGCAGGGTGTGGGATTAGCTACAGGAGGAACCTTGCAGCAGGGCAGAGAGAACAGGCTTCATTTAGTTCAGGGATGGAGAGCCTGTAGCGCTCAAGGTGGTACTGGACTCCAACTCCCATCAGCCCCAGCCTGCAGGGCCAGTGGTCAGGAATGATAGGAATTGCAGTGCAACAACATGTGGAGTGCTATGGGCTCTTCTACACCCCTGATTTAGTTGATTTAAAACAAAAATTGGAGCCACTCTGAAATCAGCTACTGACACATGTGTGTGTGTGTGTGTAGAAAGCCAGTGGGGAGGGGGAAAGGAATGGCATATCTTTCAGAAGGCATGGCTGGCTGATTGGAGCCCTGAAAGGGAGCACTCTATATTGCCACTTTTTTTTTGCAGGTAATACTTATGAAAATAATACTGACCTACCCTATAAAATCACTGTGAGATCTGTTGAGATAATAAAGTGCTATAAAAATTATGTTTTTACCATTGTTATTATAATAACTGTGCCCCTGAGGATGTGCAAAGTTATCTTCTGTCACTACTCGGTGGCCAAGTCACCTTGCACCCATTAGGGGTGATGTTGCGTGGGGCATTTCTCGAAGCTGCTTATCATTTCTGTGGCGCTTCATCATGTGCAAATCACTGCTTGTAATGAACACATTCCTCCTTGCAAGAGCAGAAGGGACCTGCTTCAGATCAGGCAGTTCATAGGGCAGCACCTCCAGGCAGGTCTCTCTTTTTAGAAAGAGGCTGCTCAGCAATTCCAGCCACAAAGGCCTGAGGCCCTTCTCAGCATTCACCTCTTGCTGATTCAGAGGGGCAGACTGAAAGGCAGACTCACCACAGGGACGTTGAAGGCATAGAGGAGGTCAAAGGGCAAGGCTGCAATCAAGTCCACAAAGAACCAAGTCGCCACATAGTGGAGGCAGATCGAACGGGTGTCATAGACCACCTGGCCCGACTGGCTGACGTACGTGGTGCGGAAGTTCAGAATAATGTCTATCAGAAAAAAGGGGCAGTAAGTTCACAAACCATATGTGTGCTCCTGGTCACGTCCCCCAACCCAGGCAGTGACAAGGCCACGTCTTCCACATGAAGAGAGACACGTGGAAGCCTTATGTCAAATCAAACGTGCAAGCACAACGTCACACCTTAACAACAACAACAACACAAAGGCATACCTAGATCTCTTCCTAGTTCAGGTGTAGGGAACCTTTTGCCTGCCAGATGTTCCTGAACTACAACTCCCACCAGCCACTGGCCAGGGATGATGGGAGTTGTAGTTCAGGAACATCTGGCAGGCAAAAGGTTCCCCATACCTGTCCTGCATCAAGTGAAAGGGCCAAACAACCCCAGGCTCTGCCTCCAAAGGAAGTTCACAAGCAGGGCAGCAAGCTGGAGATAGTCCTCCAGAGTTTCTTCTCCCTAGCATCTAGTACAGGTGTGGGGAACCCTCTAGAGTCTGATGAACTGCAACTCCCATCAGCCTCAGCCACCATGGTCAATGGCCAAGGGATGATGGGAGTTGTAGTTCAGCAAGCTCTGGAAGGCTAGCACTTCCCCACCATCTATTAATCACAATTAATAATACCTGAGGACACATCGAAATTTCAATTCTGCTGCACGTCGAAATCCATTTTGAGTCACCCTCTATCTCTCCCCATCAGGTCACTTTGGAAACTTACAGATTTGTGAAGGTGCCTGAGATTCTCTAACACAGTATTCGCAGTAGCGCCACAAACTATGATTCCCAGAATTCACTGGGGGAAGCCAGGCATGTACCAGGTGTGATTAGTAGAAATCTAAGAGTCGCACGGTCCCAATTTTCTCCTTGCCTGCCCATCAGTATCCAGTACAGCTGAATGTATTCTACTGTGTTATGCTGCCGATATGGAGTCAATAAAATGCTGTAAGGAGGCTGCTGTTCCTTACCTATCCCCTCATTAAACCCATGTAGTTATGTGGCATCTCATCTAACACCTTGAAGGCAAGTCTACTGCAACCCCACACCCCAGGGAAGGGAACTCCTTTTGGATGTTCTCAGAATCCCCATCCACAATAACCAATGGTCAGGGCTGTTCTTTGACAACTTGGAAGTTGCAAAAAGGATATTAGTAGACAAGAGGATTTGTTCAGCTGATTCAGCTGCTGCTGCTGGTATGTGTTTTTGTGTTTGTATTGTAAATTGCCTTGTGATCTTCGGATGAAGGGTGGTATAGAAATAATAGTAATACTACTACTACTACTACTACTACAACTAGTAATAGTTATAGGAGTAATAATAGGAATTGTAGTCTAGCAATATCTGGAAGGCCACGTGTTCCCAATCCTGGCTATAAATGGAGTGAGCCCCATTTAATTCAGTTGGGAATCACTTCTGAACAGACATGACTGTAATTGCCCTGTAATTGTTGTAAATGGAAGAGGAAACGTGCCATAATTTAATAACAATTGAGGGTCGTTGAAAATTAAGCATTTTCTTTATTTTGCATCATATTTGTTACATGAACTTTGACACCAGTGGTAGTTTAGGGGAGCAGGGACAAAGCACCAGCACTTTATTTCACAGCAGCGTCAATGATGTCATAATCTGGGCATTCTCTGCATGCCAAATTAATAAGCTTTTCTCAGAGTGAAACCCTCCAAAATCAGCTAAATGGAGGAAGAGGTACGTTGTGCTAGCATGCATGGCAAAGAGTTGAGGCCCGGGACTTATCCACACTTGTTCTGATGCTTTCCCCAAGGGAAAACCGCTTTTTGAAGCTCAATTAGAGCAATTTGGAATTTAGCACTTAAATAATGAGTTTTCCCCGGGGGGGGGGGAGTGAGGCAAGGGGAAAACCACTTGGACACATGCCTAGAAAGTGCAGGTCAAGTGGAAAACTGCTCAGACCCATGTTTTCTAGGCACAGAACAAGTGGAAGTGTGGTGCAGTGGTTAGTGTACTGGGATAAAACCTGGGAGACCAGAGTTCAAATCCTGACTCAGCCATGAGGTTCACTAAGTGACCTTGGGCTAGACACTGTCTCTAGGCCTAACCTACCTCACAGTGTTGCCGTGTAGGTAAAATGGAGAGGGGAAGAACCACGTATGGCTCAGACAGAAATATATATAACCTATGGATAATAATCATAATCATAATAAACCAAAAACTGTCATCTAGAAAATTCCCAGAGTCCCTTTCTTAGACCAACCAAAATGTCAGAAAACAGCAAGCAAGCTTTTGCGTTCAACAGAACTCTTAATCAGGCTGGAGGTTAAAGCAGGTACAGAAGGAGTCAAAAAAACCTGGCTTGGCACTGAAGCATCAATACCGCCAATGCTGAAAAGTTTGCGTTTGTTGTATAGCCGTAGACTACGCACACATATTACATTTGAAACCCCCCCCCAGAGAATCCTGGGAACTGTAGTTCACCTCTCACAGAGCTACAATGCCCAGCACCTGTAGCAAACTACAGTTCCCAGGATTCTACGGGGGGTGTTAAATGTATGGTGTTTATGCACTGCCTTAGAAAGGCAGTGTGGCTAACAGAGACTGCAATGAAGGGCACCTCCAATGCAGCGTTTTTTGACACCCACTTCACACCCCTGTGCAGGTTTCACCCGAGCTAAATCACCCCTATTGCCCACCGGCAGCGGCCCCAACCCAATGGCACCCGGGTAAAGCACAGCTTTGCAGTCCTCACCAACGATGAAGAGCATCTCGACAACGATGTCGCTGACGATGGTGCTTCGGGCGGCCGCCAAGCTATCCTCCGTGTCAGTGAAGCAGACGTTGTACGGAACGGTCACGGCCACATAGAAAGTGGCCAGGAGGATGAGCCAGTCCCACAGGGCCTTGAAGATGCTGTAGTGGAGGAGGATGAAGCGCGATTTCTGCACCGAGGCTACTTTGTACTCTGGCACGGAGGGCTTGTTCTCAAAGACATTCTGGAGGGCGCAGGAAACAAGAAACCTCTTTTGAGCACCCCAGACCTTAGAACTTGGTGCCACGCGGCTAGTGACAAGACCTTCGTCACCCAAGGGTCGCATTCCCCTTGCAGGCATCCCTTTGGGGACTGGTTGCTGGTAGTGGGCACGGGCTCCAGAATCAGTGCAACTCATCGAGGCCGTGAGCCCTGCGGGTTGGACAATGGCTGACACACTCACTGCCTCTGCACATGGAGGCTTCGTTTTGCTATCCTGGAAATTCCGATCAGCTACATAGCTGTGGGAGGTGAGGCAGACTCTATGTACAGTGGTAACCTCAGGTTAAGTACTTAATTCATTCTGGAGGTCCGTTCTTAACCTGAAACTGTTCTTAACCTGAAGCACCACTTTAGCTAATGGGGCCTCCTGCTGCCACCGCGCCGCCAAAGCACGATTTCTGTTCTCATCCTGAAGCAGAGTTCTTAACCTGAAGCACTATTTCTGGGTTAGCGGAGTCTGTAAGCTGAAGCGTATGTAACCTGAAGCGTATGCAACTCGAGGTACCACTGTATGTGGTTTGGAAACTCGGGGCCTACCTTTAATCCCAACTTGGAATAGGGGACCCATATTAACACCAGCATCAAATTCACAACCATATACGTCTTTCTCCTCCTCCTCTGTGTGTTCCCTCCCAACTCTTCCTCCCCTTAAACAACAACAACAATCCTACAACCTTGAGACAAAAGAAGAAAATGCTGATGGGTCCCCACCCGCAGTTGGGACTTGTGGGTCAGGACCCACCAGTAACCTATGCCTGTGTCAGAGACACACAGAGAAGCCTTGAGGAACTCCAAACAAATGCCAGCAGTGCAGATCGCAAGCTACAGTCGTACCTTGGATCCCGACTTGGTACTCAGACGTTTTGGCTCCTGAACGGCACAAACCCGGAAATGAGTGTTCTGGTTTGCAAATGTTCTTTGGAAGCCGAATGTCCGACAGTGCTTCCGCGGCTTCCGATTGGCTGCAGGAGCTTCCTACAGCCAATCAGAAGCCGCGCTTAGGTTTCCAAACGTTTTGGAAGTCGAACGGACTTCCAGAACAGATTCCATTAGACTTCCAAGGTACGACTGTATTGTACAAAATTCTGTCTTCTCTTACTGCTTTGCTTTCCAAATAGTAGCCAGTTCTGGAAATCAGAAGGCAGGGGGCTTTGTGCCTTCCTCCTATATAGTACTTTGCACTGTCTTTACCCATTGGGATAATCCTCTGCGATCCCTTTGGGATCACTTTGTTTGTAGGCATATCCCCCCCCCCCAAGCTCCTTAGGACACAGACACACACATACACACACACACACTCTCCATCCCAAGTGTGGATGAGGAATAGGAAGCCAGACTCCTGCAAGGCTTGGCAACCATTATCAGCTTTGTGTTAAGTAACGTCTCCGGATTTGCTCCTGGCAGAGAAGGGGTTTGTTTTGACCCAGCCTGTATCTGGATTGTATGGTTTGCAAGAGCAGCTGCTGTGGCTGCTGTTCAACACTGTCTCCCCTGCAGACCGCCAGCCCCCAACCACTACCACCCTCCTTCCCTCAAACAGACCAAAGCCCTTTAATCTGCACTGGCGTTGGGTCATTGGCAGGAGGGGGCATGGGGAACAGCTGTCAAGGCATATAGAGCATCAGAGGAAAAGAACAGAGGTCTTGGCTGGTAAGGGGTGGGCTCGCAATAGGGTTGGCTTTTGCAGCTACTGCCAACCCCCCCACCCTACACCACCCCCAATATGAACAGGTAACAAACTTCACCAAGTCCTACAGCAAAATCAAGCAAACAGCTCTCACATAAACAATCTAGGAACAAGCTTAAAAACCCGACGACTGGTTTCAAAATCAGAACAAGCCACAAATCAAACAGGCCACTCTCCCCAAAGCAGAAGACCAATGCCTGAGCTGCTTATGCAACGAAAGAAAGTATATTGAAATAGACTAAGACTGAGCAGATGCCATACATTTAAAATATGCCCCCCCCCATACTGGGAACTGTAGTTCTGTTGGGGGGATGAACTGGTGGTAAGAATGTGCTTTAAATGCAAGGTGTGTGCAAAACCTTACATAGAATGCACAGCAACTACTGCCTTACTGCACCCCAGTGTAACAATGGATAAGGCAGCACCAAGAGCAGCAGTAATAAAACAAGCCAATTCTCTCTTTGCCTTTTGCAACCTGGCAATAAAGACATCAGACCCCAACCTTAGTCCTCAGTCCACCAAGTAAGTGACCCTACAAGATGTGGGTTTACACTCACTCTCTCCCTGCTATGAAACAAAGAATATATGTTGAGTTTCAAGATTGCGTTCCACCTGTTACCCTTCACCTTAACAAGACTTTGTCCTAGACCTTGTGGTTTTACACTGCAGAACAGAGCATCTCTGAGCATGCCTAGAGCTCTTTCTCTTTGGTTTGGGGGGGGGGGACTGTGGCCTTCCAGGGGTTGTTAGGCGACTACAGCTCACATCATCCCCGGTCATTGGCCATGCTGACTGGGGGGGGGGGGGAGTTGGGAGTCCAACAATATTTGGAAGGCCACAGATTACCCAACCGCTATGGTACAGAAATAGCTTGGATGGCAGCAGTGGCTGGTGATACAGGCAAAAATGTGAAACATAAATGCACAGTTTTTTTAAAAACTGGGCAAAGGCGCACCGCCCACCTGTGACTCCCAAGCCTTCCCCGATCTCCTGCCCCCTTCCCCCTTTGTTTTGACTGATCGGGGAGGCTCGGAAGTCACAGACAGGCGGCCGTTGCCCAGTTTTTAAAAAACTCTGCACATTTATGTTTCACAGGGTGTGAAAGAAGGGCTTTGCACCTTTATACAATATGTATGTGTGCTTGGGCCCAGGGTCTTTTGCCTCACCATCCCCACTACTGACTCCCTGTTGCTACTCAGCTTCAAAAAAAAAAAAAAAAAAAAGTGTCCCCGGATTCATTGAAAAAAATCTGGTAAACATAATCTAGGCCAACCCCCTGCAATGCAGGGATCTCAGCTAAAGTATCCATGGCTGGTGGCCATCCAACCTCTGCTTAAAAAACTCCATGGAAGGAGAGGCCACCCCCAATCGTGGGAATCTGTTCCGCTGTGGAACAGCTCTTACTGCCAGAAAGTTCTTCCTGATATTTAGTTGGAATCTCTAACAAAACTCCACAAGACCCCAAATCAGGCGGTGGGCAGTCCTTGCCTCGTTTTGCTCTGCCTGGGCTGCTCTTGACTGCTCTGAGTCTTGAGGACACGCGCCTGTTGGGTTGCACTCACTGCTGGGAGAAATCGCAGAGCTGCCTCGCAGGGTGACCCTCAGCAAAGGCATTAATGGCCTTCAAAGTGATGGGCTTAATGCTATTAACACTGCAAGCCACTGGCGGCTGCCCAAAATCATATCTGTGGGCTGCACATCTCTGGGGGTTTTCGCTCTGCTAAGAGAGAGCACGGGAATGACCCCACAACACCATCAGTTAATCCACAGAAAATTTTTTTTAAGCCTCTATGGGCCCCTCCAGAACCGTGTTTTTCATGAGAGTGCACTATTGCAATCAACACAATAATAACAGTGGCTATTGTGCAACGCTTCCTCAACGCAACTGCACCATTGCCACCTGGAGGGGCAGCCTTGCACTATAGAGTACACCATGGTGTAGAGGTTAGAGTGTCAGGCTAGGGCCTGGGAGACCAAAGTTCAAATTCCCACTCAGCCGTGAAGCTGACTGGATGACCTTGGGCCAGGCCTCTCGGCCTAATCTACCTCATAGGGTTGTTGTGAGGAGAACATGAAGAGGGTGGGAAGCTATTCCCTTCCCAGAGTTACAATTTCCACAGTAGTTTAGCAGTCCGTCTTCCCAGGGAACTCTAGGAATGGTTGCCCTGTGAGGAGAATGGAGGGGGGGTCTCCTAAGAACTCTCAGCACCCTTAGCAAACTACAGCTCCCATAATTCTCTGGGGGAAGCCGCGGCAACATAGTGCTTTAAATATATGGCGTTGTGGCCTCAGTCTTTTCCGTGCACACCCATCCTTAAGAGGTCCCTCGTTCAGAACGGAACAATGGCCTCTCAGAATAAGGTGTTTGTGGGGAGCAAGGACAGAGGTGTACGCCTGCCAGTATGCAGACAGTTACATAGTTAGGGCTGCAAGGATTAACCAGTCACCACCACCCCCTCCTTAAAAGGCAAAACAAGCAAATCATCTTTACGCTGTTGATCTTCATCTCTGTCCGTTCCTTCTTGCTGAATTGGCTGGCGAGGTGGTGCAGTGCTGTGCGGCCTTGCTTCCTGGCTGCCCGCAGATGGGAGCTCCCTGCCTTCTTACAGCGGTGCTTTTCTGGAAGAAGAAAAAGAGTGGGACAGGTCAGGCTCAAAATTCCCATCTTAGAGAGGGAACACCTTGTTTTATGTGGATTCTGACATTGCCGTGCTGTATCCATCCCCCTTGGCTTTCCTTCCTGTTTCTGTTTCTGCTTCTCAGGCTCCAAGCTGAAATGCTGACCTCAGAATCATATGTGTGGTTGGGGGAAAAACAAAAGTGGCAGTTAGTTGCCTCTTTGGGGCAAACTCTGGATGTGATTCTGTGGAGTGTTGACTAACCTGTCAGCTATAGGGTACTCATAAGCAAGGCAGTTTCGAAAGCGAAGTGCTAGGTTGGCTGCAGGTCTCTAACCATAGGAAAAGAGCTAGATGGAACCTTGTGGGCTGATTCCATCCAATCGGTTGTTAATGACAGAAAGTCTAATTACGTCACTCTGAATACCTTGCAACATGCTAGATGCAACAAGCAGTGAGCCAGCATGTGATATCACCTCCAGCTCATTCTGTTGGGACACAGAGCCCTGTCATGATGACACAGTAAAGCTGGTGGAAGAGGAGAGGTGTGGAGAGGCCAGACAAAGGCCTGCGAATGGAGGGGTGTCCTGTTTGTCATCCTTTGCCCCCCCCCCCAGGAAACTCACCAAACTAAACCTTCTGTAGCCTGGAACCAGGTGTGTGGATGCACCTGAATAGGATGCAGCTATGGGCAACCTTAAGAATCTCCATCAGCCTTAAAAGCAAGCCCATAAAAGCAAGCCTAGAGTGATAGAGAACATTCGAGGAACACCCTCTTCACTGTAAGATATTTTTATTTTTTGGGGGGTGCATGTGATCTGTGAGTTTGTTTGGGCCCTGGCTGAGAGCCAGGATGAATGAGTGGAGGTCGAAAGCTTTTATGTAGGGAGGTGTGTTTACAAGTAGAAGGAACTGATATCAGTATGGATGGTTTTATCATGCCCTTTTTCTAAATTTGTTGTTGTTTCTGCACATTGCTTGGAAATACGTTTTCATATTAAGCAGTACCGAAATGGTCTGAATAGAATGATATTTTTTTAAAAAAATATTTCCCGAAGCTATTTTGGTCAAAGAATTACCCGCCCTGTTCCGTAGTGATGGAACATCTCTGGATGTAAGGATAGTGATGACCTTAATCTAAGAACAGCTGCTCTTCTAACCCCATGGAGTCTTCCTCAGCTAATCCAAACAAACGCTTCTACAGCTTGCTCTCAGTCCAACAGTGATGAAAGAAAACCTCACAGGAACCTCAAGCAGCCTTCCAAAAGGGTCTTCCTACTTCCTATTCATGGGAATTCTTTCCGGCAGCAGTTTGAGCAATGGCCAGCCATCGGATGCCTAGGGGACTCTGACTGCAACAGCAACTCTTTCCCCACTTGCAATTCCCAGGGACAGTTGCCTCTCAAAGTGGAGGCAGAACCTGGAACGAGGACAGAGACTGCAGCTCCCATCACCCGTCACCAAGGACCATGCAGCTAGACTGCTGGCAGCTGGAGTTCCAACAATACTGGGAAGGCTGCAGGTTCTTGCTGAAAGGGGGTGAGCATCTCCTGTGCAGGCATAAAGGTAAAGGGACCCCTGACCATTAGGTCCAGTTGTGACCGACTATGGGGTTACGGCACTCATCTCACTTTATTGGCCGAGGGAGTTGGCGTACAGCTTCCGGGTGATGTGGCCAGCATGACTAAGCCGCTTCTGGCGAACCAGAGCAGTGCACGGAAATGCTGTTTACCTTCCCACCAGAGTGGTACCTATTTATCTACTTGCACTTTGATATGCTTTTGAACTGCTAGGTTGGCAGGAGCAGGGACCGAGCAACGGGAGCTCACCCCGTTGCGGGGATTCGAACCTCTGACCTTCTGATTGGCAAGTCCTAGGCTCATTGGTTTAACCCACAGCGCCACCCACGTCCCTTGGTGCAGGCATAGACTATGCCTTTCCCTTTGAGAGGGATATATGCATGCACACATCCCAGACAAAGCCTTGCAGAGTGGGGAAGGAGATGCCCAAACCAGTTTGGAGCCAACGGCTGCTCACTTAAGGCGTACCCCTCACTCAGTGTGTTTTTCTGCCAAGGAGCACTGCCGCCCCACCCATCTGCTCTATCCTGGATCTCGTTGTGTTTCCTGCTTGGCAGGGGGTTGGACTCGATGGCCCTTGTGGTCTCTTCCAACTCTATGATTCTATGATTCGTGACCCTGTTTCTGGAGCCCAGCCTGCCTCCCCCACCGAGGCCTCACCCTCCTTCTTTTCACTTGACTGGCTCTTTCCATGGCTCTCGGTGATGTCCTTGAAGGAGAAGAGAAAAAGGACCACCTCGCCTTTCTCGTTCTTGATAGGTACGATGTCCAGCAGGCACCAGAAGGCTGTTCCTGCACCAGGGAGAAAAGGGACAGAGCAGCATCACCATCTGCACCGAGGAGGAACGACAGCAGTCCCTGCCACGCTCATCTCTGCAATCCCCACAAATACCTCCCTTGCTTCCTCAGGAGTATCTGAAGCTTCGGCAGCTTCAACCAGAACCAACCCCAGGGAATTTCGCCTGGATAGCTCAGTTGGTTAGAGTGTGGTGCTGATAACGCCAAGGTTGCAGGTTTGATCCCTGTATGGGACAGCTGCAGATTCCCGCATTGCAGGGACCCTTCCAACTCTACAATTCTGTGATTCTATTAATTTCGTCTGGGTGGTTTCCTTCAAACGTGCCTTCATGCTTAAACTGCCCGTGATCAGCTTAGAATGGCTCTACGTTTTGGATGCTTCTTCTTACAAGGAAAAAGCAGCCTGCACATACTCAAAGGCACTCTGTGCAAGTTTTTTGGGGGGAAGAGGGAATAAATTGTTTCCTTCTTGGCAGTGGGCACAGGAAGATACTTTGCACATGCTCAAAGGTGCTTTCTAAAACAAAAAAGAACACCAACCCTATAGAAATGCCCTCGTATTGGCTTGATCACAGCTGCTATGATCTGACCCAAACGAGGTTGAGGAGGAAGGTGTAGCAATCGCACATCTGGTGTCTGGGCTTGAGAGGGACTATCAGGGGTCAACAAACTTTTTCAGCAGGGGGTCGGTCCACTGTCCCTCAGACCTTGCGGGGGGCCAGACTATATTTTGAAAAAAAATAATGAACACATTCCTATGCCCCACAAATAACCCAGAGATGCATTTTAAATAAAAGCACACTTTCTACTCATGTAAAAACACCAGGCAGGCCCCACAAATAACCCAGAGATGCATTTTAAATAAAAGCACACTTTCTACTCATGTAAAAACACGCTGATTCCCGGACTTTCTGAAGTCCAGATTTAGAAGGCGATTGGGACGGATTCAGACCCCAGGCCTTAGTTTGCCTACCCATGGACTATATGGTGCAATAGCAGCTTTAAAAAGTTAACACTCAAGTCTCAAGCTGATGTTGAAAGAGAATCAGTGAATGCCACAACACATCTGAACAAATGCTTCCAAGAAGCGGCAGTAAATATCAATAGCCAAAAAGCTGTACGATCAGCGTAAAAACAGCAACGCTATTCTAGCAGATTAGAATAGCATTTGTACGAGAAACCATCAGAGCGCAAGAGGGATAAAACAAGAAACTACTAATAATACCCATTTCATCAGCACTATTCAGATCTTTTCTAGCCTGGTGATATGGTTCTTACACTAGTTTTACTTTTTGATATTCCTCTGATGAGGACATTTGTTGAAATGTGCTGGATGATTAATTTTTATAAATACATCCTTTGACAGCTGCTTGAGAATGACCTCTCTTTTCTTCTGTTTGGGCTATTTTAGGAGGATCATGGTTGTTTTTTAAAATGCAGCGGCAGCTAAGCCTTATTTGCTTAAATAAATATAGGTAAAACGTAATAATAATATTAATATTTCCTTGTGAGTGTGACTCACATCTTTTCTAGATGGAAGTATGGTTCTTGTACACTGCCATTTGTCCATTGGTATTTGACGTCTAGCCATAAAACTGCAAGCGATAGGTTACGTGATGGCCTAGCCTCTAGCCTTCAGCAGCTGAGAAAGCTGTTATTTATTATCTGGTGGCAGGCAGCTGACAACCTCACAGAACCCAGGTTTAGACAGAGAAAAAGGCTGCCATGAAAAAAAAAACTCTCCGTCTCTCCGTATCCCCACGCACTCCAAATGTAGCATCTAGAACAAGCACAACACTCTTCGCACCTGAAAGATTTGGAAGAGCTAAATGTGGAGGTAGTTTCAGAAGTTTGCCAAGCTCAAGCTGTTTTAACCAGGCGATATGAAGCAGTCTGCTTCGGTGGCAAGATCCACGACGGTGGAAGATCTGACCCCCAACAGATCGCCTGCTGCCAGTGCCACCAGAGAAGAAGCTATGGCGGTGGGTCCTGGGTCCTGGAAAGATCTCGCAGAGCTCTCATAAGATCTTGTGAGGCTCTTGCCACATCTACCCAGGAGCCACTTCCCTGGAGCTGCCACACGTGCCCCTTCAACCCCCTGCTGGCACTGACATTGAAGACGTGGAAGTGGCTTCCAGCAAGATCTCACGAGAGTTCCACAAGATCTCGCTGGAAACCAGAAGCCACTGCCGCAGCAGCCATACAACCCCGGTAAACAAGGCTTTGGCAGCAGGGCAGAACCTTCCCATTTCTCTTCGGTCGCTGAAACAGGATGGGCAGCAGCTGTGTTAAGGGGTTTGTTGCTGAAAAACAACAACAGCCCAGCATCTTAAACCATGTCCAGGGGAAAAGGGCCAATGGAACCCTGGAGATATGAGACGCCCACCCCTCACTGGGGAAGCAAGTGTCTCTCTGGACACATTATTTCCCTTGGGCTCTCCAGAGAACCCAGGACCCCAGCATTGTCCGCTGTGCACCAACAGCACTTCATCAATCTGTACCAAAGAAACCCAAATTCTACAATGTGTATAAATGACGCAAACCAGCTGTGATGGCCTGGGACTCAGGCTCGGACTCGGAACCAGAGGACTCTCAGTCTGCACTGGATCCTTTGGCTCAGGCATCATCTGAACCAAATCTGGGGTATGATCCTGAACAGTCTGCATAGGTTCCCCTGCAACAAACACCAGCTGGGCCGAGTCAGGGGCCCGAGCCTGCCCTGGCTCCAGATGCGGGGATTACCTCGTTGCCTTCAGCTGGGCCATCACTTACAGCTGCTCCACTACCGGCTGGGTCAGGGGAGGCTGAGGCGGCCTCTGGGTCTAGTAACCCACCGACGTCTCCCGAGCTGCAGAGACTAAGGTCTGAGAGAAGGAGAGACCTGAGTACTCGCAGGAGGAGTGCTCGCCTTCAGGCGAAGCAGGGAGGTGAGTCGCCAGGGGATCAGGACCGGCCGCTACCCCGACAAAGATAAAAGGCTGTCGGACCCTGCCCCAGGTTGCGGGAGCAACATTGCTGTGTGCTAGATCCTGCACCTGTCCTTGTCTGGTTCCTGCCTCGTGTCCTGCCTTGGCCCTGTCGGACTGACTCTTAGGGGAACCTTCGGATTCTGGTCTGGTCCTGGACTGTGTTTCACAGGTTACCTCCAGGCCCAGCACACCAGCCTATTCTAAGAATAAATTAACAACCTCAGCAAAACCCAGCTAGTCCAGCAGTTCTCACAGGGACCAATCAGTTGCCTATGGGAAGCTGGGGAGCAGGATCTGAATGCAGCAGCACTCTTCCCCACCAGTGATGTCCAGCAACCCTCAGCCCCTGAGCTTAAATTGTGCTTAGCCCAACTCTGGATTTTTTTAAGATTTCACACTCTTTTAAGCCTAACCAGGGCTGGCCCAATACATTATGGCCACAGCATTAAAAAAGAACAATTGCCGTCAACCAAGCATTATCAAAAAAGGGGCCAGCACTGATGCAACCTCAGCAGAGTCACCAATGGTTCAGGATGTGAAGTGTCCTAACCACAAAGCAAAATCCCGACAGTGTCCAAGCAGCCAGTGCCTCTAGGGCTGGGGGCATTTTTCACACCAGGGGCCATGTTTCCTTTTGGGCAACGTTCCACGTGCCAGTGATGGGCAGGGCCAGAAAGCTGGTATCAGGAGCAGTTGTCAGGAACAGGTCGGCAATGCCTCACACAGCGTCAGTGCACTTAGCTCTTTACATTGGTACCTTGGTTCTCAAACTTAATCCATTCCGGAAGTCCGTTCCAAAACCAAAGTGTTCCAAAACCAAGGCACACTTTCCCATAGAAAGTAATGCAAAACGGATTAATCCATTCCAGACTTTTAAAAACAACCCCTAAAACAGCAATTTAACATGAATTCTACTATCTAACGAGACCATTGAGACATAAAATGAAAGCAATAATCAATGTACTGTACTATAAAATAATTAAGACAGTATTGTAGATGACAAAAATTAAAATTAATTGTTTTTCTTATTTGCACTGATGATAGTTATTGTTTGGATGGGGGGCTTTGATCCATTTCTGCAGTCACACTATCAGTAGCTAAACTGGGTTCCACACAGTCACAAAAACAAATTAACTGAAAAAGCCTCAAAAACAAAAATGCAAAATAAATAGCAAAAACAAAAGCGCCAAACTTCATCCATTCCAGAAGTTTGTTTGATTTCCGAAATGTTTGAAAACCAAGGCATAGCTTCTGATTGGTGCAGGCACCCCGGAAACAATAGCTGACAGCCGCAGCTTCCAAAAAACATTCAGAAATCGGAACACTTATTTTCGGGTTTTCAGTGTTTGAGAACAAAGGCGTTTGAGTACCAAGGCATTTGAGAACCAAGGTACCACTGTATTCAAAGAAACAAGCAGCTCAGGAGGCCAGGCCTAGAGAGCACAGCCTCTTCCAAGTAGACCTTGCCCCAATATAACAGTTGTGGGGACTGAAGTCTCTCCCCATACCCACAGTTCCCTAAGAGTCCTCCTCCCCTGGGTTCTTTCCAAGCAATCTGAGACTAGGCCAACAAGCCTGTCTCTGCTCCTCCCTCTTCATACCTCTTCTGGTCTTGGGAGACCAGGAGGGAGAGGAGCTGGTTGCAGCAGGAAGAGGAGACCCCCCCTGGTTTCTTCACCAGCCTGACTCATCGCTGCCTCTTGACCCTGCTCCTCTCCAGCCTCTGATTATGCCTCTGATTCTGGACTGCTCACTGCCACAGACTCTTCCTGCTCACTAAACCACTGCTCACTAAACTTCCTGCTCACTAAGCAGGCTTCTAGTTTCTTCACACTCACACAACCCTCTCTATCCTCTAACCAGGCATGGAAGAGGTACAGTCAGAGCCCCAGGGCATGCATTGCACCCAGGCATAAACACTCCAGGAGGGTGAAAAGCAGGGAGGTCCCTAACTGGGGTCCTGCTCCATGTCCCTGTGGAGTCTTTTCCATTCACCCACAAGACTGCAAGCAAGCTTCCCACACCCCAGTTGCTGGCCAATCTCCAGTTCCAAGCTGGCTCACATGGATAGAGGTGTTCCAGCAAATGACTAGCTCCCAAGCTGCTAATATGTTAACGTTAGCACCTTGAATTAGGCCCAGCAGCATACAAACAGCCTGCAATGCTGAGAGGGGAAGGGAGTCCTCCCAGGGGGCTCCCCCAAACTCACCACTCTTCTTGTAAAAGCAGACTTCGGCCTGGTACTCCTGCTTCCCCTCCAGCACTTTCTCGATGCGCTGCAGGACGGCTTCGCAGGTCTCGCTGCCATAGAGGAAGCGGCAGCTGCAGTTCTTCTGCATGACTTCTGTCCGGGCGAAGCCAGTAAGGTCGCAGAATCCGTCAGAGCAGTAGACGATGGGGAAGCCGCGGTGCACCTGAGCGTTGGCCAGGAGGAAGTTGCTATCTGCGAGTGGGTGGAGAAGAGAGACCCTGAGTTGTCATGCCAGCATTGGCGGGTGGGCAGGGGAGAAGGAATTCGAGTGCTGATTTCACAGCCTAAATCGGCCTTCAGGACTCAAGAAGAGCCTGCTGGGTCAGGCCAATGGCTCATCTATCCCAGCATCCTTTTCTTACAGCGGTCAACCAGATGCCCGTGGGAAGCCTGCAAGCAGGATTCGAACACAAGAGGACTGTCCTCTCCGTTGGTTCCCAGCAACTGGTTTTCAGAAGCACTGCTGCCTTTTGGCTGTGGAAGCAGAACATAGCCATCATGGCTAGTAACCCTTGACAGCCCTCTCCTCCAGACTTTGCCAAGCTGGTGGCCTCCAACTGGTGGGCTACAGCTCCCCTCAACCAGGCAATCATGTTGGCTGGAGTCAATGGGAGATTTAGTCCAACTGGAAGACACCAGCTGGGTGAAGGCTGGCCTGAACGGGCAAGCCCAATTTAGGGAATGCCTCCTTCAGTGGTATAACCAGGACGAAGATTTCATGCAGATGTGGTTGATTCGGCAGCCAAGCTCTCTTCCTTTGAGTAAGCCCCTTGAGCACCCCATCATTGGCCAAGCCTCTTCTTTGAAGTAGCAGAAGCTGGAGGCAGACAATAGGCTTTTTATTCCCTGGTGGTCGAAGGTAACTTTGAGATTGCTGTTTATGGAATCTATGCTTCTCCCACTTTTGCCTTTAGGTGGGCTTCCCAAACTTGGGTTTCCAGCTGTTCTTGGACTACAACTCCCATCATCCCTAGCTAGCAGGACCAGTGGTCAGGGATGATGGGGACTGTAGTCCAAAAACAGCTTGAGACCCAGGTTTGGGAAACCCTGCTCTAGGTTTGTCAGGTTTTGGTACTTTTTCAAAGCCTGAAAAACCTGTCTGACTGACCAGAAGAGACAGTTCCATCAAAGAAAAGAGAGAGAGAGAGAGAGAGGGAGGGAGAGAGAGGGAGAGAGAGAGAGAGAGAGAGAGAGAGAGAGAGAACATAGGGGTGGAGAACTTGTGGTCCTCCAGGTGTTGTTTTGGACTACAACTCCTATCATCTCTGGCTGTTGGCCATGTTGGTTAGGGCTGATGGGAATTACAGCCTGACAATATATGGAGGGCCATATTTTCCCCATTCCTGGTACACACATACAGAGTGAAGCCTCTCTCAAACCACTGTCAACCTTTTTAAGAATGATTGCCTGTCCTCACATCAATATGAAGTAATATTACATAATTGAGAAAAGCGCCTTTGAGCCACTGCAACCCGCTTCCCACAACGTTAGCATTAAAGAGCTGAACATCTCTCCAGGGCACATGTCAGGGCTCCCATACATGACTTCTCTTTCTAAAAATAAAATAAGCACTGCCTTTGGACTTTAGGTGTACATTTACAGTGATACCTCGGGTTACAAACACTTCGGGTTACAAACTCCGCTAACCCAGAAGTAGTACCTCGGGTTGCAAACTTTGTCCCAGGATGAGAATGGAAGTCGTGCACCAGTGGCACGGCAGCAGCAGGAGGCCCCATTAGCAAAAGCGCGCCTCTGGTTAAGAACGGTTTCAGGTTAAGAACAGACCTCCAGAACAAATTAAGTTCATAACCCTAGGTACCACTGTATAAGCTGAGCTATATGCTCATACAGTTAGTCACATACAGTGTTCAATGTTCAATGCATGTACCGCCTGGGTACCCAATAGCAGAGCTATACAAACAGGCGTCCCACTTTCCCACAAACACCTGCACAAGTGTGCAGGCAGTTTGTGCCTGTGTTCAGCACAACTTGCAAACAAGCCTTCTTCCTCATGAAGGTAGAAACAACTTGTACACAGGTACAAGCTAACCTGTGAACACCCGTCAAAGCCCATTGCAACACTAGACAAGGTGCCAAATCACTAGACGTGATGCCCAACCCTGCAGTTTCACTGTGGGCCTCTTTCCATAGGAAGATCAGAGGCAGAAGGCAAAAAAACTCTCCTGCTTTGTGTTTTCCTGTTGCAAAGGTGAGAATCAGGGCTGTTGTTGTTATGCCACCGACCAAGTGGAAGGAACTCCTTGTCTAGGGAGGTTTGCTTGTGTGTGTGCTCACTTCTGTCTCTGAGGGCCTTCTGAACGCTGGCTAAATCTCCTTTGTTTACCTTGGGCCTTCGGTATCTCTGCTTTTTCGTGATGTTGTGCTCCAGGCTTGGCACCAGCATGCAGGACCCTTGGGCAGCCGCCAGGAACCCCAGCACCCTGCAGGGCCCACTGCTGAAACCCACTCTAGATCCTCTTTTTAAAAGGCACTCTCAGCACTGCCCACTGGCTGCTGTTGTAATTTCCCACAATGCCTTGGGAGGGTGTTGGACCAGAGGCATTGTGGGAAATTAAAACGGCATTTGCCCCGCTCTGATTGAAATACTGCAATTGCCACGCATACACCACCGCCACCCACTGCCTGGGAATCCCATCTGGGCACCAACAATGTGGCAAAATGCACATGGGGGGGTGTCTTTGCTAAAGGCCACCAAGCTGCCATTCCTTGACGTAGTGTCCTCAGTATGCAGGGTGGACGCTGCAAAGTATAAGACGACAGCACTGTGCTGCAAAGAGCTTACAAGCGAAAAAATTGAAATGGAGGCTGCAACAGAGGAAGGGCTATGGTTTTATTGCAAAGGCCATTCGCCCTGATAGAGACAGGCTTTATCGCTGTTGCAAATTTCAGCAGAGATGTTGCAAAGTCACTTTGATTTCTAGCAGATGTGGTGCTACAAACAGGCAAAGGTGGAGCAGAGAATAAGACTTCCAACACTGTTCAGGGGTAGCAAATTTGACCCACGGAACACAATCGCATGGGAAGTTCTCTTGCACCCCTGGCAGATTCCCTCCTGAGGACATAGACAATTTGTTGGTGATGGTGGAGACCTCATGGTAGAGCTACCCTTAAGTTCTCCTTCCTGACGATTCCCTGTGCCATCTCCAAAACCAGACCCTGTGCGTGCTCCCTCCCCACCCCTCCTCCTAACACAAATCACTCTGGATCTGAAGGCTGACGATGCACTTTGCTTCCCAGAGACTCAGCAACCGCTAGGACCAAAGACACACCTGTCCCCTGAGGTGCTGATGGTGGGAAGAGATCTGCCCTAAGCTGACTTGATCCCTGTCAAAAGCCTTGAAGAGAAATCGGGATAATGAGTGAACTCGTGTTATTACATGTGGGGTGGGGGGAGTTCTGGCAGAGATCCTTTCCCTCCCCCCCCCCCGAACAGGAGGGTTAAATGTTAAGGCTGTGAGGCAAAATTTGCCAAAGGGGAAGCTGCCGCGCTTAGGCAAATGTGCATCTATTTTAAATAACGTATAGTTTGCATCTGGAACAGGAGATTATACAAATAACCTTCTGCACCTTCCCTACAGAAAATGGGAGTTTTGCTCAGCTGCAACCCTCTCCGTTTCTAAGAACTCGCCAGGCACTGCTCACTTGTTTCGATGCATAGTTTATTGGGCATCAAAAGGGGCTAGAAACTTGCTTTTTTGAAGAAGCAAAACCAAACCATATGGTATGATTGCAGATGCACAGAACACACACACACACAGCCATGTCCAAGAGAGAACCGCAGGAGAGTTGGGGGATAAAGAGGGTGAGGTGGAGGGAGACAAATTGTGGGAGGGGGCCACGGCTGAATCAGCTGAGGATGGGCAAGAGAGACCATAAAAAGCATCCCTAGTAAAAGATAAAAACAGGGTGGAGGGATGTCACCCACACCCTTGGATTTTTTTGCACTGCTGCCAGAACTGTAACATTTTCCTGAGACTGCCACAGGCCTGTATTTCCTGGGGTGCTCTTGAGAAAGGAAGGCTTATCAGCCCCTGCATGGCACAATCTATTTTTGCTTCCTTCGCTGCATGGCTTTCCTGATCCTTGCGCAAGGGGTTGCCGGTGGAGGATACTGAGGCGGTGGCACATTCTGCCTTCCGACCGGCTCTCCCTGCCTGTTTGATTAGATGCTTTGCAGAGTGTTGATCAGGATGTTGCCACCTTGCTCCCTGGCACAGCCCCAAGGCGGACAGATGGCCCTCAGCAGAGAAGGTGCCAAATTGGACATTTGGGCTACAGATTTCCATCCAGCAAGGTCAAAGTGTTACCCCTCAAATGGCGCCCAAGTCTGTGTCCTCAGAGAGGGCCAAGAACCGTGGAAGAGCTATGAAGCCCAACCCTGATGCATAAGGTTCCAATATCCCCTTCCCTCTGGATCAATCCTGGCCATGCTGCGCATTTTGCCTATGAAACAAATCTCTCTAGGTGATCTGAATCGGGATGAGGTGGCATCCTCAAGGGGTGGATCTGGGACACAATTCAGGGCAACAGAGTAGGAAACAGGCATATATGGCCCATGGTTGATCAATTCACCAGAAAGTATTCTTGCACAAGCGGCACTGGAACGAACAGGAGCCAAACAAGGACATGGTAGGCAGTCCTGCACAGTTTATTTCAATGAAGCTTTTGCAGAAGATCTTGCCTGTAGATATTGTGGTGTGTGTGTGTGTTGGGGGGAGACTTTAATTTTCTGCCTCAGACATTAAAATGCCTTGAAGCAGCTCAGAGCTGGAGAATGTCTCGAACCAGTGGCACATAAATGCTTAATGCTGTAATGGCTTTCATGGAAGAAATTCAGTCCTGCTACTATCACACCAGGGCTTAATTTGAGCAGGACACAGCTCTCCGTCCCGTTTTCTATACTGGTATTCAGCTTTAGGACATGATTTTTAAAAAATATATTAAAAACATATTTATATACTGCCAACTCATATAACATATGAAAAAGCAGTATATAAAATTAGGTGCAAGTATAGCAAAACATAAGATATCCGAATAACAATACAAAATAGTTGTGAAAGTGCCTGGCTTGCCTTGAAAAACTTTAACAATGAAATAGGTCTGTCAAAAGCGAGGGCGCCTGGGGGACCTCCTCTAGAACGCCATTCCACAGCATGGGACCAGTAAAACAAAATGCCCAACTTCTTGCTGAAGCCAGTCAGGCCTCTGTATGACAGGGAACAGCTAACAGTGCTCCTCCAGATGATCTAATACAGGGTTTCCTAAACTTGGGTGACCAGAAGTTTTTGGACTACAGTTCCCATCATCCTTGACCACTGGTCCTGCTAGTTAGGGACGATGGGAATTGTAGTCCAACAACAGCTGGGGACCCAAGTTTGAGAAACCCTGATCAAGTTGGGATATAAGGGCTCAGGCAGTCCTCAAGGTGACCTGGACCCAAGTTGCTCAGGGCTTTCAGTCCCCAAAAGCAGCCTAGCAGTGGCCTATCAAAATAATGATTGACGTGCCTCTGCACATACGCAGAGTGCTTTGTCCTCCTTACTGAACATCCAAGCTTTACAGCCGAGGGCTGGGGTGGGTGAGTATGACTTACAGGCATCGTCGAGCCTTGATCTCTTTTTCATTATGAACCAGAATTGCCTTTGGAGACAACGGGATAAAGGCCCAGTTGACCAGGACTTCAGTTTGTGGCCTCCCCCACCCGCCACCCCGGCTGGCTTGAGAGCTTTCTCATCCCCCTACCCCAACCCAATTGTTTAACTCTCGGTCACCTCAGGTCACTGCTTGGATTAACTTGGGAGGGGCTTGTGTGTGTGTGTGTGTGTGAAAAATAGTTTGCATCTGTAGCTAAGTCCAGTTTTTGGCTTCTAGGATGCAGGATTAGGGGGCTGCTTAGAAGGGCTGTGTATTAAAATGTGCACTCTCCGCGGTTCTGAGCAGCTCTCCCTCAGGCTGGCCGGCTGGCTGGAACCACATCCTGTAAGCTGCCCACCCTGAGAGGACAAAAATGAACTTTTAGATGGAGCATCAGCAGAAGAGAAGCTCAGGAGAAGAGCCTCCCACCAGCCTGGAAGTATGATTTGGGAGCAGTCCAAAAGTTGTTTTATCAGCGCAGATCTATTCAAATACTTATGCAGGCTGCCTTTTCAGCTCAGATTTTACTAGGAAGCTCTGATTTTACTAAGGGACTGGGAAGGGCAAAAGCAAAAGCAGGAGCCGCCAAATGCAGTCTTGCCCGGTAGTGAGGGGAGGAAATGCATGAGATATTAGAACTTCATAAAATCAAGCCCCTCCACACGCTACAGCAGTGGCAGGAAACCTATGGTGCGTTGGAGTTTGTTGATCTCCAACTCCCATCAGCCCCAGCCAGTATAGGCAATGGTCAGGGATGATTGGTGTTTGAGTTTAGCCATATCTGAAGACAGCAGTTTCCCCAACTCTGCACTAAAGTAATCTATTCCATACTGCAAGGTTGTGGGAGACCAACAGCAAAGGTCCGACTAAATGTGCATATCTTTTTTTGCTTTTGCTTTGTTTTTCAAAACAACAAATAAATTAAACAGAAACAACAGCAAACCTAAAAATAAAAAAAATCAGAGTGTCTGCAAGACACCACAAAAATCTAAGATATGCATGCAAAATACTATCAATAATGTAATCGGCGCTACTCCTTTGCCAGTTAATTTGAAAGCAAAGATGTAGACTAGGCACTGGTAAATTAAGGCTAGAAAGTTCCATTAATGGTGCCTCATTAGTCATTCATTTTCTTCCCTTCTTTTGCTTGTATTGTATATTTTATTGGCAGCAGGCCTATAAGCAGTCACAGCTGAGGATTTCACCAAAGTGTGGGGTTTTGACCCTGTTGAGCAGGGGTCAGCAACCTTTTTTAGCAGTGGGCCGGTCCGCCGTCCCTCAGACCATGTGGACTATATTTTTTTTTGGGGGGGGGGAATGAACGAATTCCTGTGCCCCACAAATAACCCAGAGATGCATTTTAAATAACAGGACACATTCTACTCATGTAAAAACACGCTGATTCCCGGACCGTCCGTGGGCCAGATTGAAAAGGCGATTGGGCCGCATCTGGCCCACAGGCCTTAGGTTGCCTACCCCTGCCGTTGAGGATGTTGAAAAGTGCTAATGAAATGAAGGAGTGTGCAAATGAGTTTGCATGTGCTTGGGGTCCAGTTAACAGCAGGCTGCAGATTAAGGATTGAGAAAAACAGGGAGAAGGAGGCTGGAGAAACAGGTTGGGTGGGCTTAGAACAGAGTAAGATAACTCTTTTTCAGCCCAAGGTCTGCGTTCATTTGTGGGTTTTCTTTTGGGGGCCGCACGCCAGTGCAAGGCCAATACACAGTCACACACCCGCATACAAGCACTCATACATACCAGCACATCACACTTCCATTCTTACGCATAACATCCACTCATTTTCTCTCTTCATTTTAGATGCTAGGGGTCCACCCACAATGAAATGTTCTTTAACGTCAGCTGAATTTACTTTTTACACTTGTACACCACACTTCCTTCAAAGAGCTTTTGGTGCATACCCCTGTGGATTCTGCTGCCTTTCCTGTTCAGAGTGACGAACAGTTCTGTGGAACTCAGAAGCTTGCTTACACTCACACCAACCTAGGTATCTTCCAGTATAGCATTTCCTTCGCCTCCTTTGCACTAGAACTCACATGCCTGCTTGCTACCATCGGCGGAACTCCCTCAGAAAGACAGAGCCCTGTTCAGAGTGGGGCTCAGAGATGCAGGCAAGCCAGTCTGCCTCCAAAACACACAGGGATGGACGTGAGGACATGAGGTCGCTGCGATGGGGATAATCCACCTTCAGCCATTCATGTGGGAGGTAAGGAAGGATGTGAATTGAAAATCCAAAGCAATTGAGCCAAAGGATGAATGAGCTTTGCAAGCGATGGGGAATTGTGGCTCTGTAGATTTGATGTTAATCTCCCAGTTAAAAGCCTCGTGGAACATGCTGCAGCCAAGCGTGATCCATGAGAGGGTTCCCCGATTACATCTGAAGAGTGTAACTCCAGAGTGACTTCCTGCATCTTCTGCTGTAACCACTGAGCAGCACAGCTTGCACAAGCTGGTGACGCAAACTGGGAGTCCTGCTTCCCAGCTCCTCTTGTGCTATGCCAATATTTATTTTATTTTATGTATTTATCGCATTTATAGTCTGCCTTTTTCTTCAGGAAGCTCAAAAGTGATTTACATTGTTTCCCCCTCACTTAACCCCTGCAACAACCCTGTATAGGTTAGGCTGAGAGGTAACAACTAGCCCTAGGTCACCCAGGAATCAAACCCTGGTCTCTCAGGTCCTAGTCCAACACCACAGCACCCCCACTGGTTCTCAGACACCAGACCCCTCCTGGAAGAGGAAGGAACCCAAGAGTCCTGGCTCCCACAACATGCTTGCTTCCAAAATTGGATAACCCTACCACACTCCTCCCCGCCCAAGCTTAGATGTGTGGGGACTGGCTGCTGTGACTTGATTACATCCTGTACATGCTCAGGGGTGCTCTTGATAATTGCTTTTGTGCTTGGCGTGACGTTAGCCAAGAGGACGTGTGATGTAAGATAGATAGGTGCCTCTGAGCACTTGCAGAGTGATTTCTCTCACAGCTGAGCAATCACCACAAAAAGCCCACAATTCTGAGATTTGGGCATAAGGGCTTTCAAGACAGGGGGTGCAATTTCAAAAGAAGCGTGAGCCTTGTCTCTTCACAGTTTTGATGCGGATTTCCTGCCTCCAATATAACCAGCTGCTTCTAGTAAGCGCCTATCTAGTAAGGAGAGCTGGACTGCCACTGATTTAGCTCTTTTTCCTTGCGCCACAAGGGCGTCAGAAGCAGCCGCGGTCTAAGCTTCCAAGGAGGAGTTCAGGAGCTGTCCGAAGTGCTGATCTAGCGTCCTGCCTACCGAGAGCAAGGCGGAATTCCTTGACGCGTGGCGCGCTTAAAACAACAACAACAACCCGGATAACTAAGGGGCTCGCAAATGAGATTCCTAAATCCACAACAGGGCTTAAAAAGAAAAAAGAAATAGGCCAGCCAAAATGTTACAAAATGGTATGTAAGCTTTCCAGTTCTCCAGAACGCTTCATCGGACTAAATCGTAAACAAAACTGGGGGGAGGGGGGGAATTGGCTGATATTGGAGACTCGCGCGTGTCCCCAGCCTCAGGAGAACGATATTGGGTTTAATCCCGTTTTATATCACCGGGAACATGAGTAGAGATGGGCGTACAGAGAAAGGGCGTTCCCCTCCTTTCCTTCCCCCTTCTTCAAGCGTTCAGCAAAAACTTCTATTTTCAGGTATTGTGCGCCAGCTCGCTGTGGCTCCCCTAGGAATAAGGGGAGCGCTGCTGGCGCGCGCAGGGGGGTGCTCATTACGAAAGCTTCTCCCGGACATCCCCAAAGGAAAATGCTAAATTAGTTTTCATTGATCTTTCTGGAAGCATTTAAATCCTCCTCCTCCCCCACCCCCACCCCCCACGACCGGAATCCTCTTAAAGAGAAAATCCTCGAGCCCACAATATGGCATTTTAGTTGTTGTTTGTGGGGGTTTTTTAAAATACACACACAAACGATTACTACACCTTCCGTCCCCACCCATGTATCCTTTTCCCTCCGGCAGGGCTAAGCAGGTAGTGAGAGTGAGAGTGAGAGTGAAAGCGAGTGTGGCGTGTGTGTCTAAGAGAGGAAGGGAGATCGAGCCCAGTTTAATTGGCACCGACACCCTAGCCGTAGTGCAGTTAGGTAATTTTAGATTCCGGGCTTAATGGTCTTATCCAACTGCCCCTCTTTAGACGGTAATCCAAGCCGTGCTGCGTTTGGGGGCCACCCCCGCCTCATTCTGCAGAGTGGGGCTCTGGACGTCTGCCTTAACCAGTCCTGCCCTGACCGCACCACTGCGTCTCCAGCCCCGGAAACTAGGCTGAATGTCTAAGCTGGACTACATAACCCCGGTGGGAGCGGGTGTCCCTTCTAACCCTACAATTCTATAATACAATAAATCAGGAACCGACAGTCAGACAGGGCACTTCGAGCGCGGGTAGAATGCATTTCAGATTGCGCCCAGCGCGCGCAGCCTCCTTCGACCCGCAAGCATTTCTCTGGGATTGAGAAAGGAGGACTTTCCCATCCTCTGTGGCTCGCTCCCTCTTCCCTTTTCGGTCTCACCTGGAAAGTGCCATAGAATCGTAGAGCTGGAGGAGAACCCAAGGATCATTTAGTCCAGCCCCCTGTAATGCAGGGAATCACAGCTAAAGAATCCTCGACAGATGCCCCCAGCCTTTTCTCCCTTTTAACTAGCTGTATGTGGGGGTTTTTTTCTCACGGGTGAAGGTGAAAAAGAACTCTGCACGTGGGCAGAGAGTCACTGCTTGCTGCAGCAAGCACGCCTTCCTCCTGACCGAGCCTAGCTTCATTTTTAAAAGGACAAACGCTGGGGCTCCTTCCTCGCACACAGGAGGGTGGGCACACTGTGGTTGTTTGGTAAAGGGGGAAAGGCTCTTTGCACATGCTCAGGGTTGCTCCTTCTTATGGCTCCATAGGCTTAGTTCTCCTGGCATCCCAAAGAGCTTCTGACTGGGTCTGGGTGAGTCGTGGAGCAAACAGTGATGCAGTTAGGTAGTTAATTTAAAACTCTAGACTTAAAGGAGTCGCGATGCCCCTCGCTTTGAATGGTAATCCAGTCTAAAGAGTGTGGTCCTTCCGCTCATTGCGCTGAATGGGGGGGGGGTGTGACTTCCACTCGGAAGTCCTTCTGCACCACTGCAGACACGATGCTCACGGGGTGACCCCGGGCCAGTTACACGGACACGTTCAGCTCAGCCTAACTCACAGGGTTGTTGTGAAGATACTATGGAAAGGCCATTTGCATCACCCTCAGCTCTTTGGAAGAATGATGGGGCTCAAATGTAATAAACGAATAAATGTGTTCAAGTCGAAATCGGGAGGTGCCCAGGGACGGGCTGAACAGGGATCGCGCAGCTCAGTGGGCTTCGCGCAAGAGAACTGCCTACCCCCCTTGTCGGATGCCCTTAAAAGCACCCCAAATCCCACAGCCCTCGCTTCACTTTGCCTCTAGGAGATCGGGAAGGGAAAGGATTTCCTAGCCACACGCATAGAGAGGCACCGTGTCGAAAAAGTTTCCGAAAAGTAGCAATGCATGCAACTCACGCTCCCTTATATACAGCCCTGACTTCCTCCTCGCTGTTGTGGTCTCACCATCAATATAAATAGTGTCGTCGTCCCCCATACCCGCAAAAGCAAGCAAGATAGGTGCCTGCCGCGAGGAGCTTCCAACCTAAACGCAGATCTCAAGGGAGACAATGAAGGAGGGAGAAAAAAGAGGGGCGAAGAAAACTTCTAATCCCAGACGCGTGAGGAGTCTCCCTAAGGGTGAGAAAGGGAGAGAAAACCCTTTCGCACATGCTCAGAGGAACTCTTTTCTAGGTATCCCTAAGGCATGTTGCGGAGCCCAGTAAGGCATGCCTGAGACTGAGCACTTGCGGGCAGGCGACTCTTCCCTCCCGCCTGCCTAGCCTACAGACACCCTTGGTGAAGCTGTTCCGCCGCACCCGGTCTCTTTTCACACGTGCACAAAGGAAAGTCTACTAACTCTCCCAAGGAAGCCTGCGAAGGCTGAACAAGACCGGAGTTGGTGGCGCAGCTAAACATCAGAAGATGGGGAGAGGGTGGGCAGCAGCAGAAGAGACCCAAACAGTGTATTCCCCTTAAATAATAGAGTGTGGGGGGAGGGTCTCAGTCCCTGGGCGATCGGGAAACGAGAGAGATCAACCCACCCATTCCGATCTTCTCGATCTCCAGTGGGTGCTGTCTGTGCAGAGACAAAGAGCGTTTGTCTTTGTTAACTCGAGAGACCCAACACAAAGCGGGCTTGGGGCAGGGGGGTGGGGAGAGAGAGGCAGGCAGGCAGGGAAGGGGTGGGGTGGGTTTCGTTACTGTCCAGGACTTGGGGCAGATAATACTGACTCTGCACGCACCCCCTCCACCCCGGATTTAGGACCGCGGGGCAGAAAGAGAAACAAGGCAGAAAGGCGACCCCTTTCTCAGACGCCCCAAGAGTCAAGCGCCCATCCCTGGGCATAGCTGTCAACGTTTCCCCTTTTTTAAGGGAAGTTCCCTTATTCCGAATAGGATTCCTCGCAAGAAAAGGGAAAAGTTGACAGCAATGTCCCTGGGGCGTCAGGGTGCCTCCATCTTCGGGGGAGAACTTTTAGGTGGAAGAGAAGGAGAGGAGAAGAGAAAAGAGGGGGCTGCTGGTGAGGCGAGAGGGTGGAGGAGAGGCTGGATCGGACACCCCCTCCCAAACATACCCCGTTCAGTCCCACGGACCGGGCGTGGATTCGTGTCCACGGGACTCTTCCCCCCGCGGCGTCCCCGAGGCCACTTACGTGTCCCATCGAACCTGTTGGCGATGTTGTCCAGGAAGGTGTTCTGCGGCGCCAGCAAGCCTTTCATCACCGGCATGGCGGCGGCACCATGGGCGCCCCCCGCCGCCCCCGCGGGGAGGGTGCGCGTGTGAAGGTGGCGGCGGAGCGGGCGCGGGGCGCCTAGGCGTCTCCTCCTCCTCCTCTTCTTCCTCCGGCTCCGCCGCCGCCACCGCCGCGCGTCTCAGGCAGGGCGCTGCTGCGCGGCATCCCGGCCGGGGCTGCAGGCGCAAGGCGAGGCGAGGCGAGGCAGCTGCCCGAGCCTCCCTCGCTGTCTCCCTGCTTCCCTCCCTCCCTCTCTCCCGGCTGTCAGCTCCCTCCTGCTAATCCCAGCCGTACAATTAGCGCCGAGCAGCGCTGGGGAGAGGGGAGAGGAGGGATCCGGAGGGATCCCGCCCAGATAGCAGACACGCGCGCAGGCGCGCGCGTACACACAATTGGCGCCTAACAAGCCCCGGCCTTGTCCGAACGGGCGCAGTCCTAGGCCTAGTGTGAGGGACGCGGGAAAAAGCTGAGGGGAGACTCTTAAACTTCTGTACTCCACAGACACACACAAATGTGAGTTTTCCCTCCCTCCTTTCCTCTTTCTCTCCCTTCCCTTCCTCTTCCAACTTGAATAAAATATTGGAACGAGGGGGGCAGGTAAGACCCACCTCACATAACTGATCACAAGACAAAGTGCACGCAACTATTTGAATGGTAATGCCTATCAACATGGGGGGAGGGACGACTCCCTCAAATATTTTATTGGGGGGGGCGAAGGCACCTAGGCTTCTAGGAGTTGGCTGCTATGCCCAGGACAGTTCAGGAAAGCAAAATGATGCCTACATAAAACTATAGCAAACAGGAAAAAAAATGCACATTTAAAAAAAATCCCTTTTTAATGCCTGAGAGAATTCAAATAATGTCTTTGCCCGGGACTGAAAGAGTACAGGTGTTGGCTCCAGGTGGGTCTCTCTGGGGGAGGAATGTCATCACTGGGAAGCCATGGCTTAGAGAAGAAGCTTCTCCCTCCTTAGGCAGGTTGGTGTGCGAGTAGGTGCTCCTTATGGTGCTTTGGTCCTAAGCCCTTCCTACCAGAGAGCACTCAGCCGATCAGCAAATGGCTTATATCACCATAAAATCTGTTCACCTTTAATGTGCTGTCAGACTCTTGGATAGGAGTTTTCACGCAGAAGCTGGAGGGTCACTTCTCAGGGATGCAGTAGCAGCAGATTTCCCTGCACAAGGGGCTGGACTATGTGTCCTTTCCACTGTTGGGCCTATGATTTTGCTGCAACAGGGGTTGCCAGCCCTCTGGATCTTTGCAATTGTAGTCATATTCTTGTATACCTGCTAAACTGGAAGGATACTTGCCCTCTCCTTTCCGTTTGTCTCCTTCCCCGTAGTAGGGGTTGGGAACCTGCCAGCTTCCGGATGCCACTGGACTACAACTCCTATTATCCCTGTCCATTGCCCAAGCTGGCTGGGGCTGATACGAGTCAAGAGTCCAACCACCTCCCTACCCTGAAGAGCTGCCTTTCTCAACCACAGGTGAGGGGCTACAGTTAAGAAGAGAGTGCCTTTGGCCACATGCAGAATTCAGAGGGCGCTCTGAGCCAGGGCTTAATTCTGAACCTGTTTCAAATGCCCAACCTTATATGCTGAAGAGTGACCCCATTACACTACCTTTGTGTACAGGATTTAGTCAAAGGAGAGTCCCCAATTTTTTACATTAATTGGTTCAGAAGGCAAAATTGAGGTGAAAATTGGCAATGAGGTGGACCCAAACAGATTAATAAGCCCCAAAAGAATCAGTGTTTAGCTTGAGATATGGCCACCGTAGCCATTTTTTATTGTTGGGATTCAGCCCCAGATAATGCATATTAAAGTATGTCTGGACGCGAACAAATTCCTTTCTTTTGCTGCAACCTTTTGTTTTGTTGTCTTGATTATTTACTTGTGTTTTATCTTGTATTTTATTCTGTGAACCACCCTGAGATCTTTTGATGAAGGGCAGCATATACTTTAATAAACAATATTAATCATAATAATTCCTGGCCCTTTAATGAAGCTGAGATTTGTGCAGCAGCTGTTCGAGGATCAAAGGAGTGGCTTTCAAGTAGTATTGAACTCCAGCTCCTTGCTTGTTAAAATGATCAACTTCTTAATTAGCAGCATTGAGGATAGTGGAGGTGTTTTGGAGGAAGACAGAGAAGAATTTCAGGTGTCTTGATTGAGATTCACACCTGACTGAATTTCAGGTGTCTTGATTGAGATTAAGTTGTGTCCGGGCTCGGCTCGGTAATGTGTGGAGAAATAAAGAAGAGAATACCTCTGAGCATGTGCAAAGTTTTGCTCGTAATGGGGGAAGGCAGAGAAAGAGAATAATTCCAGGTGGGGCAATTTAGATTCACCCAGAACTTAATTTGTGTCGGGGCTCAGTCATGCAATGTGTGAAGCAGTAAAGAACAGAGTACCGCTGAGCACATGCGAAGTGTCCTCCCCTTACTGCTAAACACAAAGAGCCCCTAAAAGGTAGGGGGTTACAAGTTCCAGAGGTCAGGCTGTGTACAAAATAAGAGCGCCTAACCTTTCCTTTTTTGAGAGATGAAGCCCTAACACAACACACAAAAGAATCGCCCAAACAAAGAGATTCATTGCAGCCGGAGCTGCCAGCTTTCTTTGCCAACACTGCCCCCTGGCTGCCGACCAATGCCAAGCCAGTGAATTTGCCCAAGCAGCGTGGACATAGGGCCAGACAGTGATGGATGGATAGAAGCATCTGTTTAATAGATAGGTTATCCGAGATGAGGTTATGCCCCTGGTCCATTGGGGCAGAGTGGCCTATTATGGAGCATCAAAGGTGATTAAAGTAGTACTTTCTAAGAGAATGACATTGGCTTTAAAAAAAAAAAACACCTTTGGCAAGTGCTTCTGGTTCAACCCAGTTAGTGATGGAAGAACTCTTATTGTCCTAGGCAGGTTCCCAGCGGCCAAGGAAATAAGCAGTTAGAAGAGGAACTGTCCCCATCCCACCCCCAAGAGCTGCCTCTGACTGTAGACTTTAATAAAGGGGTAGGCAAGTACAGGCCTTGAGATCGAATCTGGCTGGAAAAGTCGCCTCAAGTAATCTACTCCTGAGCTCATTTAAACCGCAGCTTTCCTGCCACTTCACTTTGAAGCCTTGCACACACCTCGAAGCACACTCGGCTTCTTACAGCCCTCACATGCTACAAAAGAAGGCCCAGGTGGGGAGGATCAGAAGGCTTTTAAAAGAAGGGATTTAAAAGCCCAGACTGCCCTGCCCTGGCTCTTGGGTGAAGCAAACACTGTTGCCCAAGTCCAGAATGTGACCCCAGTCCCTGACCTGCAGCCAGCTTTTTGTGATGGCTCCTTAGCTACCGTTCCAGAAGGCTATGTGGGAGTGATATGGTTTGAGACCCCCTACCCCTAATTCAAAGGCCCTCATAGCCCCCCCTTACCTGAACCTCTCCAGTTCTGTCTCTGTGCCTGGCTGAGGAGGGCGGCCCAGTGGTCTCCAGCTGTGCATGGCCTTATTTATTCATGCTGTCTTATCCCAGCAACGGGGAACCTGTGGCCTTCCATTTGCTGTTCAGCTCCCATCAGCCCCAGCCAGCATGGCCAATGTTCAGGCATGATGGGAGTTGTAGCCTAACATGTGGGGACGGGGCTTAGCTTCCCCATTCTTGGTCTATTCAGCTCCACCCATGTTTGATGCTTGAATTATTACAGTGGTACCTCGGGTTAAGAACTTAATTCATTCTGGAGGTCCGTTCTTAACCTGAAACTGTTCTTAACCTGAGGTACCACTTTAGTTAATGGGGCCTCCCTGCCGCTGCGCCACCGGAGTACGATTTCTGTTCTCATCCTGAAGCAAACTTCTTAACCTGAGGTACTATTTCTGGTTAGCAGAGTCTGTAACCTGAAATGTCTGTAACCCGAGGTACCACTGTATTGGGTATTAGAGAGTCTGGTGACCCTCTTTACTTTTTTGGTGATGACCCCTCTTAGGTTTTTTAGAAGGTGGGGAGCAGGGATAAATTGACTAAAATTGAGAGGAGTCAGGGCTGGGGCTTGTGGGTTTAGTGAAGAGCCCCTCTAGATGTATGGCAACCCTTGGGTTTAGTCATTTGGTAAAATGCAGTTCCAGCCCCCAGACCATTGTCTAGATAGGCAATAATGCTGTAGCTCAGGAGAATACAGGCCTGCCCCAAATTAGATGAGCTATATATACTCCTACTACTTTCTCGTTCTGTTGTGCCATATATATGCTACTACTTTCTCCTTCTGTTGTGCCATGATCATTTCTGTAATTTGTCCAGATGAAGGTCATCAGGATAATTCAGACCCTCCAAGTCTCCCTATTTTCCAGGGACAGTCCCAGATTTACAGAAGTCGTCCCAGTTTCTGATTTGATCCTGGAATGTCCCACTTTTCCTTAGGAAGTCTGTATTTTCATTGGAGAAATGTTGGAGGGTATGGAGTTATGTGACATCTGAAGGCAGCCCTGTCTAGGGAAGTTTTAAAATGTTTAATGATGTTTTTATATATGTTGGAAGCGTGGCTGGGGCAACCCAGTCAGATGGGTGGGGAATAATAATAATAATAATAATAATAATAATAATAATAATAATAGATGTCCCTATTTTCATCAGAGAAATGTTGGAGGGTACGTATAATAATATCTGATCTCAGTGGGGGTGTTCTTTTCAAACACAGTGAACATTCATCTCTTGAGCATGAGCAACACCTACTCAAAAACAGCTGTCCACCCACCAGCCTGTCTCTAGTTCTGGAGGTCCTCAATGTCCTAGGACCTATAGGAAGGTAAAGGAAGGAGATGCCGTAAATCAGGAGTGAGGAAACTTTGGTCCTCCGGATGTTGCTGAACTCCAACTCCCATCAGCCCCAGCAAGCATGGCCAAAGGCCAGGGATGATGGGCATTTTAGTTCAGCAACATCCAGAGGGCCATAAGCTCTACACACCCGCCTCCTACAGAGTCAGGCTCTTTGTCTCTCTCTAGCCCAGAGTTGCCAGGGACTAAACCTGAGACCTTCTGCAAGCAAAGCAGATGTTCTACCACGGAGATAAGCCACACACCATTTTTCTCTCACACAGGAAGGCAAAGGAATCACCAGCACTTTCTCTGCCAGTGAGAGCAGCCAACAGCAGCTCTGCAAGCCGAGATGCTGATGAGCATCAAGGAGCATTTGAGGGGCCTGATAAGAGGAGAGCTCTGGCAAGTACCTTTGATGCTGTTCACATTTGGGAAGGGAGAGTTCAAAGCACACAGTACTTTGCATGTCTGATCTCAGGTGGAAATCAGTCAGTGAGCAGAGTCCTTTGATAATAACAAACAATATGATTCAGCATGGATACAGCTCTTCAAAATGTTAAAAGCGTTGCATAGGTATTATCTTGCAGCAATCATTACAACAACCCTGTAAGGTGGGTCAGGGTTATTATAAACATGGCAGATTGGGGAGGTTGGGGGGGGGGGAGACAATGAGGCTTCTCTAGGATGAGCTAGTGAGTTTATGACAGGCGAAGTTTCAGTCACAGCTTTTCAGAGTTATAGCTCTGCTGTAGGGAACCTTTGGCAACCGCATGTTGCTGAACTACAACTCCCATCATTCCCAGCGAGCATGGCCAGTGGCCAGGGATGACGGGAGTTGGAGTTCAGCAACATCTGGAGGGCCAATGTCAGGAAAATCCAGTCTGCTTTAAAGCATCCTGGATTATTAACACTAAAAAGCTAAATCTAAGATTCCTGTTTAAGCTGCAAAGGGGTGGCACTCTGCTAAACACTCACAAACGGGAGGAAGGAAGGAAAATATCTAATAAATATAGCGTCTCCTAGCATCTAATCAAATCTCAACAAAAAGTGCACAACCACACAAAAGCAAGAAGTTTCTACGCACACACACACACACACACACACACACGCGTACACACACGTGTCTCCATCCTCCAGGCAGCCACAAGGCATAACAGCAGCTCAAAGACGCATCCTAGCCAGGCAAACAGGGGCTGCTACATGGGTGGTGAGAGGCTGTGGCCTAGGGATGGATGTGGCCTGGTGAGAGTCCCAAGGGCCAGCTGGAGAGGCCTGGAGGGCCACATTCAGCCTATCCACGCCCGGTCTGAATGTTTCCTACTCCTGGACTAGACAGATGCTCAGTTTGATCCAGAAAGGGCATCCTTCCGTTCTTCACGCCGGCAGCATCTCTCTCACACGGACACCAACAGAATGGCAATGAACACGATAGCTGGCTTTATTTGGAAAAGAACACAAGAGGAGCGTGAGGTTGACAGAAGTTTGAAAAGAGCTATTTACACAAGGGGAAGGACCGCCTCGCTGCCACCTCCGGGACAGCACCTAGCAGCTGCCTGGCATTAAAGGACAGATGACAGCGGCGATGATAGAAAGCAGAAGTTGCTTGGGTGGCTTCTTGCAATTTCACCCCCCTGCTGAGACATATGCACAGCCTTAGTAAATGGTATCTGAAGCACCCATCTTTGGGCCAGGTGGCAAGTCCCTCTCAAGGGGTGCTAGGCAGCCCATGGCTGGATCAGGCCCTGCAGAGTATGGCGCTGGCGTTACTCGGTTGCTGCCAGGCACATCCTCTGTGTTTCCCAGCCCCAATCCACTTGCTCGTTTGCCCATGGTGAGGATCCCGGCGGCCTGGTTCTCCGAACTGTGCAGGAGTTGATAGAGCCGGCTCTGGAAGGCCTTGGTGGTGGCTGTGGCGCTGCTCCGCTTGCCAAGGGTGAGGATGCCGGTGGCGTGGTTGCCCGTGCCATGCAGCAGCTCAAAGAGGTGGCACGAGCAGCTCTTTTGACGGCAGCAGTCTGGCACAGCTTGCTTGGTCACGGCGGAGGAGCAGAGCAAGAAGAAGAGGAGCAGCAAGGTGGCTCTCTGGACCTGGAGGGGTATGAAGATGAGTCAGCAATTTTCGGTATGAGAGGAAGATTTGAACCTCCAGAGTAAACTTAACAGCAGCCGCAGCCAGGCCGGCACTAACATTAGGCAGAGTGAGGCAGCAGCCTTGAGCAGCAGATTTTGGCACGGCTGTGAAAAAGCAGCAAATTGTTAGCAACTTCATGCATCATAATTACAATTAATTGTTATATTTTTATTGCCGGGGGCAGGGAGGAAGAAGTGCTTGTAGGATTTTTCTGCCTCAGGTGTCAAAATAACTTGGGTGGCCTTGGGTACTGCTTTGCAAAATGTCTTGAGCCAGTGATGCCCCCTTCCCAGAAGGCAGCTTAATCATCAAACCAGAACTATGAGGTGTGTAGGAATAGCCAAATAAGTTTAAATTATACTTTGGCTTGGGGGGAAAAGCATGCATTGGAATTTGCCACATTTTCATTAGGGTTCTCCTAATTAAACTTTTCTTCTCGTCTGTGACGATAGAGAGTTTTAGAATAACAGTGCTATATTTTTTGGGAGGTTAACATGACTGTAAACGTGTATTAAAAATAGCAACCCTCTCATCTTAATTTAATAAATTAAATACATATTATAATGCCAGAAATGAGGGTACTTCCCCCCCAAAAAACCCCACCTTACTGCAAACATGTATGAAAGTTTCTTTAACTTTCTTTAAATCCCCTCTCAAGCTGCACTTCTATGAGTTCATTGGCAGAGCATTAACTTTGCACCCTAAAGTCCCCAGGTTCAATCCCAGCACCATCCCATCTGAAATCCTGGATAGCTGCTGCTGCCAGTCAGTGAAGACAATACTGAACTAGGTGGTCCAATGGTCTGACTTGGTACAAGTCAGCTTCCTAAACCATACCCTCCAACATGCTGAGTCCCAAAACTGAGACATGTGTCTTCCTGTCTGTGCTCCTGCACAAATCACATGACCCATGTGACAGCACAGAGCCCAAAGACACTTTTTGGGAGGAGGGCACTCATGGTGCCCAAAACCATGTACCGTATTTTTTGCTCTATAGGACGCACTTTTCCCCCTCCAAAAATGAAGGGGAAATGTGTGTGCGAATGCTATGGAGCGAATGAAGGCTCCTTGGCTTCAGAGATAGCAACGCGAAGCCTCCGAAGCGCAGAGGGAGAGCTCCCCCCGCGCTCCGGAGGCTTCGCGTTGCTTTCGCTGAAGCCGCCTGAACCCCCCTGGAGCGCAGGGAATTCCCGCTGCGCTCCAGGGGCTTCAGGCAGCTATCCGCAAGCCTTCAGAGCGCAGCAAGAGTTCCTGCCGTCTGAAGCCTGGAGAGCGAGAGGGGTCAGTGCACACCGATCACTCTTGCTCTCCAGGCTTCGCTTCACTGGAGAGGCGCTGCACAGTTTTCCCTCTCTGCGCAGCGCTCCTTCAGTGAAGCGGGAGGAGAAATGGAAGGGGCTCTGTTTCTCCTGCCGCTTCGCTGAAGGGGCGCTGAGCAGAGAGGGGGAGAATTTTTTCCCCCTGTTCTCCCCCTCCTATGGTCCGGTGCGTCCTATAGAGCGAAAAATACGGTATTTTAGGGTGCTGCATGAGATTATGGCCCTGAAAAAAGTGCAGGATGGATAAATGATTAATGGGAGGACACAGGAACATCCCCACACAGAAACAAATCAGGACGAATGCTCATTGTCATAAAACTACCCCACAAACACATCAGAACAAAGCTAAATGAAGACCAGGCATCGTTTAATCTCTCTGCAAGCTTTGGGCAAGCAAATCAGAGCAAACTCTCAATAAAAAGGCTTAGAGAAGCCCTCTGAAATTTGGATTTGGTAGTCCCTAGACAAGGGGAGCCTGTACTGAAGAGACAGGCATCACTTGAACTAAAGCTGAACAAGGCTTTTGGCATTTCAAAACACAACAAGATTGCAGAGCAGCTTTAAAACTAGGGGAAATTAAGAGGCACTGTTCTTTTCTTGAGGACTCATCCCTCTGAGATGATGCTCTAAATATTCAAATACCCTCAAAGCGGGGGCTGAATAGAAGCTGGTAACAAAACATAAAAATGAATGAATGCAAATCAGAAAGTCCAACAAGGGTCATAGAAAATATTATACACATGCGGCATTTAAAAAGGGAAGCAATATATAAAGTTGAGATTCTAATGCGAAAAGCCTGAAAGCAAAGATTAGGTGAATTAGCACCAAGTTATCTGCTCCATAGATTTTACTGCATGTACTGAGCCATCAACTGGGATAACTTTCATAGGCAGCTACAAATTAGCATCTGAGGGCCAAACTAAGTGAAAACGTGTCTTTGCATTTAATGGTGGGGTGATTGCTGCTGCTGTTTTTTAATGCAAATAGTATCATCTTGGTGCCAATGCGAGATTTCCTCCCAATGCAAATACAAGCTTCAGAGGAGGGATTTTTTTGCCTGGCGCTAAAAGAGAATGCAGATATAATGAGCATATCAGAAGCCCGGTCTATCAAGCGGAATCAGTAGACTGCAATTACCCCTCCATATCATGTGTTACAGAGAGGGCAAGGCAAGTCGTGCTTGCAGGTGGGAGTAGTGCTCTGTTCATGAAAGAGGGCACAGAGTCCAATAAACCAGAAATCTCTTAAGGAAACAAACCTCTTCAGAGAGTCAGTCTCTGCAGAAATAACAAGCAAACATAAGCAGTAGAGTGGTAGGGATTTTATTATAATCCTCCCTCCTGCCTGGATGCAAACTCTTGATGGTGATCTTTGAGATGCAGAAAGACAGCAAGGAGGCAGCCAGAGATGAAAACGTTGTCATAATGGGTCACTTCAATTATCTGGGGAAACATACATTTAGCAAAGAGACAACAGATCGAGCAGTGGAGGCAGGACTTATTAGGGCAAATGGGGCACTGCCCCACCAGCCTCAGTCTGCCCTCATCCAGTGCCCACCTGCCCACCTTCTTACCAGGGGGTGGCACTGCCTTGACATCTCCCCACCCTCTTAGTCTCAGTGTTGCCTTTGTAGAAATCAGCTGGGAAGAAGAGGATGGGGATGAAACTAAAACAAGCTGATTGTGCCTGCCCTTGGCTCTGGCTCCCCCTACTGTTGGCCTCCCTATCTTGCACCCTACCAGCCACTCAAATCGAAGTGAGAGCTCTGATGCAGTTCCATTGGTAGCCTATCGTATTTTTTACTCTTAAGTCGTATTGAAATATTATTTTATTTTTCTTTCTTCATTGCATTTATATCCACCTTTTCCTCCATGGAGCTCAAGGTGGCGTATATGGTTCATCTTCCTCTCTTCATTTAATCCAGTGTGAGGTAGTGGTTAAGAGCAGTAGTCTCGTAATCTGGTGAACCGGGTTCGGGTCTCCGCTCCTCCACATGCAGCTGCTGGGTGACCTTGGACCAGTCACACTTCTCTGAAGTCTCTCAGCCTCACTCACCTCACAGAGTGTTTGTTGTGGGGGAGGAAGGGAAAGGAGAATGTTAGCCACTTTGAGACTCCTTCTGGTAGTGATAAAGCGGGATATCAAATCCAAACTCCTCTTCTTCTTCTTCCTCACAACGACCTTGTGAGGTAGGTTAGGCTGAGAGGCAGTGACTAGGCCCAAGGTCACCCAGTGGGCTTCATGGCCGAGTGGGGATTTGAACCCTGGTATTCCAGGTCCATGTCCAACCCTCTGACCACTATGCTGCACTGATGTTCTCCCACTCAGTGAAAAATGAACAATTATAAGTGGGTTATATATTATTTAAGTAATTAAGTACGTATGTCATCACTCGCAGCCGCAGTGTTCCCCACGTACAAATTACGAACACTTTTAAATCAGATCTTTGGGCAGCCGTGCTGTCCAATTTTAAACGTTGGTTTTGAGAGCATTGTAACATAATGTCACTGCTGAGCCAGGTCAAAGGTCTAGCATCCTGTACTCAGAGTGGCCAACCAAGTACTTAGGGGAAGTCCGAAAGCAGCGTCTGAGCTCAACTGCACTCTTCCCACTTCCCCATGATTCCCAGGAAATGGCATTTGGAGTCATATTGCCTCTGCCTGTGGAGGTGAATGTCAGGTTTTCTGATCTTAAGTCATTAAGGGCCAAGCTAAACATGATGTCCAATGTATCTTTGAATTTACCAATGTTGTGCAGGTTTGTTTGTTTTTTAATGCAAATTGCATCAGCTGTCTGAGAAAATATTTATTGGGATTTCAGCAGGCATATCAAGAGAATGCAGCCCTCCTTTGCCCCTTTGCAGATCAGAGGAAAATGCTTCCTCTGAAGCTTGGATTTGCATTGAAAATGCACACACACACACACACACACACACGGCCGCACGCACACACAGCAATGGAGGATTTATCCCTAAAGTAAAATAGCACTATAGGAAGAGAAACTTTCCTCAGGACAATCAGAGGGAGGAAAGGGTTAAATCCCATAAATCAACAGGGCTTACCTGTGAACAAAGAAAGATTGGTTTCACTATAACCTGTTTGGGGCTTGTTAATACTAAATAAACCAACTGCAAACATATAAAATTATAGACAGTGTGAGAAAGTGTCCATTATCCCTTACACACAATATGAAAACACAAGCTCACCTAGTGATTGGCAGCCATTCAGGACAGATGAAATGAAACAAATCACACAGAACGATGTGTAAGCCACCGATGGAATTTTATCGCCAAAAGGGGTTCTTTTTAAACCGAACCTGGGACCTTTTGCATGAAAAAGCATATGCTCTGCTGCTGAGCTACAGCTCTCCCTCCTATCTCCCACCCCCCAAATGGACGAGAGGTCTGTCAACAGCTAGCAGCCATGAGAAATGGGATCTCATGCTCAGAACCAGTAAACCTCACTGAATCAGATGCTGACGACAGTCCACAGAGAGCTTTTGTCTTCACGGCCATTTGTGGACTTCATACCGTAGCCGCTGTTGAGAGATGAAGTGCTTGACCGGTGGACCAGCGATTCTTATTTACAGCGCATCCTTGTTCTCTCACGCCTGTTCCACTCAAGCACACTGGTTGTGCTCCCATTTTGTTGCTTTTCTTCCGTCCCACTACCTCTGCTGCTTCCCCTCTCTATACCCAGGGCATTTCCCCCTTCTCTGTCCCATAGCGCAAGCTACCAGAGACCACCACCCTCTACCTCACAAAGTCCTTCTTGAAATCATCCAAACTTCCCCTGACTTTTTACTCCACTACCACTTCTAACTTGCCCCTTTTACCCAACCTGGACCTCCCCTCCATCCCATTCCTTTTAATTAGTCTGAAGCCCTCTAGGGAAAGTAGCATTGCTTTTCTTTAATTTTCCATGCAGCTCCTAATACTCTTCAACAGTAGTAGTAGAAAATTGTGAGGGGGAAACCTCACATTGGTGACAAGATGGTGTCTTCTATTGCACCATTAGCTCGTTGGAAGCTTTTGAGCTCCACAGCACTCTTCCGTGACACTCAAGTTTGAAATCGAGTCCTCTGTTTTTAACTGGTTTTGTACATCGATCTACTGGCTTCCTTCTAAGAGCGTTTCCTAGCTTCACTCCAGATTCATGTTATCTTCCAAGGCTTGGCCCAACTAGAGAGGAACATGACAACCCAGATTTGCATCTCCAGCTCAACATTGTGCTGCCGCCACCCCACCCCCCAGGTTTGCTCATCTAGAGAGAGTGATAGGGCAGTTACCTTAATCTTCTGGCTCTCCATAATCTTGGTTGTCTTCAAGGCGACAAGTTGGCTTGTGTCATGACCTTCCAGGGGTGATGCTGTAAGGAAAAGCTGGAGGAAGCGGTCAATTTATAGGGCCATTTTCTACGTAGGCTCCAGGTACCTCACTTGCTCCCATGATACGTGACACAGACACACACATCCTTTCCTATGGCAATGCCAAAAATAACCGTCTCCCCACCGACCCCTCAGAGAGGCTCAGAAAAGAGAGGAAGGATCCTTTTGTACCCCGTCTCTTGGAGACCGGCCAAGACATCCACCCGCCTTTGTCGTTCCCCCTCCAGTAATGAACCCACAGACGTCTGAGGAACCGGACAGCCGCTTACGAGCCACAAAGGCGGCCAACGGCTAGGCCGAGATAATGAGAGGAGCCGCACTTGTTAGCATGGGCCCATTAGGCTAATTACCTCAAAAACATGGAGCCAGAAGCTAGCAGTGCCCTTTTCGCTGGCACGTGGCATTGGCACACTTTCTTCCACACGGGGCACATGTCTCAGAGAATATGGCACCCCCAATCCGCACACATACACAGCACCAGTACTTGGGTTTCGGGGGGTGCAGCACCCCAATGTCACCCGTCCTCCTAGCCTAGCCCAGAGGTGAGGAATCCAATTCCTGGTTGGTGGTGGCTTAGAAGTGATGTGCAGGCACCAAAGTCCCTTTCAGCTAAACTCCACCCTTACCTGTATGATGTCAGGTGTAGGGCAGGTAGGGAGGCTTGCCTGAAGCAGCTTCACAGAGCAAACAGGGAGGCCAAATTTGGCCCGGGGGTTGCAGGATCCCACCTGCCACCCCCCACCAGCTCTCAGAAGAAGAGAGGCCTCACATGGGACTTTCAGGGAACATGAAGCCAAAGTGTGATTTGTGGACTAAATTATTGTGTCTCAGGCTGCTCTTAACGGTACAGGAATCCTCTGAGGAAAAACAGCAGGCAATCCCATTCTACGTTCCTCTCCATTTCAGGTAGCCCCATTAACTTTCTGCATCTGTTTAAGGCAGAAGTGGGGAACCTCCGGCCTGCAGGCCTCACGAAGCCTAGTACAGGCCCCCGTTTCGACCACACAACTGTTTCTCCCAAACCATGTCCAACTGCCCCACATAAGAACTCATACATAATATCAGGTGTGGAGCAGAGAAAGGGGAGACCTCAGGGAAACTATTGGGCGCTTAAAGCGAGCTCTCAATTGTTCCTTTGCAAATGGGACTTGTAGCAACAACTGGGAGCAGCTGCACCATAGCTAGCAGGGCTTGCTGTCAGTGCCGATCAGCAGACTGCTGGTTTTGGCAAGCTCCTTTGAGCAGAGGTGGGCAGTCTCACTCACTCATTATAGTCATAGCTGTCAACATTTCCCTTTTTAAAGGGAAATTCCCTTATTCTGAATAGGATTCCTCTCAAGAAAAGAGAAGAGTTCACAGCTATGATCATAGTTGACCCGTGTGGAATCAGGAATCTGGCCCACTGGCCAGATCCAGTCTCGCCTGCCCCCCACTCTAAGTCTTACTGTAATAGAAGCCATACCCACACTGAGCAAGATTCAGGTATATTTGGAAGTTGCAAATTCATCAATGGGGAGATGTGAGGAGAGGTGAGGTGTCCCTCAAATAGAGATCCAAAAAGGGAACTGATCCTGATAAGAGATAGTATGGAAACAGGGGGTATATCCAGGCACAATGGCAGCATGCCTGACCCATGTACTAGAGGACACAGGTTCTGCTTGGTAGACACCTGGGTTACCAGGAGATAAGTGTTTATGTATGGGGCAGAAATTTTAAAGAGAGGGAAGTGGTGGGTGCAGAGGGAATGCTGAGCCCTTTCCTCTCACCATTTTCCTTGCCCCCGTTGCTTTTCTCCAAGTGCTGTGAGGGCATGATTAAAAGAGACAGAAAGAACAGAAGAGAAGCTCAGGTTTTATTGTCAAGAGAATCCATCCCTCACAATCCTAGAGGAAGCCTTCCAGGTCTGGCATGAGGGGAACAGGGCCCAGCTGGGGAATCATCAGTCTATGCCCCCCCCCACTCAGCAACACCCCAAAAACTAGGAAAAGTGAGAGATCAATGTTAAGGAACCAGAAGACACCATTGCACAAATATCTGTGAGACTGGCAAAATATTTCAAATTTCAACATTTCAAATGTGAATTTAAGGGACACTTTGAAAACTCAAGCTTTAAGGTCTGCGTGTTATTTTTCAAGATGGTATGATCTTCTTGTTAGATTTACAATCTTACAGCCTTGCCTTCTTTTTGGCCAACAAACAAACAAACCCCATGACCCTGAATCCAACAATATTCCATAACTTGGGAACAATGGGGGGGAGGGGGGAATCCAGTCAGGAGAGGATAAAATTTGGGTTGCATCCAGCGATATCATACTCAAAGTAAACCCACAGAAATCAACTGGCACGCTTCAATTAATTCTGTTGATTTCAGTGGATCCACTCTGAGTGTGACTTAACTTGATGCAACCATTTGAAGTTTTACAACCAGATTCTAGAGAGGAAAGTTGGAGATGTAGTCCTCCTTGTCATTTCAGCTCTAACTAGGAGCCTCAAAGCATGGTGGGGGAGAACAAGACATACCAAGATGTCTTCTAGCCCTCTCCCTCCTCACTGCCACCTTGCCCTGAGGAAGATCTGTGTCCAGCAGACAACAGAACTCTATAATATTTCAAGTTGGAAGGAGGCAACCTGGAGGTCATTCAGACCACCCCAGCAATCCTGGAATCTCAGTGTCACAGCAGCCCTGACGGTTGGCCCTCTGCTTAAATACTACCAGCAGGGAGCCCACCACACCTCCTGAGGGAGTCTCTTCCAGCGCCCCACAGCTACAAGCCTTGCTCTGCAGCTGTGAGCCACTCAATTCCCAGGGGATCCTGTACCCAAAATCTGAGTTTGGCCTTCCTCTTGCTAGTGAATTTAGTTCCAAGGGTGGAGAGAAAGAGAAGCTGTTTTTATTTTAGTCTCAGCCCAGATAACATGCCAATGGCAGCCTCCTCCCACTCACCAACAGGGGGCGCTACATAGGATCCAGAGGTGATCCTATGCACAGCTCTTAGGGCCTTGTGCTTCTAGCAGACCTTGACCCAAGACCTCAAGAAATGTCAGGCACGGGATTCAGCCTCCGAGGTGCCACCCGCCTCCGTCCAAAAGGATGAAATTCCAGCAGGGCCGGCCCTACCATTGAGCAGCCACCTGAGCTGATTTCAGGTGTCAGGAAAAGGACAGCAGATTGTTTGATTTATGATGGCTGCATTTTTACTGACAGGGAAGGGGGGAGACTCATGTGGGAATTTCTGGCTCAGGTGCCAAAGAAAACAGCAGTACTTGACTAGCTTTGGCTACTGCTCAACTCAGCTCGGGCAGCAGCTGACATTCGCTGCTCTGCCTCCGGCAGTAAAATGACTTGACTGCAGAAGGCCAGCCGAACAACCACCTCTTTACACTGATAGGCCACAGCAGCTCAGCTGACACCTATCTGAGCCCCTATAGAAAAGCTTCTGGGCCAGGCTTGGTTACTGGTCCAACAAATGAAGAGGCCTTTGCTGACGCTGGTTTTTCATGGGAGCCTCAGTAAAATGAATGGGAGCACCCCAAGGAACATGGAGGCTCCTGTTTGTTTCAGTGATCACATCAACACCATACATGTAGAGCATGTGGCTTCCCTCAAAGTCTTGGGGACTGTAGTTCACCCCTACCAGAGCTGCAATTGCCAGCACCCTTAACAAACTAGAGTTCCCAGGATTCTTTGGGGGAAGCTGCACGTCTTCAATGTGGAATGACCAAAGAGGCTGGTGAAGGAGAGGTTTTCCCACAGGTTACGGTCAAATCTGTTTGTCACTGCCATCTGAAATCTGCTGTCTGGGGTTGGTCACCCTGTTTAGGAAAAGAGAGCCCCAGTTGTTACGCGCATAGTGACTTGGAAGTTGACTGGCGACAACCTCAAGCTACTTCCCCACGCTGGAGACAAAACTGTGCTTCGTGTCGATTTTTAAAAAATAAAAATAGAAATCCGCCACGCTTCATCCCAAGTCTCTGTGTGTGTCCATAAGTCCACTGCCCTCCCTAGGTCTCAGGGCCACTCCGAGTCAGCAGGATCCGGTGTCGCTGCCCCCTTCGGTTTCCGGGATGGGATCGAGGAGAGCTCGGCCGCGGAAGAGGTCGGGGGAGGCGGCGCCATTCCGGCCGATGCCACAGGACTGTGCGGCGTTGTGGATCTGCCAGAGTGTGTCAAGTGCCTCTGCCTTAGAGTGTTTCAGTAGGTCGGCCTGGCCCTGTGGGCGACGGAAGAGTTGAAGAGGTGATGAAAGGTGGTCACAGAGTCAAGGAAAGAAAACAAAAAACACACACCCAGAGGCCCAACAGCAAACTACAGTGTGGAAGGTAACCCGACAAATTCAGCAGCTTAATAATTCTCCTTTTGGGGAGGGAGGAAGCCAACTTGCCTACAATGTATTATTGGTGGGCAACGTCGCTGAAAAAAAACAAAAGGTGCCCAGTGTATGCAGAAGGAGTTGTTATAAAATAATACGCATGAAGAGAACGAATCATACTGGTTCTATACGTGAGGCAAACTGAAGTTGTATCGGCCTCAGTCCAGTATACCTGAAGGAGCGTCTCCACCTCCATCGTTCTGCCCGGACACTGAGATCCAGCGCCGAGGGCCTTCTGGCAGTTCCCTCACTGCGAGAAGCCAAGTTATAGGGAACCAGGCAGAGGGCCTTCTCAGTAGTGGCACCCGCCTGTGGAATGCCCTCCCACCAGATGTCAAAGAGAACAACAACTACCAGATTTTAGAAGACATCTGAAGGCAGCCCTGTTTAGGGAAGCTTTTAATGTTTAATAGACTGTTGTATTTTAATATTTTGTTGGAAGCCGCCCAGAGTGGCTGGGGAAACCCAGTCAAGTGGGCGGGGTATAAATATATTATTATTATTATTATTATTATTATTATTATTATTATTATTTATCTCAAACTTTTTAAAAAAAAGTATTTTCCTTTGTTGACACATTTTGGTAAAGGGGCAAATCTTTCCTCCCATTCTGACACAACAAAGACCAGTCATCACAACAGAGACTTAGTTCAACTGCTTTTGCTTTTCTTACACGGCTTTAATGAGAAAAGTGCAAATAAACTTAAACAAAAAGCTGCCCATTATAGTTGCAAAACACACACACACAGTCATAACATTAGCAGAAATCAGAGCATATGACCAACCTAGTGGCATAGGAAGCTTCCTTATACCAAGTCAGAACATTGGTCCACCTAGGCTAGTCCTGTCTACACTGACTGGCCGTGCCTCTCCAGGGTTTCAGACGGGGATAGTCCCTGTTCCACCTGGAGATGCCAGGGATTGATTGTGGGACCCGGATAGCTCAGTTGGTTATAAGTGTGGTGTTGATAATACCAAGGTTGCAGGTTCGGTCCCTGCATGGGACAGTTGCATATTCCTGCCTTGCAGATGATCTTCAGGGGCCCTTCTGACTCTACAATTCTATGATTCTACGACTGTCGGTCCCGTAACAAAAATTAAGAGACCAGGAGAAGTCAGTGTTAAGGGAGGAGTTGAGCCCTTTCACAGAATATTTGAAGAAATATAACAGTCAGATAAGTTTGTAAGTAGGATTTGAACTGTGGACGGCAGTGAAGAACCATCTAGATATTAAGCTAAGCTGAAGAGGGGTGTTAGGTATGATATGCAGCAAGATAAGGGGAAATAAGGAAACCATGGAGGGGAAGTTCATATGTATTAGAAAGGATGGGGGTATTAAATGTATTAAAGCTCTGGAAAAACTTTGATGATGATGATGATGAAGACGACTGTTGGTGTGCAGAGCAGATTGCTCTACCACTGAACCATTGGACTTTAAGCAGCAATGTCATGCACTGGGGGAAATCAGCAGCAAGGAAGCCATCTGGAGAGAAGCCATCAGCATCCCCTTTTAACCAAAGCAACTGAAGGAAAGCACAGCTCTAAGCAGCCCTCGTGTTTTTCAAAACAGCAACAGACAATCAAGATGAAAGGACATGGAACATGCAGCGCCCACCAGGTGGCAGTGCCTGCTCACCACCGGACCACGGACACTTTAGATTCTTTAGAAAGTCTGTGGCCCAAACAAAACCCGGCATTCAATGCACAAGTGCTTTTGACACCCTCCCCCCCAAAAAACCCCCTAGAGCTGCAGCTTGAAATGCATGGGGAGGGAGAGATCATTCCGTTTCCTGCGAGCCCAGAAAAAATCTCCCAGGAAGAAAACATCCGCAGGGCAATAGTATTTTGTTTACTTATTTGTCATGGCCCACCTTTCCTTCAAAAAGCTTAGAGTGGGATACTGTACATGGTTCTCCCTTTCCCCATTTTATCCTTAGAACCCCGCCTGGGCAGTAGGTCCATGCTCTGGTTTATCTCCCGCTTGGACCACTGCGCTCTACGCAGAAAGTGACTCAGAAACTACATCTAATCCACTGGCTCCCAGTACGTTTCCGAGCACAATTCAAAGTGTTGGTGCTGACCTTTAATGCCCTAAACAGCCTCGGCCCTGTATTCCTGAAGGAGCATCTCCACCCCCATCATTCAGCTCTGAGGGCCTTTTGGCAGTTCCCTCACTGCGAGAGAAGTTACAAGGAACCAAGGAACCAAGTAGAGGACATCCTGGGTAATTGCACCTGCCCTGTGGAACGCCCTCCTATCAGATGTCAAAGAAATAAACAATGATACCACTTTCTGAAGACACCTGAAGGCAGCCCTGTATTGGGGTAGTTTTTTAAGCTTGATGTTTTTGTGTTTTTGTATTATGTTGGAAGTTGCCCAGAGTGGCTGGGACAACCCAGAGATGGGCAGGTAAATAAATAAATGAATGAATGAATGAATGAATGAATGGTTAGGTTGATAGGTAATGGCTGGCCCCAAGGTCCCCCAGCTGGGTATTTGTGCATGCTCAAATTCCTCTTTTCTCACGTCCCGTGGCTGAAGTCCTGGTCCTGAGACCCTGTCCCAGAAAATCCTACCTCGCAGCAAGTGCTGCTCCTAATTACCTTCAGGACAGTGATGTTCCAGGCAAAACTTTCCAGAGCTTTCTGCAGCTTCCGCCCTTTCAGGCCTTCCTTGGCCTCCAAACGGTGCAGCTCCTTGTGAAACCCCATCCCTGGAGAAATGTGGAGAGGGAGGCAAAGGAGACAATCTGTCACAGGCCTGCTGCCTTCTGGACAAGGTAGGACTGCGCTCCTGAAGGCTGGAAGAGCACACCCCCACCCCAAGGGTCAAAGGTGCCTGTGCGTTCACCCCACTATGGCACCTGGTCATCAGCTTTTGCGGGTTTTTCAAAGAGGTTTAAGAAACCCTTTCAGAGCACTCCAAAATCATTGCCCATCTACGTGCACAGAAAACAGTGCGACTGACTCTCAAAACTTTGGGATTATTGAAATATATACCACAATAAATCATTCATCAATGGGGAGATGTGAGGATTTGAGTCGTGTGACTCAAATTGCATAGACTAGACCCATTAAAAAAAAAGCCATGTGGACTAAGCTTGCTTTTGTGGCCCTTCTGAGATTAGGGCCCCTGAAGCTTTGAGCTTTGTTAGTTTCATAGCAGATCCTCCGCTGCCTACCTGCTTGTTGCACCTGAATAATCTTGGCGTGAACGGCATCGGCTGACTCAATTAGCGTGCGGCCTGTTTGGATCATCTGATGGCGGGGAAAGTAAAAGAGAGAGAAGGTGTGGTTAGTGGGGTGGGGGCTGAGCAAGCCAGCAAAGCACCCCACCTTACAGGAGGCCCTTGGCCCCACTATGCACAGATAGAGTGTACAGATAGATACTAATTGCACAGATTCCAGGGCTTCTCTATGTGTTACTCTTTCTCACTGTGACAAAGTCTTTGCAGTTCTAGCTGCTAGGGCCAAAGAGCACGTTATGTTAGTCACATGCCTCTGCCCTTAAGCGCCGATCCAGATCTGGAGTCTAGTGTGGGGGGTGTCTTTAGCCACTTTGCTATAGGCCCAATCCACATCAGGGGGTCCTATGCCTATCATGAGCATTGCCCAAGAAAAGATCTATGGGTTGCTGCACTTCAAACAAAAGAGCCTGGCAGATAGCTCAGTTGGTACAGCATGAGACTCTTAATCTCAGAGTCATAGGTTCGAGTCCCACATTGGGCAAAACATCCCTGCATTGCAGGGGGTTGGACTCTACAATTCTATGAATCTACCAGTAATCAGCTATCCAGGAAGCTGCTGGAGGCAGGGGCTGAGCAGTGAAGCACAGTACCAGCTTGGCCACAGAGCACCTGAACGGTGCAGGTGCATATTGGATTGGCTTGAGTAGCACAGCCAATCTGCCACTCAAGACAAGAGGCTTGGCATGCCTAATAGTAGGGCTGGCCCTGCTGCCGGGGCCCCAGCAGCTGGTTGATGATGCCATGTGCTGGCACCAGGTCTGGTACAGTCGTACATTGGAAGTTGAACGGAATCTGTTCCCGAAGTCCATTCGACTTCCAAAACATTCGGAAACCAAAGTGCTGCTTCTGATTGGCTGTAGAACGCTCCTGCAGCCTATCAGAAGCCGCAGAAGCCCTGTTGGATGTTCAGCTTCCAAAAGAACGTTCCAAAACCGGAACATTCACTTCCAGGTTTCGATCATTCAGGAGCCAAGGCATTTGAGATCCAAGGTACGACTGTACTAAAATCCCCTTGAGGACAGAATAGGAAGGGAGCTTTTACACAATACTAAAGCAGATCTTGCTCCAGGCAGGATTGTAATGTGAATGCAAAACCTACATGGGGCAGGGTGGGGAGAGATGCTCATACCCACTAGAGAGGGGAAATAGCACAGGAGAACCTAAAATTCCACATAAGATTTATATGTGGAAAAGAGGCCTGTTAACGGGCATGACCCGGGTGCAGGTGCAAAGATGGCCACTCTATCCCTGTATCTCTATGGTGCAGGCCCCATAACTGGGCCTAGTCTTGGCTGCTGCCTAAAGAGCTGCGCATTATTGAATCTCTCCTCCATCTGAGTCTCAAGGTGAACGTATGCTGCACTGAGAGAATGGGGTTGGCGGGAGCAGGAGCCCTTGGTTAAGATTTGCACCACAAATGTGTGCCCCATCTCACCCCAAATTGATATTTTTGCTGGGCCTCGAAACAAAACCAGGAGATCAGAAAAGAGGGACCACCCCTGTTATGGAAAGGAAACAGCAGCTGATACCCCTGGCAAAGGCCCAGGGTCCTGTCCCCCCCCCCAGTCCCCCCCAACCCACCCTCCCACCAGTTTACACTCACGGTGTCGTAGGCAGCAAGCACTTTCCGCAGGAGCTCTGGGACTGGCCCCTGGGCCTCCATGGAGGGGTATTCCTCGCCCAGGTTGAGGGTGACGGCTGGAGGGCTCTCCTTCTCGCTGGGCTGCAGCCAAGTGGACAGCTTTAAGATGCACTGCTTGATGTTAGCTGCCGGTGTCAGGCCACACAATTCCTTGAAGGAGACCAGAGCATTCTAAGGGAAGGAAAAGAGGGTGAGGGATGGGGAATGTCAACATGCCAGGAGGCCACGGGCCCCCCTGCCCCATACATTTCTGGCTGCTCTCCTTGAACTACAGGCCCCCTCCCAAAAAAAACGACCCAGAGGGATAAAAACTTTTGGTGGTCCCTGACTGTTTTCTGGGGGTGGATGTGGTAGCAAAAAGCTTCGGAGGCACTCAGAGCATCTGTGGGGCCTGCCCCTCACTTTTCTCCCCAGCTCCTAGCTTTGGGGAAGGGCAGAGGCTCACCGTAAGCACGGCATGGGGTGCTATTCATGATGGGAATGTGGGGACCCCCTGCCAATCCCGTTCTAAGCCAGCAGGCGCAGGGGGCAATCCTGTAGCTGGGACTTAAAGATGTACCTAGCAGCACTGAGTTTAATTCTATGGCTTTGGGCTTGTCACTTTCCCTCGGTCGCTTTTCTCGCAGCCTTTAAAATGGGCATAAGATCTCAGGTGGCACAGTTGGGCAGTGTGTCTGGCTGTTAACGAGAAGGCTGCTGGTTCAAGCCCACCCAGGGATGGCTGTGAGCAGGATTCCTGTATTACCGGGGGCTGGACTAGATGGTCCTTAGGGTCCCTTCCAACTCTATAGTTCTATGATTCTAAGAAGATATGGGTGAGGCTGTGGACACGTGGGTAGCAGCAATCAGAATTATACTTAGCATTTCACTTTGCGCAGATTTCCGAACTGCTCAAAGCACTCCGGCTAAGTTGTCTTACTTGCCCCTCATACCATTCTTGAATAAGGCAACTCTGGGTGGAGATTGCGTGTGCATGGTGGTTAGGTGAGGGGCGGAAAGAGGCAGATTCCTGGCTTACAGCTCATTATTTTAAATGCATTCACACATTCTCCTCTTTAGGAGGAATGCTGAGTCAGAGATAGCTGGACAGCCTCTCCAACACATCCTCACCCTCAAGAAAGAGGATTGCAGGTTTGCATCAAATTTGCACATGCTAATTTATATTGTGTAGATGCAAAACAGAAACATGATACATGTCACTGTATTGGAGGAGACTGTGCCCAGGTGATGCGCTGTGTGTCTGCTCGGTCTGCTGCCCAGGTGTTGCCAACTGTTGATGGGCAATGCCAAGCGCCCCCACCTCTACTGGTTCTCCCTTCTTAGGGTTCTTTTATCATCCAGAAGAAGGACCAGAGAGGAGTGTCCTCTGCCAGCCCTTCAGACAGAGCAAGAGAGGAAAACCTCAATCTGCAGGCCTGATCCAGGTCTCCAGGTAAATTCTAATCCATTTCCAAGACTCCACTGATTTTGGAAGAGGAAACTATATTGGGGGTGGGGGGAGGTAGACAGAGCATGGGGTGAGGGGAGTTCAGGGTGCTGATGAAGTTGCAAACAACCTTCTCCCCAGAGCAACCCTTGGAAGAGCAGAGAGGGGGAAAGAAACCTCACTTCCACCAGCTGATCTGCACAACCTGTGTGACCTGTGAGTGTTTGTATGCTGTGTGTGTGTGTGTGTGTGTGTGTGTGTGTGTGGCCCCCAGAGGATTGGCTAAAGGTGAGTGTGGCCCTTGAGCTAGATGATAGATAGATAGATGATAGATAGATAGAGAAATACTGTAGATGATAGATAGATAGATAGATAGATAGATATAGATAGATAGATAGATAGATAGATACCATAGATAGATACCATAGATAGATAGATGATAGATAGATAGCTAGATAGATACGATAGATAGTTAGATACTGTAGATAGATAGATAGATAGATAGATAGATAGATAGATAGATAGAGATAGATAGATATAGATAGATAGACAGATAGATAGATAAGATAGGTAGAGAGAAAAATGACAGAGATAGATAGATAGATGATAGACATAGATATATAGATGATAGATATCGATAGATAGATAGATAGATAGATAGCCAGCCCTGAAATAGAGGACTGCCCTCTGTAAAGCAAGACACATGTCCACTCTGCATCTCCAAGCGCTCACATCCCATTCTCCCTTGCCTTCTCCAATGCTCCGGGAAGGAGAAAACTATTGCTGCTTGTTTTTGCTTGGCTGGAGCAGCCCAGAGGAAAACATAGCCGGGATGGGGAGGTGCTGCTTTGTTGAATCAAGCCAGCTTTTTCTGTTGCAAATGGGAGGGTGAGGGTGGCAGCTCTGCCCTTGGCAGAGAAGGCAATGTGGGGATTAGGGAGACCAGAGGGCTCTCCAGCTGTTCATGGCTGTGACGGCTACAAAGCGAAGGCAGGTGGTGGAAGCGAGATTTGTTATATCACAGGGACACAGGAAGTTGCCTTATGCCGAATTAGACCACTGGTGTCTCTAGCTTAGCATTGTCTACACTGACTGGAAGCAGCTCTCCAGGGTTTCAGGCAAAGGATACTACTGATTAGCTTTTCTGATCGTTTCTGCGTCTTGAGTGCCAGCCTACATTTGAACCAGCCCTGACACTAGGGTTTACAGGACTCTTCCAATAATTCCTGGCACCCCCTACAAAATGGCGATCTCCTGCTGGTGTGGAAGTGGAGGCCTGTGGGACATTATTGCAATCAAACCAACAATTCATGTTTTGCCAGATAAGTGCATGAAGAAGCTGAGGCTCACAGAGCTTTCCTGTAAAATTTGCTAGAGAGAACTCTGTGAGATCACTTCTTTTGCCTGCCTGGGCAGGAAGCTGGTAACAGGACATAATTCCCTCCTGCCAGGGCACCTCTCTTTTTCTTCTTTATGCTTCCAAGCCAACTCCACATATGTGTCTGAACTCTGCAGCTCAGGCACCATTTTGAACTTAGATTTTGTATTTTTGTAACTTAGATAGTAGTTATAAACCTGCCTTCATTTTGCTACAGTAACTGCTGCTACAAGACCCAGATTATGTAAGTAAATACTACTTGTACTTCTTCACAAAACAATGTGTGTGGAATTGTTATTTTTAAGGTGGAGAAAAGAGGTAATATCAGGGAAAATCCAGTCTGCCTTAAAGCATCCTGGATTATTGTTTCTAGAGGGTTAAATCAACTTTATCTTAGCTTCCAAATTTAAAGCTGCAAAGGATGCTACTCTGCTGATCTCACTCACAAGAGCAAGGATAATAACAAAATAATATATCCCCTCCTTGTCCCTAAACCCATTCCTACAAAGCCATGAGCATTAAACAGGCTCCAAACTCCTGTTTCTAAGAATACAGTCGTACCTCGGAAGTCAAAGAGAATCTGTTCTGGAAGTCCATTCGACTTCTGAAACGTTCAACTGTCAAAGCACAGCTTCTGATTTGCTGCAGGAAGCTCCTGCAGCAAATCAAAAGCCGCAGAAGCCCCATCAGACGTTTGGCTTCCAAAAGAATGTTCGAAAACTGGAACACTTACTTCCGGTTTCCAATCATTCGGGAGCTGGAACGTTCAACTCCCAAGGCGTTCAGGAGCCGAGGTACGACTATACTCCATATTTTTAAAGTAGATAGGCATTCAGACAATTCAGACACCCTCCTCCTCCCCATCTCCAAGACCTGCAAGCTCAGAAGGCCCCATCCCCCATCTCCCACTACCTGGGTACCTGCATGTTCTCCCGCAGGTCTGTGGCCTCCCGCAGTGGCTGAGTGGCAGTGCGGAACACCTCGTCGATAGCCTTAATGCCTGTGGCCTTGGTGGAGGTGTACTCCCGCATGCGCCGGCCCTTGCGTCCTGAGAGCCCCCTCCGGTGCGCTTTGCCTCCGCCTCGCCGGTTGGTGATGGCAACATGGACAAACAAGGTGGTGTTGGCGAGGGGCTCACCGGCCAGGGACTGGAGGGGCACATGGCGGTACCCCACCTGGAGGCACTCGAAAGGGATTGTGTACTGCGCGATGAACTCATCCCCGATGTAGTCATCATCGAGCACCATGAATCTCAGAATTGCCAGCTCTGGGAGGTTCACCTGGAACTCCAGGGTTTCCTCAAAGACAGGGTTGTCTCCACTCTGCAGCACCGTCTTGGTGCGTTTCTCGGCACAGTCAGCAGGGATGCCGTGCATCTCAGCACAAACGTACGGCTCCACCACGTCACCCTTGGCCCCAGAGCCCTTGGGTTTGGGCAGATTCTGGCCACTGATCACCTTGAGGTGCAGGAGCTGGGCCGAGATGCCCGGCAAGGTGTCCCGGGTGTTTGCGCTGAAGTAGGACACCTCCTCGCGCATGATGGCCGGCCGGAGGACATAGCCGCAGCCCCCGTTCTGGCGGAACCAGCCAGCGTTCAAGTCCATCATGAGGCCTGGCGTCTGGTAGTTCATGGCCACCATCTGGCAGCCGCACTTCCAGAAGTCCTGGGGGTTCATGTTGCTGGCGTCGATGCGCATGGGGCTAGGGTAGACCCGGGAGAGGAAGCGCTTGTTGTACTCCACAAAATCCTCCGGTTCTTCATTGGCGTAGCGCCCGGCCTCCACCTCGCTGAAGGAGCAGGTTTCCCAATAGCACTGGTTCCGCCGAGAGGCCTCAAAGCCCTGGAAGGACACCGCCTGGCACAGGCTCACCAGGTCCGAGAGCTCGCGGCACAAGGCCCGCCGGCAACGCGGCCGCTCTCGGTCCTCCTCGCTGAGAGGCAGGCTGAGCTCCAGGGTCTCCTCATCATCTGACACGTCCCCCTCGCCGGCCTGGCAGCTGGGGAGCAGCTTCCGGCTCTTGATGAGGATGCAGTTCTTGAGCTTTTCCGGGGAGGGAAGGTAGGACTCGCTGGGGTTCGGAGGCACCAGGTACAGCTTGTCCCCAAATGTCTTCCTCAGGTGCTCGGCCACCAGGTGCTGCTGGGCGATGCAGCAGCGCACCGAGAGGCACAGGATGAGCGGGAAGTCCGAGGCCTCAAAGGCGTGCTCAGCAACTGCACCCACCACTCTAGAGAAGGCCAAGCGGGTGCCAGCACCAACTACTGGCTCCCCAGACGAGCCGTCGCAGACCACAAGCTCCAGGCTGCGGCAGCCGGCCTTGAGCGCCGCCACATAGCCCCCAATGTCTGAAGTGGAGCCGCCCCAGAAGCAGCTGTCCTCAGCCAGGCACGCTCCGTGCGCGGAGCTAATGAAGTAGTGAGACAACGGCTGGGTCATGTCCTGGCACACCTTGCGGTGCTGGGGGTCGAAGATGTCGCAGTCGGCGGAGAGGAGGTAGCGAGTGAAGCCATCAATGGCCAAGTAGCCCCTTTCCCGGCCTTCCTTGGAGGGCTCGTACTTCCGGACGATCTCCAGGCACATCTCCTCTGTCACACCCTCCATGCCCTGCTCGGCCTCCAAGAAGCTCATGAGGTCCTTCAGGCCCATGTACTCCTTGTTGCTGGAGAACTGGACCAAGAGGAAGAAGACCTCTGGTCTGGTGCACAGCTCGCAGTAGGCCTCCACGAAGACCTCGCAGCCCACCTCCTCCCCGAGCCGCTCACTGGCTGCTTTCTGGAGCTCCTTGAACTTCAGCTCTATGGTGGACGTCTTCATGCCAGGGTTGAGGGCCCTGATGAGCTGCACGGCGCGGGAAACCGGGATCCGGCCTTCCTTCTCCAGATCTGCGATGTCGAAGACGGAAGCGATCCAGGAAGTGCGGGGGTTCGGGTGGCTGGTCTCGGGAGCCCCCTCCAGGGTGTGCTTCCCATAGGAGGCCAAGTACCGCAGCCCCATCACCCAGGCATTCACCACGTCGACAGAGCCGGCCACCAAGTCCAGGGACTCGTAGTTGTCCCCGTAGATGATCGAGAAGGCGCATTCATCCGGGAACTGGTCCGAGAGGCCGTTGGAGCGCAGCACCGGCGTCTTCTTCCCAACTCGCACCTCCTTGACCGACTTGATTTCAATCTTGGCCTTCTCGGAGTCTTTCTTGGAAGGCTCCCAGTGCATGAAGCGCAAGTCCGGGTCCAGCACAAAGAACCGGCTGTACATGCGGGAGTTGGAGCGCACTTTCTTCATCTCGCAGCCCTCCAGCATGAAGGAGATGCAGGCGGCGGTGCTGCTGAGCTTGCGGTTGCTGGGCATGGTACTGAAGGAGACAGTCTTCTTCTTGTGTTGCAGGGGGCGCTGGCGGGACCCATCCTAGCAGAAGGGAAAAGAGGAATAAGACAAGAGGGGTCAGGGGTGCAGCGGGATTCAGGCCAGGGCTTTTGAGTTAGGGCAGACATACAGGGCCCCCACTCCGCAGAATGAACAGGAGGGTGTCCCACTCACCCACAAACACAGCAGGGCTGGCTTACCAGATACGGAAGTATGTGAAGAAAACCATAAAGTCCACAGCCCAGAACAACCTTTCCTAACCAGGTGCCCTCCAGCTGTTGCTGCACTCCCATGAGCCTCAGCTAAAATGGCTGTGGCAGCCCAGGCCTGAATCCTGTTTGCTCAGGGCAAGGCCACTTGTTGTTTTGTTTTATTTGTATTCATTGCATTTATGGGCAGATGGGGCTTGTGAATCTGGGAAGGCAGCCCATCTAGGAGAAGGAAAACCCTGATCCTAAAGCTCCACTGCCTTGGGGGAGAAGAAAAGGCTCAGGAGTAAACCCTACACAAATCCAAAGCTGAGTCCCTAAGCAATGGTTGGATGGTGCCTTGTTCGCCTCCTACAGTCAAGCTGGTGCTAAACGTATTGCTCTGCTTTCCTTTGGACCAGTGAGACCGAGAGAGTGGGGGCGGGGTGTTTTGCCATCTAGGCAGCCCAGGACCTCCATACACACTGCCCAGGCTTGTGTCCTGAGAGAGGATGGGTGGAGGACCTGAAGGAAAACTGTGAAGGGTTTGTAAGATGGGGGACCCTGAAGAAACAAGTGCTGAATGAAAAAAACTTTGGGAAGCATCTACACAACAGGGGACGGCAGGACCCTTGACACATAGGTGGGTGTTGTTGTTGTTGACATTATTATTATTGAACTATTTCGTTCAGCTTCAAGGAACCAAAGACCAACCAGTCGCAGCTGGAAGGTCAGGGACGAACCATTCTCCTAAAATGATCAGGCTTGACCTGAACTCTGAAAACGTAGCTCTCTGCTCCCCATCCTCCAGCCCCGGTGCAGGGGCCAGATAAGACCAAACTGGCTCCAGGAACTCCGAGCCAAACCCCCAAGGCTAAAAATAGTTACATCCGACCATTCTGTTGATTCTTTCCTTCCCCTGTTCCCTCACCCCCCCCCACCCACAAAGTTTCCTGATGTGGGGTGGGATAAGAAAGAGGGAAGAATAGCAGAGGATGGAAGAGGGAAGAGGCAGGCAAACATACTGGGAATTCACAAATGCAATTAACTGGAGGTACAGTGTGAAAATGTTTAAATCTATTTCCCATGAAGATGCTTGCTTAAACCATGTTCTGAAGGCCTTGACCAATTACTTGGCTAACACATCGCCCTCTGCGCCCCAGTTAGCTCCCTTGGGTCTACAAAATGGCAAAAACTACAGGAATGTCAGCAGCATCCCCCACAGAAGTTAATTTCTCAACAGGGTTAAAAGCTGCAACCCCAAACACACTTGTTGGTGAGCAGTTCCCATTCAACTTAGTGTGATTTGCTTCCAAACAAATATAGGATTTTGCCCTTGTGTTAAAAAAAAAAGAAAGGTATGACCCCTGGACGGTTAAGTCCAGTCAAAGGCGACTGGGGTTGCAGCGCTCATCTTGCTTTCAGGCCAAGGGAACCGGCATTTGTCCACAGACAGCCTTCCGGGTCATGTGGCCAGCATAACTAAACCGCTTCTGGTGCAACGGGACACTGTGATGGAAACCAGAGCGCACAGAAATGCCATTTACCTTCCTGCTGCAGCAGTACCTATTTATCTACTTGCACTGGTGTGCTTTCAAACTGCTAGGTTGACAGGAGCTGGAGCAGAGCAACGGGAGCTTACTCCATCGTGGGGATTCAATCCACCGACCTTCCGATCAGCAAGCCCAAGAGGCTGGGTGGTTTAGACCACAGTGCCACCTGTGTGTTAGTGTTAGTCCCAGACCTAGTAGTGTTTCATTGCTTGGTAAATATACAGTTGGGTTTTATTGGGACAGTATTGCTATTCTGTAAGCTGCACAGAACTAAAAAAAATAAAAAATCAGACATTTTAAATCTTTAAAAGTCATTTCTCTCTGTGCAAGCTCGGAGCTGTTGATTTTATGTGTTCCAGGATTGTGAACTGAGCCCAGGTGAAGCTTCCAGCCCCTCACAATGAACACCAAAAAGAAACAACAGAAATAGGAATAGCTTACGCTTAGCAATTTTATAAATTCATTCCCAGGGATGAGGTGAAGTATACCAAGGTTAGGACCCCAGAAACTTTTTCTTAGCTAAGTCCTGGTACAGTTTCAAGGCAAAAAAACATTTCAGGTTCTTCGTGGGCTTGCACTGCAAACAAGGAAACCCATTGTGGTGTAATGGTTAGAGTGCTGGGCTAGGACCTGGGAGGCCAGGGTTCAAATCACCACTCAGCCATGAAGCTCACTGGGTGACCTTGGGCCAGCCACTGTCTCAGCCTAACCTACCTCACAGGATTGTTGTGAGGATAAAATGGAGATAGGGAGCAGTGTAATCTAATATGCACATTTTTGAAGAAAACATTCTCATAATATAATGCATTTCTGTATGCTTTTTCCACCAACATATATATATGCACTTTTATGCACACTTTACTCCAGAATGTGTGTTGTTGTTTTTTGTGAGAGGGAGGTACACATTACTTGCCTGGAGAATTGCACTGCGCAGTTCCAAGACTTGTGTATTTCAAATGATGGTTCTGTTTTGGTTTGCATCTTGTTTCGAAGAGTTCTAATGTAAGTGGGATTGTCTTGAAATGCAAGCTGAACATAATTTCTCACCCATGTACTATCATGTGTGTGCAAATCTGCTGCTATGGGCAAAGATTTGTAGCTGGGAACGTTAAGCCAAATACCGGTGTTAGAATGACAAACCAAGCGCCTTATGAAGGCTGCATGCACACCGTCCATTCAAAGCACACAGCTTCCCAGGGTCCCTGAAACTGCAGAATACCCTTCATAGAGCTACAATTCCCAGCACCCTTTACAAACTATAGTTCCCAGGGTTCCTCCACCACATTTATTGTTTTGCAGGCCTCAAGCAACTTTCTCTCTAAGCCTCAGTTTTCCCCATCTGCAAAATGGGAACAGTTAAGTGATGCATGCCTTGTAGGACTGTTGCAAAGGCCAAATGCAATAATAAAACTCTACCAATGCAAAGTGCCACACACAAACAGCCTTCGGCTACTAACAGCAGCCTGAAGGACAAATCTTGGCTGCTGACCAGGAAGCCCTGCCAACATCGGCACTCCATCTCCTGGGCACAATGAAAAATGATAAGCTCACTGCCAGGAGACTGCAGGAAGCAGGTTAGGGAAATTCACAAACAGCAGAACTCCCCTTGTGGGGGAGTGTCAACATTTCAAGGGTCCCAGAAGGGATTCCCATGTTATTTTTGAAGATTGCCACCCTCCCTCATTTTGCCAAGCCACTGTGACTGCAGCTAGCTTTTGGAGGCCACCTCTCTGCTGGGCCAGGGAAATGTGCCCTTTCTGGGTCCTGGGCTGGTGGGTGGGTGAAGCTTGCCTGTGCATCTGGAAGCAGAAAGGGCATCTATGCTGGAAAGTCAAGTAACTTGCTCCCCAGGGGTTAAATCTCTGCCAGCTCTGCTCTGCTGGCGTAAAATCGCTGCTGGATGTAGTCATCTCCTCCTCTTGCCTAGGGATGCTACTTGAGGATCCTACCCCAAGCCTCCCTCACACACCCTAAGCTAGTGCCCCCTTCCCCCCAACGCCTAGAATGTGCAGCTGGAAAAATGACAGCCTAATAGTACAATGCAAGAATTAGGACTTTTAGACTGGGCTCAAATGTCCATCAGCTCACTGGGTGACTTTGAACCATTCCCTCTCCCTCTCTGCCTAACCTACCTTTCAGGGCTGTCGTGGGGACAAATGGGGGAGAACCCTGTGTATGACCCTTGAGCTCTGTTATGAGGAAAGGCAGGGTTTAAATGCAATGAATTGATGCCACCCTATATCTTCTAAAAGAACATCGTCAAACTCAAGAAGCTTAATCCAAGTACAGTGGTACCTCGGGTTAAGAACTTAATTCGTTCCGGAGGTCCGTTCTTAACCTGAAACTGTTCTTAACCTGAGGTACCACTTTAGCTAATGGAGACTCCTACTGCCGCCGTGCGATTTCTGTTCTCATCCTGAAGCAAAGTTCTTAACCCGAGGTACTATTTCTGGGTTAGCAGAGTCTGTAACCTGAAGCATCTGTAACCCGCGGTACCACTGTACCAGAAACACCCGAGGAATCTGTATAGTGGTACCTCTGATTACAAACTTAATTCGTTCTGGAGGTCTGTTTTTAACCTGAAACTGTTCTTAACCTGAGGTACCACTTTAGCTAATGGGGCCTCCCGCTGCCGCCGTACTGCCGCCGCACAATTCTGTTCTCATCCTGAGGTAAAGTTCTTAACCCGAGGTACTACTTCCAGGTTAGCGGAGTCTGTAACCTGAAGTGCTTGTAACCCGAGGTGTTTGTAACCCGAGGTACCACTGTAGTTGTGTCCTTGCCTTGGACAGATACAATTGGGTTTCTTCCAAACCAGAACCATAGCTGATATCCCCTCTCTCCTTTCACCGGCCCTTACGGTTGTGAAGACATGCCTGAAAGGCTGTGTGTAGGCCGAGAGCCAGGACAGGAAAGGTAACCTGAGAGGTATCATCATCACCACCACAGTTGCCATCCTGGAGGCAAAATAAATGTGGAGGAGAATCACAGTCATAAATGCACTGTGGGCAGAGCTGTCAGCTCAGCAGCAAGGGGAAATAACTGCACGGGATCAGAGGCAATCTTGACAGTCCTAATAGGAAACATATTGTTGGGTGGTGCTTTGGTGCAGAGAAGCAGTTCCAGGTTATAAGGTCTGACCTTGGAATTTGAAGGCTTTGAGCCCACCCATCACCCACCTCGCATGTAGGGGCCTTTTCCTTGCATGCCACTCCCTTGGCAAGAGCCACAGAAAAGCACCTGAGCAGGAAGGAATGGGGTTCTCGGGACCTGGCTGCCCCTGAGACGTTTCCAGGTCCTGTATACCTGAAGGAGCGTCTCCACCCCCATCGTTCAGCCCGGACACTGAGATCCAGCGCCAAGGGCTTTCTGGCAGTTCCCTCATTGCGAGAAGTGAGGTTACAGGGAACCAGACAGAGGGCCTTCTCGGTAGTGGCGCCCGCCCTCTGGAACGCCCTCCCTTCAGATGTGAAGGAAATAAGCAGCTATCCTATCTTTAAAAGACATCTGAAGGCAGCCCTGTTTAGGGAAGTTTTTAATATTTAATGCTGTATTGTTTTTAACACTCGATTTTAAGCCGCCCAGAGTGGCTGGGGAGACTCAGCCAGATGGGCGGGGTATAAATAATAAATTATTATTATTATTATTATTATTATTATTATTCCATGCCCTGCCATGAGAACTCTATGGAGGCTGACGCCTCTTTTTTTACTTTCCTGGGCCACGCGGAGATGCAGGCGGGTCCCAGATCCGAAGAACGTAGGGGAGGATGGTTACCACCCTGATCTGGGCAGAGACAAAAATCGACAGCGAGGGGGTGGCGATGAGTCAGACATCAAAGTTACATAATGTACCGTCTCTACGGTTACCACAGGAAGGAGGGGAAATTGATGGTTCCTAAATTGACACAGATCAGAAGATTGGGATAGAGCGGGAGATGTTTATTCAAAGTCATTATTGGGTTTTGGCAGCTGCAGGAGGGCGTGGGAGAGAAAAGGTGAGATGCGGAGTTTGGGGGCAAACGTGGGTCAAAGTTCCTGGCCTGAAAACAAAAAACCGAGTCCAATAGATTTTAGACACCAGAACCTGTTCTCAGTGCCAGCGGTTCATTCCTGGAGCATGTGAAGTCCAGAATTCTCTCCTTGCCAAGAGAACATCATCCCTAAGTTGAGTATTGACAGCCAGATCTCACACACCTGAGTCTCACCTGCCAGTCTCTCAACCTAATTTTATTAAAGGCATCCAAGATCTCAGGCAACCCCTTCATTGCAAGCTAAGGATAAGGTAGAGTGCATAACTCAATGGCAGAGCACATGCTTTGAATGCAGAAGGCTCCAGGTTCAATGATTGCTGTCTCCTGGTGTGTCTGGGAAAGGCACCTGAGGCGATGTCTGCAACAGTCATAGGATTCTCTGGGGAAAACCATGGCAGCTCAAAATGCAATCCTAGTGCTTTATGTTGCATATGTGGTCTGAATAGCAGGATGAAGGCAGCTTCTTCCTATGACATGGTCTTATATGAATCTGCCTCGTGCTAAATCTAAAGCAATTAGGCATGTTCTGCCAACCTTACAACGACAAGTTTACGGAGGACAGATGGATGGATGGCAATGAGCCCATTTGTGTCCTGTCACTCTAGAGCAGGCATGGCCAAACTTGGCCCTCCAGCTGTTTTGGGACTACAACTCCCATCATCCCTAGCTAACGGGACGTGGTCAGGGATGGTGGGAATTGTAGTCCCAAAACAGCTGGAGGGCCAAGTTTGGCCATGCCTGCTCTAGAGGGTAGGACCCGACCTGTGGGCTCAAATTAAAAGAAAAGGGATCCAGACTAAGCATTAGGAAGAACATCCTGGTGACTTGAGCTTTCCCACAGTGGAAGAGATTGCCTTGGAAGGGAGCTGACCTCCCCTTCACTAAGAGGTTTTTAAAGTAGAAGGTGGATTGCCTGCCAATGCCACCCGTCAGGTACACTGTACAGTCGTACCTTGGAAGTCAAACGGAAACTGTTCCGGAAGTCCGTTTGACTTCAAAAACGTTCGGAAACTAAAGCGCAGCTTCTGATTGGCTGTAGGAAGCTCCTGCAGCCAATCGGAAGCCCCGTCGGACATTTGGCTTCCAAAAATAGTTCGCAAACCAGTTTTTGATCATCTGGGAGCCGAAATGTTCGGCAACTGAGCTGTTTGAGATCCAAGGTATGACTGTAGTAGATTTCTGTGGGGTTTTGTTAGTGGAGACCCAGTTCTATTCTGACTTTAGCAGCACTGGCTACCCCTCCCAGTTTGAGGTCGTCAACAAATCTGGTGAGCATGCCCTCAGTCCCTTCATCCATGTTATTTATAAAGACGTTGAACAATAATGGGCCCAGGAAAGAACCCTGCGGCACCCCACTTGTTCACTTTTCCCCGAAAGGATGAGGAACCACTAGTGAGTACTCTTTGGATTCGGCCGGACCTTAGTGGCCTTCCTTATGTTTCACCTGTGTATGAAAATACAAGACCTCACAGCTTGTGCAGCGAAACAGAGAGGGCCTTCAGCTGGTTACAAAAGCAATGGATTTTGAAAAAAGAAAGAAGAGGGGGGAAATGCAGGTCAGGCAGCTCCATCTTAATGAGAGAAGGAGCAAGATCTTCCGGGAAATACTCTTATTAATTTGTTTATATGCTGCTTAGTGCCAATAAGTGGTTTACAAAATATAAAAAGCCAATTACACAGACGTTAAAATAAGAATATCCGTAATTAAAATGCACAAGAGAATAATCCAATTAAAATGACGCAGCCATTAAAACAGGAGCCTCGTGGTTACGCAGTATCAACTTAGGGTACATTTAGTAGGAGAAGGAGTTATTATTTATTACGATACATATTATATTATAATCATAATAATCAATTGGTTGGCTCTTCTTATGTTCATGATTATAATAAATAATATCTCAGTCCAACTCTTACAAGCATTTGGAATCTGCATTCTAAATAAATGAATCTTGGAGCAGTCTTATGCATGTTTACTCCGAAGTAAGTCTGACTGAAGTACAACAACAAAACTGCCTTTAGAGCAGCCTTTCTCAACCTGTGGGTCCCCAGATGTTGTTGAACTACAACTCCCATCACCCCTAGCTAGCAAGGCCAGAGCTCAGGGATGATAGGAGCTGTAGTCCAACAACATCTGGGGACCCCAGAAAAGGATGTAAAGGACAGGAAAGTATTGTTCAGAGGCAACCAACCACATAAAGGTGGTTTTGGACCCCCCCCCCCAAGTTTCAAAGATGTCAACAACTTGTTGAATAGGGTACCAACCCTTTGGAATGCTGACTGCCTATTGCTGGCACTCACGGTGGCTAAACACTTAGCACTTCAACAAGGAAGGGAAGATACTCTTCCCCCAGGCAAACAATGGACGGAAGGCATGACCCAACCCAGCCACTTGTGAGAAAGTTACCTTCCCCAAGTGGGAAAAGAATAGAATATTTTTGGAGATATGGGGCCCCTGCACAGTCTTGTTTGCTTAAGCAATGGGCAGCAGACAAGTTTGGACCAATAGTCAAATCCCACTTCGTGCTCCTCTAGCCACAATTGTTTGTTGCAAAAAGAATTATTTCCTTAATCGTTGATTACTACATTTGCACATGTATGTGTTTGTCTCTTGTGGTTTGTCTCTTTTCTTTTTGTACACGAAATATTCAAAATCTAATGAATGAAACCCTGTAAATTAAAAAAGGAGACTTTTGTACATAAATGACAAGCTGTATTGTGGCTAGGCTGTCCTATCTGAGCCCCACCAAAATGAACGAGAGCTGTTTGTTTGTTCTAATGGAGTTTTTGCACGGGAGAACTTCCCAGAGGACTGTGTGTTTGTCCAAAGGTTCTGTAACATTCAGAGAGGAGCCGTGGGGAGTAGCTGTGAGTTTATAACAGAGTGTCCGAACATCGCAGAGTCCAAGGTTAACATGTGGCTCACTGTTCTTCATCTTAAGCAAGGTTATGAAAACACAGAGGCTGAGGACGCTGAGGTTTTAGAAACCAGAGGAGGAAACAGGGAGGGAAACAGCCCCCTTGCTGGAGAAAAGAGCTTTTTTCTGTCCCATGCATGGTTCTCAGTCCTCTGCCTCCTTCCCCCTACAACTAATACCCCAGCTCAATGCTTCCCTTCTTCCTTAGCCTAAGCTGTCACAACAGCCTGGGTTCTGCAATAAACAAGCAAACAGTGCCTCATAGATTTGCAGTAAGAAGTGATATTTGGTTTTGGCTAGGCATGCATTAAGTTATATTTAGAGCTTTGGGTACTCTACACTAAAAAAAGAAAAGAAAAATCGCTGCCTAGGAAATCCCAATTCTGCAGCAAGAAAAGCCAGGTTCTGCAACCTGCGTAATTTTGCAAATCAGAACTATTTCCATAATCTCTTATTTTGCACGCTTTGATCCAGATTGCCTGGAGAAGGGCCAGGAGCTATGAATAAACCTAGCCTGGACCCAGAAAATAAAAACTGCAGACCAGTTGCCAACATCCCCTTTCTGGGCACAGTGCTTGAGCAAGATTGTCTCCGGCCAGCTCCAGGTACTCTTGGATGAAACTGACTTTCTAGATCCATTTCAACTGGGCTTCAGGCCTGGTTTTGGAATGGAAACTGCCTCGGTTGCCCTGGGGGATGACCTTTGCTGAGAGGAGGACGACAGTGATCATATTGATTTCTCCTGTATCTCTTAGAGCCTTTCTGTACTACATGGTATCCTACTGGTTAGGCTGTCTGGGCTGGGGGTTGGAGTGACCTCAGTGATTCTGCTCCTATTGGATGGCTGATTCCAGAATGTGGTGCTGGCAAGGTCGGCACTCTGCCCTTTGCAGCTAGGCAATTGGGTTCCCTATACATTCCCTATTTCATGGGTCACCAAAGCAGTGCCCAGGATCCCCTGGCACCCTGGAAGTCTTCCCCTGGCACTCACAAAGCCATTGAGGCCTCCCTCCCATCGCGTCCTTGGCCGTGAGCAGCGATAGTTACTTTCCCCCCTCCCTTGAGAAGTACAGTGGTACCTCGGGTTAAGTACTTAATTCGTTCTGGAGGTCCATTCTTAACCTGAAACTGTTCTTAAAATGAAGCATCACTTTAGCTAATGGGGCCTCCTGCTGCTGCCGCGCTGCCGGAGCACGATTTCTGTTCTCATCCTGAAGCAAAGTTCTTAACCCGAGGTAATATTTTTGGGTTAGCAGAGTCTGTAACCTGAAGCGTATGTAACCTGAAGTGTATGTAACCCGAGGTACCACTGTACACAGAATAGGAGGAGGAAGTTGGAAGAATAACATTATTGCCTACTTCTTTCAACTCTATGTCCTTTTTGTGGCTAAGCTTAATTCTGCTCTGTCAGCTCCTTGGGAAAGTGAGGTCTGTGCATAAGCACTTTCTTTGGGGATGGGGGACTGATCCAGAGGGGGGGGGGAGAAAAGCGACCAGAAAGTGTGGTGGCACCCACACACAGCGTTTACTCAAAAATCAAAATGTGCCCATGGTCTAGGTTGGCGACCTCTGCCCTGTGCTGTTTAACATCTGTATGAAACCACGGATGGATGCTATCTGGAGGTATGTGCCATTCTGGATATGCAGGTGGCCTGCGGCTCTACCTCTCCTTTTCATGAAATCAAAGTGAGGCATTGTGTAATCTGAATCAATGCCTGGGCACTGTAATGAACTGGGTAAACTTGACACTGAATTTAGACAAGAAAAAGGTACTATTATTGGTTAGCTTGTCTACCACACTGAGCAGCATTCAACCTCTATTTTTGCAGGGTGGGGGCGGGGGCTTAGGCCCCCAGGGAGATTTATGGACAACTGTGGGTTTAAGCTGAGTTCTCCCTAGTCCTGGACCAAAACCACTACCCAACACACATTATACATTTAAAGCAGTACCACACCACTTTAAACAGCCTCACCCCCGCTGGCAGAAGCCCACAAGCTGCTTCAAACAGCACTTTTAAGAAGTGCTTTAATCCCTGCTCATCAGCTGATGACGACACACAAGGAGAGGGTCGAGCAAGGTCAGGGAGGGGTGTGGCCTAGGAAGAGTCCCAAGGGCCGGCCAGAGAGACTGTGAGGGCCGCATTCTGGTCATGGGCCTACCCCTCGCCTTAGCACAAGTACTTCCGTGTGTGTATTTGCTTGTGTTGTTCTGCAAAGTGTCACATAAAGCGCTTCTCCCTCTAGCTTTCTCTCTGTGGGATCAACAGCTATGAATATCTTTGAATGCCCCCCCCCCCACCAAAAAAGCAGCCCCAGATGGTGTCTCAGGTTGCTTTGAATGGCGCAAATGTTTGCAAGAGGCTCTGCTTCTCTCTCTTTAATGCGGTAAGCAGATGGACACCAGGCTGCGGCAAGGGGGGGCGGGGGGAGGGAAGGGACTCAGAAACTGACTAAACCTCCTCCCAGCATGAGATGCACTTCCTCCCTATAAGGCACAGCTGAAGGGCCGGATCTGGACCTCCTCAGGAAGTTTGTACTGGAAGAATAACTTTTCCTGCCTTTGGAATCCGAACAGGTGTTTTGGCTTGGGCTGGCTTGGGGACAGGGAGAATAAAATAGGAACGCAGAGCCAGGAAGGAAGGAAAGAAGGAATGACTCCCTTAATAAAGCAGGCTGTAGGGCTGCCCAGCACCAGTTAGGCAGGGCTTAATTTAGGCTCTTCTCATTTCAGAGTGTGAAATGTTCCCCTTGCACAGGCGACTCTCAAGCACTGCCTTGTTGGCCAAAAGTCACATCTGCATTCCTTGGCTCATCAAAGCACCAGACCTCAAGCCCGAACCTCCAAAGGAGGGGAGAGAATGGCTTTGAGCATGTACAAAGCAAATGTGCGGAATTTCTCAGAGTGGTTGAACAATCCATCCCTCTTCCCAAGGAATTCTGGGGACTGGAAATACGAGCCTTCCAACAATTCACAGCACCCTTAACTAACTAGAGTTCCCATGAAGCTTTGGGGGAAACCATATCTGCTTAAAGTGGTATGATAGCACTTTATAGTGCAGATGAGGTCCACGTTGGAGAAGGTCAGTCTTAGGCATGCTCACAGAATCATAGACTTGTAGAGCTGGAAGGGACCTTGAGGGTCATGTAGTCCAACCCCTTTGCAATACAGGAATCTCAACGCACGGTCCCCCATCCAATCTGAAACCATCCCGGACCCTGCTTAGCTTTGCAAATGTGCTAGCAGTTTTATTGCTGCCCCACTAGGAGGATCCTATTAGCACCACGGCAGCAAGACCAAAAACGACGCCAGCAAAGACTGCAGCACAGAAAGAACTAAGATTCTGAAGAAAGCTTTCCAGCCTTCCCCAGTTGCTGTGATGGATCCGGTTGCCAAACTGGGCAGACTCCTTCCCCCCTCCCACCCCGAGAATAGCCCTCTGGCACCAGAAGATTATTTGCTTTCTTGGTCCATTAACCTCCAGTGATTAAAACGCGTCCTGCCAGGCCCTAATCTCAAAAGTCCCAATGAGCTGCTTTGCTGTCCGAGTGGAATTAATTTGCTAACGAAATTTTTTTGGGGGAGGGGGTGGAATTCGCACCTTCCTTGCTAAAAGCTCCTTCTCATCCCCATCTGCATCCCTCCTCCGGGGCAGCCTGGTCAGGGTACCAAAAACCCAAGCAAAAAAATTATCAATAAATAGCTGAACAACAGATGGGCAGCCAACTGCATCTCTAGCCAGGCAGGTGGAAAGCAGAAAAGGAATTGCAGCATTGCACCAGCCATCGCCTCCTCCCCACATCCCACTGCAGCCTCTCAGATCCGCTGAGGGGAACTTTTCCCCCTTGGCAGAATGTATCCCATGCCAAAGGCTCATTTGAAAATTGATTGAGGGCTCAGCCAGAGACTGGAGGAGCTGCATTCATGTTAGATACCCAAAACACTTTTTTCAGGCACCTGTGAATTCTCTCTGAAGTGCAACCTCTGTCCATTCTAGCTTTCTCCAATTTGGGACTCTCCAGATGTTTTGGGCTATAGCTACCACTGATGGAAGCTTGAAGTCCAAAACATCTGGAGGGCATTGGATTGGGGTCAGATGGTGCGTTCTCTCCCCCCCCCCCGCCAGTCCCCTGCCCCAGAGAGCTGCATCCTTTGGCAGTGGACATGCGGTCTGTGTTTCCTCTGCAACAGATGAAGGGGGTGGGTGTGATTTCTGCACCAGGACTTCTTCAGCTGTCACTTAGAGGCAGATGTAACCTGCGTCAGTCAGTCAGTGTGGTGACGACAATGAAAAAGGAAGCATTTTTGTTTTATTTTTGGCCATTTGTTTAATTAGTTCCATCCATGCATCACACCTGAATAATGAAGGTGCACAGACAAGTGCTCATGGAGGGAGGGGGACTGCCCATAAATGGGCAACACTTTCCCCCTCCAGTACTTGACAAAGATGGCCTTTGTGTGGACCTTTCAAAAGGATCCTGAACTACCTTATCTAGAACACCTTTCTGTTCCCGTGCCCTGCAACTAAGTTAGCAACATAAGTCTAAGTGTATACTTCTTCTCTGTTTACCTTGCCTCCATTTCCCTTCTACCGCCCTGCTGTTGTCCTCTGTGTCAAATTTTAGATTGTACGTTCCTTGGGGCAGAGACGTGTCCTCTTACACTCTCTAAAAACACAGGATGAAACCTGGAGACCAGAGTTCAAAGCCCAATTCTGTTCAAGTCTCACTGGGGAGACACCTCAGGGGAGGGTGCTATCTTTCAACCTCAGTTTTCCTATCTGCGAAATGGAAAGACTAAGAGCTCATTGTACAGCTCAAAGATGGAGGTGGGGAGCCTTTGCAGTACACTTGCTCTATGCTTCACTGTAGCTTGGATCACATAGGCCAGTGAGTGGGCGTTCCCGAACTTTTCTCACCCCTTCCAGATTGGTCAAATTTGTACCCAAGCCATCGTCTGCAGCACTCAGGCCACATAAAAAGGTAAAGGGACCCCTGACCATTAGGTCCAGTTGTGACCGACTTGGGGTTGTGGCGCTCATCTCACTTTATTGGCCGAGGGAGTCGGCGTACAGCCTACGGGTCATGTGGCCAGCATGACTAAGCCGCTTCTGGCAAACCAGAGCAGCGCACGGAAATGCCGTTTACTTTCCCGCCAGAGTGGCACCTATTTATCTACTTGCACTTTGACGTGCTTTTGAACTGCTAGGTTGGCAGGAGCAGGGACCGAGCAACGGGAGCTCACCCCGTCGGGGGGATTTGAACCGCTGACCTTCTGATCGGCAAGTCCCAGGCTCTGTGGTTTAACCCACAGCGTCACCCGCGTCCCAAATACAGAGTCCCACTTAGGCCACATACAGAGGGAATTAACCCACTCCATCATCACAACAACACTGTTAAAGCTAGCGGGAAGCCATCCCAAGGTCGACTAGTGGGCTGCGTAGCCAAACAGAGATTTTATTTCCCTAGCCATGCCCTTGCCCCATACCAGGTCTCAGGATTCCATGAGTTTAGCTGCCAAGGTAACAGAGCTTTGGCACTTCTTGCTGTGCCTTTCCAGATCTTCCCCTGGCCTCCAACGCCCTACCCTTGTGCACTTGCAAAAAATAGCATATTCTATCACCGCCATGGGCATATCCCAGGCAGTGCACCTCAATCCACACACACCCAAACCCCCAGGTGATTTTTTTCTTTAGAAAGGCCACTGGAGGAATGGTAAGCCTGTTCCGTCACCTGCACTCTGTGCACAAGATCCATTTAGCCTTTTCAAAACACGCTCCAGACTGCAGGGCAAGCAAATTCCTTCTCCTCCAAGGTGCATGAGAAAGGCCTAACAAGCTGGGGGGTGGCAGAGGGGCTGGAACGCAGCCCACACACCCTGTATTAATAGCACTGGAGCAATCAGTGCTTAAAATAGGCTGCGAGGAGCAAGGAGGCGGGTCTCGGGTGACAGCAACCTATTCTGGAGATGAACAACCGTGACGCAAAAACATTTAAAAGGCCGCTTTTAGAAACACACACCTACCAAGGGCACCTCCATCAGAACCCCGCAGTAAACGCCCACACTGAGGTTCATGCCCAATAGATGGGGGAAATAAAGGGGGTGGGAAGCAGGGGGGAGTCAGCAATATCAAGATGGGACACCTGGAGCAGAGCCACACCTCGAGGGTTTGGCACATGGTGTTTGCTACGGCTCAGCCCTACCGCTGCCGTGCAGGAAAGTCTCCAGTGCAAAGGATTCTGGGAGGGACCTGAGCCTCAGCAGCAGAGAAGGTGTTTTGCAGGCAGAAGCCACCAGGTTTTACCCTCGGTTAAAAGGATCAAGGGACGCGGGTGGCGCTGGGGGTTAAACCACAGAGCCTAGGGCTTGCCAATCAGAAGGTCGGCTGTTCAAATCCCCGCGATGGGGTGAGCTCCCGTTGCTCGGTCCCTGCTCCTGCCAACCTAGCAGTTCGAAAGCACGTCAAAGTGCAAGTAGATAAATAGGTACCACTCCGGCGGGAAGGTAAACAGCGTTTCCGTGCACTGCTCTGGTTCGCCAGAAGCAGCTTAGTCATGCTGGCCACATGACCCGGAAGTTGTACGCCAGCTCTCTTGGCCAATAAAGTGAGATGAGCGCCGCAACCCCAGAGTCAGCCATGACTGGACCTAATGGTCAGGGGTCCCTTTACCTTTACCTTTACCTTTACCTTTAAAGAGATCAAGAGAGTGGGTGACAGGAACAACTCTTTGCCCAGTTTCCTAAGAGAGCTGCTGCCCGTCAAGAGCAGACAACACCAACATAGCTCAGTTGGTACTGCTTCTGAGACTCTTCATCTCAGGGTCGTGGGTTCAAGTCCCACGCTGGGCAAAAGATTTCTGCATTGCGGAGGGTTGGAATGGATGGCCCTTGTGGTCCCTTCCAACTCTACGATTCTATGAACGTTGGGACACATGAGACAACTAGCCAGTCCTGGGAATAAGGTCACTTTCGAAGTTTATTTCACGGGCTGGGGATGATGCTCTGCACACGCTGCCAAACAGCTGCCGCCAGTCAGGTAAGCAGCAGATCTCTGGTGACTGGTCAGATGCAAAAGAAAGCAAGGTTCTTGCATCTTTAATAGTCAAAATGCTCCACCTGCTGAAATTCCCTGTTCCATGCAAATATTAAAGGCACAGGGCCCCCCACGTACCCAGTTCTTTCTTTTTAAAAATCTGGCTGCCCTAAGCAGATGCAGAACCCCAAACGCCACCCAAGTGCAACAGAGTTTTGAGTGCCAGCGTTGCAAATTTCATTTTGAAATAGTAATTTGAGTGACACCCAAGAAACACAGCTCATACTGCGAATGCATGAAATCTGACAAGATCACTAGTTTAAATGATACCGTGAAGCAGGGATCTCTGCTTGAGACCTGGGAAAGTCACTACCAGTCAGAGTACACGGCTGCTGGTTAGACGGACCGGTGGCCGCTTTGTATGGTTCTATTCAAACTTAAATATTGTCAATGCATTTTTAGGTAGTAAGTATTAGGGTGGCAAGCTGCAAAAGGAGAACAGGACTCCTGCACCTTTAAGAGTTGTGCAGAAGAGGAAATTTTAGCCAGTGTAGCCAATTTTTTTCAAAGGGCCAGATTTGATGAAGTGAAGGGCCGTGGGGACCAACCAAAGTTGTTGGCCTTTTTTTAGGATTGAAGTTGTTTTTAGGATTTTACCCCAGGACATATACTGCCACGGGGGCTGGATTAAATTGACTGGTGGGCCGGATTAGGTCTCCAAAACAGACTTTGGACATGAATTGGGCCACCCTTGTAACTGCAATGCTATTTTTCTAGAAAAAGAGGTGCCAGAACTCACTATGAACACATCCCTTGTTCTCTTATAATGGCAATAGTGCCCACCTGAGAGGTACCGGAACTGAGTTCTGGCGGGGGGGGGGGGAGCCCTGCTTACCGTAGGCAGTTTCAATATTTTGCACAAATTATTTTTTTCTTCCCTGCCACAAGACTTCTCAAAAGCATAATTGTAAATGTTGCAATGCATACATCTTCGATTAGAACATATATACTTGTTTTCTTCCCCTTCCTGCCCCCCCGCCCACATAAAAAGTCTGAATAAAGAAAATTTGCTCGAGAGCATTCTCAACCTCACACCCCATATATTTCAGTTTCAAGACTGGACTACATGAACAATCACCAACAGTTTACTTCTATTCTGCTTTTTGGTCTAGGCCCCCAAACTGCTGAACAAGAAAATACAACACTATACATAGAACCATCCGACTCAGTAGATAGCCATACCATTAGACTTGCTCACACCAACAGCATCTCATCGTTGAGGATTAAAGACACAGACGTTATAGGTTCCCTTCCATAGGCATGCACACTAATAAGGGGAGATGGGGTGCAGCCAGGATCCCACCTCCCGAAAAACTCATTCTCAGAACCCATTTTCAGAGCCAAAACCCAATCCTGGAACATGTGAAAAAATAACGTCAGGTGAGTCCTGCAACAAAACATTATGGGGTAACATTTTCCTGACCTTAAAGCCAGCTAATGCCCTCCTCCCCTTTTTCCCTTAAAAAAGGCTTAGCTGCTTTGGGGTCTCACCACCACTCAAGAGTTTTTCTCCCTAAATATTTTGTATGCGCTTCTGCATAACTTGAGGTCCGTCCCCCCAACACCTCAAGCCTGCTGGCACTTCCCCCTTGGGCATGAGTTTTGGCTACATGAGGACTGGCACTGCAATATAACATGGAGCGCTTTTGCCCCATCCTAAGATGAGAGGTGCCAGGGCTCAAGCGTGACTGAAAGTCACCCGCTGCTTGACTTGAAAGTTCTCCCACCAATCTCAGGTGCATGTAGGCTGGCCAACTATAGTTACTTTTGTGCTGAGAGAGGGGCCTTCTCAGGGCTGGCATTAGGGCAGAGCCCATAATTGACAACTGCATTGGGGATCCCTTTAGGAGGGGGGAAAGTCCAACCTAGAACTCCAAGCAGTGCCAGCGGCTGCAACGAGATTCCTTTCAAATTTCCCACAATGCCCAGGAGCAATGCTGAATTAAAAAATGCTCTCCCTAGAGAAGCTTGCCTGGTGCCTTCATTACAAAACTTTAGGCGCCAGGTGAAAAAATTTCTCTATAACCAGGCTTTAAATGTGTTTGTGGAAGAGGGATTGGTATTATTAATTAATTTAATTTGTATACAGTGGTACCTTGGGTTACGAACTTTATTCGTTCTGGAGGTCCGTTCTTAACCTGAAACTGTTCTTAACCTGAGGTACCACTTTAGCTAATGGGGCCTCCCTCTGCCGCCGCACCACCACCGCATGATTTCTGTTCTCATCCTGAGGTAAAGTTCTTAACCTGAGGTACTATTTCTGGGTTAGCGGAGTCTGTAACCTGAAGCGTCTGTAACCCAAGGTACCACTGTACTGCCCTGCATCTGTAGGGCAGTTCACAACACAAAGTATATACGGTAATAAAAATAAGAACAAAGACAAACCAATAATGCCCCCTCCCACAACTCATTTAAAAGGCCATTGGATGTCAATCAGCCAAAGGCATGGTGGAAGAAGAATGTCTTTGCCTGGTGCCTAAAGGTATATAATGAAGGCACCAGCCAAACCTCCCTGGGGAGAGCATTCCACAAACAGGGAGCCACTGCAGAAACGGCCCATTCTAGGGTTGCCACCCTCCAGGCCTCTCATGGAGAAGGTTATTGGTTTGTTTTCGTTTTGCTATTTATTTTGTGTTCTCATTTTGTACTTCCATGCTGTGAACCACGATGTGGTCTTCGGATGAAGGGTGGCATACAAATTTAATAAATAAAACTATAACTAGATTCAACTGTTCACAACCCTGCAAATGCAACCGGCAGATGAGCGCTGTCTTCTTCCAGCGTTCCCAGCAACAGGCATTCAGAGAACCTAGCCACCACGAGCAGCCGCTCAAATTCAGCCATCTCAAATTAAGCTTTTCATATAGAGCGGCCCAACTGGCTATTAAAAAAACAACACCAATCCACGTGGCATCTGTGGCCCTACCGCCCTTAATCTTCCTACCCCTCGCCTTCTCTAACGCCCAAGGAAGTTGCCATTTCCAGAGGGCCCCCAAATACTTCCGTCACGAAAGCAGCAGCGCAAGGAAGGTCACGTCACAGCCGAACAAGTGACCACGTGATTCTGTTTCCTTGGATCTTCCAGGCCAAGGAATGGCCTTGGCCATTTGGATTCTGGTAAACAAGACATAAATAACCCAAGGGAACCCGAGAACCCCTTCACAGCAGGCGATGATGGAGGGGTGGGGGAGATGACAGCAACATCCTTCCAAGGATACATGCACTGACAAGCTTATTGGCTCGCCCCTCGCCCCGCCCCGTGTGGCATGAGGCTTGGCTCATTTGCAGGAGCGATCAGCAACTATCTGCTGTGTGTGTACCTTTCTGCTTGCTCCAGTTCAAGGATCTCAGCCTGGTGAAGGAACTCAGCTGGGGAAGGGAGTGAAAGAGCTGGCGCCACTTGTGTCTGCATCTGCACCATGAACTTAAAGCATATTCCCTCCCTGCTTCCAAAGAATCCTAGGAACTGTAATTACCCTTCAAAAAGAGTTGCCATTCCCAGCACCCTTGGCAAGCTTCCATTTCCCAGGGTTCTTCTTCTGTTTCGGACAGGCGGAGGGCTTTAAATGTGCTTTGAATATACGGCATGTGCACGGCCAACAGTAGAGAAGAACCGGGCTCAACTGACAAGCGGGAGTTTCGTTTACATGCAAATGTTGCAGCCAATGTGACACAGTGATCTGGCCAGCCTTGGTTTCCAACAGGGACTGGGCCAGGCATAGGCAAACTCGGCCCTCCAGATGTTTTGGGACTACAACTCCCATCATCCCTGACCACAAGTCCTGTTAGCTAGGGATGATGGGAGTTGTAGTCCCAAAAACATGTGGCGGGCCAAGTTTGCCTATGCCTGGACTGGACCTTTATGCCCGTTGTGGAAAATGTCAGAGACACCCTCCTAGGATTTTCGTACGAACTTCAACCAGAACTAGGGGTGGGAGGTTGCTACTGCAGGCTCCTTAGGGAAAGGCTGTAGCTTAGAGGTAAGGCGTCTGCCTTGCATGCAGAAGGTCCCTGGTTCAAAGCCTGGCATCTCCAGGTAGGGCTAGGAGAGAATCCTGCCCAACACCTTAGAGAGCCCCTGCCAGACAGCGCAGAGCTGGGTGGGTTAGTGGTCTGACTCAGAATAAGGCAGGTTCCTATGTTCCAGTGGGAAGAGGCTCTGCTTAGAAATACTGATTAGGATCCCCTTTTTCATTGTTAGAAATTAGCCAGGCACCAGGAGCATTTTGCGACTGGCACAGGTTCAACTGCGACCACATGGAGATCTCTGGAGGCCAGGTTGGTGACTGAAGTCTCCATCTGGCTAGCCCCTCCAGCTTTCTTAAGAGAGTAAGCAGAAGAGATTATTGCATTTATATTTCACCTTTTTCTCCATGGAGTACATAGTTTACCCCCCCCCCTCAGTTAATCCCTACAATGACCCTGTGAGGTAGGTTAAGCTAACAGGCAGTGACTGGCCCAAGGTCACCCAGTGAGATTCATGACTGAGTGGGGATTTGAACCTTGTTCTCCCAGGTCCTTGCCTGACACTCTAACCCATGGCAACCTAAGGCCTGTGGGCCAGATCCGGCCCAATCGCCTTCTAAATCCGGCCCATGGAGGGTCCGGAAATCAGCATGTTTTTACATGAGTAGAATGTGTCCTTTTATTTAAAATGCATCTCTGGGTTATTTGTGGGGCATAGGAATTTGTTCATCCCCCCCCCCAAAAAAAATATATAGTCCGGCCACCCACAAGGTCTGAGGGACAGTGCTGCTGAGCCCCCTGCTGAAGATGTTTGCTGACCCCTGCTCTAACCACTATACCACACTGGCTTCCCAGAGTTCTTCTGCTATGGGAAAGCTCTATAAATTAAGTAGGTAAAAAATATGAGGAGAGCAAAATGTCACTTAGAGAAGGACCTATTTTTTTTTAAGCTTGAATTTTGTTTTTATTCTGGATTGTTTTGTTTGAGGTTTTAATGTGTTGCAAACCACTATTAGCTTATATATCTGAGTTTCTAACACTGCCCCTTTTGTTACCTCCATTTGGAAACCCAGCCAGGAGCCCCCCTGCAGATGAGGAAAAAGAAGACTGTCATCCACAAGCAGGATGACTAGGTGCCCTGGGTACCCCATAAGATTGACCTCCCATAGCTGTTAGCACTGCAGTTCCCACTCGGACTGAAGGGAGTTGTAGTACACATCATATGGAGGGCACCAGATTGGGGAAGGCTGGCCTACGGCTACTGAGCAAGTTGTTAAATACAAGCATGCAATAACCAAGTGATGTAGGGGAATGAATGAAGCAGACCAAAGTTGGGAGAAAATCTACCATTTGTGCCACTTTTGGCCCTCTCTCATCCATAAATGGGACGCAGGTGGCACTGTGGGCTAAACCACAGAGCCTAGGACTTGCCGATCAGAAGATGGCGGTTCAAATCCCCGCGACAGGGAGAGCTCCCGTTGCTCGGTCCCTGCTCCTGCCAACCTAGCAGTTCGAAAGCACCTCAAAGTGCAAGTAGATAAATAGATACCACTTCGGCAGGAAGGTAAACGGCGTTTCCGTGCGCTGCTCTGGTTCGCCAGAAGCAGCTTAGTCATGCTGGCTCCCTCGGCCAATAAAGTGAGATGAGCGCCGCAACCCCAGAGTCGTCTGTGACTGGACCTAATGGTCAGGAGTCCCTTTACCTTTTACATCCATATACATTTTATGGCTGCAACATTTTAGAAATGACCTGCCTGTGCAGATGGACCACTGCCTATGAGGACACTGTCTGATGCATGTTGCTTCAGACATGAAGTTATTCCGTGGAACCAGGTCACACATTCCAGAAATACCCATGAATAGCCAGGTAGCATAGTGGCAGCAGCTGTGCTCTTTGCTCTGAGAACCTGCATGTTCACTCATTCACACTAATCCTTGGTTTGTCTTAGCGCTTTATACCAAGTGGGTCTGCATAAAGTGAGTTTTGAATATGCCTCCTTATGAAAGCAAAAAAAAGATTTGCATGTACGGAGTTGGAAAGCTGTTTTTGTTGTTGCTGGTATAGGGGCTCAAATGTTTCCTTTTGCTGGAGCGGTTGACAAAGGTCAGAAGCTCCAACTTCAGTGTGGATTTACAAAGGTGAAGGCTGACCAGGCTGATGATCTGGAGTATGGGGGGGGGTGTCGTCTCCAGAGGAGAGCAGCTTACTCTGAACCCCAGAATCAGTTTTCAACGTCACACATCTCAGCCTTGAAGGTCTCAAACTACAATGAAGATCAGAGCACCTCTGGGCATATGCAGAGTGCCTTTCTCTGTTGCCAGTGAAAAACCCCAAGCAGGAACCCCAGCACCTGTTGTTTCTGAAAAGCGATGAAGTTGGAAGGGGGGTGGCACTGAAGCGGGGCGGGGGGGGTGCTCCTTGCGGGGGCGCTCTCGGCTCGGAGAGGGCAAGGCAAAGCTGCTGCGTTTGGAATCTCTCTTGGATCCCTAGGTTAGATTTAGAAGGTCAGATGAGGACAGAAATGGTGGCACGCGGTGGCGGCGACAGGAGAAAAGAGGTGATTAGCTGCCGCTGTTATGGGGCTCAGTAAGGATGTCCTTAAGGAGGGGGAGCTGGGAAATCCCTGCGGGGATTCCAGATTAAATGGGGTGGGGGGAACGAACCTTACACACACGTGCCAAAGGAGTCGGAGGGCGGTACAAGGAGGGTGGAAGTCGAGCGAGCAGCACTCACCTTCATGATGCCGGCGGCGGGGGCGGTCCTGGCCAGGCCGGGGGGGTCCCTCTCGGCCGAGTTGTCGCGGCTGCTGCAAGCGGAGCCTCCGGAACCGGAGCGCAGCGGACTCAGGTCGCCGGGGGCTCCTGCGGCTGTAGCGGCGGCGGCGGCTGCAGGTCCTTCTTTCTGCGGGGCCCGGGGGGGCCCGGGCCGGGGCGAGCCCGAGGGGGGACCGCCGGGGGCTCCGTCCGCCATCCCCCCGCGGGGCTCCCAGCAGCCGCACCGGCCCGGCCCAGACGGGGTCCTCAGCTCCTGCCCCAGCGGCGCTTGCACGCCTTTTGGCGCGCGCCCCTGACCCCCGGCTTTGCAATGCCGGCTCCCCTTTGCCGGGGAAGGAAGGAAGGAGGGACACAGCGAACGAGCGAGCGAGCGAGCAGACGCTGCCGCTGCCGCCGCCGGGGGTGGAGGGATGGTGGGACGGCTGGGGCGGGGCCAGGCGCAGCACAGCCCCTACCCCAAACCGCGGCGCGGCCCCACGAGCGAGAGACCCGCGTAACCGCGCGCCCCGCTGGCTCCTCCTCCCCCGCGCCCCTCCTCCCGCCAAGGCGCTCTTTCGAGCCTCTGAACCTATTTTCCCTCTTGCCGGCGCTGCAATCAAAGGAGAGAATTCGCCCCTGCGCGTGCTGCGCTCGGGAGGGCCTGGAGCTCACCCCGGAGGGCTGCTCGGCGCCCCGGCCCCGCCTGTTGGATCCCTCGGCGGCAGGGTTAATGCAAGGGACGCAAATGCAGGGTTTTTCTCCGTTCACACGTTCAGCGGCTTGCCCGTCATTGTTATGCCTTCAGTGCCTGCGTGGATAAGCCTCCTCGAAGGCACAGCCGGACAACCCCCCCCCCCAGGTTGCCATCAAAACGGGGCTTGGCGGGAAAAGGGCAGCTCCCACTCAGCAGGACCTCGGCACGTTTTCAAAAACGGCTGCATCAACACAGCACACAGTTAAAGCCCACCGCCCAAAGGATCCAGGGAACTGTGGTTTTCAGAGAGCGTTGGGAATTGTAGCTCTGTGAGGGGGCAAACTACAGTTCCCAGGATTCGTTGAGGGCGGGAAATACGCTTTGAATGTATGGTGTGTTCGTGCACTGAGGTAATTAGCACTGTAAGATCCCCTCACCCAATGCCATGAAGTCCAGAGCCTAACATTACCTAACTGAATCCAGCCACTCCAACCCATTCGACCCTATCTAACCATCAGGTCCTCCTGGTCGCAGGACTGATACCAAGCAGGCTTTGAGACCCTATTTATATATTATACATCTATCCCACCCTTACTGGATAGGGAATGTGCCTGGCTTTTCCTTCCCTGTGCTTACCACAACCCTGTGATGTAAATTAGGCTGAGGTTCAAACAAAATGAGATGTGGGAGATCTACGATCAGAATCCACCATGCTTATTTTTTTATTTTTAAAAAAATATTTACTGCAATAGGTTGTGAATCAGATTAGAATGGTGGTACTGGAGAAAGGTTTATGTGGGTGTTTTTTTCTTGTATGTTTTTAATGTCCCTTTCATGCCCCAGAGCAGCTAACTGCTTAATGGCAGAAGAGGGGATGGGTACCTTCACTCCCCACCCCCTTTCGGGCAAATAGCAATTTATTTGGTGGGGGTATTATATTGAGAATATGACAACAGTTGGAGGATTATAATATCCCTTTGGGGTTGTCAGTGGACGCCCTTTTGCAATTGACCCTTCAACCTCAAGTTTGGAAGGTGCCTACAAGGAGAAGGCCTCTTCAGTGGTGGCTCCCTGATAGTGCAGTGCTCTCTCTAGAAAAGCTTGTCAGGTGCCTCCATTACCCTTTTCAGTGCCAGGCTAATAATTTTCTGTTCTCCAGACCTTTTAAAATATATATATATATACTCACTGCTTTGTCATAGCTGGTTGTTTTTGACTGTGGCTGCTACTGGATTTTGTTCTCTGTGTCAAGAAGCGCCATTCGAACAGTGGCAGCGTAAGAGCAGGATTTGGGGCAGATGTCCAGCAGAATGAACATGAAGGCCCCCAAACTGGTTTTGCTATATTCTTAAGTAGGTGAAGCAATACATATCACTCTCTTAAAGGCCTCCTCACCACCACCAGTGAGACCATGGGTAAGTCCAGCATCCAAATTTACCTAAATGAACCACTGAAACTAAACATAACTATTGATTCTCTCTTACTCTTTTTATACCAATGTGTCTGTGTTTCCATTCCATCTCCAATCCATCCATTGGGTCAAGACCAAGAAAAAATTAAATTTGCTTTTAGGATTTTATGCACTTGTTGATTCTGGAAGTTTATTTGTGTGTGTGTGTGTGTTATTGTTATTTTTATAAACTACATACCATTTATGGGAAAGACACTCTTTTATAATAACCATTCCAATGTGATAAATCACTTAATCTTTACCAGAAGGAACAAACTTGCAAATAAATCCAGTTCCAAGACCATAAAATGTTGGCAGTCTACTTACTGAGGCATCCTAATGTCAGCCACTTAGAGTGCACCAGTGACCTACAAGAAAAAAAGACCATCAACAAATTATTTTGTAGTGTGCCAACCCCCCCCCAAAAAAAAACTTCTTATATTGGTCGCCTTGAGATGGCTCTTACTTACCACAGGTAACCAGGCAGCCCAGTGTAACAGAGACAACTCTCTACAGGAATCTAGAGTAGGATAATATTGAGGGTTTGATTGGGAGTGGGAAGACCTCACTTCAAATCCTTATCTCGCTGTGATGGTTAAAAAAGTTAATCTCTCTCAGTCTAACTTACCTCACTGGGCTGTTGTGATAAATTAAATTAACCGTTCATATGCTGCCTAGAGCTCTTCAGAGAAAAGTTGGGGTGACAAATTAATCTCTCAGGCAAGTAGCTTAGAGGTCAAAAGTATATGGCAGAGGCAAGCTAACCATGAACCAACTCAAAATAGCTGATTGGGACAAGAGAGGCCAAATCTGGTGCCATGTTCTTGCCTGCAATTACATCAAAATGGTGTAAATTTTATTATTAAAAAAACAACAACTCTGGTTCACAGCAAGGGGACATTGTTTTGTTGTCAACATGTTAGAACTCAGGACTGACCCCTAGACTGGATGTCAGAAGCTGCTGTGATCATCCCCCAATAACTGCCTCATCTAATCCAGAATGATCCAATTGTTTTCCAGAGCAGCTGGTTCCCAGCAATTTCAGGATGAAAAAATTGCCTGTTGCAGCTAACACGCCCGCCCCCCGCCCCACTCTGCACCTGGCTTAGAAGGACTGCTATCCCTGACTCTCCATTGATCAGTCAGAGAGCTAGAGCAGCGTTAATGAGATCCTGGAGGTTGGGCGCTCTATAATTGGCAGTGCAAGCTTTGCAAGGCTCCAGCTACCCAGACCAGAACTCGTGAAAGATGCTGGCCTTAGTAATGGGGTGGCAATTAGTGTGAAGCAGAAGGAACCCCCTACCTGGCCCTGCTGAGCACCAGCTGCTGGCATCAAAGCACGAAGGCCAGCGTCTACTTGCATGTCCATGCACAAAAGGGCAGAGGATGGGATGATATTGTTGGTAGGGAAGAGATTATTGCCCATTTTCTATATTGTTTTCTGGACCCCATTTATTGAGCAGAGGGAAGGGATGTTGGTATGGAAATTAATGGAGTTCCTGGTAGTCTTTTCAAGAAAAAGTTTCCTTTGCAGAAAGACTTTGTCTTTTTAAAGGTTTATGCGATAAAATATTAAATAACAATTGTTAAAATTCATGGTTGCCTATACAAGATAAATCTCCTTATGTGCCACAATGACATTGTTATCATTATCAGTAATAATAATATCATTATAATGACAGGTAGGTAGCCTGTTGGTCTGCCGTAGTTGAAACAAAATAAACAAATTCCTTCCAGCATCTGGAAGTATCTGAAGAAGTGTGCATGCACACGAAAGCTCATACCAATAACTAACTTAGTTGGTCTCTAAGGTGCTACTGGAAGGAATTTTTTTATTTTGTTATCATAATGATGATTAAGCAGCCTTTTAAATGCACCACAGTACATTTATTATTGTTGTTGTTTCCAGTATCCATTACATTAATGATTAAGTTCATGGTAGCATTTACAAGATGATTTTTTGTTTGCAAGAAGGCTTTTGTTTTGTAATCATTTGTTTATTCACAAATGGGCAGCCTAGAACAGGCCTTACCAGGGTTCAGACTGAGGTAGACAGTATTAGTCTTAAAGTAACATCATAAGTTCAGCAGGATGCTTGAACCAACTCTTCAGCTGTTGTCCTTTAGCTCTCCTCGCAGCACTCCTTGCCAAGAAAACTGGTCTTCGTTTTGCCATCCTTCTTTCATTCTGCAGGTGAGTGTGAACTCCAGGAATGTTTCGATGCAGCTTGGGCCAAAAAGGATACCCTAATTGCCCTTTAAATGCCCATTGTCCCCAACAACAGGCTAGCTAGGATGAAAGCTATTTCTTTGCTTTGCTGCACAACAACACAGCAGTACGTCCACAGCATCCTTTCGAAAACAGCACTGAAGCTGTGCATATCCTGCACGATTCACTGCTGGCAACAAGATGGTCCTAAACAATGGCACATTTTGTACAGAACCTAGCACACTAGAGATGTGAAATGATGACTAGGAACAGATGGGAGTGATGAATTTCTGACGAGGTGCTGGGAGGCCCAAAGGAAAGTGCTTAGAGATGCCAGCCTCCAATTCCGCCTTAATCTACTGGCACTGGCAGCGAGGCAGGGCTTTGGGGCAGAAATCCAGGCTGCATCCAGCAGAATGAGCAGGAGGGCTGCTGGCTTTCCACAATTTGAAGCAAAACAATACACGGCATTATCTAAAGACCATTTTAAGTAAATGAATATACATTGCCATTTGAGATCATTAAGGCCAGAATCTAAAATGACCCAGCTGTTTGAAACCTAAGCCCTGGACTTTGGATAAGTGGTGTGGCCCTGCATGGAAAGGAAGCTTCCTCTGACCCTAAAACTCTGCCTGCCCCCTAATTCCACATGCACATAGAGCTGGATGAGGCAGGCAAGTTGGAGAAATGCACTTTGCACATGACCATAATTTGCATCTGAGGTAGTGGGCAGGGCCTCCAGCCTGTGGGTGAATCTTGGGTTCTAGTTTGGCCTTTCTCTAAACCACGCCCACTTCGGGCATCACCCGAAGTCACCTGTCAATTACCTGAGCCATAGCCCCCTCCCCAGGCTAACAATCAAGCC